TTTTTCTGTACAATTTAAAAAACTATTAACAAATATACATTAGTACATCGGGGAACATCTGTTTTATGTTGTTGATTTCTCGGTTACCTTGACTATGGGGCAAAAAAACACGATTAATACTACTAATATTACTCCATTTAAAATCGTTTTTTCTTTTGCAATGATTAATCGTTTTATATAGAATATATATTCTAAGTTACCCTATATATGTATATGTTACGTTTCTAATTATTATTGGCCTACAACAGTCAACCGCCTACTCGTATCAGTATCATCTTTTTTTTTTCATGAATAAACTTCATCTATATTAATAATAAAATTATATATAATGGCATGCCTAACGATTAAGACTAGTACTATAAATGTCTTAATCGTTCTGCATTGTAAGTTCGGCGTAGCACATGTGCCTACCCAAATTCTATTAACATTTACTGTATTTCATTTCAACATCTAGTGTATCTAGGTTTCTATCAATAAAACTACTTTTGTTTTTTTTTGTATCTATACCGGCTATACTCACCTAATTTCAATTTTACAATAAGTGTCTTAAAAACCAGTATTTTTAAAAATTATAAAAAACTAATACCTTTATAATAATATATCAAGTTTAAATGTACATGGCCATGTGAAATGATGTATAAAATATGTTTAATGTTTTTGTTTTAGCTTAGAAAAGTCAGACCTCGGATCATAATTATTTTATTTGTACATGCTACAAATTCGTAACCATAAAAATGATTAATTTATTCTCACAAGTATACACTGCGCGCTCTAGTGATCAAATATGGACTTTTGAATATGAAACAATTAATTAATTCAACCTCCACCCTTTAGATACCTAATGACATGTGCAGGAGAAGCGTTATAGGTTGTACCCTCCTCCCAATGGGTGCACATAAATTGCCTCCCGTGTATTTTTTTTAAAAAAGGTTACTCGAATTGCCTTCCGATTCCAAAAACTCTGTATCGGAATCAATTTCTATTTCGATTTTTTTAAAACTAAAAACAATTATACAATAAGATAGGTATTAGGTACACGACATTAGTACACATGTCATTAGTAGACATTTGTACATGGTATTAGGTAATAAGTCGATGTCAAAAAAGCGAATATATGTACTGTATCAAAATTCCACGTATTAAAAATCAATAAAAAAATAATTTATATGAAATAGCATTATGTCTTACAGTACCAAAACAACAGTACTTAAAAATATCAAAAAATGATAAACATTCAATAAATAAATATCATCATGTTTTATAGTCAAAATTTTTAATTTTAATAAGTTATGTAGTATGTTTCCTAGGTTCAAATTTATTTGCTAATACTTTTAAATATTGAAATGTTCAATATAATAATCAATAATACAAGTCAGCTATTGATATATTAATTAATAATCTAGGTATGCTATGGGACTTTGGGAGGCAATTTGAAAGTACTCCTCCCAATAGTTTAAAAATACAACAACTTTAAATGCTTATTTAGTCATTTTATCTTGAAATAATATATTTTACCCGAATTACAGGAAAAAAAATCTTTATTTATTGAATACAAGTTGACTTGAAATTAGAAATTAATTTGTATCTGTAAGCAACGATAAACCATTGTTTACTAAAAACGATTCTGATTGGAGTTCTGTTGATAGTGATGCTTGGTCAATAATATATATGTCATATTATAGTAATATAATCAAATATGCTTTATGTATATATTTTCTTTAATCATACTTGTTTAATATTTTATCGATTTTCCCGTTTTTCTACTTTTATCCCGGTTTTCCTATGTTTTTTCGGTTTTTTTTTTTACATTTGTTGGAAAAACTTTTAGAAAAATTAAAAAATGACCTCCTTTAAGTAACACCCAAAGAAAATTTCCTTTTAGAAAAAAGTTTGCATCGTATTTATTGGAGTAAGCTTTCTGGTAGAAAGAAGTATTCACATAAAAAAAACAAAATAAATATCTTTGTAAAATCAATACATTCTTCGCTACACTCAGAATCTAAAATTAATTCCTTACAATATTTCTGTTTGTAGTGCTCATGTAAAATATATTTGAATCCATCATATTAATGTTACATTGTAACATATTTATCCATACAACACATTATTAAAATTTAATACCCGTTATTGCCAAATTTTTGGCATAGGAATTTTAACTCAATTCTCTGAATCATGGGTCTAGATTAATAAGGCTCCTAAACTAAAAGCACCGAGAAAAACTCGATGAATCGTGTAAAAATCATATCTACTTGTTTTAAATTAAATATAAGTAAATTATATCTATTTTGTATCATCTTTGGCCGGTGAAAATATTAAAACTCAGTAGGTCAATACTTTTTCTATCCGGAGCTACTGAATCAGCTTGCTTGCAGGTAAATACCTCTGCACTTAAGCAGGTAATTTAGATAATCAATACGATTCAGAGACTAAATAATGTGAAAATTATAAACTAGGTACAATTTATAATCGACTCATTTATTATGAATCAGTTCAATAAATTATGAATTTGATAAAGTTCTTTATGTATAGTAATTCATGATTAAAACTAAATGAGGGAATGACGATACAAAATTAAGATTCATGACTCTGAGTCATTGAGTCACTGAATTATATGACACTGCACAGATTTAATTAATTTAACTAATTCCACTCTCAGTAGATTTCAATTTATCCACATAATATAATAGATTATTACGACTTCAATAAAAGCTTATATTTTAAGCCACTAAAAAAAGTGTCTTCACATCAATTTTCGAGGAAGGTTGATTGCAGTCTTAGGCAAGTTATACCTACTTTTCAAAAGTAAATAATTAAATTACAATATTACTACTTTCCACTTCATGTATCTTCATTACCTATACTTAACATTCTTATTATTATTATAAAATACAAAAAATTATTGGTTACACTTTTATATTTCATTGAACAAATTGTTACATAATAATTATAATTATCTAAAACAGTAAAAGCTCTATTATGGCTAAAAATCACACTACCTATCATTATTATCATTGACAGGAGGTTCATTATATGTTACACTTATAGTGGTTTTTTATTATAACGTTTTTCGTTAGCAATGGTTTATCGTTGATTACAGGTTTAAACTAAATAACTTTTTATATCCCACCTTCCTAACTACTCACCTAAAAAAGTGACCAGACCCCTCCAGTATATTTTTTTAAATTTTTTTTTTAGGTACGAAGTTTTTTCACGCTTCTAAAATAGTGTAGTGGTTTGTTTTTGTGAATTTATTAAAAATTATTACTTTTGGATTTTTGTTAGTTTATATAGCCATATTAATTTATAATGAGGAAACATGTACCACAATATTATGATAGGTCACATTTATAATATAGCCTATATATGTGAGGTGTACATATAGCTATATTATCTATATTAGCTATTAGCTGAATAATTTTTAGATACCTAATAAATTTTATAAAAACTATTAATCAAACAATATCTTTATTGGTGGAACTTTAATGGCCCCTTATTTATGTATACTGTATAGTGTGCTTACCTCATTTTCCAATAGATAAGGTTTAGTTATGTCTTTTGTACCTATACTTATTTATATTGTATAGGTAGGTACCTATACCTACTTGTATTTAAGTTTCATACTTTAATTAGGTAATAATGATAATAATTTACTTATCCAGTGTTATATAGATATAATGTGATATATTATTATAATATTGTCAGGTAGGTAATAGGTATATCTATTAGTCACTGATGATTTATTTAGTAGTCTAAAATGCATAAATAGACAAAATATTATGATTAGGTACTTTTCACCCTTTCACCTTCACCAGATTGTAAATTGTAATGAGTTAAAACTTATGTAATATAATTTAATTTATATATAAATTTATATACAAACACGTATTATATTATTATTATGGATTACTTGTATGGCTATAGAAAAAGTATACACACTCTTGTACCTACTCGTCTTTCCTCTTTAAATGGGAACTTATGGAAAGAAACCAGAAAATTACTTCAGTATAAATTTCCCTCAGCCCCTCTAATGAAACTCTATAGTTAATTTGCCTTCTCTGACAATGATAAGACTGAAGTTTTTAAAGTCCATCTTCATGTAACGTTTCAACCGCATCATGATATACTTGCTTCTGAACACAGATGAGGTAAATTCCTATTTAAACCTTACCATCTCCAAGCAATCTAAGCAATCCATCTTCAAGAATAATATATCACCCTTTGACAATCATTTTATCCACTAATAAGAAACCTTTAATTGCCTCATCAAATTTACAAGTGCAACTTAATCACGCGTCTCAGTGGTATGGAAAGTTACGAGTCCAAATAAATCAAAATAAATCAGTATATACAAAGTTCACACTGAAACAAGGAATATATCTAAACATTACCCTTAAAAATGTTTCAATTCCTACATCCGATAGTCAGATGCTTAGGATTAATCCTAGACAAAAGGCTGACGCCTGACATGGAATGAACACCTTCAAACCAAAAGGCTATGCTTAAATAATCGCATGCGTATGCTCAGACCTCTGCTAATTAGAAATAAGTGCTCCACCCTAAACACTAAACTATTAATCTATAAAGCTCTAGCCAAAACAATCTGGACGTATGGACTCCAACTGTGGGGCGTGGTAAAAACATCTAACGCTAATAGAATTCAAACATTTCAAAATATATCTCTCCGACAATTTTCCAATGGGAAATGATGTTCCGTCTCATATCTCTAACTTAACTCTTCATAATGATCTCCATATGAGAATAATAGAAGAGAAAGCGCGCATTTTCTACACTCGTACGGCTCCAGACCCATCCTAACCCTCTCGTAAAAGATCTTTCCATCATTTCCATCCTTTTCACTCCCAGAAAATCCTATTCGCAGATTAAAAATGATGAGGTGCCAGACCTTTTACAAAACTTCAATGTCTAACGTCTCTATGTAGTGAAAAAAAAAAAAAAAAAAAAAAATAAATAATAATAATTAATAAAAAAAAAAAAATTTATCAATAGCCAAGAGCCACACTAATGAGTAATGGGTGGCCGCTTAATTATCATATAAACTTATTGCGCTAGATTGTGTGGATTGTTTATGTCAAATAAAAAAAAAAAAATAACAAATATTATCAAGTCAATAATTCATACGACACGTACTATATTACAATGATAATATTCCGTGCGAAAATAGAATCCTCGTACAAGTATAGCGAGTTAACAATTAATATTAATTAATTATAAAAACGCGAGTAAACACTAATAATTTTAATTTATATTATTATGTACTTAGCGGCGACCACATTGCCCGCGCAACAGAGCCGCCGCTACTCCCCCGATCGAGAAACACGGCACGCACGGTAGTAAAAAGTCTTGTCAAATGCTGTGAATTATCGTATTATTTACCGCCGATAAAGAGGAAGGGGGGCAATAAATTTAACCGACATTTTGCATCGTTGATGATAATTATATTTATTGACGGGCCAAAACAAATTGACGTAGCATGGAAAACGAAATTAACATGAAATATTTACTACGAGAACAAAACGAAAATTGTTTATAATAATATCGTATGCCTGGACGGAAGTATAATATTCGCCGTGCTGGTGGTACGGGTAGTGTGCCACCGGCACAACGTACCGGTGGGAACGCGCTATGTTGGCACTCTTGACACGTGTCAAACCAACACTGATATACGTGTATTGGATTTGGAAATTCAGTGTGTTTACAGTTTGGTTCATCTTCACTTTTTCTTGCCCTGTCCCGACGTTCAGGTGTTCACTGGTCGCCGACGGGTTTTTGAAGTAATTTTTGCTTTTCGTCGCAACCACCGTCCAACCGTGATACCGTATTTCATTCGTATTCGTACACGTTGCACAAAAAATCAATTACAAAATGACTGTGCTCAATATTAAGGACAAAGTCAAAAACAACAAGCTGAACCTGAGCGGTCTGAACCTAACGGAAATACCCGTCAAAGAAATCGTAAGTGTTTGCCTATGTTTCTAACAGTCCTCTAGTATATTATTCATTCTGCCTTTTTGGTCGTGCATAATCGCATTGGCGGTCATTGTTAAAACGTTAACTTTGCCAACAATATGCCACCGTTCTACTTTAACCTACAAAAATCTTGGCCAACAAGACATACCTAGTTAACGTGTAAGTGATAATCGTTTTACTTTATTTCTCTAGGCTCCATTGAAAGTCACTCATCTAGACTTGTCCAACAACAAAATCAGTTCAACAGATGTAAGTGCTCTTTAACACCCATTTTTTTTTTATTGTACATTATTGATTTGTTATGTTGAAAAATGTCTAGAATGTGTTCTCATCGTTGACTAGTCTGGTAAAACTCGATCTATCCAATAACCAGATTAAGAGTGTAGCTGGCGATATTGGTTCATTGCAAAAACTCGCTCACTTATCATTAGCCAACAACAAAATCAAAGATTTACCTAAGGGTGTGAGTAAACTTAAACAGCTGAAACACTTGAATCTGAGCAACAACCCATTGAAAGCTGAATTGGCAGATGCTGTCGGACCCTCACAAAACAATGCGCAGTTTCAATCAGCAGCTGTCAATGTAATTCAGTATTTCAAGGATAATAAGAGCGATTCGAAAAAGCAAGGTAGTTGTCTTGTTATTGTATTAGTAAATAATATATTTAATATCAATAAAATTAAATGGGGGGTTTTTTTTTCATAGATGATAAACAAAATAAAAAGAAGGACAAGAAAAATATCAAAGCATCACCAAATGGTGTACAAAATGATAAGTCAAAAAATAAAACTAAACCGAAAAAGAAGTCTAGTTTTGTATCAAAAGGTATTTTTATTTTCTTTAAGGGGTTTAATATTACTTACTAAGTCTAATTTTAAATTTTAGTTTTTGGATTCTTTGGTATGCTAATTTCATACACACTACTTTTGGTGGTGTTGAGTGGTTTGTCTTTGTATGGATTGTCATACTATGACAAGAGAGCATATGGCAATGTTAAGGCTAAAATTTTGCCTTATTGGGTATCGGCTACATCAAATTTGGATCCGCAAGTAGCAGCTAAAGTCAATTATTATCTGCAGCAAGCTGGAACTAATTTCGATTTGGCAGTTCAAACCAGTATTGAGGCGTCTATTAAGTCATACAAATGGGTTAAAGCAAATCCAACTGTACAACAGTCTGTCAAAAATCTAAATAGTGCGTGGCAATCTCTTTGGGATAGCATTTTCAAGAAAGGAAAATCTACGTGATCTGCGATATAGATTTGAAGAGAAAAAAACAAGTTATAATTTTGTATTGATTTTTTTTTTTTTGTACGGCCGTATATATTTCATCTTTCAATTTATTTGGTAAATTTTCTCAAAAAAAATCTCGTCACAGCATATGTTATATACAATTAAAAACTGATTTATATGTATGTATTTACCTATTAATTTTGTTCTATCAAATAACTGAATTTATTGTATAATTTAATTTTCTTATTTTTTATAAGTACCTAAATTTATCTTATTTTAATTTTAATTATACTTAAATTTCATTTTTAATTAAAACTATTTTAAAAAAAAAAAGAATGTATTATTTTAGATTCTGAGTGCAGCAAAGAATGCATTGGCGTTTTTGATTTTTACATGTTAAATTTAAGTCCATTTAAAGTTATTAAATTTAAATTGGATTTTAAAATTAGCATTGTGCACTTTTTAATTTGAAAAAAAAAAATTAATACAACTTATCAAACCATTTTTTTTATTCATATTTTTGAAAAAGTAGTAATTCGTAATTTGATTTCCAACTATAGTTATTTATTTATTCTGTATTGTATGGAAATGAATTGCACTTGTTAAAGAAATTTAACTCTTCATATATTACAAATTATTATGTGAAATAAGACAAATATTTTGTTGTAAATATATCATACACCATTTTTCTACCAAGATGAATATAACACAATTTCAAAAATCTTAAATTGTAATAAAACATTGATACATGGTATGTAAATTTACTATACAATGTGATAAGAAATGTTTTTAATATTTGATCTTTAACTATGTACAATTTTGTATCTGATAAATAGTTATCATTATGCAAAAGGTACTTAATAGGTCTAATATTAATATATTTAATTATGTACTATTTTTTATTTGATAAATGGTTATCATTATGAAAAAAGTACTTAATAGGTTTACTATTAATATTATATAATTATATAAAACAATTTAATATCTGTAGTTGTAGTTGTATTATCAATTGTAACTATTATTTTATTATCACTAGTTAGCATTTTTTGAAGTAATGGAAGTGTATGTCAAAAAATTATCTTACACTAATGTTTTAATGATTTTTAATTTTAATATTTTCCATTAATTGTGTACTGTCTGAAACAGTGGAGGATATTTTTTACCCGGTTACAGTTATTGGTTTGTATTATATCAATTATGTTTTATCATTTAAGTTTTGTAACATAATTACAATCGGCTTAAATATTATTATTAAATTGATAAATTATGTTTTCGTGAGTACTTATGAATTTATAACATCTATTGTAATATTAGATATCAATCCAACACCTTAGATGTAAATATTTGCATAATTCCGTTATTGTAGGCAAATTATTATTTATATCTAATTTAAAAGATAACAATAAAAATAAACATGACCTGGGTCTAAAAGTAACATAATTTTTAAATATGTTAAAAACTCAATAAATATTTTTATATAAATTCAAAATTTGTATCTATAGTCTATAGAAGTTACTAGGCTAATACATTTGTATAGTGATTTTTAAATTTGCTTGATTGTGAAATGTTATCGGTTAAATAGTAAATAGTTATAGTTGCATTTATTTATTTTATCATAGATTAACAATAAAAATGAGATTTTAACAAAATTTAAATTTAATATAATACATATTAAAAAATGGTAATTTTTATAGAGAAAATGATGGAAAAAATTAATCCCATAAAATATATATGCTATTAAATGATGCAAAATGCATTATGCTTTGGTTCATTTGATCGGTAAACTGATAAAAGAAGATTTTAGTGTTATTAGAATCATTCTCAAATTAATGATGGAACTAAAAATATACCAATTTTGATAAAGGTATAATAATATGTTAACTTTTAATTTGTTTAATAATTAAAATCAATTGTGTTTTTATGATTTTGATTACTACCTATTACAGTGTGATGCATATGTAAAAAAAAAATGATCAAAAATACATAAACGCAGTTCATAAAAAATTATATCTTTTTGACTTTACAGCTTGTGTTGTAGTTTTATTTAGATATTGTATTATGTAAGTCAATTTAAATTAATAATTTTAAATTCTCAAGAATATTCTTTAGGTATTATAATTTGTCTGCTGTTTATTTATATTGTCACAAAAATGTAATTATAATTTACTAAAATATTGTAATTGTAATGCAATTTATATAAAAATATTCTAGGATACAACTTAAGTATTACCTTTAACCGACATTAAAATGTATACTAGTAATACTAGTATATTGTTCACTTTTTTATTTTTATTGGCATTTTGTTTTTACTAACAATTTTCATTCAATATTTATAGTCTTTTCATATTTGATTAAATAACATTTTTTGAACTCCTCAGCATTCAATAATGGTCCATACGTATATCGTATTATATGTAGAAGCTGTAGTTAGTGTTCAATATTTACAAATCTAAAAAATGTTTGCAATTTTTTTTTTGCCACTAACGTGTTAAAAATATTAAATGAGAAGTAAATATCTAATTTTTATAAATTTCTAAAAAATTTATTTTTATTTTCGGATCTGACAACATGGGTTTCGACAACATTAAGCACATTATTACATTTGTAACAGGAAAAAAAACTTCTGTGACTTCTATTTCTATATCAAAAATATTTAATTGCATTTTTAACGTAAAGTATATACCTATATGTATGTTAGAGTGCCCTTTAATTATAGTTTTTTATTTTGTCTTAATATTGTTGACAAATACGAATTTCAGTAATGAATGTATTTTACATAAATATAGGTAGGTAATCACCTACCTACTCCATTTTAATCATTTTACAGCGTTGAGAAAAAGTGTTTTTTATTAGTTGACAACTAAAAGTACCACGACATTGATAAATTACAATGTTGATATAATACTCATGTAATTATCAATTTTAATTTTTGAATTTTAAGCATCACGCTTATATTATATTTTTACCCGTTGTAAATAATGATGCAAACAATCAAATCACTACTTAAAAGTTTAATTAGCGAAAGTTAAAATTTATGTAATTGCATGTAGGATAATTTCATAATAATTTCAGTAGAGTGCAATCGTGCAATTTATTACCCTTTGCCACGCCTCCAGTCTAAACTTTATACCGTTATAACTCATAAATGGTAAATCTGATACTATGCTGTTATGCATATCAAACTTTCTAGAAAAATATTCTCTATTAAAATCTGTGTTCAAATAGGAAGGTTCCTAAATGAAAAACAAAAGTTTATACTTATACTTAGGTACACGGAGTCGGGGTAAAAAATTAAAAATGGTTTGAAATAAAGCTTATAACTAATTCCATAATGATTTAAAAAAAAGAAATCAAATTCACTTAAAATCCTTAGAGAAAATTGCTGATTCGTGTCAAAAAGAAATCACCTTGTATTTTCAAATTTAAATTGAAATTTTTCGTTCTGCGATTCTGTATTTTTACATAATTTTAAAATATTAAAATCAATATAATTCAGAGAGCTGTTTTTAAAGTATGGTATACTTTATTAAAAATGTTAAAATGGGTTTGAATAATTAAAACAATATCTGGTAGGAAGGTATAAATAATATTTTATGGGATCGATCGCTGGTGTAGGTACTGGGTGAAACGTGGCGTTTCGGACATCGACATGTTAATCTAATAAAATTGTCGCACAGAAACTATGTAATAGTAACTGTCATAATTTATTTATGTTTTAGTTTTTCATATTTATAATACTATAATAAAATAATGTCGGGAGTAGTAGTAATAATGTTGTTAATAACTAATATTGTTTGTTTGTAAATTTGTACTGTTTCATCTTAAAACTTAGCTTTGGAATTTGCAAATATTTAATTATTATTAATAATATTATGTTTGACCGTATAATAGTTAATTAACATAATCGCTAGTATATAAAACTTTATCTATTCGACACGAATACAAAAACGAACGGTATTCAACAATTTTTTTAAGAATAATAGAAGTGGTCATTTAATTGGTGTACATGCGGTATGTGTGAATGGTTATACAGAGTAATCAATCCATCACAATAGACAATCTATTACACTTTTAAGTTTGGGTCTCCCTCGAAAGAAAAAAAAGATTATTAAGTTCAATTTTTAAAATTCAATAAATTCGTTATAAAATTTACTGTTTACAGAATGTTGCACCCGAAAAAAGCTTGGTCTCCCGTATTCTACTACTTATAATATTATTATATTGTCCCCGTTGTGCAAAAGTCATTAAATTATTTAAAAATATATATATTTTTTTAAAATTTAGATTTAGATTTTGTTCAATTTCGATTTTAACCAAGAATTATGTGTTTTATATTTTATAAATTGTTTATGATCACTTTGACATTTTTTTTCGTGCATAAATAGGAAAACAAGGCACTTTTTGAATCACGGGGCCGACGAAATGCAATTAAATGCGTTCATCGGAAACAAATCGCGTTTTGTTAAATAAATTATGGGTATAAAATATATATATATATATAATATGTATACAATAATAATATGCGTATTAAATAATGGATAGTAGGTAACCAAAAACAATATTGTTGGTAACAAATTGTTCGGTAATAATTATATGAATTTAATTAAATATTAGATTTTTGGCACGGACGAACGCAAATTCATTACAGGTGTACGTTCGTAGTTTGTGCTGATATCCCTTCAAGTCTTAACCTCGTCAACATGGGTCTGTAAATGTCCGGAGTAAACGGCAACACCATACCCTTGGCTTGTATTTCCCCTGTAACAATAGTTTGATAATAAATATGTTTATAAATATTAAAATATGGTATAATGAGAGCCTGATTTAGAATTTTTCAGGCCCCGGACACGGGTTTGACTCGCGACCCTAAGAATATAAAAGCATTATTTTCATACATTTCCCGGTTTTCTAGAGTTTTATCCTGGTTTTTCCCAGATATTATGAAAGCCATTTGAAAAATCAAAAAATGACCTCTTAAAAATACCATCTGGACAACATTCCCTTTCAGAAATAGTACCGCGCGTATATATCTGAGCAAGATTTTTGGTAGAATTTTTGTATACAGGAAAAAAAAAATAAATAAACGTCTTAGTAAAGCCAATACATTCTTTGCTACACTCAGAATCTAAAATTATAGTTCATTCAATAATGTGGCTATAATATTGACACGTTTAGTATCTATAATATGTACAGATATTTACCTTGAAGGACCATATTAGCTGCGATTGCTGCCGGGATCCCGACAGTCCTTGCCATAGCAGTGTATCCATTTGTTTCGCCGTACGACACGAGGGTAACCAATTTTTTCTCGTACCGATCGCCTGGCCACGAAACTCCAATATCATGGTACAAAACTACCAGATCTCTTTCGCTTTTACCTGCATAATGTGTAAAAAAAAAAAAAAGGTTTTCAAGTACTTATACCTATTTTTTTTCGATTAAATACAACGCATACGCATTGCGCAACATTTTTTTTTTTTGTACACGTATAAGTCCGTTACATACTTAATGACAATTTTGAAGCGATAAATTGGGAAAACGTATCCAATGGTGAACCTAGTTTTAACACCGGTTCCTCTGTTAAAAGTCCGAGATCTACTACTTTGTCCAGGAATGACTGGCCAATTCTGTCGGCTACTTTCGATAATAAGTTCTCGTAAAATATGTCAGTGTTGTTAATCTCCAATAGCATAGAAATCAATTGTCGCTGTGCCAGAAAAATTTGGTGTGATATATATATATATAATATTTTATTGGTAAATTATGTATTGTATTTGTTATAAAAAAAAATGCAAGTATTATGAAATGCATAAAAATATTGTTATTTGTTGCTTACCCACGTAATATCTGGTCCGTTTGGATGAAGGGCGGCGTGGTCTTTAGACTCAATAAGACGTAATTTTTGAAGTATTTTCATCATATCACAGAAACCTACGTTGGAAACATTAAAAATAGTATTTTTTTTTTTTATTTATACATAAATTCTTTTATTATAATAAATAAATTAAAAATATGCTTATTTCGGATTATCATATTACCTCTGTATCGTATCGTACCCCTGAGCATGGTCTTAACTTCAGCGGCTATACCATATAGTTTAGCGTATTGGGTGCTATCTCGATTCGGGAATCCTTCGAATGAAAATCCAGGAAAGAAGTCTAGTTTCGTCGTGTTATTCATTATTTCACCACCAGCAGGAATATCGACTATCTAAGATATTCGGTTTAAAAATAAAATGTATTAATACGGACTGCTGTAGTTTGCTACTATACGACACAGACGTACCTTGTGGTTTTGTAAATATTTGGCTTCGGCTACAGTGTTAACGAGTGCTCCACGGGGAAACCACGAGAATTTATATCCTAATGGGTTGTTAGAGTATTCTGGAGCTGGTAGGCCCCCACAGTACGATACGAATGAGTCGATTTTGCCGCCTTCTGCGTGTATTTGATCGATACATTCCATTGCCAACAAATGATCGATACCTGGATCCAAACCGACTTCGTTGACGATGGTTATGCCAGCTTCAACGGCTCTAAAATATAATGCCTGTGTAATATTTTGAAGAAGTCGTTATTATATTAGATATTTTTGTTCTATGACAGTAACAACATAAACAAGAAAATTTTAGGAAAAATTTAAAGAACATGTGCATATAATAATTGAACCAACTTTAAAACATTGGTACATGTTATGATAACTGCTGATTATAAAAAAAAAAATAAAATTTATTTATTAATATTTTTTCTAAATCTGTACACTATATAATATATTTTATCAATGAGATGTTTATTTAAGAATACAAATATAATGATAAAAAGTATAGATCGAGTGAAAAACTCCGTGGTTGTACCTATCGTGTAGCTGTAACATTTGATCCGAACAATACGAAGCCGTTACCATGTTCTTTTTTAATTCTATACATTGTTCAGCTACCAAATGGTGGAATTGACTGGGAAGAAGCGATACCACTAAATCCGACTGTCCGACAAGCTCTCTCAGACAGTTTTCTTCCAGAACATTTATTTGTGTTGGCTGCACTCTATTAAATCTGGCCGCCAAATTGTTGGCTTCACTCATATCCACGGAACCTGAAACACTAAAAGTTTAATACGAGCAAAGATCGATTCCGTCTTGTGTATTATTGTAGTGGGGATATCGAAGTGTTAAAAGGAACCTATGCTACTGAATCGATTTACTCAAATCGGCCGGGTAGTTCTAGAGATTACCTCCTATTAGCTTACAAGTTTACCTCTTTACAATATAAAGAAAGATGTCAAGTAAATAGTATCCTATGATTTCTCTGTCTGTCTGCCTATCTGTCTGTTTAGCAAAGTGTTACCATGACAACCATGGCGACCATCGATATTATTATTATTATTACTAATGTGCAAGTTCTTTGAGAACTTTTTTTAAATATTAAAGGTACTTAAGCGTCAAAAGGGAAGAGTGATTGTGTTTCAGATGTTATAACTTTATAGTCTTACCAAGTACAATCATTAGTGAATCGTTTTTTAATAGATATTCTATTAAAGGGGCGCACACATGGCCAGAACCAAGTACCAACACTCTTTTGCCAGGATGATCGGCACTGGACGACTCGAAGGAACTGAGTCTGTTGGCCAATCGTAACTCTTTGATGTATTCAAATCGTTCTGTCAGTGATCCGTTGCTAGCAATAATAGCCTATAATAATAGCGAAATATGTATTCATAATTAATTAATACCCTTGTTATAATACGTTATAATAATTAGTTTACCCCTAAAACTGCTGGTGAAAAGGTGTGTTCTTCTAATGGTTTAGTTGCATCCGACTGAAGTATGTTCATGGCGTAGGATAGTACTAAGTTTCCAAATAAATCAGTAGATTCCATAGGTAATTGCGTCGGCATATTGTCAATCGAACAGACCAAAACTCCTGAGCCTCTGAAACTATTTGGCCGTGTATAAGTGTCATCGTATTCAGAGTTATAGATAGGAGAGGGGGGTAGGTTGCTGAACGTTGTAAAATGTTTTCAAATTTTAAGAGATTTTCATTGATCAATTCGGTGCAATATAAACCATGTAACGTCCAAAAACGACCATTTCCCGTTATCAAAGGACGAGCATATCTACAATCGGTACGGTCGACCGGTTAATAGATTGCGCCCGCGTCGACGGATATGTTATGTCATCATGAACAATAATTCCCCACCCCCCGCGCAAAGGTTTATGCGATCGCAATCTGTTGCAATTCGCAATAATATTATATTTCTGACTACGGGTTAACGGCCAATCATATCACGTCTCCTCTTATCGCCAAAAACGTCGGCCAAAACGTGTACCACGAACGCCTCCGCGCTCCGCTACCCAGTTTTCATTCTTTTGTTCGTTTCTTTTCTTCTTCTTGATTAGACCTCGTCTCGAGACTTTGTCACCAGACGGTCTTTCGATACAGTTCTCTTAAAAAAATACTGCCGTGTATTGCACGAATTCGCCAGTTTTTGCCGCCAAGAAAAGGTCGTCTACCTTGGCACGATTTATGATGGTGCCTCGAACGAATCAATGAAGTGAGTTCCGATCTGGTCCGCTGGGCAGACATCTTCGGTGGAACAATGGTAATATGTATGATTTTATAATTGACCGATACCCTGTCAGATAGTTAATTAAATTTTAGGTAATTTAATTAAGATTTCTCCGTATGAATGAATATATTTATATAAAATGTTTTCTATTTCGCATGTTAAATCCGTCCGATATACTTATGGGAATCAACCAGCTAGATTTGCGTGTCCGTCTTATTATGCTAATCCCCGCGTTCTACATCCTAAGTGCGATAGGCCAACCCCCCCCCCCCCCGTATTTTGTTGTTTTCTCTTATTTTCTATCCCCTCTAAGTGCTAGGTTTCGCAGCCACGCGTGTGAGTATCCAAAAAAGGAATATATATATATAGATTGATTTACTCCCATTTCGCGATCAAGATTCGGACGCAACTCTCAGGTTCACCTGTAGGGCCACCGAAACTACGGACCAGTTAAGATGGAACAAAAAGCGTTTCCGCTACCCTTCCCGGTGGTAATCTGTGCGATCTGGCAACCGCACATTCCTACCGGGGTCTCCCCAATACATAAGGTGCCCACGAACGTTCCACGTGGGGGTTCGTCTTCGTCAATACCCATATCGATCAGCACACACACGTGAATGTGGATTCATCCTTACTCATAAATATAAGTCCCGGCCCGCACATTCCCCGTGATGCCACTATCTACGTCCGGACAACACTTAAGGCTGGTTGACGACCCAGTCAATGTACATATATATTTATATATGCATACATATATATGCGTATATATTTAAAATATAAATTGTCTGTAAATATTTGTTTATAAGCCTATATATATATATATCAGTGTTATAAATCGTACCTATTATCCATTTTTTCTTAATTAACAGTTTTTATGCTCTGGGCTTTTCTGTTATATAACTTAAATTTTACTTTTGATTTATAAATTAAATAATTAATTATATACTTTCCCCCAAGAAAACCACGTGTTTACATATTTAAATTCTCTTTTTTCTCCACAAAAATCCTAGAACTCCGGTCTTTGGACCTCGGTCCTAGGTTGGCGACCTTCCCACTAGGCGGGTAGTCAGCTGGGCGCTCGGGTCGGTTCTCCAACTAGGCCGACCGAACCGGGACGTCTCAACCAGATGATAAATATGTATACGAGCCTTATTTATTCTATAAATACCTACTATATTTTGGAATTTAAATCCACTTATCAGACAAAAATTATAATTATCTTGTGTCAAATTTTTGAATACTTTTGAGAAATCATAACCAATTTTATAAGTATCTATATAAAATCTAAAAAAAAATTTTTAACTATTTATAGCTACACAACAATCGCCAAAATGTTTTGAAAATTGTACTATGTGTAGAAAGAACCAGTTTAATTATTTTATAAAAATGACAGGTTTGTACGATTATTTTTAACTGAATTGCAACAAAAAACAATATCGAAAATAACAGAAATTGTTATGTGCTTAAATATTCTCGTGTCTCCGACGGTTTTTTCCTGTTTTTCTTAATAATTAAGAAATTTACAGAGAAAAAACACATGGTCCTCTTAATGAATTAACTAGATACAATTTTCTACCAGAAACCACTACTGAAGTTGATACAATATTCGTAACAATAGACTACATAAAGAATTCTAAAAACAAAAATATGCTGCAGGCTTATTCGCATTCATAATCCATAATATCTATAAAGCTACACGGTTACATCTAATCACCGTCAAACACAACAATGAATAAATATAATTTTTTTTAAAAACAAGTTTTTGTTAGTTTTTGTTAATATTTGTTTGTAATGTCCTAATCAGGTGGAGTATAAAACAACTGGTTTCTTGATTAGTGATATTACACAATGTAATAATTATTATAATTAGTTTATCCCACTTACAACAGCTATTATCACCGTCAGTAACTACTATTTCAAATAAAGTATTTGACCCTAACATCCATCTATTAAAAATTTAGACGCTAAGTGGTATTAAATAAAAGCTTTTGATAATATATAATATATAGTACATACCTGTTGGTGTCTTTGTGAAGATGGGCATCGTACAGACAAAATGGGTTGTCGATAGTCGTGCATTCGTTCATGAACTCGATGGAGCCGCCGGGGTCAGCAGATATATCACAGATCCCGAGTAATCTATGAGGTAATCCCGGCGCACCTTCCGATATCGGTATCCACGGGAGTTGGGAAGGAGTGAGTAAAGATTTTGCGTCCGGTACTGTCAACAGCTTGGGACAGTCCCGAGCCCAATATATCCCGTTGATAATGACCGAAGCATACGGTGCGATCTGTACGTTGAAATATTAGCGCGTATAATACAGCAACAACAAATTGTATAATATTAAAATATATCCTATTTATTGTAGGGGAAAAAAATCGAACCTTTTTGTTGAATGTAGATTTGTATTTAGACGGATATTGTTCGTATTCTTCTTGGTTGTAGTCCCCGTCCTCGGTCCTTTCTAAATAGTCCTTCCGCGTGACTACACACGCGTAAAACTTTGTGCTGGCTATAAATTGATAAGTAACACGATTTGCACATTAGTTCAATTGCATTATAAAACGTAGTATTTACGATGAATGACGAAACATATTAATGGACGTTTGTTTATTTATATTAGAGTTGGATGCATGTACACATATATTTAATATATTACCAGTAATTTATCTCAAACACAGTGGCGGTGCCAAGTATGTTTAAATACTTGAATGCTTACATACTTGAATCGCCAATCTCATTTCCCCCCCTTATCCTTTAAATTATACCGCTTCTAACCGCCACAGTTCAAACATATTTACCTATATCGGCTGTATGCATTATTCATTAGTGATTTGAAATTTGTTTTTATTAGTCTAGTTATATTTTTTTTTTTAAATAATTATAATTATTGTAATCAATTTATAACCTGGTAACTATTGTCTATTATATTACATACTACAAACGTAGAAAATTATCGTTACGAGTTTTCTATTATGTATTCGAAATGTGTTTTCTATCTGCAGTTATTTGTCTAGTTATCCACCTACCTAAAACATATTTAATAATATTATGATTTTTTTCTTTGCAATTCTTTTCAACATGGAAATCGTATATATATTTAATAGGCTGTTAAACAGAGATAAGGAGCGCTTACTCTTTAAGAATTTAATTGTGGTATAACCAAAACTATACTGAAAAGTTAAATTAAAAACTAAATAAACGCGGTTGCCATTAAAATGCCCGAAATGAATGTTTTGGAAAATACAGATAATTTATAACTAAATAATTCTCATTGAAATTATCGTTATATTTTGTCATTATGTTTTAAAATATAGTTTATAAAATTACCCCCGTGTTCTGCCACTTTTTGAAGCATAGATGGTGGTACGTATTCGTGCGGTAATTCTTGAAATATTTCTTGTGCACCCTGAGATACATTTCCAGACCTTAAGAAAAAAAAAAAATCTTATTTGTAAAAATCGATATCGCGGTTTGTTTTCATTTATAATCAATATAACGTATTGTCAAGCGAACTATTACAATTATAACTATGCAATTATACCCCGTAAAGACGAATGTAATGGGCCCAATGGACTTGGGCATCATGCCTAATGCAATCTCATACCCGGCGTCCCTTAGAGCCTGTCTAGCCATCATCGAATTACGGTAGTTGTGAGCCGGTCCAATGTGCTGTATACAGGCAATTAATGGTTATTAAAAGTAGGTAATAATATTATCTATTTATCGGCGTGAATGTAAGCTGCGAACAAATTAACCTTTATCTCAAAATCGATGTGTAAATTGTGACAGAAAAAAAAAACCAAACTGCAATAACACTGATAAGGTGTACATAGTAGTACTAATTACGATAATCTTATACTATAATTTATTATAAAACATAAATGTTGTAAAAAGTTATTTTACGGCACTTGCACTTCTACTGACAAGTGACATCTAACATAAAAATTAATATCAGCATTTTAAAACCGATAATTTAAATTTCGTACTTATACGTTACACCTACTCGAATATGTTATACCACAAAAATCATTTTTAATCGGTTAAGTACTGTTACAAATTTATGATTTTCGATTGGTCTTGATATCCAATAGTTGATTATATAGACAGACAATTGTTTTTAATGGAATTTCAGATCGTGTTATTACTCTTACCTAACCCTATTTAATATGGTGTTTGTCCACATTTATGGCAATTGAAAGGTCCAATGCGACAACCCCATAATTCCACATTTTGGTAATTCGTAATACTTGTAATATGACAAAGAAAAATAATTATACACAAGTGGATGCAACAAAAGTAGGTAGTTTTTACAGTATACTTTTTACATTGACATTAGAAAAAGGTTAATTTAATCGTAGTTTACAATCTTCCATTTTCTTGAACGACGTATTATAAATATTTATCAAATTATACCATTAGCGGTGTGTGGTGGCCCAGAGCCAGTAATCTCAATCCTAAGCCATGTAAAATATTTATTATGCCTGCGATTCCGGCGTATTTCCCAAAAGCCACGACTCTTTGGCCGGATGAATCCATTAATTTTTCATAATCTATTAATCGTATGTTCTTCGCGTGAAACAATATAATACACGCATTAATATCATTGTTACAGGTATGAGTAGTAGAGTGGTGAGTTTTGAATTTTGAAGTCGATTCAAGTATTAATTTTTATGAGTCAAATCGAGTTTAAAATGTATACTCGATTCGACTCGTCAAAACTCGAAAAGTCAAGGACTTGACTAACTCTAATAAGTAGGTACTGCATAGGCGTAACTAGGGGTATGTTGGGGTGTCTTTAGTATTCCCAAAAATATCCAATATGTATTTTTATAGCATCGACTAAATATTTTATACTTAATTATACTTAATTATGCATAATTAATAAGCAGAATAAATAAAAATTTACCTACAGACAATGCATTTTTATATAAAAAATTGAAAATTAAATGTGTTGTTGCTTATTATAGGTTTCATGTAAAGGGGATTGTGAGGAAATCGCCCCCATTGGTCTGTAATATGTCTATAATTTTAGCATCCCCAAAGTTGTTCTAGTTGCGCCTATGAAGTAAGTACTGCGAATGTGAATAGGTTTTTTTTAAGACACATTATGAATACGATTATTGAAAACAGTATTTAGTTACTTTTTCTAAAATGGCGTCGAGAAGCGGCATGTTCGCCTCTTGCGCTTTGATCGTGTGCGAAAACATGCAATACGTTTTGTTCGGTAATAACAAATCGATAGGCACTTGTTTCACGCCAAACACCACCGACGCTTCTGAAATGTCTTCTTGTATTACTGCTCCGGCATTTACATACGCCTGTATTCAATCACCGCCGATTAAATATCACCTATTCGTTTTTATTTATTTAGGTCAACGGTCCCAACCTTTTTAGTTGCGTGGACCACCAATTTTGTAAAAAAAACTTTGAGGCCCAATAAAATAATATACAGGTAAAAATAAAAACACCTATATAGGTATTTTATTAGTATGCACATTATATAATATATATATATATATATATATATATATATATATATATATTATATAATGTGCATACTGCACATACGTCAGTAATTGAGAAAATGTACCGTACTAGAAAATTTAAAAAGTAATTTTTGTAAAAAAGAGTAGCATATTATTGTATTTAATTTATAAACAAGTGGTTAAAGTTAAATTAAAATCAAAGCGATTTTTGACATTGTTTTTCTCTCATGAAAGAGTCGATATCGGTTTGTTTAAGTATATTTCACATGCCCATATTCCACCTCAAGCATGACAAAATACTATAAAAATGACAAAAATATTCTAAAATACTTGATAAGAAAACGACAATCAATAAAATTGTACGATAGCGATAATTATTTGATTATTACTAAATCTCGAACGAAATATAGATGTTTCTCCTTACTATATACAGGGTATCCCACGAAGATATCCCATTTCAATATCTTCTGAGATAATACAATTAACCAAATTTTGTTTTTTTTTTAATATATATATAACTCGCAGGAATAAGGATTACAAATATTTATATTATAATTAAATTTTATGCTGAGGTAAAAAAACTAAAAAAATACCTTTTTTGTTTATTATTTTTGAAAAATTTGAAGATAGCCATTTTATAGCCATTGTATTTTTCTAAAAATGTTGACGTTTCAATTTTTTATTTTCATTAAATTTGTGATTTTCAATAATTTTTTAAAGTTCAGAGAAAAGTACCAAAGGTATTATACGGCAAGCTGAAATCGAATTTGCAAATTGATTATTATTATTATTATTATAATTATGGCTACTTGATTGTACTCTTTTAGATTCTGGTTGGAGCGAGAAATGTTTTGGTTTTACAACGATGTTTTCTTTTTTCTTTTTATACTGTGTACACAAATTCTATCAGAAATCTTACTCTGATGTTTCAAGTGGTGTAGCACCTTTTTCGAGAGGGAATTTTATCTTGTTGGTACTTTTTGAAGGTTTTTTTTTTTGATTTTTAGAGTTTTGAAACTTGAATAGAAAACTTAAAATATATGATTTTTTTAGACGCAGTGAAATTTTTAAAACATTTCAGTCTTCTTTGAACTATTTATAGATATTTAAGTTACGTAATTTTTATACGACGATATTCTGTGGATAAAATTGTTAGACCGAACAAACATGTTTGAACATTTAACAAGAGTTTCATTATAAGTTATACTTAGTGGTAAATAAGAAAAATTAGAGTTTAATGTAATATATTTTTTTTTATACAAATTATTTTAATATCAAATTTTGACGAAAATCGTAAATATGACCTATGGCTTTTCAAAACATGTATAACTGAACTCCTCTCAGAATAGTTTTTCGTTAGCAATAATTAATCATTACATAAAGATATACATTAAATTTCTCTCTATATCATACCTTCCCAATACTCTTCACCTACAACAGTGATTTACCCATCGTGCAAAGTATATCCATTTTTTTTTCTCTGTCCTCCGATTTTTTATTTTTTTATTTCGAATTTAATTAAAATAAAATGTTAATTACTTTATAATTTTCAGACGAATATAAATTTCAAATTTTTTAAAAATGATTAAATAAACCAAAATTTAAAAAATTAATTGAAATATCAATATTTGTAATCCCGATCACTGTTAGTAATATAAAAAAAAAAAAAACAACAGAATTGTATTATCTTAATTATTCCAGGAGATATTGCAATGGATATATTATTAAATATATGCATGAATATATTGAAATCGGTGTTCAGAAATAATATTGTAAATGTATATCAGGGGCCTATAATTACATCGGCTACCCAGTAAAAATTCGTTAGTCGATTTTAACAAATTTTACAAAACTGTTAACAAAACATCAAGGAAAATCAAAAAAAAATTACCTCCACAATAAAAAAAAAAAAAAAGATTAAAAACGTAAAAAGAAAGTTTCTGTAAAGTTTTTGATTGGAGCAAGATTCCTGGTAGAAAAGTTGTTTACAGAAACATAAAAAACAACTTACGAGTTTTTGCTCGGTAGCTGAATTATGTAGCTGTAGTATACAGGTATTTAGAAAATATCGAGAAAATAAAACGAAAATTCGTTTTAGCGTCAGACTACGTACCCATATACAATGCGTAAAATTGTTTAAGACGACGTGAATATAATGTTGTTGTCAGGGGTCAAGGAAATTAAATTATACAATTATAATACAATCGATTTTCGCCGTGTATTCGGCATTTTAAAGTAATGTGTTTTCTTACACACACACACACACACACACACACATATATATATAATATAAATATACAATTTCATTATTTAACATTTTAAAGTTGCATAGGTTTTTTCTCCGGACCGTTAAATTTACTGCAATGTCACGGATCGTTCCCGTCGCTAAATATTTCTAACACATATTATATTATTATAATATGGTATAATGTATAAGACATTTCGCGGAATAACACATTTTCCGTACCATTACGTTTTTGTATTAAAAGTTAAAACGTTACATTTTCGACGTAGGTTAGTATGCGTACAGGTATATATTATTATATTTATATTATATTATGTACTTGAACAGGATAAGCTCTTCTGTTAGCCGGCTGAACAATCACTTTGACACCGTTTTTGGTCAGTTCGGCCACATTGGCCGGTGCGAGCGGTGCTCGCCTTTCCCATACGGATTGATCTTCTCTTCGGATAGCTATGACTTTCCCGGTCTTTGGGAAATATTTATAAACACACATTATTTATACGAGCATATTGGTCCATACGAACTAGAAATATTATATTTTACAGTTTCTTACGTGTTTTTTTCGAGCCAGCGTGAAACTACCACTATAAAATTTATAATTCTTTAACATAATTTAATTGAAATTGACAAATGAATATTAGCACGTTTACACTAGGAAGATAAGTAGGTATATGAATTGTTTGTGTTTCTAGAAATTATGTATTGTACGAGGAAATATTATTATGTTTTATATAAAATTGCGTCTTTAACTATTACAATTAGATTGGAAGACGTTCGTTTACTTTCTGATGTTTTGTTCGAATAAACTAGGTAACTAGAAAATAATCAATGAAATAAATACATCATGTGTTCAGCATTATTTTAGTTAAGATAAAATTTGATAAAAATAAAATAACCGGGGGGTACCTATACTTTGTAATTATTATGATTTTATAACGAAGATCAAAGTCCTCTTATCAAATGTTTTAGTTAGATATAAAATATTTACATCGAGAAAAAACACAAAATATTAAATTATTAAAAAACTATTGTGTTGGGTATTAATGATACCATTATTATTCTTAGTATTTAATATTAGTATATTACTATTTTAACGAGTTTAGATTACATAATTAATATAATACGTATTTAAATAAATTTAATTTAATTTGTTACAACAATATGTCTTGTAGGTATAGTAAATCATTAACCTATATTATTTATAAGTTATAATAATCATAAATAATTCAAATTATTTTATATTTGTTTGTAATAATATGTTAACACATGTATTAGGTATGATCTTTAGCCCAAATAAACAATAATTAAAAACATATTAGTTCTTAATACTTAAGTATATTATAAAAAATAAATTATCGATTTAAAAATATAAATAGGTACTAAATATATAGAAAAAAAAAATGTAATTGTACTTACTGATCACCTACACATATTTTATTATTATTATTAGTTTATTATTTATATTTAGATTATATGACTGAATTAAGTTTTCTTCATATTATATAATTAAAAATCGAAAAAATATGGTTTGTGTATTTAAAGACTTTAATACTTTATTTTTGTTGGAAAAATAAATTTATAGATTTGTATAATAGGCATTCAAATATTTTTGTCATTCAAAAAAACGCTCAAAATATTTGAATATTATATAAATCTTTATATATGGATGCTTTATTTAAATATATAATCGTTGATAATTTTAGGATTATTAATTTTGAATTTACAGCAAACAAATCTAAATTGTTTTGGTTAAAAATATGTTTGTCATTCGTATCTCATTTTTGATAATTTCTTTTTTTGTAGGTACGTAAATTGTTGAAATAATTGAAAAAAATTCCATTACATTATAAACTTAATTAAACTCACTAAAATAGATAAAAAAAATTAAAACCCTTGGAATACTTCAGTATTTATGAAATACTCGGATTTTTTTAAGGTTTTAAATTTTTGTACATAAATATCATCACACATACATCTATGAACCTGTTAATCATTTATTCAACAAAATACACATATACTGGATGGTAATTTTGATTCAGAAATATATTATAAAAATTATATTTACTTGAGGCCAAGTCACTCCTTTCAACGCAGCGATGATATTATTGTCGGAATCAAAGATGCAATTTCGTGCTGCATTTTCGGTACTCTCATCATCATCGACAATATCATATTGTGTATAACACGGTTTTTTGTTTAACATTTTGAAAATTAATTTTTCATAAGGTCTTGAGGTTATAAAATGTGGCTAAAAATTAAACGTTAATTCATTGAATCAATTGATGTAAATAACTTTTTTTTTATCCTTACTTATTATGAGTTGTAAATTAAGTATATCGTTCAATACTGTTATTTGTAATCAAAAAACTGACTAACAAAAGTTTTTGTTTTAGTTTTATCTTTTAAGTGTTTATAATCTAAATTATATGGATTAGGTACAAAGATAAAATAATTCATTAACTTCACTTTTATTATCTGAATAAAGTCAATGTGTTCTAATTTCTTGATTTGCGTAGGCAAATTATACGAATATCACAATATTTATCTCGATACTTTCGTTAATTAAACTGCTCGGATATGAAAGAATACGATTATCTTTAGATTCTGAAGAAATATTTGTTTTATTTGTTTTAGTTTGAGCTATAATTCATATTTGATATTTGGATTTAAATTATGCACATTATTTTACTTTTGAGTTAAAATCAATAAAATAGGATTAGGCGGTTAAATATTATAGATATTGTAAAAATCGAAACAAATAAAAACTTTGTTGTTGTACGATTTTTAGTTTAATATTTAAGTAGATTGTACAGTTCTAGACTCTTGATATAGCTAATAGTTACATTTTCCTTTTTAAAATTAATATAATAATCTGTATGTATTGTTTATTATGCAACTTTTGTGTATTTTAAATGCAATCAATTAAATCCGGTCTTTAATTATTATATATTATTATTATAAATATTATTTATTTTATTATTAGTTTTAGTTAACTTTTTATGTAATAGATAAAATTTGAATACCTAATTTATTTTAATATATTCAATTTACATTAACCGTAAACCGTTCAAATTACAATATTTAAATTTTGTCATATAAAAATCGAAAATTGCAACTAAAATGTATTCAATGTAGATATGTGTAATGGACATTCCATAACCTTTAGTTTTTACCACTTAGAAAAGTTCAAACATTGTGTTACATGTTGTATGTATAATTATTTAAAGTAGAATATATTTAAATACATCAAACTATACATTTTATAGCTTATGAGTTTTTAATAATTTATTTTAACGTATTCAACACCAATAATCGGTTTGAAATAAAAATAATTTAAAATGGTATAATTTTTATTTATAAATTCAAAATTATGACATTTCAATGTGAATTATTTTTTTTTTAATAATATAATACTTATACATAATATATATTTGTATATATGATTATATTAATAATATATATTTTCTATAAGTCCAGTCTTGGGATTTTTTCGGAAATATGTATTTCAATGTTTTTGGGCATGAAGAATCTATTAATCCGAGCTTCTTTTTTGGCAAAATTTGGTTTAAACAGAGTACCGAAATTTCGCGACTTCGTTTACCGTCGGCAACTTTCGATTAATCGCCAAATTAATGATAATAAATTAATCTTTATAAATAATATGACGATGACACCGTTGTCAGATAGTTTAGTATTAATTTTAGAACTATAATTTTGTTAATAAATGTTACGTAAAATGTACGAAAAATCAGAAATTTACGATGTGGATCACTATGAAATTTTTTCAAATTTTTTTTTACATTTAATATTGCTCTTATTTATGAGTAGCACCTTTTCTGAAATAAAATTTTGTCTAGTTGGTAGTTAAGAAATAATATTTTTCAAATAATTTTCTTAATAATTGTAAAACACCGAAAAAAATCAGGGAAGTTTACGGAAGTAACAGTTTTATTATTTTTAATTTTGTTTTTAGATTCTGTTTTTTTTTAATTCTTTGGAACGAGGAATGTTTTGGTTTTACAAAGATTTTATTTTTAAATTATTTTTTATGTGGATAACTTTTTTTACAAAAATCTTGCTCTGATTTTTAAGTTTAGTAGCTTTTCTAGAAGTAAATCGGACTAAGGAGGTACTTTCAAGAGATCATTTTTTGATATAAAACATCAAGGGGAGGGGCGATTTTAAAATTGTTGGGCCCCATACCATAATAACATATATTAAATAAAGGATAAAATTTGTTTATGGTCCTATCATAAACTACACATCATTTTCATTTTAAATTCTGAGTGGAGCGAAGAAGCTTATGGTTTTATAACTGTTTTATCTGTAGACAACTTTTATATCAGAGATCTTGCTCCGATGTATAAGATGTAGCAACATTTCTGAAAGAAAATTTTGTCGGGGAGGTACTGTTAAGAAGTTATTTTTTCGATTTGCTCCGGAGTTTTCCCAGCAAATATGAAAAACTGCGAAAAAACATAGGAAAGACGGGAAAATCGGTGAAATATTAAACAAATATTATTAAAGAAAATATATTATATAATGCCCATTTAATTATTTTACCACAATATGACATACATATTTTGTTGACAAAGCATTACTATTAATTGAACTCCGCTCAGAATCGTTTTTTCGTTAGCAATGGTATATCGTTGCTTGCCTACAGAACATATACCTAATAGTTGACAAAAAAGTAAATTCCAGGGGAGCGATCGCTCCCATCGCCCCCCATAAAAACCGCTACTGATTGATTATCGACAAAACAACACTATTAACCGAATTCCGCACAAAATTGTTTTTCATAAGCAATAGTTAATCGTTGCATACATATAGAAATACATTAAATTTCTCCTCTATTTTCCAAAGTTTCTCACCTACATCAGTGGCCCACCCATCGTGCGAAGTGTGTCTATCTTTTTATAATATTTACCTATAATTATACAGGATTACTTTTATTTGACACTTACTACTTTGTTTTTAAAATAACAAATTATTATTTACTCAGGTAGTGCCAATTAATATCTATCTCCATCTCCATCTCCAGAGATAATAGTGTTTTAACGAGAGTATATGATTTGCAATCATTATAATATATAATTTGAAAAATTATTGAGTATTTATATACATTTGTATTTATGTAGTCTAAAGAATTTTTTTTTAAACATTTGTATTAGTAACATATATTATTTTGTTATTTCAATTATTTATTGAAATATTAAATATTTGTTGTTTTTAATGTAGGCATACCCACTTTAGCGAGACATCAAGGCCAATATAATCCACAATGTGGTTCGCATAATTTACGATTATCGACTAATAATTACGAACTATATCCAAAGAAAACTAGTTAAATATATATATACATAATATTCAAAACACCTGGAAATTGTTGATAGATCACGCGTTACTGTTTACTGTATAATCTTTGAACTTTTTGATATAGCTTTGCACAAACATTTCAAATTAACTTGGAGTAAACAAAATATATAAAAATAGGTTGATTAGATAAATGCGTAAAAAAGTATAAAAATACATCTGTTTAAAATTGTATTTATTAATGCTATTTAAATTATGGCAAATTAAAAAGCGGTATTAAATTTTGGATTCGTTTCCAAAGTCATATAGTTAGGTTGTACACTAATTAATTAATCTTATTTTAAATCCAACGCCGTCATGGTAAATAAAACGTTAACTTGAATAATCATGGCAGATCTATTTTTCGATGATACATTTCATATACCTAGCAATTGATAACAAATCATCGATCTACTATATGATGAACGGTGAGAATCAATTTATATTGAAAGATTTTTTTCTTAAAATCATAAAATTAAAATAATATTAGGTGCACTCCGTGGATCATTATGGTTCAAGGGTAATTTTAGTTCGATAAGGTTTTCTGATAATATTAAAATAAAATAAACAAGATATCTTATTTTTAATATCGAGAATAGTTTTATTATAAATAAGTATTCTTTACATAGCTTGCGATTTTGATTTAACCGTAATGTGTATTCCACTTGTTGAATTTCGAACGAGATAAAGGGTTTTCTTTGAATCTTGTGGCTTTGGAGGTCTTTTGTCCAAGTTAGTTTAAATAATTTTTATATGTTATATTAGTGGTTAAAGAAAATTAGGAATAGAAGATGGTATTTCCCTTACAAATTGTTTATTCACCCGTTTTATTACAAAAATACGTATTTTGTAGATTAAATATATTTTCAAATTTATTAGTTATTATTTTGTTTTAATACATTGCCATTTTTTTTTTTTTAAACGAATACGAGCGAACAACTAATGACTACTTGAGTAAATTGTACAATAAATTGGACATAGTTGTAATAATGAAGAGTAGACGGATTGGATGGGCTGGAAATTTCTGGCGAGCAGAAGGAAGACTTAAATAAAACAACTTCGTGGATACCTGATAAAAAGAGGCCATTGAGACGACTGAGACAGTGAGGACGTGACCGTGAACTTCAGGACTTGATTATGATAGGGGTAGAGAATCCGGAAGAATGGGAACAAGATAGAAAAATATGGAAAAAAGTGGTAGTTGTAGCAAGGTGCCTAAACGGCCTATATTAAAAAAAAAAAAAATTAAAAGTAGAATTATTTATTTAGCCTATAAAAATAATTATAAAACATTTATTAATTTTTATTGACAACAAATTTAAAACAAGTTTAAAAATACGCGATACTTAAAAGGTCTACCTGCGTTCAGTGGCGTATTTACGGCTCTTAATAGCTCTTTGAATACATGTGTGTATTATTATATAATTAATAATATAAAGCTCTGTACGCTAAAATTCTTGTCATCAGCCCCCTACAAAAAATCCTAAATACGCCACTGCCTGCGTTGAATAATTTAAATTATTCCATGATAACATCTTAAAATATGTAGTATAAAACTGAAAGCAGTTAAACATTTTGGCGGCTTAAAACATTTTTATTTTAGGGAATAATGAAGGAATTTGTTACACGGTATAATTCATGGTCAGGATAATTCAAGCAAACATTTAATTAAATACAGTAATTTTTTAAAACCAGTTTTATTTAAAAAAACATATTTCCTTTTTTTTTTTTTTGGTACCTACGTAAATGCATTAATACACAAATGCATTCTTCCTTCTTAGAAATCATATTTATAGTTTCAAACCTGTTTTTATAAGATAAAACTCTTTAAAGTTCAACGCATTATTATTATACTATAGTATAAAAAAATTAGGTATACGTTTGGTAATATATTATAGATCTAAACTAGGAGATATCCTGTTTAGTCTCGCTCAACATAAACTTATTAAATAACCTAGCAAGCTACTATTTATTTTTATTTGTAAATATCCATTTGACAGTATTCAATATAAATACCTTATTTTAGTTTTATTATGATGTGTGATTTTTGAGATTCTAAGCATACACCGAGGAATGATTTGGTACTAGTATTATAAAACAAATTTTTGATGTCAACAATTTAATAATGAATTCTGCATGGGATTTTGTTGCAATTCTTGTTTTTTAAATAATTACTAACTTGTGTCAAAAAATTAGTCAAATTTTAAATAGTCAAATTCTTATAAAACAAACAGTTTTAATTTTCCCCTCTCCACCTTAAATAGCAATTTATTATTTTATTAAATACTTGAACAATATCTATTGAATCAAGATATGTTTTTTTTTTTTTTTATTCATATTACTCGCAGGGATAAGGGCTACAACTATTTATTTTTTGGTAAAAAAACTAAAAATATATATTTAATTATTATTTTCGAAAAAATTGAAGATAATCATTTCATAGAGTTTATTATTCTTCTGCAAATGTTGCCGTTTAAATTTTTTATTTTCATTAAATTTCCGATTTTTAATAATTCTAAGTTCAGAGAACTGTGATTAGTATAAAAAAAACCCAGAATTTGATTATCTTTATAATCTCCGGAGATATTACAATGGATGTATTTCTGTGGGACACTCTGTACTCTTTATATGTATACAAATAATAAAAACGCCGTCGATAAAGTATACTGTGTACCCATTAGGGGTTAATAATGTTACGAGTAATAATATATACTTTAATAACGTTTACAGCGGACGTTTTACATACGTAGGTACCTGCGTAAAATCAGCGTGTAAAATTATAAAATAATAATAAAATATTGTTATACAAGGAGACAATCGAACGCGGTTAAACACCAGTCTTGTCGTACAGATGGCGATCGCAGTGCATTAGTCATGTGGTCGTCCATGGGCGACGAGAAACCGTCAGTCAGTGCAGACCAGCGCTCGAATCGTTTCGCTGGTTCCCTAACGTTCCGCTTACTATCGCACTTGAATACGTTACACGCCGTCGCATTAATATTTTCAAATCGAAATTATTTATCATATAAAGGTATATATATGTAATTTTTTTCTCGTTTTGTTTTTTTTTGATTTTTTTTTTTTTGTATGGTGTTCTGTGCGCTCTATATAAATAAATAACAGAAAGAAAGACAAAAAAACGAAAAAAAAAAAGAAAAAAAAAAAGAAAAAATAGTTAAGAAAAAGAAGAAAATACGGTTAAACGACATGGTCGTCTGGTCCCAGTGTTTCGTATTAATAATAGGCCGAGAATGTCCCTTGGGCACCGCTCCAACGTGAAGCCGCCACTGTTGTTTTCGTATTTATCATAATAATATATATTATAATAATATCTAGATTTTTGTTAAAAATTTAATTTTTGTTTTGTTTTTTTTTTCTTCCGAAAGTGTATACAAAATTGAATTGTTACTATTTATCAATCCGTACGTAGATATTATAATATAATCCGGACTGAAAAAGAGAAAAGATAAAAAGATTTTTTTAAAAAGCTAATAACAAAAAAAAGTTAAAAAATTGTGTTATCGGCGGGGTCTATATTATACTATCGTAACGCATCGTGCCATCCTACAGGATAAGGATAACTATACAGTATTGTTTATCGTACTCGGTAATCCAGGTATCCAGCGAATCTGATGCATGGATACGTTGACCAGAAATATGCCGTCCAAAAAACAGTACAATCTCGTGACCAACGACGAGTACGACACGAGAATACCTATGCATCCGGAAGAAGCGTTCGAGCACGGTATTACATTCCACGCCAAGGTAAGATAATTTTTTTTTTTTTTCAATTGCTATTCTATTGGCACCGCCACCGCTGTATTTTATTTGCATCGTAAATTATGATCACCGCAATTTTCACCGATACACGTATTAGAGGGGTTCGATTATACGCTATACGCGTATACGTTTTCATTTGAACGGTTTACCGGTGGCGTGGCGAGCGTGTTACTAACCCTAAGCAAATGATTGGAAAACGGTCCAAAATTACCAGCGCATTTTTTCTTCCTTCAATATCACATATTCCTATAGAGGGCTAAGCAAACGTGTTAAGGGAAACGTCGTTCATCGGCACGTTAGAAAAATAATAGGGATTCGTTGGCGTTTTAAAGCGGGTGTAAGCCCCAAATACTGTGTAATGAACAATTTCACGTCGGACACGTTTTGATTGTCAATTAAACGCTCACTCGAATTTATAACAATGTTCGAATAATGCGTTTTGACGTTAGTAAATATATTTACTATTTCTACAGCGTTGATGGTTAATTGCCGGTATAGATTATTAATCGAACATAAAAATTGAATATTTTTTTTTTTTGGAATAACTCGTATATTACGCATCCATTTTGATTAAAAACCGATAGTAATTTTGCGTTTTAAACATTTCATTTAAGTTCACTGATTTAATAAATAGAAATATTTTTAAATATCTACCAGATTATAGTACCTATTATCACCATTATGCGTTGCGGTTTCGGGTGTTGGGTACAGGTTTTATTAGATTTATGTTCTTCTAGAATAAAATTATGACTAAACGATTGAATAGGTATTCATAACAATTGACGAAACAGGATGTACATTATTTAAATCATACCATTGCATTAGTGATTAAGTCTTAAATATAGGAAGAAGGGGCCAACGACACGAGCAATTTTATTGCTCTGATTGTAAATGACATTTCCTTCCTTTATCATGAAATAGATATGACATTTGCTTTAGTACCTACATGTAAAACTTATGTATTCAACGTGAAATAATGTACATTTTATATTTCACGTGGGATACTAATAAGAATGTTTCTTCTGCTTGCATTCATACTTTATGTAATGTCATAGTATACAGTTAATCGGTCGAAAGCCGGTATTATTTCATTATAATATTATATTGATTACGATATTGGTAAATGTGAAAAAAAATATAAATATTTTGTTTATGTATCAATTATCTATTCAATTAAGAATCGTTAAAGGACATTGAAATTATTTATACCTAAATCGAATAAATATATAACAATCATTTAATTTACGAGTATTTTATTATGCGTCATAATATATATGATGGCTGTATAAATTAAAACTGGCCGAGTTGTAGTTATAGTTTAAGTTTAAAAGAATATTATTGAACTACAATATTGTTATGATACATATTCAAGTGTTCTATACGGTTAATGGAAACTTGGACGTATAAATTAAAAATCCATTAACATTGGTTAATGCGTATAGGTACAGGATCATTACATTTTTATAAACCAACATAAATATACATTTGTTTTTAAAAAGAGCTGATACTGGGGATGGGTGTACCACTGTTGTAGGTGGGAATAGTTGGTCAGGTAGGATACAAAAATTAATTTAATTTATATCCGTACACATCGGTAAACCATTGCTAACGAAAAACGATTCAGAGTGAAGTTCGGTTGTACATGTTTTGAAATATCATCATTTTTACAATTTGCATTAACCCTTTAAGTGCGCAGACACTTTTTTCAATGACACACCCACAGATCTAGTTTTTATTTTGTTATTCTACCTCCCTCAATCGTCCTCCCATAATCTATGCATAGTATCTTGAAAATAGTTTAAAAAAAAAAAAAAAAAATACAAAAAATAAACAATAATAAATAAAAATTATCTTAAGAAAAAAAAATTTTCACATACCGCTCAAATTTCTTTTTAAATCACTAAAGTTAAACTTATAATGAACCTTATATTGAATTGTCAAACATTTATGTTTGGCTAAACAATTTTATTCATATTAAAACAAATTAAAAGTAAAAAAAAAAATTTAAAAATGTCGAACACCTATAAATAACACCTATAAAAGAACACCTATAAAAAAAACCAGATTATTTTGACTATTTCTAGAATTGGGTAATAAAATTATTCCGTAGAAATTTCAGATCACTACGATTATTTTTAACTAAATTGCATTAGAAACACAAAATTGAAAATAATGAAACCGGTAATATCGTAAACTTTCCCGTGTTTCCTACGGGTTTTCCTGGATTTTTCTAATTATTAAGATAACCACACCGAAAATCTAAAAATTACTTCCTTTCATACCAACTAGACAAAATTTTTTTTTAGAAAAGATGATATTCTTGAGCTTTAGAGCAAGATTTCTGATTTCTGAGAATAAAAATTGAAAATATTTCAAATAATAAAATCGTTAACGCCGTGTTTTCCCGTTATTATCCGGTGTTTCTGAATCATTATAAAAACCACTTAGGAAATAAAAAAGTGACCTCTCATATGCATTAAATAGATTAAAAATATAACAAAACGTTCTTTTGTCATTCGCTGAGTCTAAAATTAACGGAACTTTACTTATTTGAGAATAATATTTTAAAAATATAAATATTCTGATGACGATTACTATTTAGATGTGTTTGTATTTTTTAATAATTATTATTGAGTATACACAATTCACACAACGAAACTATTTAAAGTATATTTTAATAACAATTCAATAACTATATGTGCCCTTTACATATTATTTTATTGGATAAAATTGGAAATATTTCTATAGTTTGCAATTTTGTGTAGGCAAAATTTGTATTTAGCAGTATTGGAAATCAGTAATGACTAATATTGGTGTACATTATTCTAATTAAACTTGTTTAAAGTATATTTTAAAACTGGTTAGCAAAACTTAAAATGTTTAAAATAAATATTATAGTTAATATGCGTTCGTAAACCAATAGGTAAAATAAAAAAAAATCAACCATGTCATAATCTGACGAGTATTTTTTGACATTATTCCGTAAGAAAATTGGAACGGGACAATTAGTTATGGTTAGAATGAAAGATTCCATTAAAAATGAGATGATAAAAAATCAAAATCAAACAAAGTATTTTTCCACAATTAGATACGGATTTTTCCGAGTGAAATTTTTCACCATTCAAGAAACGCCGCCAAAGAAGCCACGGTAGAAGTAAAATATTATACAGCATCTGACGAGAGAAAGTATGCTGAATTGTGCACTTTTAATCGTAAAATGTGAGATTTGCAATATTTATATTTAAATATTAAAAAGAATGGGAATCTCGGAAAAAAAATATTCAACAACACTGGTCGATTATTTAAACAACTGGTTTTGTTTTTCAAGGTGAATCGTCTATCCGTTTAGCAACTTTGCTCATTATTATTCGTTTCGTAAACGTCAAAAATTCTATTCGATCTCATATGAATCATACCTACAATCGATGATGTCACATATTCACATCAATGAATGCGTGTGACTGTATAGTATTAATTATATGAATTTGAATAGATTTAAGCGATGATACATTAATGTAGGGGACGGAAATTTTGCAATTTTAGTCATTATTACTCTTTTGAATTTCACGTAATTATCATGATGCGAATAAAGTCTCAAACAAAGTTCCTATCGCCCACAGCAGTCCTATCGCATTTCTAAACCCGTATTCATGAGGTTTCACTTCGCAGGAAAATACTATTCGGTTTCCTTCCTGGTGATATAACAAAAAATGTGCTTTCGTTTATAAAAATAAAAAAAATGTCCTTGATGTATTTTAATTAATGGTCTGGTTTTTACAACCAGAAAAAAAAATGCTATCTCCCGGTAAAATTAAAAATGCACGAAAACATTTAAATAAGATGACATCGACATCAACTTTCTTTTGCTAATATGACTTTTAATTATACATCGTTATTATTATCCGGAAAATCGTTCCACTTATATCAATCGAGTCTCGAATGACGCACTCTGTCGTTATACTTCAGAGTTTCGACACACGTGGACAATTTAATTGGAACCGGTGACTCAACCATCGGTCTTAAATGAAAATCAATTTTGTCGACTAAAGTGATTGACCCGCTTCTATAAACCTTGTATGTATCAATAATGACTCAACCCTGTTGTGTATGTTTTGAACCACAAGTGTTGTTGTTTTTTTTTTTTTTTTTATTGTTGTTATTTTTTCGGGCATGTGTGACTTCCGATTTGTTTTTTCCTACCGCGTTTTTGCGAAAATCGCCAACTAACCGTGGCCTCAAGTATAAAGATGCCGATTTGAAAAGTACCGATGCGAATCAAGTTTGAATTATTGAACCCGGTGGAAAAAAAAAATCGCCCGGTACGTTGAACTACACTATATAGCATGAATAATGTACGAGTTTCTGAGACAAAGACATTGATTTTGATGTAACCACGTGGTTGTTTCTCGATTCAGGATTACGAAATGACCGGCCGGCTGGAATGCTATACCGTATATGTGATTACTGATTACCGAGTGTATTTTTTCCCTCCTCTCCTCTTTACCGTAGTCTTTTATTCTAGGTACATCTCAGCGTACGTGACTGCCGTACGCACGCCAGAACGGGGTAGCTGAAGGTCAATAACACGGGGCAACGATTTCTCGTTATTACCGAGTGCGGTACATCATAATGTTATTATATGTTCGAGTAACCCAGTACCTGCACAGTTATGTATTATTATATTTATTTAATTTAAATTCGAGATAATTCAATTACAGCGGTCCTAAATTGGAAATTTCTGGATCGTTTCAGTCGGAAAATTCGGTATATAGGAATAAGACTGGTCTGTTTCCCCTGCCTTACATTTTTATTTTTTTTTTTTTTTTATGTCCGATCGGTTGTTACGCTCTGCAGCTAATAAGAAACCGTACAATTATTTCGTGATTAGTTTCGGGAAAAATCGATTCAACGGGAAATAACGAGTTAACGGTTGAAATGCTTTCGGGAGCTTTATGAGAACTTGAAATATTCGAGAAAAAATAAAACAATATAGCGTATATATTTTTTAAATTTTACTATGTATACATATTAAAAAAATAGCAATATTTTTTCGGTGTCATAAAACACGTTGTACGATTTTGTATCTATAACAGACAGTATGGATTATAAACCGTGACGTATATATCCGTGTAATATACTATTTTGTGATCACCAGGGGAGGAGGAGGGAAGATTCACAACCAGATATTATGCATTTTTCACGAGTACTGCGCATAAGGCTCGCGTACTAAATGTATAAGTATTTAATAACGTTTTGTTAATTGATATATTTACGAAGGAAAGGTGTAGAGGGAGCACGCAATTGAACAGTGGATTCTCGGGGACCAAATCAAAGGTGCATTCGAAAGGTAAAATGCCGATTATCGGTATTTGAGAGCCGATTTAAACTCGTCCCGAAAAAAAATGCCAAACATATTGACTTGAACGGTTTAACGGGTAGGCTCTTTTTCCGCGAGACCAAAGATTTATCCATATAAAAAAATAAGACAAACTTGCACACACGATTTGTGTTATGAAGATGGAAATAATTATGTTATTATTTGTTTTTGTGCGCATTGCTTACGCGATACTTGTAAATGTTATTTTGCCGAAGACACGGCGTTACATAGGTGCGTGTTACCGCCTATGAAGTAATCGTTTTTGCTCCGTCCGTGTTCTGTAATCCGCTATGTAATGTTATGTGTAACGAAAAAACATTACGTTTTTTAACGGAAAAATGTATTATTTTCTTTTTGTACCGTTGTCGTACCCGCATCGTAATATACGTTTCGTTTCAACGTAACCATTATACCGTGTACCCATTTTTATCGTGCCGGTCGTAGTGAAATTCGGTAACGCATTAGAAACACGAACCACTTCTCCTCGGCGTCGTCGCGGGTAACATAATAATATTGTGCATCGGACGTTCGGTGTACAAACGCCATTACGGATTGTTAATATTCCTGTACGTTACGTTATAACGACGTGCATATACGTCGGAATTCCGTCAGTTTTCAAGTGTACACCGTACGGGCGCACGCGTACGTAAATACGACGCGATCGGTTTCCGATTCGAATTTCCGGCCGTGTTTCGCACGCGTCGCAGGTGTATATTTATGAAGTGCCGACGACGATAATCTGTGCCGGGGTAATCGAAATCGCGCGCGTCTCTGTTATGACGGCGCGGTGCGCCGCCGGTGAGTCGGTCGGTCGGACGGACGCGGGCACACCGCACACACGGCGCGCACACGTGGAATCGAATGTTACGCCATCGGCTCCCGGACGCCGCGGTGCAGGTACGCCCGCGAACGGAATTAGTGGGTTTCGTTTGGGTTCCGATGTCCGGTGCGCGACGCGTAATCCGCGGCGTAAACTGGGAAAAAAACAAAAAAAAAAAATAAATGCCGTTTTCGCGGACAGGCGTAATATAATCGGCGGACGAAACGAATGGTCCGTGATCTTTATGAGTTTGTTTCGACGTTTGAACTCGAAACGCTCGCACGGAAATAAATCACGACATTACTCTAAACAGTATTTTTACCCCCCATTAAGCGGTACGACTGGTTAGCATTTTTACGTGGCTAAACATAATGGGTTTTGTTTTTTTCTATTCAATCCCGTATTGGTAAAAACGGTGTAAGAGTAAACGTTTTTATGCATTTGTCCGGGAGGTCGAAATCTCAACCTCTCCCCCCCCCCTCCTCGCCCTTATTTACAACCGCGTCGCGAACGAACACGTATTTACAGCCGCCTGACCGCGTCATCACTGCCTTTATATGTATCTCCCGTCCCGCGGAACGACGATAAAAGTAGTTGGCCGCTCTCTGGTTGTATGGGCTCTCTCTACTTTGGACAAAATTCGAATTTTCGCCTCATACTTTACTCCCCTCATCTCTCGATTCAGATACGATTGATATACAAACCCGTATTGCCGTCGAAAAAAAAAATAAATACGATTGACGTTCGGACAAATAATAGCGTTTGTGATTATATTATAAAATACAAATAAATTTGAATAAAACATGCATGACGTGTAGTATGCGTAGACAGACGCGTTATTAGGCGTTGGGCAGGCACACGCGGCACGTGCAGAAGGCGAAAGCGTTACGGGCCGGGAAGAAAATATTCGCCGCGACGCGGGCTTTTCACCGTGAAAATCGCGTCGTCGTCTCGTTTTGTACACCGCGTCCACGCCTGGACCCACCTCAGAAACAATATCGCATTGTACTAGAATATCCGACTGTCGTGGTAGCTAGAGCGCAGGAACTTTCGGCGGGTAGGCGCCTATTTGTAAATAATAAAATCACCAATAAACCGCGAAATTTCCCCGTTTCGGGTATACCCGTAACGGGACATAAAAATCCGGATCGAAAAAAAAAAAATTGTATCCAAGTTTTTCCTCGCACCTCGGCTGCCGCTGCAGTACGCGGCGTACTTTTAAGATATCACCGAATAAACAAGTTGTTGGGTGTTTAAGGCCGGGGACGCGAACGGCACCTCTCACCGCCTCCACACGCCCCGATGCCACCTGACGGCCACCGACGCTTGCGGGTCGTTAAACGTGAAATTCTCGCGGGGCGAAGCGCGCGTCCGTAAACAATAATTTATGGGCAGTTTGTATTTGATATTTGTATTATTATTGTTTTTATTTTTCTGCCCCTCGCGCAACGGCAACGGATGCCCGCGCGTCCGGCGCGGGACGTCGCCAGCGCTCGATCGGACCGACGACGACGGCGATAATAATAATAATAATAATAATAATAACAATTATTAAAAAGTCATTGTGGCGTCTCGTTCCCGGACGGCGCAGCAGCAGCGACAGCTGCATGAATGGGTTCGTTGTTGTTTTTTTTTTTTATTTAATATAATAATAATAATAAAACACTCGTGTATACGTACAGGTAGGTGGGTACCCACATCGTGTATACCGCCGCCGTCGTAATCTCGTACCGTGCGGTACGTAAAAACGCGTTCGTTTCGTCGTGTATCGAAAGCGGCGGATGCTTCAAGGTCATTCCGCATTCCCCGGAGCTCTGGATATACGACGACCACGACCGCGACGTCGTGGGTATAAGCGCGCGAGTAAAAACGCACTCACCGAGTTACTATAATATAGCTAGGCAGCATAGTAAGACGACGACGACGACCAGGCCTAGAGAGAGAGAAAGAAAGCGAGAGATATAGAGAGATAAAGAGACCGAAAACACGTCTTCTTCGTCTTATTTTTCGTGTGGCCGGGTTCTAATAAAATTATTATTATAATGATATACGTATATGTTAAAAAAACGTATACACGCGGCGTTATTATGTAAAAAAAAAAAATAAAAAAAAAAAATATAAAACAAGAAAGGTGCCTTCCCCGACTAGTCCGACTACACGTCCATATGCTCGGCGCGTTGGTGTAGGCATGCTGCAGCTACCACGCTGCACCTGCTGCAATCTGCAGGCTGCACTTATGAGTTTATCGTCGTATCTATCGCGTACAATAACAATAATAATAATAATGAGAAATATTACCTAACGAATTATTTTATTTTTTTATCGTCGAAAATCTGGCACGTGACGGCGTCGGCTTTTTGGGAGGGGGACTTGAGACGACTGACCGAATGCAACGCGTTATAATAGGTTTCATTTTATATTCAGTATGACGGTAAACTGTAACAAACGTATGGCTTTTATTTCGAGTCACGAGAATCGTATAAAAATTTTACCAGTATCAGTGGCGGCGTAACGAATACTAGTTTTAATAGGTTTTTAAAACACGTCAAGTGCCACGAGACCCGAATGGCGGTCGTGCCCGTCATTGACCAAAGAGCCACGGGGTTTTGCCATGAGTTCCGTGTAATAATTTCGGAAAACAATTGTCCAAACGATTTTAAATTTTAAAAAATTTAATAAAAAATATCAAACAACTTATTCCGTTGCTACGAATACCAATATTAAGTTAGTTCTCGAGACCACCCTACGGTTTTCGGTACGAATAATGCAGCCACCCTTCGAAATTTTTCACATTTCAACAACTGAGCAACATAAAATAATATTTTTATCGCGGTTCTATAAAGTTTCACGCTAGCTGTCGGCTGTCACACCTATGATGTACACGGAGAAATAATGTATTGTTATCGGTCAGTGGCGCACTCAAGGGAGGTGATGTGGGTGATATTTTAAAGATTACATCACCTCCCTGCCAAACGGGGCCAAGAAACCTGACCTTTGTTTTATTTTTCGCAATAACTTGTTACACACAATATAAAATGCAAAATTATCGAATGGGCAACATGGCACTTTATTAATATTTGTTCGTTTATTTTTTATGGTAAATGTCAATACAATTGTTCGATATATATTATATTACATAAGTTATAATTTTTTCTCGATATTTTTAACAAATTCTCCCCTCCCCAAACAAAGGTGGCGGCTATCCTACGGTGCAAGTCTTGCTTTAGCAACACGCACGAACGACATTAGGTGGTGGGGTTTCTTGAACGTATTTTCAAAGATTTTATATTTTTTAGTTTTCTATTCAATGCACGAACTTTTGTGCTCATAAATTAGTATCCAATACGGAGGGCGGGTTCAGGGAGTGCCCTTAGTAAAACAGTTTTTTTTTCTCGACAATAGCCATCACCGGCTCTTGCGGTAATGGTCTCCGGTAACGTTGTCGCGGCCGCGCACCGGTGACGTTACCGGGTGTCGCGTCGTCGGCCGGTGGCGCGCCACTGTAACTCGCGCGTCTAGTGGCTACTACGCGACAACCACGCGACGGTGGCGCGGCGGCGTACTACTTCGCGCGCGCCGGTACTACTTCCCGAACGCGACGCGCGATTATTATATTTATACATTATGCGTGCGCGCGTGATATCCGCGGCGGCGTCTGCGTCCGTTTATATAATAATAATAATAATAATAATATTATTGTTCGCGTCGAAACTAATCAACACGCGATACGCGCGCGTACCGCACCCGCCTGTACCATCGACGGCGATGACGTTTCAAGGGGGATTGGGCACCGATACTTTTGCTCTTTGTCCGGCGTTACGCGCGCGCAGTGTGGAACAAGTTGGAAGATTTTTTTTCAATTAAACGCCAGCAAGCACTGGCGATACGATGCTAATACGTGGGTTTCTGGCGTATACAGACACGCACCCGTGACCGCGGCGTTAGACCAAAATATGTTCGGAAGTCAGTCCGCCGATTGTTATCGACGCGGTGAAGCGATACGAATCCGGATTTTGAATACAGCGTCAATAGCGTTTAGGGCCACGAGACCGGTCGGGCCGCTTTTCCGAATTGCTCGTCTTTCCAAACGTTTGATTTGAAGATTTTCAAATTTACGTGCGGCGAACTGTTCACTACGCCGACCGGACTGACCGCCGGAAAATTGATCAATACATTTAAAAACGGCATTTTTTGTTATTATCATTGGTTTCATTCCGGTCGGTTTATTTGAATTTTTCTCATTTTCTCCGTACTCTGTTTTCCCCGGAATTTTTATCCGTTACCGTGTTTTTAAAATTATATAATCTTCCGTATCGAACCGTATTATTGCTGTTCGTTTCTGGTATTTTCCACGCGTCATATTCCCGATCCGCCTACACAAGCAGCTGGTTGGTTTTACGAACTTAGTGATTTTTCGACGTTTATAACCTAACAATACGTTTCGTTACTCGTTCGTACAATACCGTCGATCTTGTCGGAATATTCAGAAATGTATAATTGTATATTATAATTTGACGTTAAACAATATACAGTGATCCAAAACAGTAGCAAATCGCTCTCCTCTAATTAATTATCAATTTAGACGTTGATATTAATGACGAATTATTATATACAAACAGAAATTATCTTTAATGCCATCATATTGTTATGAATGCATTGATATTGTTTTCCTTTAATCGTGAGATATATTTTATTTCCTTCTTCTTTCAATCTTAATTTAAACATAAATTATTAATTTTCCCCCGACTCAAATATAATAGTTAACAAGTTATTAAACTAGATTCAAGACTAGAGTAATAATCAGAATCTATGAAATCTTGAATTTTTAATAACTTAATAAAAAAAAAAAAATAATAAAAAACACAGTTATTTGTTCTAAATTATAAGTTTCAGCTTAAGAAAATTATTTTCTTTGTAAAAAACTTAAAAACAGGATTATATTCATACACACACACACACACAAAATATAAAAATTAAAACATCTAATAAAAAAAAAAAACTAATAACTAATAACGATATGGAGTTTGTAAAAACACTAGTATATTTTAAACGCGACAGGTAGAAGAATTTTACAAAACATTATTTTACTAAACTTTATTTGTTAGACATTATTAGGAGTTAGTGAAACCTGAATACATCTTTGTGTTCTTGATTTCCAGTTATATTTTAGAATTCTGAATAGATGATAATCGTACGTTAAGAAATGTAAGACGTCAAAAAGGGATTGGATAGGTAATACGATCGTATTATAACAATAATAATAATAATAATAAAATACTGCAGGAAGGCGAGTGTATACATTCATCATTTAAAGTTTTCCTTGGAAAAGTTGAGTGCCGCAGGGTGAACGTCGTAAAACTTTGTGGGTAATCGTGGTAAGGTGGTAATCGTGTTATTGGAAAGTATTTTACTCTTCTATAAAATTGGTTTTTGTAATTGAAAAACACTTTGGCGAATTCTAGGACTTTGACAATACTTGGATTTGACGATTAACCTGTTCTATATTGTATTATTATTTTGAGGTTTTTCGCCGTTAAATAACGAAACGTCTGTCGTCTATCATATTTTTAAAAAATAACACTATTATTGTGTCATAAATGATTTGCGAGTTTAGGACAGCCAAACTGCAGCCAAAGCGATGGTGTTTCTAGGAAAATTGCTTGCTACTCTAAAAACCTAAACGATTGAAAAAAAAAAAGCAAATAGGAAAAATGTACACGCATTAATGCTGACACGAGTGAAGAAATTGAATTTCGTGGAAAAAAAAATATATGTTTACAAGTTTCACGAGAGTTAAAATATGGTATATAAGCATAATATTTTGCATAGTGATACATCGTTGTAAATACGCGTGTTAGTTTTGTATTAACAATTTTTATTACACTCCACATGCATTTATACTGGATGTGATTAATTTGAAAAAGTTTACATTTACATTTACATAATACATAATACATATTATACGAAATGATAGTTATAGAGCTATGCGTACTCCGGGCCCCAATTATTATAACATAATGACGGGTGGCACTATAAAGTCAAACGTGCCGACTTTTTCTCATGAAAAAGTGTGTTATTTTTAATTTATTATTGCTATATTAAAAGTTCAACGCTTTGAACGTCAGTATATTTACTAACTAGATATAGACTAATCGATCAAGTGGCGGGTCGGTACGTCTTCTCGTGTAAATTTGAAATAGATCGGGCACTCATTTGTATTTGCTCGCAGTTATTGGGATATCAATATGACAGATGTATAATGTATATTGAGTGAATAATTTAAATGGCGTATTTGGATACCGGACAAGTATAAATTGTCAATAGTTCTGAATGGAATAACTTTTGTGTTGAGTTTTAATCACGTGCATGTGTATGCATATACCGTTTAGCCGTTAATGTTTTGTTTATTTGAAAATCCGTTGTGCAGTTTTTATTATATTATTTATGAAAAATGTATACATTTTGAACTAAATATGTATCTACTATCGTTCGTTGTACGATAAAATGAAAAATGTTCGGTTAATATTGATTATAATAATGTACAGTGTGATTTTGTTGGATTATTCGAAATGGCAATTTCAACTAATCCAAATCAATATCAAGATACAGACAATTAGTTTTATGTAACACATATTTTGAAGGGCAAACAATTTTTTTGTCGGTTATTGCCATCGTGAAAGCTATAAGTAGAAAAAACACTATTCATTATGTGTTCGCATAAATTGTATTAATGTCTTAGAAATGTGCAGTGCAATTCAATATAATATTATCTCTCGTAATATTATTATTATGTAAATTATTTAGTCGGGTATGTTATATTAAATTATACACTACGTTTCACGTGTACTACGTAATATGATATCGTGCATTTTCCATTGACATTTTAACGGCATTTCAATAAACCGATATTGTGTATACCCGTACTGCTTTCCTAACAAAACAAGGCGATTCAGAAAAAGTAATTTTTCTCAAAACTATTACATTGTTACTTACTACCTTTCGACTTAGGAGGACAGTATCCTCGTGTATATGGTATTATTACCAGGGGTTAAGGCGGCGGGGCGTAGGCGTTCCGCGTCTGGGTCGATTGGATTAGATTAGGTTGTTTAAATTGTTTCGGGCCCATGAATAATTATTATATTTGAATAAACGAAAAAGTTTTTATAATTGTTTATAAGAAATATTACTTTTTGTTTAAAATTACTAATAATTGCTTCTATAATAATGGTTTTTTTCTTTCACGATATCCAACATTTTGGGCCGAATTTTTCTATCACCGTAGAATCGATACTTATTCCCAGTATATCTGTGGTTATACGTATATATGCAATATTTTCACAGGCACGAAACATGAAAACATTATAATTTTACGGATAGATAAAAAGTCAAGGAGGAAATATTGAGTATATTATAATATGAAGCTTATAACCTGTAGCAATGAAAAAATTACATGCCTAGATAATGCTTGAAGTAATATATTTATAAAATATATCTGCATAGGTACACCGTGTGAATGTATTCCAAAGCTTTGATTTTATATTAGTTTTAAAATCGTAGAGTGAAATCTTAACCTTATTTTTTTCGATTTTTGTCGTTTGTGAACAATTTAAAATTTGCAGGTTATGATATTAGAGGTCTTGCATATCGAATTGAACGAGAATATAATATTGTATATTTTAATTTTAGTAGTTTGTTCCAGTGATCCAATCACCGCGAATAAGGACAAAGTTAGTGCAAAATAACGATTATATTATAATTTATAATGGTGTAATAATAAACAGTAAACTTTCCTATCTTCAGAACTATTTAATTCGAACTAAGTATATAGTTCGTGATAAATTAGTTTAAACTTTACGGTTGAATAAATCGAATCGAAATCACAAGAAGTTAACCGTTTTGAATGCGTCATTTAAGTTACTTAGCTAAATAGCCGTATCGATAAATCTTATTTCCTCTATTTCATAATTTATGTTAACGTTTTTTTTTTTTTTTCGCTTAAAGCGAATCGCGTTTAATTTTAAAATTGATGTGAACCCGCGCTTGGATAAAAATAATCGTTATTTTTAATATTATTCAGGAAACTAAATAATTATAAATAAAATGCACTATTAAGAATAAGTAATAATATATACAGGTTTTTTTTTTTTTCAAAAGAGATAAATTGAATTTAACGTTAAATATTTCATTTTCACTTTTTGTATAATATGTATAACGTTTAATATTTTTGAAAGATATTTTTTTAATGAAAAAATTAATTTGACATTTTTGAGGAATTTCAATTAAAATAACCACAACCACAAACTTATTTTATTTAAGCAATATACAGATTTCAAATGAAGGACCGCCGGGTTTTTTCAAACATATTATAAGGTTATTCCAAATTAATTTATAAACTTGTTTATAAAAGAGATGTGCGGATAAATTTTATATTTTAATATTTCTGCTCGTGATAATGGTATAAATTGCGTGATGTATATTTCTAGATTGCCGCTTGACGTACTCTCATAGGATGATATTATACCGGACAAAAGGGGTGAGATGCGTATGTAACCGTGGGCATTTACGATATATGCACCCTAAAGTACCTATACTTTTTTTCCGTCAACGTCTACGTCAAAAACCGTACGTGATGGTGATATTATTTCCTACCTTTTTTTTTTCTGCTGAAATTTCTACATAATATTTTTCTACTCGAACTACGCGCCAATAGCGTACCACGCGTACAATTCTTTTTTTTTTTTTTTTTATTGTTCACCTGCAATGGCAGCGCGTAGTTTTTCATGTACAACAGCCAGCACAAAACGGTTCACATTGTATGCAATCGTTATTCTCGGGAAAACGCGGGGTTATGGCGAAGAACTATAAATAATAATAATAGTAAATCCAAAAAACGTATTCCCCTTTCCAAACAACCGGGTATTGTAATCGAAAGAGAATAATAAAAATCATTACCAGCAGTACGTATAATATTATGTCAATACTACACGATTGGTGTAATAAGTATATATACATATAATAATATTATATCAAGTCGCGTACACGTGCCGACCTTAGTGAAATTCCTAGACTCGATGAACAACAAAAAAACTAACTAGTTGACAATATTTAATCGAAGAAACCACGACCAAGGATTGCAAGGTCTTTATTATGTTATATTATGTTGGGCTTCGACATCGCAACGAATCCTTACCGGGCCGCCGCGAGTCACCTGCGAGCGTGTAACACTAGAACACCGGTGGTGTTGGCGGTGTAGTAATAGAAAAAAAAAAATTACACTACGCATTTATTTGCGAAACAATTCGACTTTACATTTCCTGTTAGTATTTCAATACGAGTAGAACTGTATAAGTAAGCAAAAATCGTTATTTAAACACAACAAAATATGCATTTTTATTGATCGAAATGTTGTCGCCGGGTTCAATCAGGGCCTGATTAATGGATTTGCCACTAGTAGGCTGGGGTTGATTTTTATTTTTTTTTGCTCATCATTAAATTTGCCTTTATAAAGTTCCTCTCCCTATAAATTCATGTACACCCGTAACATGTATTCATGTTTAGCTTTTATGTAAAAAAGGTCTGGCTACCCCTGCCACTGATATACAGAGATTCCAGTTACAAAAAATCAAATCATTTTGTTGCGCCCCCCCCCTATTTAACGGCGTTAAATTGTTCATGTTTAATATGAACAATTTTAATTTATCTAGATAAAAAAAGATACAATTTTTTTTATGTTACAATATAGAGCTAAGGCTAACTGAACACATATGTATAGATTTTCCAAATAAAAATAATAATAATAAATTTAAAATTAAAAGTTAGTTTAATTTTCTTCTATGTTACCATGTTAAGTTAAAATGTTTAAATTTCTTTAACTTTAATTTTATCAAGTCCAATAGTTTTTTTTATATTTAATGTTTGTAAATTTACCTTGATTACTGAATAGAATTATTGAAATTAATAAAATTGATAAGTTACTGAAGAATAAAGAAGAAACAAGCAAAGTTAAATGCTTAAAATAAACATAATTTAACAACATAACTTGTTTATAAACTCGTTAACACTAATTTGTTCCATACAATAGTTAAAAATAGTACCTATGTATAATCAATGATATTAATAAAAATATAAATTAAAACATTTTAGTGTGAACAATAATTTTGATAATTTAATACTTAAAAAAAAATATATTAATTTTTATATCTAAATAAATAGTTCACTTATTTTTATCTAACGATGGATCTAGATAAGATAAAAGAAAAGTAAATAACTATCTAGATAAATCCGAATACTGGTTATTTTTTTTAAAGAGAGATTTTAGATTCTGAGTGGTTGGTTTTACAATAATGTTTATTTTTTTTCTGCGAACAACTTTTCTACCAAAAATTTTTCTCTGATTTTGAAGTATAGCAATCTTGAAAGGAAATTTAACTGGAGTGATACAATAGACCATTTTTTGATTTTCCCAGAAGTTTTTATAATAAATGGGAAAAACGTATAAGAAAAATGGGAAAATGTACAGAATGAATTATTTTTAAATCGCAAATATTATGGTCTCTCAAAACATGTATAACCGAACTCCGCTCAGAATCGCTTTTTGTTGCTAATGATTAGTTTTTGAGTACAGATATATATTAAATTTCTCCTCTATCTTCCTAACTTCTCACCTACAACAGTGGCTTATCGTGCGAAATATGTCCTTTTGTTTTTGGTAAAATATTCTATTAAAATAATAATAATAAAAAAAAATGTTTATTTAAAGTCTGAAGTTTAAGTAAAGTTTATCCGAGAAATATCAAAGTTTCTCTATAAAAACTTAGTAAATGTTTTCGTGTTTATAACTTGGTGAAATAATTTTTAGCTTCTGACCCTAGCGAGTAATGTAGGTATTGGTTTTTTTTTTACCATTGCTATGTTTTTCCCCTGTCTTTTGACAACTCTTCTACCAGCAATCTTGTCTCGGTTTTTAAGTATAGTATCTTTTCTGAAAGTAAATTTTGTACTGTTAGTTCATTGGGAGTTTTTAGATTTATTCTATGATATTGAGTATACTATTGGAAGTACGATGAAAACACATTTTTGATAATATATTGCCCGTTAAACAGACAGAGACGTAAAATGTTACTGTGACGCCCTCTTAATACCTGTATACCTATACGTACTTCTACGATTTTTAAAACTCGTTTTGTTGCATTATGATGGAGATATAATATTATACTAATGCGTAGTTTTCATTCGTAATAAATCCATTTATACATGAAAAAAAAAATTCTCTTATAATAGTATAATACTCTAATACCCAGCTAGAATGCTATATTTTAAGAATTCGATTAAATTATGACGCGCACCTATACCTAACCTAAAAAAAGAATAAAAAGAAATGCATTTAAATAATTTTAAATAATAATATTATTCGTGGCGTATGTATATAAGTCGCTAGATAATCTTGACCGGATTCGGGTGTTGCATTAAAAAAAAAAAAAAAATAAAAAAAATAAAAAATAATGTTCCCCACTTTTATTTTTCGTGTAAAATAACCTACCTATAACTATACCGGGATAGATGACGACGTTTCTCGCGTACGTGAGTTTTATTATAGTCAGTTATATATTTTATTGTGTACAAGACGGGCAGATACAGAAAAAAAAAATGTCCGTTCATTTCTCCGGAATAAGTAAAAAAAAAAAAAATATATAAATTGTTGGTTCGTTATAATAATAATAAGTTAACATTTTTATTTCCGTTGTATTATTATACGACGACGGCCGTACAAATCCGAGTAATAAAAATTAACTACCTAAACATTTGACGGGGGATATTATTTTCGAAGTTGATATTTTAAGTGCAACGATTTGAATAATTCATTAGAATACCGAATCGTTCCTCTCCGCACGGTCCTTCTACTATGTACTCGTATGAATTTATTACTTTTCAATGTTTTGTTGTAGATTATCGTTCGATTTTTTTTTTCACCGACGAATGTATTTTCATTTCAAATCGAAATACTATTACATTATATTTACTTAACACTCGTACTCGTGCACCAATAATACTTATACTCGTATGCATATATTTTAAAAAAGTTTAAATTGGAATCGTTTGGAATATTTTTATAGTATAATATAAAATATCAGTGCAACAGCAAGGTAACATAGACCACTTTTCAGAATTGTTCAGCAGAGGGATAAAAATCATAGATATATAACATCTATGAGATTGGTCTTTTTTTTTTACCAGAAATTATCTTTGAACTAGTCTTAACTATATCACTATTTTCGATCGACTTGCATTATTATATAAATCAAATTAAATATTGTTTTACCTACTTGAAATTATTATAAAGTTATTTGCGAAAAAATCAGACTTGCCTTATCATCGTTGTACTGAGCGCTTTGGTAATTTAAAAAATGAAAGGAAAACGTCTATTTTATTCACTATAGGTATTAACTGATTTCAAAAAACTGATAACGTTCTTCATTCACCGAATATGTTTTATCAGTGGCGTATTTAAGAGTGTGGCGACAAGGGAGTTTTATCTTTATTTTCGATTATCCTTTTTCCAACATTTATAATATTTATTTATGTGCTCGTGCCTCCCTCGGGAGTTAGGCCTCACAATTTGGGAACTGTTTATATAGGTTCTGTGGAGAATAATATATTTAATTATTATATCTTATAATTATTGTGTATGTGTTGAATAATCAACGAGTTTATTACTGCAGATAGGTCAGGTCAAGTTAGGTTAATATAAGGTTAGGTTAGGTTAATGGAACATAATTTCCTGTGATTTACATTAGTTATTAATGCGTTATTACTTATTAATTATCCGACATATAAATAATACCCATGGTTAGGTTAGGTTAGATTACACATAATGTTGCTAAGGACACTTATTGATTAATCGCGATTAGTTTGTTAAGGATAATAATATAATATGTAAAATTTGTTTATAATGATATTCTTAGCTCGGGGAAAATTATTTAAGTAATTTTGCGATATCTTGTTCACGGCGGCGGCGGTAAACGATGAAATTCAGCCAAAGTTTTGCCGTTTGAAATTATACGCACGCCCTGTGACGGTGACGGTGACGGTGTAGTGTTTGTCATGTGATGCACAAGAAAGTTCGACAATGCTGTGGGGTTGACCTCAATAAACATCAACTTTCCTGCCGGTTTCCACGTGAACGGCCATTATATTATTACAATCGCAGTTGTTAGAACCATCACCCCTTTTTATCTATAATATGTACAGATGGAGTAAAATATGTCTTTATTATACGTACGTACAAAATACCTATCGTGAAAAAAAAGATTACCTATCTAACTACCTACCTATATAGATTAATGTATCCGAGTATTATGTAAATATTAATAAAAATATTACTTTTTGTTTGTTTGCCCTTGAAAATGTGTGGACGATTCCGTTAGACGCGTACGGAGCAATGACGCGTGCACGTATAATTTGCATAGTAAAAACAATAAATTATTATAAAACGATTTTGTATTTTTATAATATATATGTATTTATTTGTATAGGTAGTTATGTGTGAATCACGTAGTTGCGTTATAAAAACCGTTAACTTATAAGAAACTTGCTCACTACTTATATAGTTTAGTATATTATGCGTTATACGAGTACATGAGACAAATATAGTGTGCAAATTTTTCATACAATAGTTGACATATTCTTTGAATGTTAATAAAAACATGTATTATCTATATACTATATGGTAGTTTTAAATTCAGAAATATGTATAAATCATTTGCAACTGCACATAGGTACACAGTAAAAGCCGCGTAAAAAGAACACTCGTTGACCGTGGTAAAATGTGTCAGTTAACCAATTTTTTTTCCAATATTTATTAAATTATTCATACTATTAAAAAAAAATTAATGAAAAAACCTTAAAATTGAAAATTGTAAAACATATTCCCATGTATATTATTATATGTTATGTTAAAAACGTATCTAATGGTGTCTGTTTTTTGCTTGAGCAACTTATTATGCCTTCATAAGAGTAATGCTGCTCAGAGCCTTTTCATCTGCACTGAGGACTTATAGCTTTTACAATTTATTTATTTCATGGGAGTCGTTCGCTGAGCAACCCTGTTCAAGTATCTGAGGGTTCAAAACTACGTTATAGATATCCTCTCGTTTGTTACAAATAATCAAAGTGTTGGTTTCAATAACCCGATTGATTTTAAATGTTTTAATACACGGCCGGGTCGAATCGAGACTTTTTGTTTCAATAACGTGATTGTATCAATTATCCGTGTTCCTAATAAGTGGCTTCTAGTGGACATAGGTATATAATATATTTGTATAGAATTTTGTATTGTCACTTATAGTGTACCTAACACTGCGTATTTCAGTTTTTGTTGTTTTAAAAGCCGATAAAAAAAAAAAATAATAAAAAAGATTTAATCTCCAAAAATAAATACTAATAATAATTAACTACTTCATATATTATGTACTAATAATGTATTTTTCTTCCGCACTGCAATTATTGTCAATTTGTTATGTGTTATTGGTTCATGACTAAGATACGTTTGGTGATAAGATTGTTTGATAATTATAAATGGTGTTATAATTTTCGTGATTTATAGTGTAACCACGAGTCTAAAAACAAAAAATTATCAAATATGAAAAAAAAAATGTATATCCAATATACATATCTATCAAACCTAATGCATTTTCGGAAAAATTTGTTTTATTAAGATCGGTAATAATATCATGTTATCAAATTTTGAGATACGTGCTGTTCCAGTTTTTGTTTATGTACTTATTACATTCTTGTATGAAATCCCATTGTTGTAAAATTATATTATTTTGTATAAAAAAAATAAACGATTAAATTAAATTTTATTTTATGAGAGCAGCTAGTTAGGATTTATAATGTTACACCGTGAATTTTTCGTCTCTTAGAAAACACTTTTTATAGGGCATATAATTAAGTTATTCAACAAATTTAATCAGCTAGCATTTTTTTATTATGGATAAATAATATTTAATGTACTGCTTTAGTAGGTAAACTAAGTATGGGTAAAAGTATACTTCAAAAATATAGTTTTTTAGAAATTTCTCTGAAGAATTGATGAGAAGGATTTCCGGCAATAATCAACATTTTAAACTCTAAGTACCGTTAAACTTATTATAGTTTTTTTCCAATACAATATGATTTATCGTTTGTGATGTATTTATTTAATAAAAAAAAAAAAAAATGAATAAATAAATAAATAATGAAAAAAAAAAACGTTCCCTGCATTTCTATATCTTTAAATCGGAAACTTTATAAATAGGAACATATTATTAATATAAGAATTCAAAAATGATCCTGTAATATTATTATTATCGAAAAATATTATAGATGAGCATGTTACCCAAAACAAATAATTGAATTTGTATACATCGTGTATTCTAAACCGGACATAATAATAGTTGAGTAGTATTTTATTTTAAATTACAATGTTATATAATTTATTATTGTATTCATACACAAGTTTAATATTCAAAAAGGGTTTTTGCGATTTCAACAAATTAAATGTTTAATGTAACTCAATTATACAACTATAATAAATTACTTTATTCGAGATGGCACATCATTAATGTTTACATAATGGCACATAAATGTATGAAATTAAAATGTTTACAATTATTTCAAAAAAAAAAAAAATAAAAAAAAACATCACAAAGGTCTCTAATGCTTATACAGCTACCGAAAAATATTATTTTAGAACAAACCGTTTATTTTTCTTTTATTATAATATTATATCATACACGCTGATGTAAGATTATTTACATAACTGAATATTGAATATTAATTACATATTATTATCACGATTATTTTAAAATTAATTTGTCGCAAATTGATATAAAGTGTCAACAACCGTGAGACGTGGTATAATACGTTATAATAATATATTATATTATAAGCATACTTTAGTTTTTGTTATTATTATCATTTTTTATTATATTTATTAAGAGTTATATAGAGTGAAAACTGCCTAAAAAAAATTATAAATTAATACATTTTTATCGGTAGGTATACACACCACATTAATAATAGAAAACGATGCTCTTTTCTAAAACTTTTTAAACTACTGAAATATTAATTAATAAAATAATAAATTAAAAACAAAATTACTAAAATGATTAATACTCGTTATTTAAAATTATACATAGCGCATACAATATAATATTTTGTACAGTTAAACGAATACCACTAATAAATATATTATACAAGTGCAGTACGCATACAATATGTGTCAATATTAAGCATAAATCCGGTCGGTAATTATAATAATTATGTATTTTAGTGTTTAAGTATTTTATAATGCAAGTACAATATGTTATATGTTAAAATTATAATATATTAATCTCCGAATCCGACCTATGCCATTTAATACAAGGTCGGAAAAAGGGAATGCGTACTTGAACCTTAGTGCAATTGTAAGTATATGGGTATATTATATTATAGGTAGATACTTCTACGGCTCTACCTCTATACCTATATCTTATTAGGTGTAAAATACTGTTAATAAGATATTACGTATTCGTATTAAACACTTATCTACCTACACACTTAGTATTTACTGGAAATATTTCAATTGATTTATGATGATAATAATAATAATATCAAGTGACGAAAAAAAAAAAAAAAAATAGCTAGACACTCTTTGGCAATAATTACAAACACATATTATTGATGCGAAAACTCTAAAATTACCTACATGTAGCATTATAGTAATTTATACATACTGCAAACGGTTCGTATCAAACATTCATAACATTTACAATGTTCGAAGTATTCGTATTATGTACCTACTCATCAGGACATAAATAATACGTAACCGAATTTAGTTGCATTTTCGTCTAAAACTGCAGTATCTAATTATTATTATTATTTTTTATTTTTTGTAAACTAATTTTCTATCAGAAATCTTGTTTTAATCAAAAAAGTTACATATACTTATTGTAGAATTTTTGATCTTGTTGGTGTATTGTGGAGATCATTTATTATTTTCCTTGTAATTTTTCTACGTGGAACAGCTAACAATTTGTTGTATTATTTTTGTTGATTTCCGGGTTACCACGGTAACAAGGGAAAATATATGATTCTGCTCAGAATTGTTTTTCATTAATAATGGTTTATCGTCGCGTATAGATATAAATTAAATTACCTTATACATCCTCCTTTTCAAATTTCTTCCTAAACAGTATCAGGAAGCATTAACAGCATCAGCAATTTTATTTTTAAGTGGGTATATCAAACTCAGGAGAGTTCCTAGCTACTATATTATATATTATCATTTTTAAATATTCGTCGTTAAGTATACGTACCTATATACTATATATGTATAATAATACTATATGTTGTCGCAAACAAAAAATTGTTTTCAAGATAATATATATTTAAACATCGTGTGCTGCATTTAACCTGTGCTGCCCCCCGTCAATGTTGCCAATTTTTTTCACGCACGGATTCAGTTATACCTCGTTAAAAAAAAAAAAAATCCATTTTTTCACGACCAATATATCCATTATGCACGGTACGACTCCACGGTCCGACCGTGTAAACATGTATATTCCGTTCACGACACGGATACGACCCTCCGAAGATTATTATAATATATATAGGTAAGGTAGGCAGAAAACGGGGAGGGACTGTTGACCGGAAATTCGTTTAGTGCAATGTCCGGTTCCTCCCCTCACACGGTTTACATACAGCATAATAATATTATGATGCCTTTCCCATATAATAATCAGTTAATAACCATAGCACGGCAATGCCTATATATATATATATATATATATATATATATATATATATATATATATATATATATATAAATCTATATATTATTATTCATGACCGTAAAAATCGTTATATATATATATATGTACGTATCTGCGTACATATTATATACATATTGTTATTAACCATCGTTGATGGCTTGCACACACCATTGCTTTGTTGTCGTTGTTAGAACACAATTTTGAATTTAACATCACGTGCACAAACGTGCTCGGTGTCGTTTAAGGGGATTGGACACCGATATTTTCTTTCTTTGTCTAACACATAAACTCAGCTACTCAGCATAATAATTTATACCAATTATCTGAAAACAGTTAATTGTAAATTGAACAATTGTACACACTGCGGCTCATTTCGGGGTCAGTTAGGACCCCGAATTCAGGTTTGGCCTTTCCCAAAATACAGTCATGTCCCACAAATCAAGTCTTTATTAAATAAATACTAAATAGTAATAAAATAGATAATAGTATATAAATAGTTAATATTTCAATATACCAATATTATAGGGCCTTAAGGGCAAACAAAAGCTAAATGTGTTTATGTATTATACAATTTTAATATAATTTATAGTTTAGAATGAAAATTATAGTTTTTTTTTTTTTTTTATATATATATATTCTTTTATTAATTTATAAATATTTTCATAATATTTAATTTTTGTTACGGGTTTCACCGGAGCTTTACTGAAAAATAATATCATCGCATAGGGAAAGTTCCAAAGAGTAATATATTATAATAAGCAGAAGTTTAGTAAATAATTAGTCCATACTTTACAGACAAACATATTAAAAGTCCTAAAGCCCACTCTTTTGAATTAGCCCTTCACCCACCAAAAAGGTTTTTTTTTTTACTTTTTCAACTTGGTCACTTATAACTCGTTAACCATTAGTCTTTTAATTAAAATGTAATTAAAATTAAAGGCTTTCAAAAAAATAAAAATATATAGAAATACGCAATTTAGTATCCTTAAATTATCACGAGATAGCGGTAAATACAACTTTTTAAAAAACTATTTTCAGCCAAAATTCCTTGTCAGACGCCACAACTACTTATTATACAAATTTTAAAAATACTAAACAAAAAACAATAAACATCATCGAGTCACTATTTATTGAATAATTTGTACGTATTATACTTTTAATTTGAAGACATATTTAAATAATTTATGAAAACAATTAGTAATACTGTACTTAATAAAATATAAAATTTCTGAAAGTTAAATAAATTAAAATTTTTCCAACTCAAATACATGACTTAGGCAACCGTTTTGAATTGCAATAAGGTTTTTGGTAAAAAAAGGTTGTTTAGACACACACAAAAAAAAAAAAAATATAGTAAAATCAATACATTCCTTACTTCCTCCAGAATCTAAAAAATTACGTAATTTATTAATTTTAAACATTTCTTTCAAGTATAGAAAAAAATCAGAGCGTTTTTTACTGCTGTGGACACGAATCGAGTGTGCGTTTTTTTTATTAGGTCGAGTATTTATCTCCGATGTGCTGACAGCTTCAAAGTGCCTTTGATTATCAAATTGCGGAATTATATTCACTTTTAACGAACAATTTCCTTTGTTTAGACAAAAAATAAACGTATTGGTACAATGTGCATGCATACATACTATCAAAATATATATTTTTTTTTTGCAAACGGTTCGAAAAAAAAAAATCGAAAGTAATAAACAAAACATTTTGTTGTTCTAATCGATTTGCCGTTATAATATTATTATTGTTATGCGTTTACTGCTGCACAACAAACATCGACCGACTACATTTAGGATGTTATGATTTTAGATTGTTATTATTATTTTTTTAATAACCTGGGCGATTTCAACATAAATATAAAATAAAAACATAATATTACTATAGTAACATGAAATTAATGATTATAAATATCCGTTTTTTTTTTTTTAATGTAGACAATGTTCAACAATTAATCAATACGGAATTTATGAATAAAAAAATGTTTTCAACTTTATTATTGATGAAAACAACTCTTACAAAATTTCTACTTTTTATTGTGAACATCTTTTCGTGTCAGCTAGAATGTGAATTCTGACATATTTTATTACAATAATTTCGTAAAATAGTGAAACATGTAAATATATTTCTAGCAATTCTATACTTTCAGCAAAACTTTAAAATCTATGTTAGGCATTATCTTTATTTTTATAATTATTACAAATTATAATATATATATTTTTTTGTAATTAATATTATTGTAACAATGAAAAAATATTAGATAGTTTGTTTTTTAATTGAAAAGTCCATTTATTTAGTGTATTTTACTTTTAGTCAAACAAAATTGCACATACCTTGCCGTGTATGAAGTAAAAAAAGTTTTTTTAAGTTGTATAGTATTTTGTATATATATGTTTAAATTTATAATTAAACTTCACACAATATATTTGAAAAAGTCTTCGTTTCTTGCGGTAGTAAACTATATTTTCTGTATGTATCGTTTTTAAAAATATTTCTCGACATATTGATGTTTAAACATTTTTTCCGTATACAGTTCATTGAATTTCATAAATAGCGTAAAAAGACCTCTATGTTTGTATGAAGAATTGTATATGATAAAGTGAATTGATGATGATGCGTTCGATCATTTAGGTCATCAGAAGAAAAATCATATTTGTTCGATTAAAATATTATATGTCAGTGCACAATATTTGTATCGATCAAATTAAACACAAGACGTCATATCATTTATTATAATATTGGCCTGCAAGTTTAACGCAACAAAATTTTTCAATTAATAATATATCTATATTTTAAATTGTGATCTTCATTAAGGGATTAAAACAAATTATACTTATAGTAAATAATTGAAAAAAAGCTGATACAAGTGATGGGATGTACCATTTTTTTAGGAGGGAGGTTTAATGAGAGGTTATAAAGATTATTTAATTTATATCTGGAATGATAAATCTTTATTAATGAAAACAATTTTTAAATAGAATCATTTTTGTTCCCTTGTTGGTAGTTGGTGCAAGGTAACTCAGGAATAACAAATTTTTACAAAAAATTGCCGGATTTTTCCATTTGTAAAGAAAATTACAAGGAAAATTAAAAAATAATTGCCTAAATGCAACAACTAGATTAAAAATGCTACAAGGAAATTACAAAGCATAATATTTTGATTAAGGCAAGATTTCTGGTTGTATTTATTACTGGATTATACATTTTCAAGTTTTATTGCATATTTTTTCATTTTCATATTTTCGTTAAAATTTGTTCGATTTATATACTAATTAAATCATTAATATTAATCTGATTAAAATGTACTAGTCATTTACGAAGTTTCAATGTAAATGTTGCACCAGCTTAATTTCAGACGAGATTGCTCAGGAAATAACAAAGTGCTATTTTACGATGATAATACAATTAGTAAAAATTAATTTATTGTATATTACATAATTTTAATTTTTTTGTGCAAGTATCTACATCAATTTTTATATTTTAAATACAACTTTTTGTGTTTTCTGCTTATGTATTGTTTATTTTTATTATGTTATTGCATACTCATATATTATATGACATATGTTTTAATACTTTTTAGTGTATATATTAATTTGTGTTATATTAATTTATTAACCATTTACATTTTATTAGACTGTCTAAAAATTGACAGTTATTACCACGTGTGAAACTGTTATTAATTTTGGTTTTTTTTTTTTTTTTTTTTTTAAAGCATATAATAAGTAAAAATTAGTTTTTAAATATTTACCTGTAGCAGAGGCGATAATTTTGTGAATATTTTAAATCGGCCGAAATTCGATTGGTAGGTATTCCGATCGTTTTTCAAACGATCTTATAGAATTTTTATGTTTTAGAAGTACTCGTATTTTTTTTTATCGTTTGCGTCTCTGTCACAAAACAATAATAGTAATGATATGGTTGCGTATATTATAATATTATTGCATGAAGGATTCACCTGCATAGTTTCTATAAGCCATATACCAACTTTTGAAGTATATTGAGATTTTTAAACTGTACTAAACAGCGAAGAAGAAAAAGTGGAAGATAAAATTTCGTGTTTCGAAAAATATTTACACGATTGAACACTTTTTTTTTAATAAAACCTCATAATATAATTAGGTGTGTACTATTTCATTTTTGTAACGCATCAGTTTCATAAAGTTTTATTAAATATTTTTGACGATAAATATTACTATTTATAACTATTTTATTCAAAATACCTCCGTTACATTATAATATATATTATGTATTATTTATGTACAATGACCATCCCTGGCGTGTAGTCTCGGATAATAAAAATAATAATGTACACAATGTACACCTGTACCTACTCTGTAGTAAGTCAGCTCCGTTACACAATAATGTTACCTGTATTGTTTGATTTATTTTCTAACAATTGGTATTATATTCGACAAGAGTTATTGTAACCAATTTATCCGTAAGATATTTTAGTTTTTTAATAATATATTTGAAGTTTGAACCATATAAGTTTTTGTAATACCTATTACCTACTACTTAATAGATTCAATGTAAAACGAATATTCAAATTTCGGAATTCAAGTTTTTATAGTTTTTATTTTTAAACAAAATGTAGGAATTGACATTTTGTGTTTGTCTTTCATTCAGACCTTGAGTGCATTGAGTAAAGTTTTAACATACATAAGTATCAAAAATAAACAAAACAACAGAGTTGCGTAGCATTTTAAAATCCAAAATCCTTTCTAGAAGTCCGTTGAAAATATTTTTTTAAAACAGTTTTGTGTTGAGATCACGTTCGTAGGTATATAATCAACCGTGATTAGGAATATTTCATATCTTTTGTGGTTTTATTGTCTACACATTGGTAGTATAGTCGTTAGGTTTTACCACCATGGATAAGCGAATCCTATACTTAATACATTATAAGCCACTGTCCAAGTAGAACGGGTATTAAGAAATTAAGCTATTATATGATATAGGAAGTCTTTTTATCATTGGTTTTATTAAAGCGTAGGCCAATATTGACGAGCCCAAAAATACTACTTATGGCCGATCGATACCTCTTAAATATCTGTGTTAGCCATTGATTTCTACATGATGGTACGTCAGATTGGTACACGATCTTGTAGCTGCTTTAGCCCCACTGTTATTATTAATTGCTACTCGACTCGTGTTATTATAGTTTATTCTTTACTAAATGTTTATAAATTATAACCTATTGATACTACTTATTGTGTTCTATACGCAGTTTCCAACTATAAATAAACATTACCGTATCACTTAATTTGTTTATAAATACTAAAGATTTGACTTTGAATTTGGATTTGGATTTTTAAGTTCAATTTCTAAGGGGTTTCGCCCAACTTTAGTAAGCAGTATATAAATAAATCTATTTTATATGTATAATATTACAATACATTACATATTCATTTTCATATACCTATGTCTTATATTTATTTTAGGTATAAATAGGTTGCACTATAGGTTCGTGGTTTTCGTGCCTTTCATCGTGCCCTTATTGTACAAATAACATGAAATATATCCGAGAACTGAGAAGGGCCATATTCAAATTTATCTAAGTATTATTAATGTCCATAATAATACATCATAACGTGACGAGATTGCGTGAATATAATATTAATATTATAAATTCATATCAATGAATCGTCTTGTTTCTCGTTTAGACTAAATTTGACTAGACTAGCTTTGGGTCGTATTACCGTATTATTTTGTTCTAATTTCCTTACTCGATATTATACTAAAACACGTGTTCAACTGTCAGATAATGGCATTATATTATTATAATATTATTTAATGTGCTTAAACGGGTTTGTGTATCTTGTAGTGTATTGTTCGGAACAGTAACTAGTCAGTTTCCGTATAATGTAAATCCCGGAAAATTCGTCCCATCGTCGTATTATATAATTGCAGAACTTTAATATTATACTTAAACAAAAGTTTTGAGCTTAGATACAATACATATATATATATATATATATATAGGTATGAATTAAAATTTCACGTGAAATGTTAACTTTTCATAAAACTACATACTCGTACTTTGTTTATATTTATACATATGTCCTATATAATAAAGAAATAAAAGTCGTCATTTGAAAGTGATGGATACCTATTCAAAAAGGGGATTACGGATAAAAAAGAAACTGATACTGGTGTTGGGTGTGGGAAGTCGGGAAGGTAGACTAAATAAAGTTATTTAATTTATATTTGTAGTATGTAACGATAAACCATTATTAACAGAATACTATTCTGAGAAAAGTTCGGTTATATGTTTAGTAAAATACCGTGATTTTTACGATTTTTATTAGAATTAAAACTGAATTGAAATGATTACAAAAAAATTACTGAATTACGGTCAATTTTTTTTTTAAATCACAAATTAAAACTTATGATAAACTTTTTGTTCAATTTTTAAGTATTTCTGCTAAACCAAAATGTTTTATCTACGTATAAAACTAATGCTTATAAATGCTTATAAATAGCTCAAAAGTCATCAGAATGGTTTGGAAATTTTAACAGGCTTAGGTAAAACTAATGAAAGTATTATTTAAAAACAGCATGCTTCTACGATTATTTTAAACACAATAACAAATAAAAGAAAACAAAAAAAAAAACCAAATTCGAAAATAATGAAATTGCTATTTCTGTAAACTTTCCTGGTTATTCCTAATTATTATGAAAACTGTTTGGAGAATCGACAAATGGCCTTATCCCCAATATACTATCTAGATTCTAAGTTCTACAAGAACCTGTTTTGTTAATTTTTGATTGGAATAAGATTTCTAGTAGAACCAATTTATTTACCGTGGAACTCAGAATCGAAAAATTGAAAGTAATGATAAGCTATAAATTACATTGTTTTCGAAAAAAAAAAATCCCTGGTAGAGGTTAAAATTAAAACTAAAATGATTATGGCTTAAACTTCTCCCTGATATTACTATCGTCGAATTTTTTTTGACGATGTTTATTGTTTATATATGATTATATGTAAACAATAAACATCGAGAGCATCGAACCGAGAATTTCGAAAAAACAATATAAAATATCTTTCATATCTTCCTAAAAATTAGTTGAATGAAACATTTTTAGCATGTCTACTATCTTCAAAAAGTCAAAAGTTTTATGTTATAATATATTCCGTTATATACTTTAGCAACGGCACCCGCAGAAATATATACTAAGGAGGCCCAAAGTCAAAAGTATAAGACTTTTTTTACAACTTATAACATAAAAGTAATCATGGCCTAAATATGTTAGCCACGCAAGTAATAAAACAATTAATATTTTATATTAATTAAAATAGCGGGGGGCTATGGCCCCCATCTGCACCCCCCTGTGGGTGCCCTTGTACTTAAGCTTTTTCATTTTTATCATAACTTTCTATATATTAGTTAATTGATATACTATTTTTTTTTTGTTTTTTTAATTGTATATAATATTATGTACTTAAGAGTACATAATAAGGGTTTCAAACCAGTACTTACTTTAATAATATTTCAAGTGTAAATTAATTTTCAAAATAATTTTTATAATCATGCAGGAGGAAAGAAAAGAAGGTGAAGACTGAAAACAGAGGTAGTTGTATGTGATTAAGAATGATATGAGGACAGGGGGTGTATGTAAAGTGGGAAATTGGGTCAAATGGAAGTTAAGGACGAGGGTGTCTGACCTCAAATAGTTGGGATGAAGGCGAAGAAGAAGAAGATGAATGAATTGGAACTAGAAAAAAACCACCCGTATTAAATTAAACTGGAAACATAAATATCATTATTGTTACTATTATAATTATTTTTACGAGTTAGAATTATAAGTAATTCTATGAGATGAATAACATAAATTTAACTTATATACGAATAAAATATATTTTTTAACAAATAAAATGAAAAGTACAAAAGCGCTTGTACTATAATTTATGATACACATTTCCTTTTTCCTTTCTTTCTTTTTTTATTAAACAAAACTACGTTTTTCATATAAATGAAAACAGTCGTACTTTTCAACAAGTTTTGAAATAAGTAATTATTTTTTGTAATTTCATTATTCGGTATACGGTTAGGTTATTACGGTTATTATATTCTCTTGAGAAACTTTAAGCAAAAAATTTCCAAATTTTTAACATTCTTTTATGCATTTTGTATTGGTATCCGTGACTCATGAGTGATATTCAAAATATTTTTTGTTTTAAATAATTATAAAATATATTACACTGCATTTTAGATACTGTGTGAAGCAAGGAATGTATTGGATATACAGTGATTTTTATTTTTTTTATCTGTAAACAATTTTTCTACTAGAATTATTGAGTATTATAGCCAATTTTCAAGTATAGTAACTTTTTTGAAAGAAAATTGTATTTGTGTGGTACATACAAAGGAGATAATTTTTTGATTTTTCAATCGATTTTTATAATAGATGGGAAAAATTGGAAGAAAACGTAAAAAAAACGGGAAAATTTACAAATTTATAATTTTCAATTTTGTTTATTGTTGTGATTCAGTTAAAAATAGTCTCAGAGATTTTAAATTTGAGAGGAAAGCTATATTTTTCTTTACGATGTGTGGTAAGATTTTCAAAACACTTTAGCGATTTTTTAGCTATTTATAGACATTTTAATTTTGCGAATAAATACGTAATTTTTATTCGGTAGGTACTTTATCGATAAAATTATTAGACTAAATAGAAACAATAACAGGAGATATAATATAAGTCGGTAAAAAAAAAAATTGAGCGTAATGTAAATTTTTTTTTTATAAAAATTTTAATATCAAATTTTGATGAAAATCGTAAATATTACGGTCTTTCAAAACATGTATAATCGAACTCCGGTCAGAATCGTTTTTCGTTAGCAATGATTAATCATTGCATACATATGTGGATTACATTTTTCTCTATATCCTACCCTCCCAGCTTTTCCCCTACAACAGTGACCCACCCATCTTGTAAAGCATGTGCGTATTTTTTATTATCTATTTACTCTTTATATTAAAATAATAAATGTAATCGTGATCTGCGCCTCCTCGGGCTTTGCTTTAGATACAAAAATTAATATATAGAAGTGTTATTTAATCTAGTATTTAACTTAAAACGCTAATTTAATAATTGTTGATAATACATAAATCTTTGGATCCCTGCCTTGAACAAATTCTTGCTACGTCTCTGAACTAAACGTATATTTTTATTTGTTATTCATTCATTTTTCTTACTTTTATAACAATACTATTCTTAGAATTTAGCTTTTTGTTCAACATCTGTACAGATTACGAAGAGATAACAGAGCTATTTGAATAAATTCTATTCTTGCGTGTGGGTTTACATCAGGAACTTTGAGGGAAGTCGATGTATCATAAGATATACATTATATTGTACGTTATATTTTTATATACAACTTCAAATTTAAAAATACTCGTGACTAAAACAATGAATGTATTGTTTACATAAAGTTTAATAATAATTTTAGGAAGGTATTTTAATGTTAGAGGACAAAGATAACAATACCGAGAGCAACGGCGCGCGGCGGTTGAAAATGCATTCATTGACATTTTAGACTAATAGCAAACTATTTTTAAAAATTGTCTTAGACAAAGTAGAAAAAAAAAATAAACATCATTGGCTACATAATTTGCAGTGCCAAGTATTTTTGGAATGTATGAATCAGTCCCATATTTGGCACTATACAATATGCATACAGATTTGCGCACAATCGGTCATTATCTTTTTAGTATCTCTTTTATTATTTATATGGTAATTAAATTGTGTTAGTTATATTATGTTATTACATGGATAATTATATCACACTTTAGAAAATAAAATATTTTTTACGGTAATAATATTTATTTGCATTATACATATTGGACCTTTAAACGTATACAAATTAATTAATAGCCTTTAATTGTTAATAATATTTTTAATAAAATTCGTTATTGATTCTAAAAATTGTGAGTTGTATGAAATTATACTTATAATTTTATCAGACTACTAATCCTGTGTTAATTTCAAGGGCTTAAAAACAAATTGCATTGATTTTTTTGTTTACTATTTTTTTTAAATATTTTAAAACCTATATTATTATTTATTCAATTTAAATACCTATCAACCTTGAAGTTTTATGCTAATTTGTGGAGTGCATTTTTAATAATATTTTTAAATTCTGAACGAAGCGAAAAATGTATTGGTTTTACAATGATATTTATTTTTTTACTATTATTTTTTTTACCTGTAAACAACATTTTTCTCCGTTTTCATATGTAGCATTTTTTCTGATAGTAAATTTTATATAGGTGGTACTTTAAGAAAGTAATTTTTAATTTTCCCAGGAATTTTCATAATAAATGGAGAAAACAGAGAAAATGAATGATATGTATTATTTTAAAATCGAAAATATTACGGCCTTTTAAACATTTTTAACCGAATTTCAGATATATATTCAATTTTCCGTGTACCTTCCCAATTTCTTATCTACAAAGTGGTCCACTCATCATGAGAAGTATATCCGTTTGTTTTTATACATACGGGGTATTATATAATATAATAATGTGTATATGCTGTATGCACTATTGTTATCTCTAAACTTAGCTACTTGATGCCGAATGTTGGTAATTCAGCGTTTTTAGACATAAGGGATCCATTGCTCTTTTTTTGGGAAAATTTTGTTAAGGGCTTAAACAGTATCAAAACCATGCATCTTCGTATACTGTCGACAACTTTCGAATGATCACTATGAAGCAATATTAATAATATCTATGGCGATGATACCGTTGTCAACGGGTTGTTCTTTTATTATAGTACCTATATACAAATATATTAAATAAATTGTTTTCTCGGCGCGTTCACATTATAATTTTATTTTATTTTTTATTCGAAGAAAACATTTTTACCGTAAGTTTGAATTATTTTTATGACTTCTTTAATTAAAATTGAATTCTCGTTGCTTTTAATAAATTTGAATTATCTATCGGTTAGGTATTGTTTTATTTTTGGATAATATTTATGAATCAAGTTTTGGACAAGTTTTTAATAAATGCTAATAAATATGTGTGTATCGTCTACTAATTCATAAAACTGCACCTGAGAAACTTAATCTGAGTAATTACCTATGTGAATGTATATTATTTTACCTATTTTTGATTTAATTAACATGCAACAAAAACTGTCAAAAATGAAACTCTAAGGGACTGAACTAATTTTTGTTCATCACTGATTGCCGTTAGTATTTAAAATTTAAGTGTTGATATATGTGGAATTCACTTTTGAAACCGTTCAAAATTGTGTTTCATATACAGAGTGACCAATTTATCAAGGATCTGTTTTAGACTCGTTTTACTGCAAGCGTACCACATACACATGGTGCTTAAATACGTAATGTATTTACATGCAAGAGTATAATATAATAGTTATTATGCTAAAATAATTATGAAATAGCTGGATTTATGCAAAAGTAGAGAAACACTTTTTACAATTTCATGATATAAGTCTTAAAATGGTTTTTTCGTGGTTTATGTCTATTGTATAGTATACGTGTATACCTATTATGTACTTATGTATAATATTATAATTTGTTCATATTATATAAACAAATTTCAATTCAAATTGATATAATATCAACTTTTTTTACCATATTATAATAGTATGGTAAAAAAATTCTTCTATAAATAAATTTTAATAATTTCTTGTTTATAAAAGATGAGCCATGAATACAGGTAAAAAACGAGTATTATAATATATTATGTATAGGTACCTATACACTACTAATATTTATTATAGTTAAAATGTATGTAAAAAAAAAAAAAAAAAAAAATGTTAACGTTAATGTAATATTACATAGTACCTAAAACCAAAATATAACTACCTTTATGAATACACTTTAAGAGAGATTTCATTTTATTAGTGATTTATTATGTGAGACTAGAATAGGTAATCAGATTACGAGATATCCAAATCCATCTTCTAAGAAGTGAACGTTTTTGGAAGATTTACTTCTTTTGTTTAAATATTACAGTGATGGATGCCACCAGTGCACCACTGCTATACAATTGATGAAATAATAAGAATACACGACAATAAGTGTTTCTATGAAAATTAAATTGGTAAAGTATCTACTATTACCACTTATATTACATATTATATTATAATTCCCGGTTCTGATATCAAAGAATATGTCTGAACGGTTGCAGTAGGTACATTGCATATTCGTACATATTATTATAATTCCAGATTTTCTCCTCGTTTTTCATTGTTGTCGTTATAGTGGTTACCACTATGGCCTTTCCCTCCTCCCTCGACTTATTGGTCTTAACAAAGCCACGTACGATTTATAATAATAATATCGTTTTTATCTAATATGGTAACTATTATATGTGCACACAAGTTTAAAGTGGCATTAAATTACTACAAAGGTTATACTGTGATCTCCGTATACAATATTATCCGCATCGTACTTACGATTTAAGGACGGGAAATTATTTTGCGTTTTGTTTACCATACAGAATCGTCCAATTTTAACGGTAATGTTTTCGTTGGAAGTAGGAAAACTTCTAGGCACTCCATTTTCCAATATTTTAATGCCAAATTTTATATGATAGGTATATATTTAAAAAAGTAATTTTAAGTGGTTTTTTCACCTACTTTTTTATAACATTATTTGAAATCAAATATAAAATCGGGGTTCAATGTGGGCTGTAGAGTGTTGTTGTTTATTAAAAGATAAATGGTATAGAGAGAGAGCGAGACAAAGAGTTACTAAAAGCAACGGGCCATCTTATTGTAGATATAATAATAATAATATTGTTATCAATTACATTGTTATGACGTCATTGTGCTGCAATTGGTCGTCGTGAGTAAACAGAAAGATATAGGCTATATGCATAATAATAATAACATTACTATCATCATTGTATGTATAGGAACTATAACAGATATTAACAACATTAAGTATTGTAATCGTGTACCAGTATGAAGAAAGCAACGACGACGGTTCACTACTTATATAATATTATAAAATATATAAGTATTTTAATGGATTTAACGTGTATTCCGGTGTAGGTACTTACGCGATAATCATGCTTTCTACGACCAGTGGACGAAGGGGAGGACATAACTCCGCGTCCAAATAAATGAATATCGAGAAATTGTTGTAAAACTCGGTCTGGTATTATAACAGGACATAAAAAAAGGTCAGATTTTATGGGTATTATTACAAATTTAACGTGGTATAAAACACAGTGAATAACTTACAGTGTTTACACATTGTAAGTTCTCCGATCTTTCAAATATTAAAAACATTAAGTAGGTGTAATATTTAGTAGGTACCTACTAAGTTACAAATAATAACAGCTGATGTAGTCAGGGAACATGGGAGACATATGCTCCTTGGTATGACAAATAGCCGGTGGCTTCTAGCGTTGAATGACGAAACGTAGAAGCCAATCAAAGAAAGGAGGTCTGGAGCATCTATGGATCCATTAAGAAAGGAAGAAATAAAGATGAAATCGATTTCGAGGTGTCTGGTATAAGAATAAGGGAGTAGTCATGCGGAGGTTGCTGAAGCTTAAGAACGAATGAGGCATACGAAAAAAAATGTATTCTGAATACTTCTAACCTTAGTTGGTCTATCGCAAGATACGGATGCCACACTACTTCACCGTACTCTAAAATTGAACGGACCAAGGCTAAATAGAGAGCACGGAGGCAGTTAGTAGAATTACAATTTTTTGTATTGCGCTTTATGAAACTCAATACCGTTAAAGATTTACAAACGGTAACATCAATGTGCTGCCCATAATTTAAGGAGAGGATGAAGAGGATTTCTAGATCTTTGATGTGGGTTACTCTATGGAGTGACTGCAGAGAGTAACTATATTGCAATGGATATCTATTCCTGCTGAAGGACATAACGTTGAATTTATCTACATCAGTCCGAGATAAGTAACCCAGTTATAAAAAAATATTAAGCTCAGATTAAAGTATTAGACAATCTGTAAGGAGAGACATTTTCGAAGACCCTGTCGTGTAATATATTATATTACATAGCGCCGTATACAAATACAACGTCCGAACTTATTGTTATGGTTCTTATGATTGGTGATGCCTAGCAAATGACCCATTACCATTATTATTATTTTCGGTGTCCAAACGTGTTACATAAAATTGCCCGAACGTGCTATGATCGGAGTCATTGTGTTATTATAGTGACCACACGTTTTTCGTACGAGTTTACAACGAAAAATGTAATCGCGCGGGCCGAGAGCATTCACCTCGTAAATCGGGTAAAATGACACCAACTCGGTAAAATGGAAAAAAAAAAAAAAATTCCTCGAAATCCAATGGAATACAGGAAGTTTATTCACGGCGTTATTCCTTTTTTCGGCGGTGCCACGCACCGGGGAAAAGTCGTACCGTTCTCTCGGTCCGATGGTCGTGCCGGCGAGAGTGCGAGACAGGTGTCGGCGCGATGGCGGCGGTGGTCGCGCGACAGAGACGTAGACGGAACCCGTCGTTATACGCGGGAAACGGATTATTATTACGCCTAGGTACACCGGTTATTATTTTTTTTCGTTTATTTCGTGTTACCCACGGTTTTTTGTCGTGGGTTTTATTTTTCACATTTTTCATTCGGTTTTCGCGCGTATATTATAATATTTTAACCGTATACGGAACGGGCTACAAGGACCCGTCTACCGTAAGGCCGGGTGCGAAGGGTTTTATTTGTATTTGTATTTATTTTTTTTTTTCAAAAAATCTGCTCCCTACCACCAGAGGTAACCGGCTCTCTAACCCGACCGGCCGGCGTCGTGGGACCGCGGAGAGGGTCATCGCTAGACGGCCGCTACACGCACCAGGAGCAGCTGTGCACCGACCCATAAATAGCCTATCGGGTCTCATCAACGCTAGATTAATTATAGCGGCGGCGTCGTGTATAGAGTACGGCGGCGGCGGCGGCGGCGGTTACTTCAGTCGCGCGTGTCCGCCGGTCGCGGGCGTCGGTGGCCGGCCGCCGGAGGGGGGGGGAACACAAACGGCCACAGAAGCGTCGCCCCTCCCGCCGCCCGCGCATTCGCACACCACACACGTACACACAGACACACCACACACCACACACCGCACACCGCACACCGCACACCATACACACACACGCGCGCGGACGCCGTTTTACGATATTATGGCCTCGTCGTCCCTGCCGGGTCGCCGCCTTGTCGCTGCACGTGGGTTCTGGCCGCGACAAAACGCGCGCGTTATATCGTAATATTATCGTAACGCGTGTGATATCACACGCGTTTTTTTGTTTTTTTTTTTTTTTGAATTTGAATTCGAGGTCGTATACTTTTTAATTGTTTATGTTTCTAATCCGTTCAGAGGTGATATTTTCGAAACCGTTAGAAAAAGACTTCGGCGGACTACAGGATGTCGGAACCACCCGTTGCTTGTGTACACATACGAAAAGTGCTGGAGCGGAACCCGACCGCGAGCGGGAAGGGACCGAGAATGATGTGGGAATAAGTGGTCAGGAATCGTTGGGATTGTCCGTTATGATTGGTTGTGAGACGGAATCATTCCTAGACCGTCGCATTTACGTTAAAATAAATCCTAATATTAATATCGTTTTAGTATAGCGTGCCGTAGTATTTTAGTTTATACAGTGCTGCTGTATAAAAAAAGTTAATAAACACCGGTATACACAGAACGTGTCGAAAAATCGTGAGTCGTTTTTTACCCGTTTTATACTCGGGAACGGCTTAATCGGAATCGACGGACGCGAGACCGTGCACTGTCCGGGCGACAGGAAACGGCTGTCATCATGTACATTATGGGGCTAAACAGAAATTCGAGTTGTCAAAGGTTAGACTTATCGAGACTTTTTTTTCAAAACAAATTATTTAATAATATTTATCTTAATTTTTTGCACAAATTTATAACATATAACAAGGCCGGGTATACTTCGCACCACGCGTGAGACACTTTTGTAGGTATGAATTTTAAAGGTTTAATGCAATTTAGCTGAGAAATAATAGTTAATGGTTTATACGATAAATCATTGCAATTAAAAAGCAATACTGAGCGGAGTGTAACTAAGTTGTGTAATCAAGAAATCAACAAAAATATAATTACCAATGCCATTTGTATCGTCATTTGTTGCGAGTTTTTCTAATTTTAATGAGAAATGGTTGGCAATCTAGAAATTTGTTTCAAATAATGTATCGCATCTCTTAATAAAGTACGATGTAAATTATTTGGAGGAATTATACTTACCGAAAATTGTTTCTCGAGAAAAACAAGTAGATATCTTACAGTAAAACCAATAGCTTCTTCGTTATTATAATCTGAATTTAAAAATTACGCATTAAATTGCACAATAAAACGATATAGATAAATTAAAATATTAATTCAATTTTAATTTTGTATAATACGCAGTACGAAACGACGACGTTTGCAAACAAAAAACGATTCTGTTTGAAGCTTGCTTGTTTAACATAATATGTGTATGCCGTATGTTTGTCATGTTTTCATTGCAGTTAAAGTTGTTTAATTTGGTTTAACAAAGGGAAATTGAGAACGTGGGGGGGGGGGAATACGAAATTTAAGTGTAAACTCCAAAACAGAAATTAAATTTACAAATCCGGATTTGCAATACGCATGTTCTGCAATCTGTCCACCAATAAATATTCAAAATTTCAAACCTTTGCGCACAGGTGCGTGCTATAATATACAGATTTCGTCCAAAACTGTATTTAATTAAAAGGTTTTTTTAAAAATTGGGAAAAAGGAGAAAGTTTTGTAACCTACAGTGCCGTAAAGGTTTTTTTTTTTTAAATATTATTTTTGTTGGTGTATTCAGTTAAAAAAAATACTACGAATGTTCACAGAATACTTATGTCAACCTTGTCTAGAAATGGTAAAATGTTCAAAACATTTAGTTTATTATTCGATTATCCATAGGAATTTGACATTTTTCAGTTGTTATTTGGTTTTACATGGATAAAATCGTTTTGGCCCGTCAGAAATGTTTACAAGTTTATTACGAGGTTTATCATAAGTTGTTTTCAATGGTAAAAAGTTGAGTTGCCGTAAAAATTTTTTTATAAATTCAAATGTTGACAAAAATCTTATAAATTGTGACATTTCAGAATCGTATTACGTACTTACGTTGGGGATGATTTTTCGTTTCGTACCGATATAAATTAAAATAACTCTATATATCCTTCTTTCCCAACTTCGCGTCTACTTTTTTTTTTTTTGCAGGTCGATGATTATATTATATTTATTTTTCAAGACGTTGAAACTTTCGAGCTTTCGTTTAAATCATTGTATCCTTATTATTCCGAACCTCGTCAATCGATTCGTATTATTTATTAATAATAATAATAATAATTTTTTTACGCATCATATTGCCGGTCGACCTCGAAATAGTGATTCGCAGCCGAGGAAAGGATAAGATTATTTTCTATATTTTACACTAGGTACATGAACAATGTGCGCCGGAACGTGCGGTAAATTGAGCCACTTACGTTTAGCCGCGTGGTTAGGTAAATATATCTAATAATAGTTATACGAGGTGTGTGTAGGTACGTGTAATTTTTGCCACATCTGACCCCTATTGAAATATTGTAATTTGCGTTCGATCCCATTGAGATATTGTAATTTGCACGGAGAATAATAAATACACGCACAATAATGCTAGGCGAGCGTGTTGGCCAGTCACCTATTTTTTTAGATTCTGAGCACGGTGAGGAATGTATTAGTTTTATTATTATGTGTTTTTTTTTGTGTGTCTATAAACAATTTTTCCACCATCAATATTACATAATAAACATTATGTATAGGAATTTTATTGTAAAATGTTTGATTTAGTTGATTTATTGGGGAGACCATTTTTTGATTTTCCTTGTAATTTTCCATATTAATGGAAAAGACTGACAATTGTTTGTATAATTATTGTTAAGTTCTGGATTACATTGGCAACAAGTAAAAAAATACGATTAACAACATTATGTTTAGAATTGGTTTTTGTTAACAACGGTAAATTATTAAAGAAAATATAACAATTATATATTATAATGCCGATTTAATTATTTTATCATAATATGACATAATTGTATATATTATTGGCAAAGCATCACTATCAACTGAACTCCACTCTGAATTATTTTTCGTTATTAATGGTTTAATCTTAGTTACATGTATAAATTAAATAATTGTATGTATCCCTACCCTTCCCAATTACCTACCTACAGCAATGGGTGCATACCCATCCCTAATATTAGTTGTTTTTGTTGTTTTTTTTTTGTTATAATTTGGTAAAAATAATCGGCATTTAAAATTTTCACAGAATACATATATTATATTATCTTTTTATAAGCGTGGTAATTTTTTTATAATATTCTAGCTATTTTTGAGCTTAATATAAGCATTTGACATTTTTTAGTTTTTTTAAGTTTATAATATTATATACCCATTGCCGCCAGTTATTACTACGAGAATACTAGTATACGGCATATACAGAGCTATAAATGATGTTATTATACACACTCGAATTATTACTCGCCGACCCGAAATTCAATTTTTTTTTTTTTTTATTTAGCGACGGCGGAGATTGCGTCCTATTTTACGGAATTTTTATTATGGAATATTTCGACCGTTCGACCGAAGACAAAGCTTGAATTATACGCACTTAACCGATTCACGTATATACCTACCTATAATACGGATTGCTGAGCAGGGCACTCATTGACGTGCAGTTAACCATAAGTCGTATCCCGACTGAATTACCTACAAATGAATTGTGTCTAGTCGACGAAAAAAAAAAAGACATGTACGAGTATTTAATCATTATTGCGTCACAAAACGGTTAAATGAGGTACCTTACTAGGTACATTAGATTAGTTCGAATATAAAATTCAAACGAAAAAAGTTTAGGCGTTTTGGATAGGAAAAATAATGTCAAACAAACCGAAGAAAAATGATAACGCGGGTCGAAAGACAAAAACGAATGAGGATTGAGGAAACGGAGAAACAATATTGGGGAAGCGAAATTAATAGTTGTCTTAATTAGCGTTATACTGCGATGGTGCGCCGGACGTATATTACCAAATCGACTAGAGCCCCAATACCGTGCCCGAATATGCTGCACTTATTGATTGATTTGAATTGTGCAGTCAAAATATGGTATCTGATTGGCCGGTATAAAATATTATGTCATTAAAATAGCACGTTTAAATATCGTGTTATATAATTACACAGTAGTAACTGGTAGTACATAAATGATAAAATTGTGTGGGTTCAGATAACAAACGGCCAAGAGAATATCTTATGTAAACAAAGTTGATCAGACGAATTTAAGATTGTTGGGCTTGGTAGACGATGCAGAGGCAATCGAGGACAGGGAGAGATGGAGTCAGCAAAAATATTGCGGAAATGTATCTGGCGAGTCTCTAAAAAACTTTACATAAATGCATATTTTGAAAAATGAGTGAAGAGAACGACCATGAAATTTGTTTCCAACCGGAATCATGTGCCCAAAACCTATCTGAGTTTTTTTTTTTATATTTTCTGAGTACAGCAATCAATGTAATCGTTTTTCCGACTTCCCAAATATAACAGTGGCAAACACATGATGGTGCGAATTATGAATGTTTTTTTCGTAGTTTTAAATATTCGTCGTCACTGGTGCAAATTATAATATATACCTAATACCTACATACGATATTGTGCACGTATACAAAAACTAGTTTCGTACATTGCAAATTATTATAATACAAGTAGGTATATGCACTCTTATTTTTAGGTCATTATATTTTTTATGAAGGCAAATTACACGTGCGATTCAGGCTCACCGCCGCAAATATCGACGGTTCATTCAGTGCAAACATCGTCCTAAATTTTCTGTGAATATATCGTAAAATTCACACGGTACTAAGTTACACGAGTTTTTTCAACTATCTAAATTCTAAAACGATATCAAAACGTTATATTTCTTTCGTTGTATAGTCATCATTCGTGTTTGAGGATGGGGAGGAGCGCCCTACCACAAATTGTATAGCTAAATCCATCTATAAATTATATTATTCTTCCCCCTAATACTTATTTTTCTAATTATTTTCACTATACAATAAATTAAAGATGTGCTTACCCAGTAATTCATTAAATATAAGTATGAGCTACTCTAGTGATTAGTTTTGTCCGGTTTGTCTGTCTGTATGTGTGTGCGCTCTAGAGCGTTTTATTAGGTTTTAACTTTCGTTAAAACGAAAATGAATTTTTAAGCTGGATTTTCTAGATGGGCTCATTATAGCTAATATTATAGAAGTTTGTCGTTGCGGGGCTAAACGAAACTCAAATTGTCGGTCCAAATAAATTCCAGTAATGGAAAATTAAATGTTAAATACCGGAAAATCATGGTTGTTACATAGAATTTATTCGATGTTTGTAATATGAATTTGTAATATTATGATCATAGATAAAAATATTATCAATGTGATAAAAAAAAACAAAACAAATCATTTCTCAGATTATCCCCGAAATGACACATCTACAATTTTTAGTAAATAATTTCGAAACACATATAGGCGCGAGTTGCAAAACAAAAAATTAAAAATAATAAAATAAATTTCTATACTAAACGGAAATGTATGATGGGAATTTATGCGGATTGGTATTTAAAAAAAAAAAAAAAAATTATAGCTAGTTATAATGCAAGTAGTACGCATACATATTATATATATATTTATATACTAATAAAATTCTATAATAATATGATAGCCATTAAATGATCGGAAGTCAATAAACAATTCGTGTGTACCCGTTCGCACGCGTTAATAAATATTACTATCGATACGCCACTGCAGTTTTATTGTATATATGTATTTTTTTTTTTTTTTTTTTTTGTTACTCTCGTGTGTAATTAAATATATATATTTGCATAGTTAACGAACCGCCCTCGAAAAATTTACGAACGTCCTCGGATAATAATTTTTAATAAATATTCGAACACCAATACTTATTAGTATTTATAGTACTAGTGATATCCAATATGTGTATTTAATAATGTGATAATTTTTTTTTTTTTTTTTTACATCGCCGCGGCGCGGATAATAATATTCAAAATGTGCGCTTTATATTGAAATTGATTGATAAAACCGACGCCGCCGCCACCGTAAATCTAACAATTATTTAATGAACGAAAAAAAAAGAAATAATAATAATAATAATAAATAAATAATTGAAAATAATCAGCAGATCGAAATAATATTTTATACTCGTAATGCTCGTGTAGAATTTCGATAAAAAACAAATAAAAATTAAATATTTTATTATACTGTAGATATGTGTGCATACTTTACATTTCGGGCAAGTATTTACAATCGATATTATTTTGTGCTGTGGGTCAATATGCGGGCTGACGAAATTTTATTTATATTTAGTTTTATTAGTATTGGTTTTACTATGATGCGATTTTTTTCTCTCGGAAAAATCTTTTTCAGTTGCGTTACACTAGAACTACCACTATCAAATTTCGATACAGAACCTTCACAAAATTGTATACTTAAAAAAAAAAAAAATTGTACACCTCGAATTTTCTCGGGTTTTCTATTTCTACTTCAGATTATTTACATCGTACATTAAAAATCATGCGAATTTTTTTTCCGTTGGTAAATTAGACAAAAAATAATAAAACTGTAATAAAGAAAGTGTGCAATTATTGTAACTGGAATAGAGTAAAAAATACCACTCGTTAAAAAATCACAAGCAATAAAATTACGATCTGAGTATTCAAATATTTGTTTAAATATAGGTAGTTTTACATTTTAATAATGTAGCTAAATTCAGAGTTATTATAAATATACAAGCCGTTTTTTTTTTTTACTTTACGGGAGGTTTTTAGTTGTAGAAGATTGTAGTAGATTGAATTTTCTATTTGGATAAACGGTAAGGCACGAAGAATATTGAAATATTCGTTCTACCGAAAAAATGTACATAGAATACTAAAAGAAAAAAAAACAAAACAAAACAAAAAACACTTTATTGTAAAAGCAATATATTACTCACGACTCATTCCCTTAAAAGACTACGAAAATATATTAGATCGACATAAAAATGCTTTTTTCTATTATGCGAAATGTTTTTTCCCCCCGTTAAATACCATTATATAGTCAAGTTATAGTAAAATTTTAAAATGTTGAAACGATATTTGGGTTTACGTTTTAGGATACTGTTTGAATAACAATTTTTTTTTTTTTTGTGTACAGTATTTTGCAATAAAATATGAGTGAGGAAATAGTATTTTCTATTGTCTTGCGGAAAACGCTTTTCGGGACAGTAAAATTGAGTTGAAAGTTTCGTTCTACTGTTTCTTTTATTTCACTTTTCGATATCCGCGATAATAAAATCAAGAAAAAGTATTATAAAATAACCGTCGAGAATGAATTCGAACAGCCGTCAAAATGTTTATTCCGAGTTCTTTTGGTATTGTTTTTCGATTGCAAATGGATGTTAATTATTATTTATTCTTGATTTAAATAATATGACGAAAATATTACTTTCTGTACCTTACCGTAAGTACCGAATTTTCGTTCGTAACCATTACGTTCAAATCATTATTCGAAATCGTCGTAGATTTTTGTAAAAATGTAATAATACTTAAATACGTCTAAATACTTTTTAATGGTATCGATTTTGACGTATTACCTACTACAGTTGTATGCGTTTTCATTTCTATGTTTTATTTATTTTTTTTATCTTTTTCCTTCTTAGTAGAATCACACTTATCTTTTGTTGGTTTGTTTGTTTGTTCGGTTCTTTTTTTTTACTTTGAAGAAGTATTTACGACCGTGCGGCTTACGATGATAAAACATGTATTTCAGTCATATAAAAAAAGAAAAATAAAAAAAAATAAGAGAAATATGATGCCGTTAATATCATATATTATAATAAGAAAGAGAAACGCTCATTTCTTCTAAACTAATAATTTGTTCTTGTGCCTTGTGCGTATTATACACTGTAAACGTATCGTAATATATATATTTATAAGAGTATAAAAAAATAATGTTTTCGTGGTGATATTTATTAGGCCTAAGGCCTTTTTTTTTTTTAAGTTTATTAATAGTTAAAGTAATTAATTATTCAGTAGGTATACTTATGTCATTTAATACAGTCAAAATCATAATATATATAATATATAATATGCATTACAATTTACAACTCCAATGAAAATTAAAAATACATGTTATAATATCATATTATATTCTACATTATTTTTTTACAATAAGTTATTCATTTTTAAATACAGATCGTGTTGTTTTCAGCTATAAAGGAGACGCAGACAATTATACACTGCGATAAAACAAAATCTATAAAAATTTAAATTTAAATTATTCGCGTTTTGTAATTATATTTATCATTTTAGATTCCGGGCAAAGCAAATATTATTATTATATTGTGTAAGCGATGTGATTTTTTTTCCCTTTTTCTTATCTGCAGGTAGTGCACTCGTTTTCGAGACAAGAATAAAAATTCTTCGACAGTCGCGTTTAAAGATTAAAAAAATAATATTATTATAGGCAGTTTGTACTTCAAAAAGGTGATTTTAATGGAATTTCTTAAGAATCGTGGGAAAATAATAACATTAAGTATTTTGAAATATAATCGAAAAATTGAGATATTTCATTAAATTTGATAACATTTTTATAATTTTCAAAGGAGGTTCGATTAGTTCAATAATTAAGTACAAAATAAATTATTTACATTGGTTGATATTTTTAAATTTCAGTAAACTACAGTATTTGTATTTTGTATACACATACCTACTCACGAGTTTATTTGTAATCTATTTTTTACTAAATTTTAGTATTCGTAATTTATGTTGTATCATTATTATTTTATATTTATATATATATATTAATTTTTAATAATTTATTGGACCAAAATAATCAATTTTTAAATTATTGAATTAAATGTTTTATTTGTTTTGCAAAGGAGATTTTTTTCTCGGAACTTTTTCTGTTAGTAAAAATATTTCGATTTTTTCACGTCAGATTTCAAAAGAAGCGGAATTAACGATAGCGCAGCGGCACTCTATTTAAATAATTTATCGACATTTTCATCAGTATAACAATAGGTCCTTTTTTCGGTTATTTTAATTTTATTGATGGGTTACCTTTTCTTTGGCTATTTAAGCGAAAAAATACGACCTCTCTGAATCATTTTTTTCTGGTTGATCGTTGCATACAATTATTTATCAATTAAATACTAAATTACTTCCAAATTTCAACCTAAAATAGTGGCCTAAATATGATGCGAAATATGTCTGGTGTTTCGCATTTAATTATTTTTAGTTCATTCCTAAATTATATACTTATATTTCAAAATTTAGTATTTATAAAAAAAAATTCTTATTGTTATTTCAGTTAATATTTTATTTATAGCATAGATTTTTCGGAGGAAAATTTACACAGTAAAAATAGTGACAGGTACGTCAAATTAATTAAAATTAAATAAATCATCATAAAATACTGATAAAGTCAGACGGGAGACGACCCTTGTACGATTCCCCGTACTCTTTTTTTATAAATACAACTTACAGTACTTGATATATTGAACCGTTTTTTAATGTGCTCGATTTGTTTTGCAGCTTACTTGAGTACCTATGCCATTCTATTTTTGTTTTGTTTACGCAGATTATATTGTTAAAATATGGATCTGTTGCAGGTCGTTTTTTCAAAAAAAAAAAAATAATAAAAACTTAGCGCACCCGTCATAATAACGTTGCAGTCACGTTTTGAACGAAATTTACAATTCGGTTTATTATAATATATGTATACGAATAAAATCCGTATAGAGAATATTATTTGTCCGTGAAACTGTCACTGGAATAATTCTTGGGGGACATTGGTGCGGGCGTACTTATAAATCAAAAAATCTTCGTACAACGATTGTACAAAAATAAAATATAAATGTAAAACGAGCTAAAAAAAAAAAAAAAAAAAAATAAACTAAGGTTATGTGTTATACACCCGTTGTCAAATTCACAACTTTTTTTTATGTGAACACAATAATGTATATACTATAAATTTATTGATGGAATATAACTGCTAAACCTATTATATTATATAGGAACGAGTGCAATAAATATTACTTTACGCGTTAATATATTATAAGGAAAAAAGGGCACTGGCTTTTTTTAATTTCAGCATAACATAATAATTTAGATATACCTATTATAGATACGTTCCGTGAAATGTGTTATCGACTTCGTTTGGGTGTTTTTTTTTTATTTAAATTATCCGAACAATTATGGGTTACACTTTTATACAGAGGGAGGGAAGTAAACGTAATTTAAAAAAAATTAATGACGATTTTTTTATAATAAACTAAATTCTTAACTTTAATGTTTCATTAATAAATCAATTGTATTATGTTTGTTGGTACCTAAACAGAAATATTATTATTTTAAATCTTTAAACTTTAATTACTACATTATTCTTCGTTAAATACTAATTGCAATCTACGTGGATATTCGCTACCAAATTGTGTTAGTACTTTTTCAATTAATATTGATCTTTCCCTAAATTTACTTGTTCATAATGAACATATAACATGTTTATTGTATACTTAACATGCTTTAAAGGTTGAAGTACTAAGAGAACTTTCTGTTGTAAAAATCGTAGCTGTAACAAGGTCGTAAATATTTCCAAAGTAATTGCTATACTAGAGAAAAATGTACAGTTACTATTTAAGAAATCAATAAAATTATGTTTTGGTGGTTTCAATTTTTTGAAAATATTACCAATTTTTTGCTTCAACTTTTAAACTATATATTTTATAAAATTCGTAAATTCTTACGAAGAATATTTTTGTCTCGAATTATTTAATTCTTGTGGGATGATGACAGTGTAATAAGAAGCATTATTATATATTTTTTAAAAATGTTCTTTTATGGACTAAATAATTCACAACTTTTAGTTTAATAATTTACCATTAATGAATATTTTTTTGTTATTTTTTTTTTGTTTGCAATGCAAATATCTAAAACAGTGGCGATAAATTTAGCTGTAAATAACGTTTGAAAAATGTCATTAGTGCCCTTTCGATGATTATCGAATATGTTTAGTAATAAATTATTAATAATAGTTCAATGGCTTTATAGAAATCTACTGATATGCCTTACTATAATATATTTGTCACAGGTTCTAAAATGGTACGGCGTTTCGCCATAACAATCATAGAAATCAAGAAATTTGAACTCGAGTATGTAGAATATAAGTAATGAGCTCATTGTTTTTATATTTTAATTTGAATATTCGCCATTGTTTAATTATGATTTTAAATTTTTTTCGAAGTAAAATGTTTTAAAAATTTTCTTTAAAGTCTTTAAAAATGTATACTTTTATACTTTGGTAATCAGCTTGTTTCCCAAAAAAGGTAAATCTTCTTCTAAGGGTACTTTCGTGGATTTTATAATTATACCTTCTTGCCTCCCTTCGAGACGCTTATGTGAACAATAATCCCGGGAGATGAAAATTTCGCTTTATCCTATGGATAATCATCGTCGTGAATAGTCTTTTGGCCCGAATGAAAAGATGTACAGAATACAAATATTATACCTATACGAAACCAAGTCTTTCTGCTATTTTAATGTATAGAATCATTTATTCGGACGCAATGATTTATCGTTGTTATAAAAGCTTTAGATATAATATTTGTATGTATACAAATATATAAAATCATGCCCACGCTACTGACAGTAGTTGTTAGCCATGATTTTGAATTAGGGGCTAAATATGTTTTTATTCGTTGGTAAGAGGAGGTTTGGGTGTTCAGTCCTCTAAAAAAAGTTTTAGAAAAAGTCTTTTCATTAATGCAACTCTAAGTTCATTGAATAAAATTAATAACCAAAACTTAGTAACGAAATGAGAATATTATGTATAGTGTATTGATATAACTTATATACGACTTGGTTACATATATTTACTACATCCTTCTGACAGCTACATACTCCAAGGAGGATTTTGAGCACATTCAATAATTACCTATATATGTATACAATTTTTATTAATGTCTTTTTTATTTATATTATCTATGATTATTCCATTGAATCTATTCCTGACATATCGTAGCGTTCCTCCTTAAATACATTTGCATACTGTTCAATGAAGAAATAATTTTCTTTCAGGTGTGGAAGAAATAAATTGAAACATAGTTATCAATCAAATCGTAAAATAATATGCATATATAAACACAGCCTACGGGAGAGAGGTGTTATAGATCCCTTATCACCCTCAACTCTTGGCTATAACATTATGATATAAAGTAGGTTTGCGCCATACGTCATAGCCCATAGGACATAGATTATCGCCATAAAAATAAATACGATGAATACAGTTCGATAATAGTAATAATAATAATTAAGAACAATTAAAGGACCGAGAAAAGTAGGTTTAATAGTTGTAAGACTTGACCGATACGGTTTTAAAAAGAATCAAATGGACAAAATAATGTCTGACTTGCGATCGCGATAACGCGCGATGACCGACATCACGAAAGATTTTTTTTCACACGAGTTTTTTCTTTCGTATTCCAGTTGTCTACTTGTGTACATAGTTTTTTTTTATTTTTCATGTGTGACAGTAGCCAAAGTATGCAGATAATAAATATTTTGATAGTCTATTCAGAAGTGCAATGGAGGTTTCATGAAATATAAATGTTTTACGAAGTCTGGGTAATATATAATAGAGTATATAGAGACGAAAGAGTAAAAAACACCAAAACCGATTAATAAGTGTATTTGAAACTTTACACTATTATACACTTTAAACGTAATATATTGTTTTAGTAAAATAGTATAATAAAAATGTGATTAAAATAAATAATGGAACTTGGTACTGTACATAATTATTATAAATTGCAAATTATAACCCTGCAATGTAACTATATTATGTTGTTGCAATTGCTATCTGGGTATGATTTTAGTTTTAGATTCTGAGTGAATACCGAAGAAGTTTTATTAAAATATATTATTTTTCTTCTCGGAAAACACTTGTTCACAGTAAGCAAAAATTATGTGAATTGTTTGCACCGTACTTTAAAAAATTTGGAATTTCCACCGATGGAATTTTTTTGTGAAATATTTTTTATAGATTTTCGGCCATTTTTTTTTGAAAAGGCTAACGATGGTATATTTCGGTGTTATTTTCCCTTGATTTTCGTGTTAAAAGAGGACAAAAAAAATACTACTATAATTCCATATACCCTTACCAGTTTACCACTTCGAAATCGTTTTTTAGTTGCAATGGTTTCTTGTCGTTTTCAGTAAATATTTGAACACACGGTCTTTATGAAATGGATATGTTTATCAAGTCAGGTTAATTTTTAATAATTTAAGAATTTAGTGTTATGATAGCTGATAGATAATAAAAAAATTTATCTTTTTTTCATCTAGATAGTTATTCTAGCAATTATTTCTGATGTTTATCTAGATATTTTCAAATGTATCTTTATAAAACAATAACTATTTTTAACCAGTTGCATTTTTATTATATAACTTACATATCCCATAGTACATATTATTATAATATATTTTACTCGTAACAGACTTTTATCCGTACCGATACTATTATGGTCCCTACTTTAATTTTATTGGTCATACATTGTATATTATATTATATTGTATACTATTGTCGGTATGGAAAGTAATTGTTCACAATTTTAGACATTAAAAAAAAAAAAACGTGACAATAAGTTATACTATTGCATTTTGTATTATTCGAATTTAATATTATATTATACGAAATAAAACTACAATATGATATATAGTAAAAAACGAATTAAATCTTGGAACATTATTCTATAAAGGTTAACACCTAACCTACCTATAAAACGATTTTTTTTTCTTTTTAAATTAAATAAAAAGCTAAAGTGCATATGGTATTATAAATAAACAATAATGGTGTTATTCCTACATCCTATTATTATTACCTACGGTTTTTCTATTACTTGAACTATGACAGAGTATTAAAATGGAAATTTATATTATGAAACAATAATATACTATATACAATATTACTGCATTAGGCTTTATTGTGTCGGTGTAATATGTCACATTCTGTTTTTTCACACATTTTTTTTGAAAAATAATTTTACAACTATCAAATTGAATAGATATACTCGTAATATGGTATATATTATATAAGAAAATCAAGATAATAATACAAATGTGTTTTTACCGCATTTAAAAACGTGAAAATACGAGCATAATCCGAGTAGGTATCTATATATAGTGTCGAATTGCTAAAAGGTTTTTCTATTATCGTATTGTCTTTTTTTTATTTCAGTTCGTGTTTTTCGCTGTTATAGATGATTACCTATATTACATTATATTCTCATTCCAATTTTATATACGTTTATCGAGTTATTAAGTAATGCCAAAGTACCTGTAGGTACCTATACAGTAAACATATTATAGCTACTATAGCTTAAACAACGATGTAAAGCAATTTGTAAGATTAAAACAAAGAATCAAGAATCATATATGTAACACATTTTTTTTAGTACAATATGATTTTTTATTGTTATATGGTTTTGTATCCTAATATTGCATAATTTATTACTGTGTTAATTATTTCCATATACTTATGAATAAATAATAATATATATTTGTATTATTATTTATTAGTATTGTAAGTGGGTTAATCATTTCTTTTTTAGTTTCTAGGTCATATTATTCATGAATATAATATTATCAACTAAGTATGAAAATAATACTGGAAAGAATAAAAATTATTACCGTGAGAAATATTATTATAAAATAGAAATCTTGGAATCTAGAGTCCCATTATAATATAGTTAATTTAAGTATTACCTTTAATTATAAAGGTAGTGAAATATGATGAGAGTTCAAAATAGTTTGGTTTCAATAATAATATTGTCTATATTTACAATATTATAATTGCGCCACTTTTGTTTGTTTTTATTAAATTATTACTATTTAAGGAAGATTATTGTAATATAGGTAGTATCTACCTATTTATCTATAAATATAAAATAACATATCCTGACTGACTGATTCATCATGGTCTACCTGGAACCACTAAAACTATGAGTAGAAATTTGGTCAGTCAATTTTTTTATCGCGTACAGGACCACTAAAAAAGAATTTTAAATTTGATAAAAATGGAAAACGTTATTTCTTGGTCGGGTTTTTATGAAACTTAATATACATACTACAAAGTATGTACTCAATATAGTAGTAAATACTACATCATTTTTTTCAAATTCAACCCCTAAGGGGGTTAAGAAGGGTAAAAAGGATTAATAATCGAAAAAGTTATTTCATAAAGTTACACTATCCCTAATATAGGCCATTTCTTATCTCAACAATCTCTTTGAAGATTTGTGTTGTCCTTAAACATAACACTTTGTCTTTGAAATATAAAAAATTTGGACTGAAGGCTTCTCCATCTATAATTGATGTATAGTTAGCTCACCAAAACAGCATAATAGCAAAATATAAAAGGTCATCAGCCCCGCCCAAATGTCAAACATTATTATAGTTAAGGTTTTTACAATACACGTTTAATGTTAACGCCTGGTCAAGATAGATAAATTAATTAAAATAAATATTAATAAAAGAAAGAAAATTAAATAGTTATGATCCCCTATGAATAACAACCTAAGTGATTTTACCCTCAGTTTCCGGATTTTTCAATAGGTGGTGCACGGGTTATTAAAAAAAAAAAAAAAATGAAAACGCAAACAAAGTCGTGAGCAATAGCTATACAATTATAATTCAAAATTATTGTCATTTTTATTTTTTAGCATTATAAGTCATTTAGGCTTTTAGCTGCTAAAAATAAATTTGTCCATCTTTCTCTGTTTTGTGTTATGTTCCAGTCTACCTCACGTGACTGCGTGATGGTCTCTCGTACACTGTCCATCCATCTTTGGCATGGTCGTCTCGTACCTACCATTTCTTCACTTATAATTTTCTTCATTAGTCTTCCATCTGCTTGCCAAATATGACTCATTCATTCTAGTCTTATGCTCTTAACGAACTAAAACCACATTTCCCCACTTATAAAGCACACTTAATTGATTATTTTATCTTATTTTCCATTTCTGATCTTCGGAATTGTATATTGAAACATGTATTTTTTTTAGTGTTTGCCTCTTGTATCTTAGGAGCTTTTCAAAATTATTTAATTTTATAAATTATTATTTTTACAAACATTGTTTAACAAATGTGCTACCTCTCACATAAAAATAATATTACAAAACTACCCACGGGAGTAGTCGGACAATATAGCTAGTATATTATACGTATAGGTACGAGTTATAACAAATTAAATATCGTTGCTCAGTATTGTTCTATGGTCGTAAACAAGTCAGATAACATTCAGAGTAAATAATTATACCTATATAAATTTTTATCGAATTATCATTAATCGTGTTAGAAAACCCGAGAACCAACAAAAATCAGTATAATATTACCTATACTAGTATAATTATTGTTGGATAATAATTTATATTATAATAGTTACGTGTAATTCACTATTAGTGATGTAAGTAATTCAAAAAACAAGTTTTTCAGCAGTAATTAGCAGGAAAATATTTTCTAGACAAGATTTGGCTAAAAACAATAAGACGAGATAATGAGTTTACCAGTCATTTATAATTTGCATGGAAATCGTCAAATTTTTTTGCATCTCCAAATCTTCCCACGAATAATAATAATAATATTATATTTTTGTTTCTATATGTTACAGTTCATCGGATCTCTGGATGTCCCCAGGCCAGTGAACCGAGTCGAAATAGTGGCGGCCATGAGGCGGATTAGAGTAAGTGTTTTCTGCATTACTTATCTCTATATAACCTACCCTTATATAAACTTACTTCTCCATGCTGCAGGGTTATTCAATTTTTAGTAAAATGTCCGCTCTTTTTAATTCTTTTGAAAAAAGTTTTATAACTTTGTATACCTACTAAATAAATGCATTATTACACTGTAGTTGATGGATCCCGTCGAATATTAATATACTTCGATGTTTAATATTGTTGTTCTGTTGTCCGTATATATTATAGTATGAATTCAAAGCCAAAGGCATTAAAAAGAAAAAAGTATCCATAGAAGTTTCCGTCGAAGGGGTCCGTATCACTTTACGAAAGAAGAAAAAGGTAAGTTTTTTCTCTCATTTTATATTACTCGTTTTTATTTTTAATATATATGTATGAATTATTAAAAAGCATTTTAAATTGAATTTAATATATTTGAATATATTTTGTAAATGTCCTTTCCTTAAAGGATTATTAAAAAAATAGAATTTTATATCATTTTAAATTCAATTCCATTTTTCATTATCAAACAGAAAACTGTACAATATTAAAATATCTTATCTAGGTATATTTGTGTAAGTACCTATTAAAAATATTATCTCGATAAACAAAATTACCATTTAATATATAAAATTAGTTGATTTTTAGATTCTGAATGGTGCGAAGGAGCTTATAGTTTTACAAAGATGTTTATTTATTTATTTTTTTTAAAATTTTTTTTCTCGAATTTCTATTACGTGTAACACCTTTTCTAAAAAGAAATACCGGCGCGAGGAGGTACTTTATAAAGGTCATTTTCTCTTCAAAAGCGAAAAAGCGAAAAAAAAAAACGAGAAAATTTACGAAATATAATAAATATAATCCAACGATTTTTTTTTTTGTGGACAACTTTTATACTAGCAATTTCACTCCAAATTTTAATGATAGCAATGTTTCTAAAAAGAAATTTCACTAGGGAGGTACATAAAACAGATTTTTCGATTTTATCAGGATTTATCCCAGAAAATGTAAAAAACCGGGATAAAACATTGGAAACCCGGGAAAATTGATACAACATTAAATAAATTTTTTTAAAGAAAATATATAAAGCCTAATTATTATTTTAAATGACATATATATTGTTGACAAAGCATCAATATCAATTGAACTCCGTTCAGAATCGTTTTTTCGTGAGCAATGGTTTATCGTTGCTTACAGGTATACATTAAATGCCCATCTATATCCTACCTTCCCAACTTCCCTCCTACACTAGTGGCTGAAGCCGTCCCTATTATCTTACTTTTCTTTTTACTAATAATTGTATTGTAATATTATTATTTTGTGTAGCGTAGAGCTAAAAGTTTTAAGTTATATATTAATATAATGCAGCGCTGTATTGACTGATAATATTATAATAATATGTAAATGAAATTTAGTGCATAGATAAGCAAAGAAATTCAATTATAAATTAAAGCAAAGGATATTAAAATATTTTGACGATTTTTATACCTGAAGGTTATGTAAATATAATATTTTAATGAAATATTTAGTTCCGTTATTATATAAGAGAACTTTATGAGATTATAATAGTATGATTATATAATTAGGAAATATGGAAAACGATACTGAGTAAAAAAATCAGGTTGTAACGTATTGTTTTTTTTACCAAACTGGTAAAACTTTTTTTTTTTATAAAATTTTTTTATTTTAACAATCGTTGATATATTCATTAAAATCAGGTATTATATTTCGGAATATTAATTACATATATACGTATCATGTTTTTCTCGTAAACATAATTTAAAAGAATAATCGGTAATATCTCACTATCAGAAAGTTACTAGGTAGTGTTGTAAGGTTAGGAATAAATAAAACACGCTTTATTGCTTTAAGAATAATGAATTTAATGATTTTGCTCATTTTTAAATACCTGTAAAACATAGGATTTATCTTTTACCTATAATAAAAACAGGCATTATTTTAATTTATAAACAACATAAATTATATGTTGTTTATAAATAAATTATATTTTATAAACTACAAAATTAAAAAAAAAAAAAAATATTGAATAATACTCGATATCTGGATACACTGATTTTTAGTATCTATAGGTACAATAGATATTGAACTTATGTAACAGTATAAAATACTTGATAGTTACATTTTATGTTTTTAAACACAATAAAAACTCGATAAGTACTTCAAAAGTAAAATAGTTATTACTTTTTTTATGCATGCAGTATCTTAAATAATGCCGAATAATCCAGTCGGCCTATTCTTCGGATGCTTATAGGAAACATACAATTAGTATTTAGAATTTATATAAATATTCGATACCATATATATTGATTTCAGTTTCGCAATACAAGACACTCGATACTTAGTACTGTATCGTGATACAAGATATAATTGCACTAAAGCGTATTTAAGATTCTACACATAAAGTACTATTTTAGTTTAAAAATAAAAATAAAAATAGTTTTAGATTAATACTCAATAAAATATCAAATAGAGTATGAAAAAAAATAAATATTATTGTATTTACTTACGCATATATACAAACCAAATACAACTAAGTATAAGAAAACTAATAAAACAAAGCCTGGAATATTATAAAAGTTGTGTACACATTAAGACTGGTTTTGATCTAAAAAATTATCATCGAGTAATAGAACAACAAAGGCGAAAATGGAATACCTATACAACTGAGTATAAAGTGAAACGAAGAAAAAAAATTACTATTTTTTACACAGGGAGGAAACTGATTCTATAAAAAGAGATTATAATGTCATCTCATCATGGTTTACAATCTCTTATAACAGAATTGGTTAACTCCCTGTGTAAAAAAATATGGTATTTTTTCTATGTATTCTTATTTCAATCCTTAATCGAAACCGATTGTGTATACACAGAATTTTTATAATAATACAGGCTTTGTTTTGTTCTTTTTCTAATAATTTATTCATACCTATACATTATAAATAAATATTTGTTTTTTTTCCACATTATTTGTATATATTTTAAACTCTATTAATTATTTAAATGTTTTATATTTGATATTTCAATTAATTGTAAAGCAATAGTCACTACCCCTACAGTTATTGCATTTATAGCAACGTAATATTTTTCTTTACAACTTAGAATATTTTTGCTTTAAATTATTTAACTTTTTAAATAACAAGAAATGGTCATGGGTTGTAAAGTATTATATTGTTAGTCCGTCTACTTGCCTGCTTGTAATGCGTTTTCTTTTTTAGAATGCAAACAGTGGAGTTTATGTTGTTATATTGAAGTTTAAACATGAATAAAAAAAATTTAGAGTGGACAATATTTTCGAATGATTTTAGTTTTTTTTCTCTAAAAATATTACAGTTATATTCATTTTTGCAATTTTTAAATAGCCATAGTCCTTTAAATTTTATTATTTTTAATTTCAATTTCAATCTAAACTCTTCAATTTATGTTCAAAACGTATTATTTTTTTTTATCGTAACTTCACGCGGGTTTTCAATATTAACAATCAAATAAAACTGGTTAAGATATGTTTGGTTTCATTGAAATTCGTACCTATGTAAAGAGTTTTCATCATTGAGTATTGAAGCATTTGGATTAAACACTAGCCATGTTAAACATTAAAATTATTTTAATAACCCGCCATATATGACCAGTGGTGTAGCCAGGATATATTTAGAAGGATGTTTTTATTTTTTGTTTAGATGTAACTTTGTAACCTTTTTGTATGTATGTAACACACATAACATATATTTATTACTTAATAATTATCAATGCGTAACACATCTTGTAGAAATCTGATGCATAACTGCATATTAATGTAGTGAAAATTATAATTGTCGGCATAAATACAGTCAAAGGGGGGGTGTTTGAACACCAAAACACAACACCTCCCCCTTCACTACGCCATTGTGTGTGACAGGCATGCAACTTGAAGTATAATAATATTAGCTATTATTTAATTTTGTGTCTTATTTGGAGTACAAATTAAATGTAACCGCTGTAGTTTAATATTATTAAACGAGTTTTACTATATATTTATGAATACGTTATTTTGTACACTTAAACAGTTTTGTGTTGAGTGTCTTTTTTTCACCCAAACTTAATTAAGTATATGTATAACAAAAACGAATGTTGAGTACACAGACAGTTTAAGTAGTGTTATAATAGTTTAGTATAATAAAGTTAGAGTTTCACGCGAACTTCCTAAAACAATAATAATATTATATTGTCTGTGTTTGTTTTTGTTGGTATAAGAGTGTAGGAATGTGTATAGGATATATCGTCAACATTGTTTAGGAAAAGGCTTTGCGTACTTCAATTTGAATTAAAAATTATAAAAAGTATATTTAAATGCGCGAATAAATAATACTCACTAGTCTCTAATATTTAATTTAAAATAAACAAATCAAATCAGCAAGTACAAAAGTTGGTTCAATGTAGGTACTTTCAATACTCTATACCTGATTTGTAATTTGTAAAAAATAAATAAACGTTGTTGTATTCTTTTTTTTTAGCTGAGAAATGGGGAATTAGTTATCATGTGATAAATAATTATGCCGTCTAATTTTAAATTTGGTAATACAAATCTTTTTATCTTAAGTTAGAAATAAAAGATAAAATATTTCGTTAAATCACGTAACACGACCTAACTTAACCTTACCTCTTTGAAATCTAGTTGTGTACATCATATCTGGCACACTTTTATAGAACATAGTTTTGTGATGTAGTGTACGGTCTTAGAATATAAGGTGGGTCCACTACCCCTCCACCATCCCACTGGCAATGTTCTGATTATTTGGGCGAAGACGTTTTAATATTCGTCCTAATAAGCGGGACACTGATAAAAAAAGAATTGTCCGGTCTTGTTATCTAAGACCGTGATATTAGGTATCGATTTTATCTAGATAAAACGTCAATGATGATTTCATCACGGATAAACACATTATTTGTATCTATTAATAGTTATATTTGTTTATAAATTTATCTTCCTACAAGACACTACAAATAAATAAAATACAATAAATTAATAACTATTGAACTCCATATATTTTTTTAAATAATACGAATAATCTGATAATGCCAATATTAATCGATTTTAATACCAATCGTTCTATAAACATATTATATGAGTAGATATTAGGTATGTTTTTTTTTTTTTTTTTTATACAAAATTCCTATACTTAAAAATAATATATATGTATATACATAATTATGTTTTTATGGTGTTGTTATAGAAAAAACAATGGGCGGACGAGAATAACCTGCTACTAATGCAACATCCTATTTATAGGTAAGCTGTTAAGTCTGCCATACATCAAAGTATACGCGCGGCGGGTTTAAGAGTCTCGCACAGACGAAAACGGTTTGTTCGCTTTCGAACAGCTAATTTTCTACTTATTTTTAATTTTCGTAAATTTGAACACCGGTCCTACACTTGCCACCGCGGTCGTCAAATAATAACACAACAGCCGAACGTGGCTTTAACGTAGCCACATCTTATGACAATAATATAGTATTGTAATTTTTTTGCATTTATAGGATATTTTACGTTTCTCACGATTCTCAAGACATGAAAATATTCAGTTACATCGCCAGAGATGGTTCTACCAACGTGTTCAAGTGCAATGTGTTCAAGGCGAATAAAAAGGTAACAATATCCAATATAAGATATTATTGTGTATAATATTATTATAAGTTCTTTTTATATCGTACAAAATTTAAATAAAATACATAAGAACCAGAGGTGTAGGATGTATAATACCTACCTAATGCATTATTCTGAAACAGAAAAAATATTATGATATTTGTATAAACTGGGATTTATATAATATAATATTATATCATTTTCAGCCGGCGTAGTTACGACGAAATCGAATGAAAAACGGGGAGGGGAAAAGATATCATTATGCGAAAACCATCTATTTCATCCGTCGCGCGTTTTGTTAGGTATAGGAGTAAAATCCGATGAAGTCTTCCGCTACGTAGACGACGTCCACGATGACATTTTCCAAATTATTCCCCTGCTCACGCTATGGATTATCCACCATGCATAGATAGTGAAAAAATGTGACTGTTATTATTATTTTGCATTTCCTAATGCGATGAATAATCCGTATATTATTTATTATTATAGACAATTGTACTTATGTATATTTAGGTGTGTTGGTATAGACAGATAGGCGTAACGGATAGGGTTTAGGTCATAGGTAGGGATTTGATAACTTTTTTGGGGGGTTGGAGGTCTAGATGTTAGAATAATCTTAATATATAATATTGTATTATGACTGGCTTATAGGTCAACCATCGAAAAAAGTCTTCTCGATATTATAAAAATCGGAACCCATCTCTCGGTCAATATACCGAATTTGCGAATACTATTACTGGGTATTTTTTGAACTTATTCTGCTTATATTTTTGGAAGGGGGAGGGCCTGTGACACAGTGGTAAATTTCGATAATCAAATTTGGCTGCTACAGTGGGGATGTACTTATAGGAGTGTCAGTATACCACGGTTTTAGAAGATAACACACATCCGCCTGGCTATAAAACGATATACGCTTATTTAGGCAAATTAAGTTTAACTTTTACTCTCACTAAGCGCTGCAGGTTAATGATTATACCCTATAACTTATAGGTATTTATTTGAGGTTATGTAATTATTAAAACCTTGCTAGCGTGTTTGGGTTTAGCATTTTTTTTATCATTGGTATTTCTATTATTCTACCATTGTAAGTCATAACTTCAAATAAGTATAATCTATCGCGAATAAATTTGAACCACGAATTAAGATATCTAAATCTGATTTGAACTGAAACTATCTCGTTAGGCAGACAACTGATAAAGATCAGTCGTTAGATCTTATTTTCTACGACCATGTGCTGTAAACAATTCTGTTTTAAACGTTCCTATCGAAGTCCTTTTGTAGAATATATTGGTGTTAATTTAGGGCTTTTATGGTTTTCGATACGATTTGATGGTGTACCGATATTCGACTTTGTTCACGAGATACAAGTGATTTTTTTTTTCCTGTAAACAAAACGGTAGCTGCGTGTTTTATTTTATGTATAATTATAGCGATCACGCGATAAAATTTAATTTCCGATATTTTACGTAAACGCGCGTGAAGTTTTTTCCTCTCCTCGCCTCGCCGTTTTATCCGAAAATTAATAATCGCCAAAACGTTCGCGTTATTTTATTATTATTATATGTGCGTCGCTTCGTCGTCGTTGGTGAATTTTGTTTATTTTACGTGAGTGATTGACGATCAAAGAGATTTATAACGGTAATCCCTTCGTAATCACTACACTATTTATTGGGCTACATTGCACCGGTGCAGCTATAAGGCACAATCGTTAATTTTTGTTTACATATACTCGTACACGTTCGGTGTGTATAAATATATATACTGCCGGTGTCGTCATGATTGACGGCCAAGTTCGCCGACTCTAAATAATAGATAAGCCTCCGTACGTATATAATATTATAAATATCATATACGTATATACGTACATATGAGTAACAGCCAATCAAGAGTTCAATTACACTGTAGAATAAAAAAAAACAATTATAACCACGTAGAGATTTTATAATACATTTGAACGGATATTTAGATTCTGAGCGAACCGAGGAATGTATTGGTTTTACTATGTTTTGTGTTTGCGCGTGTGTATTTTCTTTTTGTGCCTGTAAACGAGTTTTCTACTAGAAATCGTGCTCCCATCAAAAACTTTATAGAAACTTTCTCTTAGCATTTTTGGCCTTGTTGGTGTATTGAGGAATTAATTTTTTTTTATTGACTTTGTAAACTCTTCATAAGTGGGAAAAAACCGGTAATCTGTTTTAAAATATTTGCTCATTTCTGGGTTTCCACGGAAACAATGGAAAAAATACCACTAATAATACTCTGTTCAGAATCGTGTTTCGTTAAAAATGGTTCATCGTTGCGTACAGATATAAATTAAACTACTTGATGTATCCTTCTTACCAACTTCACTTCTAGAATAGTGGCACACACATCAGACTTTTTTAAAATTAGTAGGTATTTCTATTTTTAAAGACTTTTATACTTACGCGCGTATTTATATAGTGCTTTCTATAAAACCATATTTTGTTTAAAACAATTTTTAATTAGTATGGAACATTTAATTCTCAGCCTTAGTTATAAACTACAGTTATCATTTCGTTTCCCTCGTCTTTTTTTCTTCGAACCACGATCAGGCGGTAAAAACGATGAACTTCATCAATTTTTAATAGGTATAGTCGTATAGGTACTTAAATTAACGGAAGAATGTCTAAAACCGTGAATTCCAATGGGCTGTTCAAAAATGTTTGTTCATCACTGCAGGTCTCCGTTTTTACAGAATACCCGTGCTTGATTCGATTTCGAAACGGTTCGAATTTTCGTTTTATACGAGTATTTCAGATGACGTGATGCTTAATAACCGTGAATACAGACAATTTTCTCAGGATTTTTCATAGTGAACATTTTATCTGAATTCACAAATCTATATTGAGCCCAAGTAGTTGTCCCTCGTGCAAAACGGTTTTCACAGTCGAATATTATATTACGGATGGTAGCACGCGTCCTCCTAACGTATTCTGAAAAGTGAAGGACAAATTCATACAATGCCGGAACGCAGGTAAAACTATTACGACATTTTTCGGAATCGCAACACGGTTGACGGTTTAAAAATAGTTCGGTAACGCGTATATGTATATACTATATATTATATTATTATACTTTCCCCCTCCCCCTAAGGAAAACGATAAGACCTTCGCGACGTTTGCTGATTGATGCATTGTCGTGCACTTTTTTTTTCCTTTTTGCCATATTATTTTAAGTATATATATATAGGGTTTACAGTGACTAGACTATTATACCGCGTAGTGTCAAAAGTCACTTTGTAACAGTAGTATAGCGTTGTTCGTCTAATAAAGTGATGGATCGACTAAAAAGTAAAAAATCAAAACTTCTCGTCGATACGTACGTATTATTATTATTTTATATTATTCTATTGTACAACTCAAATATATTTCCGTGATGTTATATTCAAATTCAATCTATTCATTCTATTTATATACATATATATATATATATATATGTATCTTCTATTTAAATATATTATACAGGGTGTAGCGAACCCCTCCCCTAGTTTCTGTATGACATTAAACAGTTATCATAAGTCTTAACATGGTGGGAATCGTGTCTGTTCACGTAGGCTATTGTGAAATTAATTTTACCACAGGTTTAAGTCATAATTTGGGGTCTAAAACTCCACGAAACATATAATTTTGAAATCTCGTTAAAAGTGCGTGAAATATTTCATTTTGATGAAAAATAAAAAAAAAAAATAAATACCTATAATTTATTTGTACATTTCAAACACTATTAGTAACTACGCAGACATTTACTCAAGTCACTAGAAAACCTCCTCGAAGTTTTTTTTAAAAATAACTGATTTGCTGAATGACTGGTTTGTTTGCGTCATGGTTATGACTGATACGTAAAACGTGTCTTAACATTAACTTTTCATCTACCACGAACAGAAATAAACAGAAAAAATCCACACCATATTACGACGACCTTCGATGTGAGGGAGTTTCGCCAAACCCTGTATAAGTGTAGATACTGCCAAAATTGCAGGCAGACAGCTGAAATGTATAGGAATTCGTAGAAAAAAAAATCGATTTAGTTAATACTTCATATACCTACCTACACTATAAATTCCATATCGTTTTCGAATTGGTTATCATTTATACAATAAATATACTACGGTATTCATTATTATCACATCAATATATCGCGCGTGTGTATTATTAAATGTCTTGAATTTATTACAAACAAATGATTCGTTTTATTTATTGATCCGAGGTAGATAGTCTTCCAATATAGTCAAAATCGCCATACCAAAACCCTTATAATTTCGTCATGTCCGTTCATATTCGTATGTCACGGGCTCATGACTCTTATTATTTCTCTTATATTTAGACGGAATTCCACAGGTAGGTGTTGTCTTACATTTGACCACCGAAATATAATCGCGCACCCTATTGCCACGTGAAGTATCGCTGGAACGGTAAAAACGTTACGATTAAAATATTTCGCATAACAAAGTCAATTATAATGTGCCCCCTCCCCGACCAATATACTTCCAACTCGTGTGATTAACAATCGAAAATGGATTTAACGACAAACGTATACAATTATCTGCATATTTGCGTACGCCTTGAACCAACTCGCAAAAATGCACTCGAGCAAGGCTCGGTGTACTGCAGGTACGCTTACTGATTCGGGGACCATTCGAATAGTTTTAAGTACTGTAGAGGAGAATAATAGAGGATAATAGAGGACGCAAATAAATGATTTTTCACAATTCGGTGACTTGATTTTTTTCGTTTTCGCGCGCATCCGCGAATTATTATGGTAATATTGTCGTAGAATTGGCCACGGTGTATGTGATGCGATGCGCTCGCGCACGCGCGCTTCGTTTAAAGTCAACAGATAATAATAATAATAATAATAATAATAATAATAATACGTATGCAGGACGTTGACAAACAGTCGCAACGGCGTAAGTAACGTACGTATATATTATATACGTACCTATACGTACGCGTCGGACTGCCAGCGGGGAAACATAATTAGGCAAAACGCCAAGGGACGGCGGCGGCGGGGGCGACGAGCGGTTACGGGGGGAGCGTTCGCCGTCTGGCCCCCCTGGTAGCCGTCAGATAGCGTCGGGACGCGCCGGGCGACCAACGTACATAATATTGTTTGCGCGCGCACACGCACACACGCACGAATAAGAACACGAGCGAACACCTACACGCGTGTAATGCACAACGCGATAGGTTTGCGCGTATAGACGGATACGCGCGCCCTCTGCGCGAAAACGAACGGATTAAAATTAAAAAAAAAAAACCGCGCATGGGACGAGCGAACGCGTAACATTATTAATAACAATAATAATAACCGGCGTCCGCGCGCGCGTTTTCCGCCGCGGTCTTCCGACACGACGCGACGACGCCGACGTCCGCTCCGTCTCGCCGCGGCGGCCCGCCACGCACTATTGTTCCGTTCCGACCGTCGCCGCCGGGTCGCGCGCGCATAAAAACGCACGCGGTTATGAGGAAGACCGGAAACTCGTCGTCGTATCAGCAGCAGCAGTCGCCGACGCAACAAGCAGTGCCCCGGAAGAAACTTTGGTTCCGGGAACCCGAGGTGGTACCCCGGGGCAAACCCCGGACGGTTCCGAACAACAGGACAGCCCCCACCGCCGACGATGACGAATTCGAATTGGACGAAGAACTGCAGGTAACGACGACGGGTTCGCGGCGCGCGACGTAACGACTCCGACGGTTTGGCCGGAACGCGGGCGACTAATTATTTTCGCGGACATTATCAGTTTTCTAATAAACATCGCGTGTCGTCCACGATATACTATTGTTGTACATTATGACGATCGGGGTTATTTTTCCTATCTGTAACCGTCGTCTTCGCGACACTTTACAACATTATCATGTTTTTCATACGGTGCCCGCGCGCGATGATGTTTCAGAGCCAAGCGATGCGAGTGGTGCGGACGGTGGGCCAAGCGTTCGAAGTGTGCCACAGGGTCAACCCGTCCGAGGACGGCGGCGACAGGGACGACGAGGACGAAACGTGCAGACATCGCGGCGACGACGACGGTGACGACGACGACGACGACGACGATGAAGACGACGAGGACCGTCGCGGAGACGATTCCGGCGACGAAGACGGCGACGACGGGTCCATGTCGAAACGAGGTAATACACTCAGTTCGAACAATATAATAGAACGGTAAAAAAAAAAAAAAAAATTATTTAAAAAAAACTTGAGATTCCGGGGGGTAAATGTCGCAGAGACGACATTTTTCGGCGTTTTGCAAGAAAACCGTCATTGTCACCGCGTTAAATTTAGACGTACGTCCGGATCTCCGTTTTGGGATCACATCCAAAATACTGTGTGTTTTGTCGCGTCTTTACTATACTAGTTTTTTTTTTTTTTACCGTTTTTCAAGTAGTCGCGGTTTTACGCCGAAAACCCAATTTTTTAACGATACTACTTAAAAAAAAAAAAAAAAAACTGTTTATTACATTATATTGCAGTAAATCGAGTTAATCTCATCGTCACCTCCTATATTATCAACTCTCCGCCGGTACGCAATGTGCCGGGGCATAGCGAACAAAAAAAGCCACGCAACAAACAGTTGGCAGCGCGTTACGGTTACCCTTTAACGTAAAATAATATTTTTAACGCTCGAAATACGAAAATTTATTGCCCACAGTACCTTAGTATAAACGATTCCAGTGGATTTTTTTCTTTCTGCTATTCTCGCATTGGCTTTGTTTTTTCGTTCCCCCCCTCTCCGTAATACTTTCTTATTCGTCGTTTTCCGTCGGTACTGTGCAATACACAGCTCTGTGCTGCCGTACACGTTGTACGTTTATTTATTATACATCCTGTAAAAATGTAAAGTACGATATCCTGTATAAAGACCGAACAAAATTATTGATACACCACTACTCTTGATACTACGCAGGTTCGAATATTATTTAAAAAAAACGACGACCACGACTACTACGACGACGGCGGCGGTAAAGTGAATAATATTTTAGAATGTCTATAAATAAAACGCCGCCGTTGTCTTTATTTTCGACGTACACACTGTAAAGGCTCACTCTTTTTTTTTTTTTTTTTTTTTTTTTTAAACGGCTATATGCGGTCGTGTGTTTAACGGTACACAAATGCACATAATTTTCCTCTCCAAGCATATCTCCATCATCCTAACATTAAATTTATACAATTACCATCATCGACAAGAATAATATGATACAATTTTTATTTATAACAATATACGATATAAATCAGTAGTTCTCGATCTTTTAGACGTTATAAGCGCGCAGACCGCATAATGTTTTCTCAAATTTTTACTGTGTATTAATATGTTTGTGGTAAGAAGCTTAAATTTCAGGGGATGGAGGGGGGGTTCCAGACCCAATGGACTCTCCCGGGCTACGTGTTTTTTCATAGTTGTATTTAAACCTTAATTCCAACCCAAACGTTACAAAGTAAATGTTCTAAGCAATGCAATTTCGCTATGTTGCCCGTTAGCTAAACTGAGACAGTAACGTCCTCTTAAAATGAATATTTGCTGAAAACCTGCAACTGTACACCAGAGAACCACCGATATAAACTATTGTAATTGCTGAATACAAAAATATTATTTCCATTTCCCTAAAACTAAAATCTATTATAATAACATCTGAACTGGACTGGATATTTTTACAATTTATAATACTGTGGACATGTCTTGATAGTTTGTCACATATATTCTGAGATTTTGCATTTATCTCTGATTAAAATATTTCGTCCAACTTTAATCGTTGGCCTGGTCACACGGTCAAATATTCCGTAAAGGAATACAAAAATTCATATTCTTAACGAATATTCGATAGAATTCTCAATAACCTCCTAACAATAATTCCAGATTGATAACAAATGTCGAGTTTTAAATTACGGGAGAATTTGGATTTGACATTATTCAAACGAATATTTGTAATTCGCCATAAGTCCGTTGAATATTTGACCGTGTGAACTACTGCGGCATGCCGACACAATGCAATTGTGCAAGTATTCATTTAATATAGAATAAAAAAAAAAAAAACAATCATAATGAAGTATATTTTGTTTGTCTTTTCTTCTTCTTCATTTTAAATTGGAACGGCCTTTGAGATCGGCTCTCTTGCAAGCAAATAATCCTCCGTGTACTTTTGTCCACTATTATTGTTTCTCTCTATTGTACTCCCGCAGATTCCATTTCTCCTACATCCCTAACGAACACAATTCTCCTATATTAATTGTGATCTTCCTATAGGTCGATTTCCCGATGGGCCGTTTCGATTGCATGCAGATCTTATTATTGATTCCCGTTTTCTCCATGCACGTTTTCTGACCATTTCGTTCTTCCTCCCAAGACTTCTTTTATATTGCTAAGACGTTGGAAAAGATTCTGGATATTTTGTTTGTGTTAAATATACATTATAGTATTGATAAACGGGTAAGTCGCCAATATAGAGTAATACGACACCTCCGTTGGTAGTAATAATAACAACAATAATAGAAATGAAGTCGTAACAATATTTCTTTCTTTTTTTACGATGCCTAGTAAGTTTTAATGGTAAATATTTATTTTACGTTATTAACACTATATTGAAATAAGTATATTATGCATATATTGTGTACAATACAGTATATCAATGGAAATTCTCGGATAACACGTGTTTGTACTAATGCTATTTACGCGCGTATATAATGAATTCTAATATATATTTTTTTCCAAGGAAACGTTTTTCTCTTTTTCTCTCACTCTTCTTTTGCGAGAGAGTTTAGTGAGTTTTAAAGGTGTTATTATGCGTGCATGTGCAGTGTATAGAGTGTTATCGCTTGTTGTTAAAATGCAGGTTAACGCGCTTAGATAGAATGTGAAAATAAAAAAATTAAATAACGTTTAAATATATAACATACCTATATTGTCTTGTTTGAATATAGTATACAAATATTTGGGCAAACGGGCAAAACGATTGTATTTTATCATATTGTGTAAGATTAAATATTACTGTATTAACATAGAAATTATAAAAATTAAAATAAGATAATTTCAGGGTGTTCTCCTGAGATGCGAAGTAAATATATTATATTGTATAATATATCGCGTGTTGTTTTGTGTATTATGAATAATTTTTGTATAATATACGATGTTGTATATACAGAGTGTATCAGCGGAATTCGACAATTTCCTATAGTATGTATAATTGCTTAGGCAATTGTAAAATTCCACAGATACACCCTGTACATAATGCAGGTATAATAAATACACAGGCACGGCGACTATACGTGTAGGATTGGTCAAACATCGCGCGGGCATGGTTTTTATAGTTCTTTTTTTTTTATTTATACAGCGTATAGGCGTGGATTTGAGAATAATCATAATACTGAATAAAAAAGGACGGGCTAGGATGGGCTTAATAAATAATTTTTAGTATACCTGTACCTGTGCGTAAGTAAGTAGTACAGCGGTATTGAAAAAAAGTTATTCATTTACTTATACAGTATACATATAAGTTCACGATTATAGGGTTCAAACTTTATATTGCGTTAAGGAGTGATTTAAAAAACTGATTGCATTATTATTGCTCTAAATAACTTTTAAATACCTTACGAAAATGCTTTAAAAAAAAAAAAATTTAATAAAGATGGCCCTTTTTGTAATAAATATTATAAAATATTAAAAAGAAAACAAAGTTTTTAAATACAATACAATTTAGTTTATTTAAAAAAAAAAAATACATACTTGTTGAATAACAATTAAAATAATTAAAATTTGGTTTTATAGGACGTCAAGTTGAAAATTTTCCTGTATTTTAGATTCCGAGAGTAGCAAGGGAACTAATGGTTTTACTAAGATGTTTACTTTTTTTTTCTTCTTCTTTGCTCTAGCCTGTGGACGTTTTTTCCTAGTAAACTTACTCCGATGTATTGGCGAAGCACTTTTTCTAAAATCTCAAGTTGTCTAGATTGTACTTTAAAAATATAATTTTTTTGATTTTCCACGCCATTTGTTAAATAAAAGCACTTAAGTGGGAAAAAACGTAGGAAAACGTTTCATGATTTAATTATTTTATAAAAACACGGACGATGTTTTCTACCAGAAAAAATGATTTAATTTAAAAATCACAAAATACTGTTTTTTGTTGCCTTTTGATTTACTTTCTTATGGTATTATCACCAAAACTTTTGAGCTTTTAAGGAATTTTGGGAGTTTTTTGTTGTAATTCGGTTATAAATATACGTAGGGACTTGAAAATTGGTAATAATACTTATATTGGACTTACATAGACGTGATAAAATTTCCAAAATTATCGGACGATTTTTTTTTTTTATAAGCGTTTTGAAATCAAATTTAAACGAAAATCACAAAAAAAATGACGGAGCATCAAATTATGTATTACCGAACTACACTCGGAATCGTCTTCGTTAAGCAATGGTTTATCGTTGCTTACACATATAAAAATGAAATAACCTTAAGTATCCTACCTTCCCAACTTCTCACCTATAACAGTGGCCGCTCCCATCTCCAGTATCAGCTCTTTTTAAAGTTGCTACTAAAACATTTTATTCACCATCTAACACAAAATTACCCGCACACGTTTTACAGTATGTATTATATATTTTTTAAATTTATTTTGTTTAATATTAACCTCTAGAATAATTTTTGTTTTTTAAATATTCGTTTAACGGGTGGCCTGCGATATTAATCGTTCGACTTAGCCTTTCTCGACTTTCTTAAATATGAAAAAAAAAAACCACGTCGATTAAATTATTTTCTACTTGATTTCTCCGTTTATATACCTACGTGATTTATTGCCTCTACATATTCGAGAAAAAGTTTTCTGTTCAATTCGTATAGCGTTAATTATTACTATTTTTCCCGTTTTTGTACAGCTAAAATTACAGTTAATAATATCGGGTGTTTACACAATATTCGTTTATATTTTTGTGGGCACACACGCGACTGTCTGTCTGCTGCAGAAAATGCATCACTCTGGCCGCAAATTCGTCGACGGGCAGCAAAGTCAATACAATTATATTGCCAATAAATACCAATAAAAATATTAGAATTTCGCGGTCTGTGATCTTTCGGTTCAGAGTTAATACGAATCGTCGATGACGTTTTGCTTCATCCAAGTTTTTTTTAACGACGGTACCGTTAGCGAAGATAACGAAACACTTACTGTGTATTCAAACACTGCAATATTATTCGTAGACTTTGTCCGTGAGTACTCGTTTAAAATGCACCGACTATCGACTGGATCAGCTTGTCGGTGCAGGTCTTTCGATGTATACGTATACGACGTGTTTTGTATACATTTTATATATATATATATATATATATGTATATAAATATGGTTTCTATAATGTCTATTAAAAACTATTAACATTTTTTTTATGAAATAATCGAAAGCATGTGTAGGTACTTGTCGACATGTCCGACAAGTATCTAATACACAGTTTTCCTTTTACGCGTTTCGTCGGTGCTGGCAAATTATTTATAATAAATACCGTTTCTCAGAAGACAAAAAAAAAAAAAAAACACTCGTCATTCTTACTTACAGTCTTAACGAGCTAAAAAAAAAAAAATCTCTTTAATCGTTTCGAAATTTAATGTAGGTACTTAATTTTTTGCCGAGAATCACGTATAGTTAGTTAGTTTTGATAACAATTATTATATTCGAGGACGATTTAATACCTATTTCATAATGGTTTCGCCGCGGGCTACGTAAAGAGGATTAAAGGCAGTGGCGTGCCCAGGAATATACAACAGGAAGTGATGTAGCAAATAATAATCATGAATAAATTGTAGAAACGTTTTCTAAGTTTAACGCAATATGTCTGCACTATGGAATTAAAAAAAAAAAAAAAAACCCAATTTTTTTCAATAAACCAAGCTTTAATTTGGCTGTAATATTTATAATTTCTAGTTCAAATTCTTAAATAAATATTCATACAATTGCAGTTTTATTAATTCTAAGACAATGTAGAATAGGATGTATCAGTTTGGTCACATTCGGAATGCAATAGATCGAATTATTAAATCACATAAATTCATAATACGACCTTGTTTTTCATATTGTTAGAAGGTTGTTGGATATCAGCATATTCAAATTGCGTTGTATAACGAAACATGTTTGATAATGAATATACGATTGCAACATTTCCTCCATAATCAAAAAAATTGGTAAAATTGAACGCTAGACCCGCTGTGGAAATTTATTTGGCGTTGGTAGCATTGAATTTTGTATCAAGTACTTTTGAGATTTTAAATATAATATATTATCTGCGATTTAGTTGAACATTATGAAAATGGTTGAATTCGGGAACACACAATGATATTTTGCAGAAATCTTCGTCTTAAGTCGATTTTGCTATAATATACTTAATATATTAAGACTTTATAAAGTCTAGGCGTGATGGATTAAACTTATACGTGAATGGAAGTTAACAGAAAAACAGAACCAAACGATCCACATTTTGACGAAACTATTCACACGTCTTGTCATGCAATGTAAAAAGGAGGTGGTCACTATATACTTCTATCTAGAAATTTAACCTCTAAAGTGTGTCGGCTCAAACTCGATGTTTGATATTTTAATACAAAAATTGAATTTTTTCCCGGCCATTTCTGGGTAATCTTGCTGACACAGACAAACCAAAAACAAAAAATAAAATTGTTATTTAATTTGGCTGTCACAGACCAGCTAGAAAGTAGGTATTCTTTTTAAAAGATAAATTACCGGGCAACAACGATTAACTGGGATATGGATAAGGGCGGGAACGGGAGAAACGTTACACTGATTTTCAATTTTATATATTATATAAGACGTATCATTGTATCATTCCTTTTTTTCAGAACAGCCGAGGAAATACCGGGTAATTTACCTAGTAATATTATATAGTCGTGTTACACGAAGATAATTCATTTGAAAATATCTAGATTAAGATATAAAGATATATTTACTAGAATAAGTATTTAGATGAAGTTAAAATATACATAACAATTATTTAATTATCTAGATATTAATAAATTACGAGGAACTTTTTGTCTAGGTTTAAAACAAATCGTTAATTTCATTCATTAACTAATTAAAAAACAAAACAAAGTGCTAAACATAGTGCAAGATTTGGTATGCGCATATCATCTAGCTTATGCGGCATAAAAGTTGTGCGATTGATGTAACAATTAATAATGAATTTATTATTTATTATTATCATATTAATATAAATTAAATATTCTATAGTTAATAATACATAAATTTCGTTTAAAAAGATTTATCTAGTCGATTCAATTATTATTTGTCCGAGATAACGGTTTTAATAACTTATTTCTCATATATATATAAAACCATACTTGTTTAGATAAATTCGTCTTGATAAAATGCAACGCCCATATTATAAACTGCAGTGTAACGAGCAAACATTAATCGTATAGCTTGTACAATGTTTGTATGTATGTATGTATGTATGTGTGTATGTGTGCGTGTGTATACAAATGCAAAGTACACTGGCATACTGTACACACACACACACACACACGCATACACACACACATACACTCACACAAGCGTCACACGCGTGACCGGCTCGCTGTGATTTTGAGTTTACGCGCGCGCGAATCGCGGCAAAACGTCGATCGTTGTCATAATATAATATAACGAGACGTTCGTCTCGGGAATAAAAAAATTATGAAAAAAAAAAAAAGCCATAAAATAAACCGAAAATACGTTTTGCGACGACAACGACGATAATATTATAATATTATTAAAGTCTAATAAGAGTCTATGTGTTTTGGCCGAGTACCAGATCTACCGCCACCGTCGCTCGGACTCGAGGATATTCACTGCTACACGTTCGTTTCGTAAAAAAAAAAAAGAAAAAAAAGTTGACGTCTGTCACGGGCCGGCAGACGCGAGGTAAAAAAATATCGCATTCTGGTAACGGCTGCCAAACGTGTGTTGCCGCCACCGTCGTCGTCTCGCGTGTGTTATCGTCTCTTTTTTCCGCAGAAGCCGCGAGAAACGCTGACAATGTTTTTATTTTTTCCTCTAGATTTATTTTTTTTTTTTTTTAATTATAACGATAATGATTATAATATGGTAAATCGCGATCCGCACAACAATATACGTGCGATAGCTGCGGGCCGACCGCGTGTGCACCAACGTTTCGCACGGGCACCATAAGTCGGTAGTCGCAGCGAAAATGCATAAGAAAACAAAATTATATATATAATAATAATAATAGCATTACGGTGACCATTATCACGGGAGCGCTAACAATGGCGACTTTTGCGCACGACGGCGATCCTCTCCATATAATACAATTATTATTATATTATTATTTTGCTCGGATAACCGCACGCGCATCATTGTTCTCCGTGGAAAACAATCGCGAGTCCTGCGCTGGTAACACGCCGACCGCGTATTATATACAGGGTGATATTTTCGCCGTCACGAACCTGCGGCTCACAGCTGTGTATTACCTATAAAGCCCGTGGTTAAGTGCAAGAAGGGCCAAAAAAAAAAAAACCCACTCGGCGTAATGTAGAATTCGTTTATCATAGGAATTTTAATACCGAATTTCGACGAAAATCGTAACATTACGGCCTTTCATAACATGCGTATAACCGAACTCCGCTCGGAATCGTTTTTCGTTAGCAATGATTAATCGTTGTGTGCAGATTATATACATAAAATTTCCTCTATATCCTCTTCCCAACTTCTCACATACAACAGTGGCCCACCCATCGTGCGAAGTATGTCCGTCTTTTTTTAATTTCAATTTCAATTTATTTATTTATTTATTCATACATCAAATATATTTTATATCGACGATCAAGAATCACTCGTATTATTTATTTATTTATTTATTTATTTATTTATTATCTGGGAAAGTATAAATCGTTTTCGACATTTGATTTTTAAAACACTTAAGAAACGTAAGCTCTAAAATGTTATCTTTATTATCGTTGTCTATTGATTTCAAATAGTGACTTATATTGCTAATTCCATAAATGGATGAAGTATAGTTCAATTAATTTTTGTGTGGAAATCGAAAATTCTGTGTTCGTGGTGTTTTAAACCGGCACGACTTTATATAGTTTCCATTATTGTTCTCAATCCTCAATCGTATTTAGAACGAGCTAAAGCGGTGACGGAGCTAAAAACTCCACGTGCGTACAGGGAAAATTCTCACTTCGGGAAGAACTGCGGGAACAGAACGACGATAGGAAGACGTAAAAAGCAAAAAACACGTGGAATTTTACACACTTGGCAGATATTCTGATAACTGAGATGAAAAATAGCAACCGATAGAGAAAAATAAGGGGATTGTCAGAATCTAGAAACCTGAGCAGAAGAACAAAATCGTCGTTTAATGATCTTATTTACGAAATATTTTTAAAATTGTACTCCTGTTTCGACGTACCATCATGAACACGCGTCATTATTAACTTTTGATTTTCGTTCATATGTCGTATAATCGTATTAAATGTCTCTCTTTGAACCCGAGTTGAAGAAAAAAAAAATAAAATAAAACCTTTGTGAAAATCAAACATTGATTCTCGTGTTTATGCTTTTGTGTAAATGGATATTATTATAACGGTGAAATTTCACAGGTATCTCCAACATAAAATGATTCATTATGATAAATGTATACGATATTTTATTTTACAGGCAAAGTGTCGCCGTATAAATAATCGCTATACATGTGCATAGTTCGCGCGATAAAATCATCCGGTATAACATATAATGGGTCGTGTAAGTACCGTAGTTATCTGCGGATTTTTATACGCGCGCACAAACACAATACCTGCACTCGGGCAGTTAATACGGTGTACTTTACGCGCACCATATAATATTGTATTATATCATATTTTATAATTTCGTGTATAGCGGATCGCGTGCGTCTTTTGTGGCCGGCGGAATAATAATAACCGGTCGCTACACCGGTCACTACAACACCGCACAGGCACCGCACTTTTGTACCGTATTACGCGATGGTGACCGCTATCGACGTGATGGATGACGATCACGTTTTCAGCCGGCTCAGAAATCCGTAGACTTCGCGTCTATTCCGATAATGTACGGATATTATTGGCCCCACCCTGGGTTATTGCGTAGTATATTATAATAATGTGAATGTACCGGGTGATCCGTTTCTCAAGAGCTGTAAAAACGCACGATTAATTATGGACGTAAAGTATGTTTCTCTTCCATCTGCACCCCGGGACTAAATGTCGAAACCGTTATAACCGCAATTGACTCGCACAGACACGCGGTAAATTCAGTGTGCAAGTGTTGTTCGTGCGTCACGTGCTCTAAATGCAAATCCGCGTTTAGAACGGTGAAGTCAATAGGAATGCGTTAGGAGTAGGGGTGAAATGTTGAAAATTGCGTTCTCTCAGCTCAAACGATTCCGTATAGTGATTGTACATGGAAACAAAAAAACCTAAACAGAATCGGAGAAAATCGACGATTCGCGTTAAACATGGATCACCCTGTATGTTGGTCTGTTTCAGACAGTGCGCGGCGGGTTATAGGCGGGTCAGGGTGCGGCGGTTCCGGACCGGACGAGACTTAACAAATATTATTACTGCACGATATTGTTATACAAACGCGCGTTCCGTAGAAAAGAGAAGGAAACGTCGTCGTTGTCGTCGTCGTCGGGGGGGGGGAGGGTAGGGGAATGGAAAAATCGGGCGAAAAAAACCACTGGCTGCGGAGTTTGTTGTTTTTGTGCGGTTATTATTATTACTTTTCTTTTTTTACGAGCTTGTACGTCGTAAAAACGTCGTATCAATGTACGCGTACGTATATGCGAACGGTCATCGCGAGTTTTTTTTCATCCGAATTATTTGTCACGTATCATTTTTATTTTTTTTTCTCATATTGTAATGTTTTTGTTTTTTATTGTCGGTCTATAGGTGTTATAATACGACCGCAGCTCGTAGGTACAGAGGGAAATTTCGAGTCTGCTCGAAATAAAACACGTGACGTAAGCACCGAAATCGGAGGGAGGGTGGGAGGGAGTCGATTCTGGAAACACACGAGTTGGCGTGAGAAAATTTAAAGTTTACCAGTTAACAGTGAAATAGTAAAAAAAAAGATCACGGTCAGCGTTTCATTTCGGTCAAAAATATTGGTTGGTTCGGCACTGTGGATTTTAGAATTTATATATGTTTTTGGTTGTTTTATTCGTTATGACCATGACTGGGAATGTAATACCCATAAATGTTCCGAACAAAAATGCATCCATAAAGTGCACTAAAAAAATGAAAACGATTTTAACTTTAAATACTAAATACGTCAATAAAATAAATATCAAATATATATATATTTCTTATTTTCATTTAAAATTACACGATACGGATCTGTTGCATTAAACTTATTATAATGAGATTTGGATTATCACGTAACTGTGCAATTTAAAATTCGGATTTCGTATCAAAAAACACCGAAAACGCTTTAATCGTTTAGAAATCGACTAGAAAATCAAAAACTACCAAACGACAATAGTTATCAAACGATACAGAATAACATTTGCTCACCTATACTGCCAAACGAGTACCTAATGTTCATCTGTGATACGCATACGTTATCAGTGGCTAAACACGCGCGCTCTTTCGAAAAGCGGAATCGTAATCGTGCACTTGTTTTGTTTTTTCAATAGCTTTTACCCCTCGTCGAGTTGTGCCGGCGACGAAACACCACGAGAGGGTTTTTTTATTATTTTTTCTATTTCACCTTAGCGATTCTTTATCGTACTTTAGCGTATTGATATTTGGTTTAATCGTCGGTGTAAGCGTGTGAAAAAATAATTGTTCGGTGTTGGAACGACGACGGTAATACTATTTCCATTTCGACGCGGGCCGGAAAGAAGTTAGCTCGGGGACAAAAGTCGTGTCGGCGGCGAGGAAAATTTAGTACACGCGATTTTTTTTATTTTTATGTAAATATATATATAATATTTTTCTTTCCCCGCGTGTGCCAGTTTATAAGTACGAGTTCGTTTTTTTACCATTTTTTTTTTTTTGCCTCTTCGACCGCGAATGACGCGTGGGCAGCGAAACGTTCTATTCTGGTCCCTTATGCTATTTGACGTCAAACCCGTTGGCTCCGTGCCCCGGCGTGCACATATGACTCGACGTCACCGTTGTGACATAAAACCCACTCCGGCGCGTTGTGCAATGTTTTAAATTTATGTTGCCGGTGCACACCCGATACACATGATATTACACTCGAATCTTATACTGCACCGCACGGCAGAATGAACGAGATTTTAACGAGATGTGCGAGATGCGTGTGCACCGGATACAGACCCTATCCGAGTTCGGTCCAAGCGACGTTGAAATATATACGGAATTCGTCGTGGTTTTTCATCGACTAATACCCATAGTCTATAGGTTCACACCAAAGACATTCGTTAAATATTCCCTGAAGCTATGTCGGGTTTGAACCAGCAACAAGTAGGTTATGTTTTGTAAAACTCTTAACCCCCTCCCCTCTTCGGAACTCTTAAAATCAACTCGGTTACGTTTCGGCTTACGCTGAACACGGATAAAGTGTGTAAATATCTTCCACCGGGTACCATAATATGATCTCGTTCAAAATTCAATATTGTTTTTCTCGTTTTCGACAATAGAAACATTTTTTAATAGTATTCGAATAAATTATCATCCTGTATCTGTATAAGTATATAATATATAGGTAGATACGTTAAAACACGTCGCATGACGACATGGTGGACATTTTTTTCAAAAATTTAAATTTGTTTATAATTTTATAATTTACTATTTTTATATGTATATAGTTACTTAATAATACATGAGCGCGTTATGAGACTTTCGTCTGGGTGGGGGCGATCAACGTGACGGGTGGGGGCGATCGACGTGACGGGTGGGGGAAGAGGGGTGCCAAAAGCCTATCGTCACGCCGCATTTTATAATATTGGCAGCCGTATACGTTGTCCAGGAGACTTTTATATCGTCCGTTAATCACTTTTCGTCTGGGACCGTACCCAACAACTGCAGCAGCAGACAGGCAGAGAGATACATAGGTAGTCCCATAATATCCGAACGGAATAAGAAAAAATATAAATACTGAATTCACATTTTGCCGTGTATTGACTTGTGCGTAATTTTGTACGAATTTCGTAAAACTTTTATAAAATAATATCGATTATTCTATTATTATATTTTGTAGACACGTTTGAAAACCAAGGAAGACTGGAAACGTCGGTCGGTAACGATTCCGTTTCGTCATTGGACGGAGCCAGGAGGGACGGAGGCCCCAAAGACATACAACGACCTTTGCGACTAGATATCATTCCACCTCCACCGGTCTCGTCAGTCAACCACAGACGTTCCTCGCCGATGGTATGTATAATAATATACCATATTACCAACTGACCACCTACCCGGTAACTATGTAAACGTTTACCGTTATCGTTTTGATATTATTATTTTATGTTACTGTAGAACGGCAGTGAAGTGTACAGCTCCCCGATGACGGAAACTTCAAAGGGCGACGGTATCCCGTTGTCTTCTCTGAGCGTACAACACGAAATGCAATTGTTGCGCCAGCAGTTAGACCAGCAAACGCACCAGACCCAAGCTGCGGTGGCCCAAGTGCACATGCTCAGAGATCAGTTGGCGGCCGAATCCACCGCAAGAATGGAAGCTCAGGTACACGAATTATATATCGAACCAGAGACGAATTATATAGATAGGGGGATGGAAAGGAAAAGCGGTGTAGATTAGAGGATCCGGGTCTGTCAAAATCCAGACACGATTTTCTCAATGTCTAAAATTGATTTTTGATTTTTTTTTTTTTAGTTTCACGCTTTGTTTAAATGGAAGTTAACGATTATTTTCGAAATGAAAACTTAATTGAAATTTAAAATTATAAATATGAAAACATAGTGGAAAATGTAATACAATAATAATATGATCTCTTCACCTTCTTAATGAGTTTCAGGGTTTCGGCTCTAAAGGAGCTTTCTGGGGTCTTCTTTTTTAAAAGACCAACGCTCCAAAACAAAATTTTTCTTAGCTTTTCCCGTTCAATATTATATTATTTCTAATATATTTCTGATTTCATAACATTGACATTTTTTTTTAAGCACTGTCTTTCCATCATTGACGTGGTCTTTCTAAAAGTTAGGTCCGTACATTTTTCCTATCATTTTTTATTCAAACTTGATATTATATTTTAGGCATGTAAATGTCAAATGTCTATAACTAACTAAAAACAAAACCGAAAATAATGAAAACGTTAATTCCGTAAACTTCGCCGTTTTTCCTACGTTTGTTTCCCAATTATTAAGAAAATTCATGGAAAATCATTACTCCTGCAATATGATATTATATGCAAATTTCGTTTGAGAATTGAATTTTGTGTTATTTTAGTTATGTCAAAACTTAATATTATATTCACGAAAATAATATTTAATAATATAATTTAAAATATAACATTGTGGTCAAATCCGGAAAAGTTTGAAAACAAAAATTTATAAAACTTGGGTCGATCGACTATATAGTTGCGCTGCGCAGCTTTTACAGAGGAACGACAATAAAATGCTTTTAAAAAAACAAAAAAAAACACCCCTTTTTGACTCTCTTTGTGTGCGTGCCTTTGTTTCCGCAGACGAGGACACACCAGCTTTTGGTGCACAACAAAGAACTGCTGGACCACATCGCTTCGCTGGTGTCGCTGTTGCACGACCAGGAGAGGATCAGGACCGAACTGCAACACCATTCGCTCCCTCCGGTAAGTCGAATCCCGTTCCTTTTGTTGTTGTTTTTTTTTCTCCGTTGTTTTTGTTCGCAGCTATACCTACCATCACTCTACGCTACTAATTTTTGTTTTTATCGATACGTGTGCCGTACACCCGATCCGTGTCGGTTATATTATTGTACTCGATTATACGTGCAGTAAGTTAACAAACGCCAGCAGTTCTCCGATATAAACTAACCAGAAAGAAATAATAATAATCGTTCGTGTTTAGCTATTTAACAATAATAATAATAACATTATTATTATGTTCTTTAGTTATCGTACGTTACGGTTTTTACGATACTTTGCAGATGTGTGTGTGTGTGCGCGCGTGTGTGTATGCGTGTGTGTGTGTGTTGTTTTTCGACACGGTTCAATATGTTTAACGCTAACTATACCGTACACCTATATTATTGTTTGATGTATTTTATAACCGTTTTCCCGTAAATTGACCTGCCCAGGATATCCTGGACGCCTGGTACGTTGATATAATATTTTATACATATTATATAGTTTACTTATTTATTTTTTTTGTACTTTAACGCATTTAATCAATATAATATTAGTGTATATTATTATATTATACTTATTGTTTATTTTTCTTCGTAGACTACATTTAATTTATATAATAATATTGTCCTGCTAAAGTGAAAGTCAGTATCTGAAAAAATGCAAATGTTGGGAAAATGGGGTTTTCTTATTTTTTTTAAACTTTTTCGCTTGTTAACAATAATGTTCAATAATGTTTTGATCATTATTTGTAGTTCTTTACTCCAAACGTCTGTAACAACCATACATATATTTTCTCTTTTTTTAAAAAACATTATAACAACAAATTATAAACATCATAGTTTAACCACTATTTAATTAATAAAAATCACTTTGCATTTTTAGGAACTTTTGATTTTGAAATTACACAATAAAAACATGTAGATAATTCATACTGTTGGTCAATTAATCTAAACAGTTACTAGGCACATGAGCAGTATATGTATTTATATCCCTAAAGAAATTTAATAAACATATAAACAGTAACTACACAACATATACTGCGTTTTTTTTCAATATATCATTTACTGCTTATTTGTCTCGTATTCGGTAATATCTTGGTAGACACTACGTATTAAAAGCTCATTTAGAGAGTCTAAATGACGTTTTACTGCATTTTAACCTAACAAAACCAATATAAAATGGCTTAATAAACAATGATCTAAAGTAATCTTATTTATGAAAAATTGTCGGTTACTGCCTTTCACTTTGGAAGGTCAGAATACACCTATAATATTATATGTATTATTTTATCGATCGCGTAGAAGTCAATACGTTATGACTGAGGTTCGGATTTTGTGGCAAACCGTATTTTTAACATATATAATTTATACGCTTAAAAAAGCAAACACCGCTGATGGGGTGTACCAATTTTTAAGAGGGGAGTTGGAAAGGTGGATACGCAGGGCAATTTAATTTATATCGATACGATACGATAAACTATTGTTACGAAATACGACTTTGAGCAGAGTATTATTAGTCGTATATTTTCCATCGTTTCCAAAGTAACCTAGACATTAATAAAAACAGTACAATAAATGACCAGTTTTCTCGGTCCATTAAGAAAACTACAAGGAAAATCAAAAGATATCCTCCCCGGTTTACTAATACACCAAATAGATCAATTAGATCAAGTAGATCAATAATTGTACAGACTAGTTTCTATGGAGTTTTCGATTGGAGCTAGATGTCTGTGGTAGAAAAGTTGTTTACGGACACAATGAATAAGCATAGGTAAACTAGGCATCTAATGCATTCATTGCTTCGTTCAAAGTCTAAAACTGTGATAACATGTATGGTTATTTTCATTAAAACTTAATTTGTTTTACATAGTTATGTATAAAAAAAAATGTTTGCTGAAGTATACATTATATTGATATAAAGTGTTTACAAGTTTCATTCATGCAACTACTTAATTTCGGCTCACGCCGTTTTTAGATTGCTGATGAAAAATGTTATTTAATGGTTTACATAAAACAATTTAAAAAAAGGAACAATATAAATTTTAAAATATAAATAAACATAGTCGTTATAATATCATACAATCGTGTGCATGTTTTTTATAACAAAGCGATGATATCAGAGAAATTTGATTAGATAGTATTATCACTATAACATTATTTATCAGCAACCTAATGATGACGTAAGCCGAGACTAAGTAGTTGCGTAAACAAAACTTATTGACACTTTATGTCAGTATATTTTTTTAACAAAAATTTTTTTATGTATAATTAAATAAAAGTGTCGAAAAATCTCAAACATATAATATTGCATAGTGTTAATATTTATTGACGATAGCAGATAGACGGAACGAATTTACGTTCAATTAAAAAATATTTTATCTTTCTACCGTACTAGGGGGAAAAAAATCGTTTGCTACAAAACCCGCGCCCTATCCGTGACTTGGTTTTATATTCTGTGTTTGTAATTTGTAATTTTTCTTTTCGTTAGCATCCCATGATGTGCGACATGCCGACGCCGTCGTCGGCACCGGCGTCGTATCTGCCGGACTTACCGCCGCCGTCGCCGCGACACAGGACCGCCTATCACAATATGGCCCCAATGAATTTCGATTTTAATTTCAACCAGCCCGCGCCCACGGCCGACCAACAGTTCCAGACGCAGTTGCTCCAGCGGCTCCAGTCGCTGACCGGCACTATCGCCAATAACGTGTCGGCCGGCGGCCAATACCAGCAGAGACCGGGCTCCGGCTCGTACCTGCAGCAGCCGCCGCACCAGTTGTTCGCCCCGGCCCCGCACCAGCAGCAGCAGTCGTCCGTCTCGCCCACCGCCACCATCAATCGGCTGTCGCAGCAATCGTCGCCGTACTCGCCTAATCGCGGGTCCGCGTCGTCGTCCGGCGGCGGCGACGGCGGATTCTGCAGCAACGACGGTATCATCAAACCTCTGTCCGACGACCACCACCAGCAGCAACAGGTTACCGTGGTCGTGGACAGGACGTCCGAGGAACCGCCACCCGCGGAACAGGCGGCTCCGCCGCCGGTGCTAAGCCCGCCGCCGCCCGGCAAGCAGAAATCTCTGCTCAAAGTGTCGGGGGGCGGCGGCGGCGGTAGTAGTGGCGGTGGATCGAGCAAAACGGGCGGTAAAAAGACTGCGACCGTGGTCGGTAACGGCCCGATAACTCGGTCGACCAGCGAGAAAGTGCCCAACAAGAGCAACCTGATGAGTCAGGTGCACCGGACCAGCTGGGCGCGGCACACGACGAAATGACCAAAGTCCGGGGGCCCGGACGCCTGAAATCACGATGTCCGCGTCGCGTTGTGATAAATTATATTCCGACGACGACGAAGACGGCGACTCTGCGCACTGCGGTGTTGTTGCAGGCGTTACACGATAAACTGGCGAGCGAACTCGCGTTCAAAATAACAGTGTCCGACGTTCTGCGCCGGCCCCGTAGCCGTGTGGGGAACGGTTGGGACGTTGCGCCCCACCCGGACCGAACCGTTGCCCCCTGTATAAAAATCCCGACGGCCGCTGTTGACGAAAGTCGTACGTGTTTTTACGGATTGGAAATAACCATAATAATATTGTTTTTTTTTCTTCTAATGTCCTTCTAAAAAGTATCCATATTGTAAGATAGTGGTCAACTCGACTTGTCACACTGTTTTGTCGGAACGTATTACGCGAACGGCCACAATCTTAACGTGCAGACACTCCAACTTCCTCCTCCCTCCCCGCCCCCTTTACCGTACCTGACCATCGATAGAATCGCATAGAATCGTTTTTCACTATACAGACGGATTGAAATACAAAATATTAGTATTTGTTATTTGTCTGTCTGCCGCTGGAATTAAACCGTCACAATTTTTCAATCGATGATTCGGCCGGCCACCCCTAGGGTAATTCATCGGGGGAAAGAGGGGGGAGATCAGGTTCACCCCCCCCCCTCCTCCCACTTGGAACGAGACACCTAAATAAAACGTCACGGCGCCGTTGCAGTCCTATCTTAGTAATATTTATACGCTCAGTATACAAAACTCGACAGTGAAATTATATAGTATTTTTGGTTTCTTTCTGTTTCTTATCTGTTGACAGCTTTCGAACATCGAACATGTTACGGGGACGTTTCGTAAATGCCGACCGCTTATCAAATAAAATAAACGTGTTACTATATAAATTAAATTATATACCTATTATATACTACGATGATAACAGACTGACTGTTTTGTTGATAATAATAATTTATATAAATCGTACTGTTATTGTATTATTATTATTTTGTAAAACCATGTTTGTGATTGTATTAATTATTATTGTCATATGAAATGTATAGGTTACGTTTTTTTTTTTTTTTCATTCGGAAAGTCCTTTAAACTTGTGATTTTCCGCCTTTTCGTCTAGTCCAGTACTTAACCACCTACCTACTTTTTTTCCAAAACAGTTTTTTTTTATATTTTTGGACCCCGTATATATTGGCCTACAAAATTCCAATTCTATATTCTAATCGATTGTTCCGCTTTCCATTTAGTTCTTTTATCGTTTCGACTCTCGCGTCATTTTTATAATTTGTTCTTTTTAAGAGTTACTTAGTCGCCTTGCAGTTCTCTTGACTTCAATAATGCCCTCATCCATATTAATTCGAAAAAATGAAAATTTATCAACGCGAAAATATTCTAATTCACTTTCGGATAATTGTACTAGTCACAAGTTTTACCTGTATTGATTGGGTAATTGTGGTAATCTGTGTCACGGAAAACGATGATAATATTTTCGTGATTTCGAAAAAATAAAAAAGTACGTTGCACATCGATGCAATTTGTTGGTTTTATTTTTTTTAAGTACCGAAATTATGGTCTATTTAATCCGAAATGTTTCTTGTTCTCGCAAAACTGTTAAAAAAAAAAAAAAAAAAAAAACCAACAACAATTTTATAGATAACATTCCCTTTAAATCGAAATATTTTACAGTGTGTATAAGAACTGTATAAGAACTTGTGGCCGTTTTTTAATACATTTTTACTAATTGCGTTTCTTCCGTAGCTGAGTCCTGGATCTAAGCTGTCCCGGTGGTTCGAATTGCAGCCCGAAACGGACGCACTGCCGCTGTTCAGACCGGAGAGCGGGTTTGTTGACTACCCGCTGGACGAATACCAGTCCACCGACAGCCTGCTGCACAAGGACAAGCCCAAGAGGAGGTCCAACCTCAGCCTCAAACTCCGAAGAGTCACCACTTTCTGACAGTTGAACTTCCTATTCGATCTGGACGTGTAAAAACGTCCGCAGGACAATATTATTAATATAAGACAGATATAGAATATTTTTGGCGTAAAAAAAAAAAAAAAACAGCCATTAATTCAATGAAAACTAAAAATCATTTTTTTTTTTTGAATAAAATTTAAGTAACGCATTGAAAAATGCAAAATAAAAATTACATATTATATTCGCTGAATCGTATAGATACAACGAAACTAATGTGTAGCTCGGTTAGCACTTATTGAGAGGGAGAGGTAATGCAAAAATGCTGTAGCATACAAAAGTCATCAAAATCCTATTTCTAACTTTTAAAAACACCTGCCCTTCTACCTTTCACTAAAAATATTCCTTTTATCCGAGACACCCAATCCACAGTCTCTCCCTCTCTCCCGATGAGTCTTTTGTCTGATTATTTCCTATATTGTATTTTATTGACCGGTGTCTAGGCACGAATTTTGTGAATGATAATTTATTAAGTGTAATATAATATTATACGTTTCGAGCCTTTCGGTGGTCGAAGTGGGTGACAAAAACGAGGGTACTGTCCCGGTACTTTTTTATTTTTATCATTCTGTCCCATATACCTACGTATTTTCAACTCTAATCGAACAATTGTAATTTTTCACCAAGATCAATACTAGGAACTTATGTTAGAAAACAGTTTTATTTAATTTCCAAAAATTAATAAATGATTGAAAGTATTTTTTTTATGCGATTGTAAATATTTGTGTTTTTTCAATTAATTTAGTCTCGATTAGAGATAAGTTATATTATCGTGTATATGTATATATATATGTATATTTATACTTGCAAACAAAAAAATGTATAATATTGCAGTAGTGGGCATTGACTGAATCTTTATCATCCCCCTTCCCTCCTGTCGCTCTTTTGAGCCCACTTTTACCGCCGGCAATTCTGTGAGGTTTTATCAGAGTTTTGGAGATTCGTTATACACGTTCAGTGAAAATCGCCATTATTCTTTTTATCGACGACTAGGTTAGGTTAGGTTAGGCCATGTGATCGGAATAGGCTTGATCCGCGCTTGTCGGATCTCTTGACCCTTGACTCCGTTTCCTGTTTTATCGTGTTAATCCTCATAAATATTTCGTCTTCCCTGGCCTATACACCGGAACTCCTCATCATCGTGCGCTCTAGAGAAAAATAGTTCCCATCCTCGGAGAACACGCGTGTTTATCGTGTTGGGCGATTGGACCATAGTCAATAAACGAATAGACAGGACATGCTCAGTATTTTTAAAACCGACCGTAGCATTAAAACAATTCTATTTGGCCGACTTCGATAATTTTTGTAGTGCATCAAGCTCTCCTATAGTTGTGGCCTGTTTTTTTCTCTCGATAAGAAATGTTATTATTCATTCACGTTATGATATACGTATTACCAAACAAATATTAATTATTTTCCGTCGTAGTTTCGAGAACCACACATTTCGTTCCCATGTCCTATAACCATTCGTTGATCGCCTATATCTATGACCGCGAGCCCGGCGACCATGCGACATAATTAAGACCTGCGTGGCACATCCGCCTCCAAGTAAGACTACTATAATATTTTCGCGGTCCTGAACTGATAACGATAACGAGGCCGTTTGTTTATATTTTTGCGTATTATGATTAGTGATTAGTATATACTACAGTGCCAAACAAGTGAGGCCATATATTATACTATATAATATAATCTTCACTGATAAGCTGGACATGTCACATTCATAATGTATTTGTATCATGTATGATATAATATGCTAACAAATCATTCCTTTTCATCGTGTTCTTTATTCATGTGTACTAGAACTTTATTATTATTATTATAATTATAATTATTATCATTATTATTATTACAATTATTATCATTATTATTATTACAATTATTATCATTATTATTATTATCATTATTATCATTATTATTATTATTATTATTATTACATTTTGCATTTTTCCGTGTATAACGGCGTTAGAAACTGTTGTTCGCGCGCTTTAAGAGTTCTATATAAGATAGTTTATTATATTGCGCATACGCTATTTACGCTCTTTTTATTTTTAAAACATAAAAAAAAAAAAAAAAATTATAGTCATAAAATGTTTTCAATAGCATATTATAATATAATATACACATTATATTTTAATTTTAATCATTATTATTCTTGTATACTTTAACCGAGGACGCGATCGTACGCAATTAATATCGATTAACGCGCGTACGTTAATCGGTATGTAGTTGGAGATAAACAATCGCTGTGTTCTAATATCTGCTCTACTGTTTGTTTTCACGCATTATTGGAAAACATACACTCGTAGAGTAGATATAAGTATATCGATATTATATAATATTATATAGGTGTAACAAAAAAAAAAAAAAAAAATATATATATATAGTAGTTTAGAAAACAAAATTTAACGCCATTCCATATTATACTGTACTCGTATATATTTATATAAAAATATGATATTGTAACTGTAAAATGTATAACCGTATATCGAGTTATAAAATATAATAACGAATAAATGACTATATGATACGAGTAAATTATTGTGAAACAATATGTTGCGCTGTTTGTGTTCCGTTATTACAATAATGTGTTAACGACTCTTCAGTGGCGACGATGATGTCTGTCATCGATCCGGGTATTGGCCGCGAAATACGAGATAACGGATAAATCAACTGACCGATAAGCTGCAGTAGAGAGGGCAGGAAAGTTCCGGATCGGGCCATCGGGCAGTACCAGTTAAGGTTTGGGTGGGCCACTAGTTTGTTTATGTTTTGGGCCGTTTAGAAATTTTAAAACGCCAAATCCCTACGGATTACTTTACACTGAATAAAAACGGAAAATCGAAAAAATTATTTCCCCCTAATGCACCAATGAGTTGCTGTCTACTAGAAACTACCCCAGATGTTGATGGTGGAATCAATCAAAAATTTCTGGTTAAATAGTTGTTTACAAACCAAGATAAAAAAAAAACTCACATTATAGTAAAACTAATACATACCTTCATTTCAATCAGAATCTTAGTGCCAGTATAGATTTAAACGCGGTCTTAGAACCCGGTAAGCGATAATTTTCCAATTCTGTGTCGCCCGAAACAAAAGAAGGAAAATATAGCGTTACACGATTTATGGTCAACTGTATATATCCGTTAATTACGAGTATAGTGGGATAGAGAAGACAAATAGCAAATATACCGTATAACATAATTGTTAGGAAAAAATCTAACATAACATATATGTAGTTTAGGTCCTATCATAAATCCTGCAGGTAACCCGCGCATCTATGGCAAATGTGTGCTGCGATGACCTTTTGAAATACTAGTATAACTAGGGTTATTAATTTTAATCACGGAAACATTGAAAATCTCCAAAAAAGAAATTCTCGAAGCAAAAAAAAAAGCTTATAGTTTCTTCATATTAAAAACTAAACTAGCTGTCTCGCGTGGCTTTTCTTGTGTACATTATTGAACCGAAAAACATTTATTTAAATAAAAACGTGTCACCTTGTGTTTTCCCGTTTCCACCCTAATCTCTATCACGGTTAACCGTTGTTACCCGGTAGTTTATTTATTTTTTTCTTTTAGGGTATTTTCTTGCCCATGACAACCAAATTAACAAATAATAATATTTTTCGTCCATGTCGTCAAGGTGACCCAAAAATAAAAATTAAAAAGTAGTTTGATTTGCCGTGAAAGATGAAGAATTGTTTTTTTTTTTTTTTTTTTTTTTTGTGAGTACGTAGGTTAAAATTCGAAAACTTCAAAAAAATGTTAATGTCAAGATTGAGTACATGAATCGAACTTTGTGTTTGTATTAAGAAAGCCTTGTGTGATGTTACATTATACAGCTTATAATATATATATAATATATATAGTCGAGAAGCTCAACACAGTCAATAAACATGTCATCTAAATGGTGAAATCGAAAAAACAAAACGGAAACACGTCTATAATATACCTACCTAGTCTGTACATAAACGGTCCCAAAATTGAATTTCACGGGTATTTAGACTTTTGTAAAACGAAAATTTCCTTAGGTCCTTTCTTCGAAGTGTTATCCACGTTTTATAAAAAAAAAACCACAATTTTCTCGGTAGTTAAAAAATTAATTTTGCTCCAAAAAAAAACAATCCACGCTCCCACGCTCACCCGAGAAACGGTCGGAAATTGCATTTGATAATAAAACTTTAGTGTGCGGATCGTCTTATACATGTACTGTGTTGTCCCTCAGTGATCTGACAAATGCATTAACTTTTCAATATTCATTTCATTTATATTCCATAGTTTTTTTATTTATTTTAAGCAGAGCGAAGAATGTATTGGTTTTACTATGATGTGTTTTTTTATTTTTATTTTTTTGTTGAATCTATAAACAACTTCTCTACTCACACAACTTTTCAGAAATCCTTCTCTAATAAAAAAATTCCAAGAGACTGTCGTTTACTCAAGATTCTTTCTTGAACATATACAGCAACAAAACACAAAACTAGATCGAGATCTTCGGTTATTGACGTTTTAACATCTATAACTTTACTCAGGAAATTGGTAGCTGGCTTTACTGACCGAACGGCCAAGGGAATGTTACTTCTGGTGCATTTTAACACAAATTCCCTTATCCCAGCTCTTGGTAGTTCTATATTTCAACTACAGCTCGTAATTGAGTGTAATTGAGGCAAGTCAATTCGTCCGGTAAGTACTGTAAAACGTTAGGTAACCTCGGGAAACCGTGTTTATATTAAAACGCGTAAAAAATTGAACACAAGCGAGTGTTCCAAAATATAACACGACACTTTATTTGAACCGGCTGGGCTCGTTCTCCGGGCCTTACACGCGGAGTCACGGAGAAGAGTGATTTTCACGATAATATTTCAATCGGTTTTTTAAATAATTTTTATGAAATGAACCGCGACAGTGGCGCGTTACCCCTGTTACGGCCGGTGACCTATTTTGCTGAGTAGACGCACGCATAATATTATTACATTTTAAAGGTAACGATAAAAATGCCGACGACGGCGACGATCGTGTAAAACAATATTGTAATAAATTAAAATATTGTATTTTTATTGTTGGCGGCTGGATGTACTACAAGGCCTACAAGTAACATTTTTGATCTAGCTGGTGCGTTGAGGTGGTAGTTTTTTGGTTTTCCAAGAGGTTTTCATAACAAATGGGAAAAAACCCGAAAACAAATGTATAGGAAAAACTGACAAATATAATGCTGTGATTTTTACTACAAACTTGGATCTAGTGTAAATTATATGGTTAGATATTATCGGTCGTACCTGACCCGTGGTCGTTGGTTTATATACTGATAACATTTGATACAATTTATGGAATGTTGAAAATACAAGAAATGCAAATTGAAAAAAAAAAAATCTATCGATAATAGTAATTTGTCGGTGAAACTTAGCGTTTTATCAATAATTCCAGCAAAAATAAAATTTGTGAACGAATTTCCGACATTTTTTTAGTGGCTAAGTACACCTTGCGATTACTGTATAACATAATTATACCTCATGGTGTAAAGTCACGAGCCACAGAACATTGAAATATTTGTTAATTTCGGAAAACTGTAGAAAATTGCCGGTTCGTCGTTTGCAGACGTCTGTAACACCGAAACGCTTAGTTATGAAACGTTGATTGATAGAATTAAAACATTTAAAAGATCTTACGAAAACAAGGAGTTGAAAAGTTTTAATTTTTATTAAAAAAAAAAAAAAAAAAAAGAAGAAATAATTTCGAACGAAACAAACAAGTTATTGCATTCCTCAGATCCTCGTGTGACACCTCGTATTTGTGCATATATAATATATGCGTATATCGAAAACGTTAAAAAAAAAAAAAAAAAAAAACGGGATAGTGTTACACAAACACGGCATTAGAGTTAGGAATGCTTGGTCCTCGGGTCAGCGTATTGCGTACGCGGACGAACGGCATTTTTTCCGTTTGTTTCCGCGCGGGGAGCCTTTTTTAATTTGTGCCGCGCGCGTTACGACGTTATTATCGTTGGCGATAATCCGCGAAAACCGTATCGATACTCGTACTTATTATTATTATTAGTTTTTTTTTTTTCCCCCGTAAGTCGTTTTCACTCCGCGCCCGGTTTAACGCGCGCCAATCGTCCCGGCGCGTAAACGTTCGCCGTCCCGAACGTCACCGGGTCCGTGCGTTTTCCATAACGGGTGTTTTGCGTACTCTCCTGTTTTTCACTTTCGCACTGTCCGTCGTTGTCGTGCGGCACGCGGACGTTTAAAACGAACCGCCCAGCCGCCGTTATAGAGCCGCGAGTGTTCTGTACGCGCGCGCGCGCGTTCAACCAAAACCGATCAAACGCCGCACTCCGCGTTACGATATTCCGTTGGGACGGGCGTTTTACCGGTAATTCTCTCGAACCGCCGTGCGTCGTTTGTTTCGCGTCGCTCCGTGTCCGACGCACGCTCGGTAAAACGTCGGTACCTGACAGCGACCCTGACAACTCTACCGCCATCTACGGACGGGACGGTACGCGACGACAGTACAAGTGCGTATATCGGCTTTACCCGCGGTTTGATGTAATCGCCTTTTTTTTTTTTTTTTTTTCGTTGCGCCCTGCAGCGCGGCGATCACCGTGATCAATCCTCGACGATCTCGGAACGCGTTAATTGATTTCGGGTTTTTTTTTTCCTTCTTCGTCCAGAACCGTTTCGAAATAACGGCGGCTCTAAAATGTCGCATTTCCGTTATTATTATTATTATTTTATTATTATTTTTTTTTTGTCGTTCTCGCGATATTAGAGGGCGAAATCGCTACCGCGCACCTGTTTGATTTTCGAATAGCACCCTGTGCTGAAAATTTATGAATAAATGACATTTTCGCTAAAACTAATGTAAGTGTTCGTCGTTTTCTAATTTCCGTCGACCCGTTGACGAGATATTCCACTTTTTAAGTTTGGGTTGGGGGAGAGTAGCAGAGTGCCATTTGCGTGGTGGTGGAACGCCACACGTGTATACGCGACGATAACGAAAAATGATTCTGTGCAAAGTCCGATCAATTTTGTTTTGGTAAACTTAATTTGAAATTAATTTTGTCATTACAAAACGAATTCCCACTGTCCGTTTCAAATTGTCGATCGTAAACACACTTCATAGTGAAATCAATAAATTCGCTACATTATATAATATGTATTTTTTTTTATAAAATGTTACCTATTTTGAGCTATTGTCATGAGAAGTAGTTTCACGTTCGCTTTACAAACTCTAAACATTTGTTGCTGAACTTTTAAAAGAGACAATTTTTGGAAATTATCTTAATCCCCTCTGTCTACCATGACAGGTTCTGAAACACTGACCCCAACCGGGCGATTCGCATTATGTTGCACGGGTGTAATGTGTGATAAAAGTGCTCGAATTGAGGGGACGCAGAGACACACAGAGTACTTTAACTAATATTTCAGAAATTCAAGGTTACCTCTATTATTTGTCCAAAGTGGAACGCATACGAGGGGAGCGACATGGCGATCTATTTAGGGAAATTGTTCATATACGTTTTTAATTAAATTCGCTCTATCTTGGATAATATCGGCCACCTACAGGACGGTTTAAAAGTCGTCAACAAACAGAAAAAATCATCATATACCTATAGAAATACTTTTCACCTACGCACAGAATCTAAAAAACGTTTTTTTTTTTTTTTTCCTATTCTGTCCTCGCCATCGCGTAGTCGCCATATTATTATTACAACGACACGACAAACGTTTTAGCGTAATTAAACACACCGCGGGGGGGGGAGGGCGATGTCCGGGTTAACCGGAGCGGGTGGACTTCCTGTTTTCCCCTGTCGACCGAGTGCGGTTACGGCGCGGCGGCGGGTTATATTATTTTCGTTTTTTTTTCCCCGCGTTTGTTTGTTTTTTTTTTTTATCCGTGTTCTCTCCCCTCCGGCTTTTAACACGTCGTCGTGTATATACACGTGCCGCGCTCGTGTGTGTACAACCTTTTAATTAACCCGAGTAGCCACCCCTCCTCCTCCTCCTCCGACTCCACGGCGTATGTGTTCGGACGGCGACAATCTCTGCGTGGGTTAGACCGTGTTGCACGTGGCGCACCCGCGAACGCATCGCGAGGCCCGCGGAATTCGCGCGACCGCCGTGACCGCGGTAACACGTCGTCCGTCCAGTACGCCGTCAGTCTCATTAGCGAAAATGCAAGGCGACCACCACGCACAGCCGTCGGACGACAGGCAGATGCGTAGGCGCAGTCGGACCGTCAGCTGGGACCACTCGGTCCGGCCGGACAGGGGCGTTCATCTGCAGCCGCAGGTAAGGCCATGGCCGACGCATTACAGCAGATGCCAAAGGGGACGGCCCGGTGCGCAATTTTTTTGGGGTTTTCAAGTCGCGAAATCACAATAATCGATAAAATCACCACGGATTCAATTCGAAAAAACGCGGTGTTGTGTCGGGCGATATTTCCCCGGCGGGTACGGCTACCGGTTCAATCCGTCCCGCGTATGAGACGGCGGTTCTCGGCCAGTGGGGTACAGTGGGGTACGTGCACGTTAGGGCGCGTATCCGGGGGGCGAGGGTGCTTTGGGCGTTTTAACAACCCCATTCCTTGGCCGTACTTCGGCCACAATTCTATTATGATGTTATAGCGATTACTTCGGGTTCTTTATACGAATCGTGTAATTATAGATGATTCTGTTCCATATCCGATATTATTTATCTATGATGAAGATCGAAATGATTATATAATTCGAATAATATAATACCTGCAATACCAAATACTTTCGAATAGCAATCATGATTGATCATGGTCGTTAATTATCTTACGGACTCGATCCATCGCTCCTTCATGCTCCATGTGTGAAGCCCCTCTCACAAGTTCTATTTAAATATGAAACTATAACACCCTCGTCCTTTAAAAATCTTAGCTACGTGTCTGGATTGTACCACCGTTATGATAGTGGTACGCCCGGTAGCATGCTAGTTGCAAACAAAAATGTCCGGTCATTATTATAACACGACTAAAACGCGAGTCGCGAACTCAATCTAAAAAACTGTCATTGATAATGAGAACGAATTCAGCCATTGTTGTCGATAAGAAATTGAGAAAATAGGATATATAATGGGGAATTGAATGTACATCTGTAAGAAACGATAAACCATTGCATACTGATAACGATTCTGAGCAAAATTTAGTCGATAGTAATGTTTTGTCAACAATATATGTCATATTATGGTAAAATAATTAAATAAGCATAACATATTTTTTTTAGTAATATTTGTTTAATATTGCACCGATTTTCCCGTTTCCCCCGGTTTTTCACATTTGCTGAAAAAATTCTTAGGAAAAACGACCTCCTTAAAGTATCACCCCAAGAAAATTTCCTTTCAGAAAACGGTCTACGTCGTATACGGAGTAAGCTTTCTGATAGAAAAAGTGTTTACATAAAAAAAAAAAAAAAAAATGAAAAAATATAACCATCTTTGTAAAACCAATAAAACCTCTAAAAGATAATATACGAAATGCGGACATAAATATTTCCCTTCGCAACTTTTTCAGGACATAGGACAAGCTACCAAAAACAAATTTGTTACGCAACTAGACCACCGACCTGGGGGGTGTTAAAACAATAGACACATCACAGACTCATAAAAGCAACATCCCCGCAATCCAATTTACACGATACTTATGATAAGCAACTACACATTTTATTTACAATTTGTTTGTACAAAAATGTATTAAAACATTTTTTACTTAATTTTATATTCTGAGTGGTTTTATAAAGATGTTTTTTTTTTTTTTTATCTGTGTGCGCAACTTTTCTACCAGAAATCTTGCTCCGGTTTTTAAGTTTGGCAACTTTTCTATAAGAAAATCGGACTAGGGATTTAATTTAGGGAAGTAATTTTTTTAATTTCCCAAGTTTTCACAGAAAATGTGAAAAATCGGGAAAAACGTAGGGAAAATGAGAAAATTGGTACAATATTAATTTAATATTATTAAAGAAAATATATATTACCTATTAAATTATTTAACCATGATGTAACATGTATATTAAGTTAATAGTGAATTAACTGAACTCTGCTCAGAATGGTTTGTCCGTTAGCAATAGTTTATCGTTGCTTACAGGTATACATTAAATTTCCTATAACAGTGGCTATACCAGTGCACTCGTCCCCATTGTCCTAGGATAGCTTTTTGTATGTACACACGCATTGTCTGTATGAAATTTGTATTTTGTCCGGCTTTTTAATTATGAAATACATGAATAAAATATTTAGTCTATATTATAAAACAGCTTATTGGATACTTTCGGGGGTTCTAAAGACCTTCTAGTACCCCCTCCCCTTTTTGCGCCTATTCCATCAAAAATATTATTGGACATTTGTCCGTAATTTGTATGTTATAATTGTGTCCGCAATTCGCATGTCACCTTGTTTAGGTTCCGTCCGCCAATCACATGGTTTTCGTTACTTTGTTCGCAATCAGGAAATTCCGGTGTACGTGTGATACGCGAAAGAAGATCGCTTTTGGGGAAAACAAATAAATAATTTTATCTAATCATTTATTAATTTGGCGTTACACTTTCATCAAACACTATATATGACAAGCTCCTAAAATTGTGTACAGTACGGTACACTTTGTGTAGTACGTAAAGTGAAGTGTGCTCTTTAAATGAACCAAGTTACCTTTTTCAATATGTATAATTTTAAGGCTTCATATTTTAATTCTACACAGTATCAGGTGATCCGTTTAACGCTTTTAGACCTGGAGTTAATTTTTTACAGTTAGATTTTTTTTCGTTTATCTATTTTTAATAATGGATTGCTTCATAAGAGAAAATAATTTTTTTTTTTTTCCACCAAGTTTTTTACCAAGTTATAAGTATGACTCCAGTAGAGGACATCAGGTGTTCACCGAGTCATAATAATATTATTGGTATTAATTTTTGGGAAGAATTTAAGATTCGTACATGTTGATTACTCTGTTATCACGGAGGGAAAAGAATATCAGATTTTTATAACCATGTTTTCGACTTTAAATTATACATTTATTGTCAAAAACAATCAAAAATATTATATTAAAATTTTTCAGAAGTGTTTTATGGTAAAATTTTAACGTGATAAGGGCTGTATACGAAAACGCCACAGTAGCATAATTAGAAATTTTCTCTGAGGAAAATATTATATGCAAGGATATTGGATATAATATATGCATAAAAAGCTGTTTGAACCGTTTCCCAAAAGCTGACCATTTTTCAACTAATTTTAGCAAAAATAATTCTATATTTACAGAAAGCTTCTGATTTCTCTACTGAATAAGATAACTAATAGAATCCTAAAATCCATGTGTATTGAAACTGCAACACACTTTTTTCGATTTTTTTTTTTTTTTATTTAGTGGACAAATATAATTTAAATGTTGTACCTACAATTTTGTAAGTAATTACAGAAAAAATATGCTTATTTAAAATTAATATCTAAAATCAAATAGAAATAAATAATTATTGTATGTTGTTTTAAAATAAATAAACCGAACATACCTAAGTATACCGTTATTCATGGCCAGTATATGTAGTGAGTGATTAATGCATTTGTTATTAATACTTTTTACTACAGAATATTAATTTTAACAAAATGCTAAAGGTATTTCAACTATGAAAAAAATAGTAGGTATTATATATTATGTAAAGTGTGCTTATTTTTATTTAATTAAATGGGTCAAATTAACTGTACCTAAATTAATTACCTACTGCGTTGCTGCAGAGTAGGTATAGAATGATGGCCACTAATATTATAATATCGACGACGGCTATTAAAGTTAATTAAAACTTTACTTATTTTAATAATATAACAATATTTTTTTTTTAAACACTATATTTTCGGCCAATTTTATTAAAAATACTAGACCTGCGAGGTCATCAGGAAAAGAAAAGTAATTTTCAGTATAACTTTCCCATTTTTTTTTTTTTTTTTTTTTATTATTATTATTATTTTATTAAAATTAATTTTTTAATTAATTAATTTGCTAAAATAAATAACTATGTGAATTAAGGTATTAAAACCAGCTATAATGATTGTACACGGACTAAAAAAAAAAAAACACTGATGGTCGTTTTCTAGTATCGTATATTTCTCTTATACTATGAGTATAGAAAATATCGTTGATTAAAAAATAAAAAATGTAATTCAACACATAAATTATATTTTGAATTTTTGTAAGTTCGGCGTTGGACTGAACCAGTGCGTGTTCGGAAAATAAAATTATTTTCGTATAACCACGGTCTCACGATTGCTGCTTATACAGTTGAATTATGTACATCCATTTTATATATCTAGGTGGCAGGCGTGGATCCAGAGTGTGGTGCTAGGGTGCTATAGCACTACCCTTAGCATGTTACTATATGGTCAAAACAAATACTATACGTATACACAATACACACATGTATTTTTAGAAAGCACGGCATGTGTTTATAAATCTGCCAAATTTTATTGTGAAGATATTATGGATTCGGATTTAGTATTGAAAGCAGAAATAAATTTGTGGAAAAATAAGTGGGCCGAAATTTAAAACAATCCATAAATTATAGTTGAAGTATTTGAACACTGCAATGAGTTTTTTCCGACATCAAAATACTTTCATACCAGGTTACTAGCTTCTACAACCACAGCGGAGAGATCTTTCTCAACTTTAAAATGATTAAAAAATTACTTACGATCCACTATGCCTGAATTACGTCTAAACGGTTTAGCCATGTTAAACATATACAAACAGAATCATAAACCAAGTTATTGTCACATTTGTGCAAAAAAAAAGAGAAGGATGAAATTAGAAGATTGGTCAATATGACCAAATAATTTTTATTGATTTTTTTTGTTTATCAATTATAATGAATATTTGATAAAATTTTAAACATTTAGTTTTTTATCGTTGTTATTACGGAGAAGATTATTTGTTTAAAATAGAGGAATTTCTATTAGACGTGTTTTTAAAGTGTCCACTCATGATTATCTTTTTGAATATTAAGCACATTAATTTTTTAGGACTAAAAAAAAGGACATCCAATCAGGATGTTTAATACAGAATATGATAGCACGATAGCACCCCCCCCCCATTAAAATATCCTAGATCAATCATTGATTCCTTGGTACTCAAATGTTTAATAGCGAATAGTTTTCAATTTCAGACGATATTTTTGCATACTTAGATTTTTCACACTATCTCACCATATTTTTCTTAATGTGGAGTAATTTTATTGAATTTATTTTATTGATTTTTCATATGAGAACCTACATGTTTTGATGCAAATTTATAATTTTTTTTTCTTCAAATTGTTGACGCATTGTAATCGAAATTTGAACGAGATGTTTCTGAGTTATTCTGCTTTAAATACTAAGGATATAATAGTCTTTTACGGGGATTGGATACCAAACGTTCCATATGTATAAACAATTTCTCGTTTTAAAATGTGCAGCTAATATTTATTAATATTTAAAGTAAAATAACTCAGATATTTTTTTCAATTTTATTTATTTCTTATATTTATATGTATGATATATTTATCATATACGATATTTAGTCCAAATTTAAATTAAAACACGTAGGTTCTTATAAGAAAAACCAAAGTGTTATGTGTTATGTTAAGTGTTATGAAGAATCTAGAGTATTCGAAAATATCTTTTTTTTTCACTTATAAAAATTTCAAAAATTGGAATTTAAACTTATATATTATTTAACTACAAAATAGAGTTAGCATGGTTAAAAAAACTGTATATTTTTACAAATATTTAAGAAAAATGACTGAATGGAGGAGATACGTCCCATTTATGTTCTCGTTTGGCCGCCCCTGACGAGGAAAAATGCATAAAACACCCACAATAGTTTCGTTCTCTGGTAGTCTTTTGCCGGTCAGGCAACCAGGATTTATTTTTGGGATGGGGGTATTCAAACATTTTTTTAGGATAGTACATTGTTAAATAGATGAATTGCATAGCGTACGCGTACCTATTCAAAATTACCAAGAAATGTTTGAAATTATAATAAAAATTATACAACTTGCGTGTTACGTAGAATTCGTAAAAAAAATATCAAATTTCAAGGAGGAGGGAGGTATAACCTTCGAACCCTTGTCATGATTATACCACTGGTCTACACTATTGAAATTCGAGTACTGTCACAAAATTAAAAATAGTACCAAAATACGTAGTTGTGTGTGAGGAGACTGGGAAGAGCTAAACCGATATGGAAATTAGTTTTCCGGACTTATCTAAACACGTTGTGTTTTGTCGTTTGAGCTAAAAAAAGAGATACCCTCGTTCTGCACTTAACAGACGGATTTTTTTAGATATCTAAAATTTGTATGAATGTGTTATATTAAAAAAAAAGAGCTTTTACAGGGGACGGGTGAGACTACTGTTGTAGGCAGGTAGTTGATAAGCTGGGATACAAGTTATTTAATTCTACCTATAACCAACGATAAAACATTGCTAACAAAAAATACTTCGAAGCTGAGTTCGGTTGGATATATTTTGAAAGCCCGTAATATTTGTGATATGCAAATATGTTTTACATTTAGACATACATTTTTCCGTTTTTCCTTTATTTTTTCCCATTTATTAATGAAACTTCTGGAAAAATCAAAAATAACCTTCTTAAAGTACCTTTCGAGTCTAATTTCTTTTCGGAAGAAATGCTATCATTGAAAATCGGAGCAAAATGTCTAATAGAAAAATTGTTCACAGAAGAAAAAAAAATTAAAAAATAAAAATAAACATCATTATAAAACCAAAAGCTTCTTCGCTTCACTCAGGATCTAAAATACTCTAATTTTTGAGTCTGAGCTCATTTGATCCAGAGAGAGCCGCTAATAATTTCTAAAGTATCAGGAATAAGATATATATATTATTTACAATAAACAGACACAGTACAGTAGTTTAGCAGATACAATGGTAACAATTTACTTGTAATAACTGAGTACAAAGTATTGCTATGGAGTGCGGACTATATAATAATGTCTGTATAAAATGGGAACGCATAGTCGTAATGTGTTTATGCGTCGTTGATTTTCCTCCAAAAATGAGATAATTGGTAACCTTTTTTCTCCACTGTCTATTTTCCTCCTCCAAAAAAAAAAGATACCAAAAAAAGATTTCCGACAAACTCTTTTTTTGTATTAAAAATCAAGGGCTATTTGTTATAGTGATAGGAAACGGGTAATGGAGGAAAATCGCATATGATTTTTGAAGGAGGGTGAAATGTGCGCATTGGTTTTCAAGTCAGACCATTTTTTTTTCATTCACGCCGAAATCGCAGGTTTTTCATAAAAACAAAACAAAACACTGAAAATCTCAATATTGCAACAGGTATGACAAATGTTTAGTCAAATCACGTGCTACAGCTCGAACTGTTCGCATGTTCGTATAAAAACACATTTCACCGGTATAAAAAATTAGTTTTAAGGTTTTTTTTTTTTTTTTAGTTTTGCAACGAACCCCGACCCAGTCTACAAAATACACGAACACGCCGTTAATAATTCCTAATAATTATAATAACCCCGTTAGATTTTATCGTGACGCATTTAATTTAACGGTGTTTGAGATTAGGTTATAAAATTATGGCTTTTTTGTTTTACATTCCATGCTATTCTACGAGTATAGTGATGATATGGGTGTTTTTTAATTAAGTTAGCACGTATTATTATTACAGTATTAGGCGTATAGTTTTTTTTTTCTTTTTTTTTTTTTGACAGTTCTTAAGTTCGTCCTTTTCAGTATTCATAACACCCTATAACAACTACAACAACTTTTCTACCAGAAGACTTGCTCCGATTTTTACATGTAGCAACTTTTCTAAAAAGAAATCGACGTAGGGAGGTACTTTAAAGAGGTCGTTTTTCGATTTTCTTAGAAGTTTTCTCAACAAGTTTGAAAAACTGGGAAAAACATGGGAAAACTGGGAAAAACGTAGAAAAACCGGGGAAATAGGTACAATATTAAACAAAATTATTAATTATTATTAAAAAATATATATATAGAGCCTATTTAATTATTTTTTTATAATATGGCATATATATTGTTGACAAAGCATCACTATTAATTGAATTCCGCTCAGAATCGATTTTTCAATAGCAATGGTTTATCGTTGCTTATATTAAATACATTAAATTCCCGTCTGTATTCTACCTCTTAACTACCCACTTATACCGGTGACTGCACCCGTCTCCAGTATCTTATCTTTTTTTTTAGGGTGAAACCACTATATCTTATTTTAATATTTTCAAATGACAACCCGTATTAAATATTCTATTTTAGTTTTAGTTATTCTATTTTTGTATCCACAATTTTTATTTCCGTCATACTGTCCTCTTGAAAAGGTACTGCACTTTTTAAAAATGTTAAAATTAAAATGTATTTAAACTAAAACTGATGTAGGTTATTATTTAAAAATTCGTAATAAGCTGCTTGTACATTTTCTAAAAAATTAATTCTGAAAAAACTAATGCTTTTCGAGATAATTAGTGGGTTTACGTTATGTATACATTACGAGTATCTTGTATAATAGCCTACTTGTCGAACTTCACACCGATAGCAGTGGCACACGCATGGAGCGAAGTATGTCAGCTTCTTTATAATTATTATGTTTTTAGTCAGTTTTTTTTTTTTCAAATAATTAATAATATTCATAAACATTTATGAACATCCTGTTACATTAAGTGGTTTTTTGCGTCATTGTTCAGTGTTAAAAAAAAAAAAAAAAAAAAAAGCTCGTATTTTTAAAACAAAATAATATTATTTATAATTTATAAAATCCGTAAATGTTGTGATGACACTGTACGAGTATGGCTTATACATTAGTACACAATTGTTTTTATTTTGAGCAACCGCATCCTATATATTATTCTGTTGTGAATTCACGTAAACATGCAAAAAATCGTAGCAGCAACGGTTTATTTATAGATACAAATATTATTATAACGAATCGTTCATTGAAACAAATTTATTTTACCATATAACACTATTATTATATTAAGTATTGGTACTTGTAGCGCTATCTAACTTTGGATTTGATGGAACGTTTTTTTTTTCAAATATTTACTATTGTGATTCGTCCGACTAATAAATTGGTTACAGTACAACAAACACGTTTGAAAAGTGTTTTACGGACGATACCGATCAAAATATTATTTTGATTATATTTTGCAGTCGCCGAATAATCTTTATTTTTTTAATTTATCAGTATTACCTAATACATTACGTGTCTCTGAAAATACCACCAACTGTACTGTATGTTTTTGACGTCATCTCTGTGCACTAGATCGCGTGATATATTTTAAAATATAATATTATGTATGAATTTAAAACATTGTTTTGAAAAAAAAACGTTCGTTACGAATGGTGTATACTGCAACATTGTAGGATAATACCCAAAATTCAATTTTTCTTAAAATATGTATTACCTGTTATAAACGAATATGATACCAAAAGTATACAAATGTAATGCACTGTTTTTGTTGTAAATTAATTGAAAATAAAAAAACCTGTCCTAGATTAATGAGGACGGGTGTAGCTACTGTTGTAGATGGGATGAAAAGTTGGGAAAGTAGGATATAGACGTAAATATAATGTATATTTGCAATATGCAACGATAAATCATTGCTAACAAAAAAACGATTCTGAGTGGAGTTCGGTCAATAGTGTTGCTTTGTTAACAATATATAATAATATGTAATATTATGGTAAAATAATTACATATGCATTAAACATTTTCTTTTATAATATTTGTTTAATATTGTACCCACTTTTCCCCTCGGGCTTTCCCATTTATTGGGAAAATCAAAAAATGACCTCCTTTAAGTGTCTCTACAGTCAGATTTCCTTTCAGGAAAAATGCTACACTTGCAAATCGGAGCAAGATTTCTGGTAGAAAAGTTTTTCACAAATAGAAAACAAAAAATAAAAAAAAAAACACTGTAATACTAATACATTCCTCGCTCCACTCAGAATTTAAAAAAATGATCTTAGAATAAACCGTATAGCTATTATTCCTAGGTTGTTTGGTTATATCATTTTCAAACTGACCGACATATTAGTATGACATAACAATTCCATGTTTGTGTACAAAAAAAAAAAAACCTCACATCCTTAAAATTAAAACTAAATTATTGTATTATAAATGATAATGTGTCCATATGTTGTATGAAACGACTGCATACGCATCTACTTTATTAAATTTAATTTCAAATATTCCCCGGTAAACATTTTGATAATGTAAATCATAAAATCAATATACCGAGTGCATTACCTCCAACTAAAAATATTCGGTTAAAATTAAATCCATTAATGAAATCGGATTAAACCTCTCATTAGGTAAACAAAATTTCGTACAATTTTGAAACATCCGAATGACCGAGTTAATTAAGAATAATTATTATATCATTATGTTTTTACAATTTTAAATTTATTGACGATAGACTATAATATATTATTATAGTACTGAAGTTTGCAGAACAGTGGCGTAATCAAGAGAGTGGGGGCAGAGGTGTTTTAGTTCCCGCCTATAACTATAATTTTTTGTATTGTGTAATTGTGTATTGTGACAGGGCGTTTGATAGAGAAAGATGGAAACGCTTAGTTTTAACAGTTAAAACCCTGAACAGCTAGTTAAAAAAACTTATAAACAAAATAGTCGGTGAAAATTTTGAAAAAATGTTATCGTATAAAAAATATTATCAAGAAACATAGTTTTATATTATTATTTGGTCTAACAGTGGCGGCGTATTTAGAATTTTTCCAAGGAAAGAGCTATTTACGTTTCGATACCATATTGTATAACATGTACCCAGGCTCAAGATCAATTTTTAATAGTTAATAAATTTGTTAAAGTACTTTTGTTTTAAAATGATCATTTTAATCAAATACCTAATACATCTCATAATGATTCAGATATGTTTCGTTTTAAATAAAAAAAACGTACGTTCGGGTTTTTTTTTTGTTTACTTTAATTATATAGGTACCATACACCTAATACATTAAATTGTGGATTTGTTTGACTAAAAAATGAAGAACCGTAAATTTATAAGTAAGATTAATATAAACAATGGATACTAAAAAAACGTTATGGGATGATATATCTCCCGAATTTTCCCGTAAATGTGTCACTGATGTCTCATATTGGCGTAGTTAATTCAATGAAATATTATTTTATCTATAGGTGTGATATTATAAGGTAGTTTTATAATCGAGTTCCACGTAGCACGGTGTTACGTGTGCGTTTATTCCGTCGTTGCATTCTGCAATGTCTTAAACAAAGTATATGCAAGAAATTCGTCAAGATAATAATAAAAAAAAAGAAAACACGCAATCGATCGTAAAATTAAGCGACCGTTTATGATAGCGACGCGCGATACCGCTGTTAATATTTTATGTCTCGTCAAATTATCGTTGAGCGTGAAAATTGTACGTACTATAGAAAAATTATTACTATTGTAAATATAGACATTTGGTACCGATTGCAGTGATATTTGTGACAAAAACGCAAACGTACTTTACTTAAACAAATTAAAATTGTAGAACGATTTCGTATAGGGCGTGCAGTAAACACGATAACTGCATAACAATAGAATATTATATTACTTTGAATTAATATTGTAATATTATTCGCTCGAATATTATTTTCCCTTCAGCTATTTTTATTTGTTTAGTTTTTTTTTAATCATAATAATTGATTAAAAAGAATAATGTCAAGTGCCTACAGTATTAAATAGATGTTATTATTGTGATTATATTTTCAAACCGAACATTCCGGTTTACATTATATATAAGTATATAAACACTATCGAATGTTATACGTTATTATAATAATTTTTTTTTTTTTTTTAACGCTTTCTTAAATGCAGTGGTATATTTTTTTATGACATATTTTTTCGGGGGGGGGGGGAGAGGTTTGCATGAACAGAATTTAGGCGGTCAAGTTCAGAGGCAAATAGGCCTATCGGGCTAATCTTTTTTGATAGGAAACGAGGTTATTGTATGTTTAAATCTAACTAATAAGAAAAAAAACCGTTCAAAAATATTTGATTCAATATTTGATGTAATATGGTCTTTGTGGCCCCTTATTTCTCTTGGGAACCGGAGACGTACCCCTCTTCCCCCTTCAATCCGGACCACAAGCGGTGCGAAGCGCTTCTTTTTTAGCTGAGAATTTAAGTAACGTAAACGCAAAGACGTTTTTAATTTGTTTTATACTCTAATACCCTTTGTAATATTCTTAGTTTATAAATTCTATTACAAATCTATTATGAACGCATAATAATATTATTATATTATACAATAAACGACGTGCACAAACGCAACATATAAGGTATTTTAATTTTACGCTCAAATTGTTTAACAAAAGATTATGAAAAAAATAAAACAAAAAAAATGATTCGAAACTTGAATAAACAAGATTAAATAACTAAGTAACGAAAAACGACCGTTGTTCATATTATTATTAACCATGTGCAATAAATTGTGAAATGTATATTTATTTGCCTATACAATACGCCGTCTCGTGTCTCGGCTATACTAGTTTTAATATTAATAATAGTAATAATAACAGTCTGCTGTATATTGCTGTCACAAGTACACTGGTAGCAATAATCGCAAACATGCTAAGTATATTATTAAAAAGACGCATTTTAAAATCATCTACGGTTAAAGACGAGTGATAATCATTGAGACGTAGATAAAATATACATACCTGCAATTTAATTGTCTAGATAAAAATAAATAATCGCCAACTTTGTTTCTAGATAAAAAAAAAAAAAAAGATAATCTCTTACATTATCTATAACCAGTGACGGATAGGATAATTTTTGCAAACCGGGAAATTTTAAAAAAAGGGCTCCTACATTGAAAAAAGTACTGGTGACTTTTTTTTCTGTCTTATACATGAACTAACACTTACCTAAATCCATTGTTCAAACAAATAGTATGACAGTTTCAAGGACCCCATTGAACCCCAAATCCCGATTTCCCGATAGGGGCCTATACACCCCTGCCTATAACATAAAACTATGAGTGCTGAAAGTAATAAAAGCCCACTAGATACGATACAAATTAAGATTACAAAAAAACCGTGCGATTGATTTCATTTATTATAACGTTATAAATATACGAATTAAGTATTTTACCGGTTATTTCTAATAAATATATTATATATAGATACGGTTTAAAACGATTTATGTAGGTGATTTAACTATACATCTGATATTTCCCTAAAATATTTCTCTCTAGATAAAACATAACGCTAATAAATTATACGGGTTCATTTTACGTAAAACGGTAATTACTTATCAACGAAGATTTCGAGTGAAATTGATTTTGATTTTTTTCCTCCGTTATAAAATCACTTATACTTCATATTGTTTAAAAAGATACTTTCATGGATATTATCCCGTAAACCAAAAAACACGTATTGACTTTTGATTTTTAAATAGCGAAAAGAAACATTTTATTTTAATATTCATTATTGAATTTTCGTGTTGAAATGGGGTCGGCATTACCATTTAAAAATCAAAAATTACGATTTGGGTATCTATTTAAGGTGTGAAAAAAAGCGGGATTGTGAAAATGTAAAAATAATGTTGAGAAAAAAAAAACAGAAATCAAATTACTCGAATAAAATCCTCCGAGAAAAATGACCCCGTACTTTTTACAGTGAATAATTTATTATATTTTATTCGTTAACTTATACAATATTATTATTGTATTGTTATCATATTATTATGATGGTTGGTTTTTAATACAATTTTTAAGAAACAAAATATGTCGACCGACCGAATTATTCCAGAGATTTTAAGCGTGGAGAAAAAAAAAATTAAATTAGCACATAAACTATACACAACAATAACGAGATAAGTATATTATTATAATATTCCACGAACAAGTACGCTGACGTTTAAGTTATGGCCGTTTGATTAAATTCTACAAGACCCAGAACAGTTTTTATATTTAATAATCTTTTTTTTTGTTTTTGTTTTTTTTTTTTTTCATGAAAAATTTTGTAAAAATAGTAATTTTGTTTAACTTTGTTTTTTTGATTAACGTTTAACAAAAAAAAAAAAAAAAAACTGAAAATAATCGCGAAAACATACTATAAGGATATTAAAATAGAATATTGATACATGATGGATGTTTAGTAGGTTATATAACTAATTGTTTTATTGTTAATTTTTACGAGAAAACGTAAAATTGAAAAATCAAGATTACCTTTAAGTACCTATAACAGTTAATGTATTGCCTCACAGATTCCGAACCGATCGAGAAATAATACTGCAGTTGGTATAACAAAAAAAAAAAAAACATTTCGACAAAAAAGACAATTCGTTAAAATTTAATTCGTATATTATATCAATAAGCGACAGCTTATTGTCAACGCGTATTTTCCATTTAAAATGCAAATATTTAATTTCGAATAAAAACGTATTTTTTATTATTGTCAATTTAAAAATATTTGTCAATAATCATTAACTTTAATAATACTATTTACATGCATTATGTATATGCGTACCTACGGCAATAAATAATAAATAAATTCAAGAGCAGTAAGTAAAATTATATATATATATAATCAAATAATTAGAATATTAATTATTAACTAACTACAGTCGGTACAACATTAAACAAATAGTATTAAAGAAAACATATAAAGCCTGTTTAATTATTTTACTATAAAGTGACACACATATTGTTGACAAATGATCACTATAAACTGAACTCCTCTCAGAATCGTTTTTTCGTAAGCAATGGTTTATCGTTGCCTACAAGAGTACATTAAATTACCTATAATTGTGACTGCACGCGTCTCCATTATCCTAGGACGTCTTTTTTTTATTTTGTGATGTATTTACGCATATCCGACAACGCGTTATATTATACAAATAGATATTATTATTATTGGCATGTGAAGAGGAGGGGGGAGGTTAGCTGCGGTCCCTTCTACAGATCGATTAAACTAATCCTTCGTAAAACTTCAAACTAAAGATGTAATTGTACAAATATTCAATAAATTATAATAATACGCTTAGTTATTGGTATAATAATCTTTCGACTGAACGTGTGCGGTACCCTCGTTGTGAACATAGTCTACGTACGCCTATGATTTGTATTGTTGTTGGCGGGTCTCCGGACTATTATTAACGTCCTGATTTTGACGGATTTCCTTAGGATCCCACGTCACCCAGCCTCCAGGGTTCATCGATATTAGAGTTGTTCGATAACGACGAGGACGATAGTGCCATGAGCAACAGCAGGAAGCATTCGGTTGAGAGATTTAATTTTGAGGTCAATCAAGCACACACTGACAGTAAGTAAATAATAACTAAGGATTGGAGAGTAGTTAATTGTTGAAAAACAAAAATATGTTTAATTTCAGTTTTAAACCCTATAAAAATAACTAATAAATTTGTGACAAAGTCATTTTTAATAAAAAGTTGTTGGTGGGATACCACCTTTACTCTTTTTAAGCTACGTAGAATATAATATACGTTTATTGCCGTCAAAATTTAAAGTGCAGCAATAACATTCTGATTTCCGACTAGAAAATGATGAGGATTACTCGGCCAGTGTCAACGCAGTACTTTACAGACGGCTCAGCATCAAGAAAGGTAAACATCAAAAGCAAAGGAGATCTTCGTCACCTATGTCCTCGATGATGACGGACGACGTGAGTCAGCTATCTAATCGCAGGAGATCTTCGGCTTTTACCATCAGTTCTGGAGAGTAAGTTTATTTTTTTGATATAATAATACCTCGAAACGTTTTATTATTAAATTACAACAACAGGAGAAGTCAGTTTGTCACCTCTGCAGATGCACTTAAAATAAATAATTTTCCGGTTATGTGAGCATACACGTTTTGTATTTGAAATAATGTTCATATTTATTATTGGTATATATTTGTAATTTTAGCAAATATGAAAACATCTTATCAGGAATAATCTTGAACATAAAAATATTACCTATATAATTTACCCTCTATGGGTAAAATAATATCATAATATTAACGCAAGGAAACGAATTTTATACATTAGGTATTCAACATAGTATTTGTAAATAACTATATAATAAAATAAGAATATATCTATTTACTAAAATGACTACTAATTAATATAGAACTTCAAATCATCTCACTGCTAAACATGTTAGCGTGAATAAAAATGTAAGTTTCTAGTATAACTCATAGTTGAAGGCCATAAATAGTACAAGACAATTTAATAACTACATTTTTAAATTTACCCGCTAAATGTGTTCGCTAAGAAAGTGAAGGATTTTGCGGTACATTGTAACTATGGAAGTGAATTTGTGTATTTTTGAATTCGAACACGATATCTACTGTGTCATATTTCAAGTCCAATGTTTGTAAAAAAAAAAAAAAAAAAAAATAGTGCTGTATTGTCAAATCTTCTGCAAAATATATTTTAATATTAAGTGCACGTGGTATTAGATTTTTTCCTAATAATCTTCTATGACTTCATTTTAACTATTTGAGGTTGGTTACCCTTGTCTTAAATTTCCACTGATATAATCTTCTACATCATTGTTGTATACACCGGACATCCTCATATCATTCTCATTCACATTCAAACAACTCTTTTTCGATCTTCTTCTTGCCCTCTTTTCTCCTATGTTTATTTATATTATCGTTCGTACTGCTTCTGATTTCCCTCTCCTCATAACATGCACAAATCATATTTCTATTTTCACTTATATTGTCCACTATTGAAGCCACGCTTATGCTCTTATGTACTTATTCCTTATTATATTTTCTCTCGTTACTCTACTCAACTCATTCTATATTTTATTCTTTTGTCTACCACATTTTATTGTTTTTTAACAATTTAAATCATATAATATAATATATCTGACTACACTCTTTTAAAACTTACATTTAAGTCTTATTGGAAGCCTCTGATGCATCCACTTGATTTTATGTTTCACATACTTTTCAAAGCCATCGTTCTTTTTTACATAAGATTATATGTACTTAATCGTCCTAACCTTAACCTAACCTTACCTATTATATTACCATTTAGGCGTTTAATGCCATTACTCGTTTTGTCCCATCAATTTCTTATCCTTTTTCTCCAAACTCATACAGATAAAAGTAATTGTAAAGTAACCCCCGGTGATCGTGTAACAACACAACATACAGTAATGGTCATGGAGTTCTAGTGCATTAAGAAGATAGTCCACACAAATAATAATAGATGTGCACCTAAAGAAGTCGAGGATTTGGTAGTAAAATTAAAAGCTAGAGGATAAAGAATAATACTACACAAAACGTCATTACACGTCATTTCTCATCAACCATATTATGTCCTCTTCCTTCAAAAAAATACTCTGTTTAATTCTATTTAACCTTAGAATACTAAGGTATTCTTCAAGTGCTACTTTCTATTTCTCAAGCCTATTGATAATTTCTTCCAGATTTTCTCCTATCAAAACTATACTCTTCTAAAATCTGTATCACACAAAACACAAGCACCATCGTAGATTTCCCTGGCATAAAATAAACAGGTTCATAGATATGTCTTAATTCTAATTCTCTTTTCCATATTATTTTATTAAACCTATACATTTTATTCCTCTATAATATCCACACTCTTGTATATCTCTCTTTCCTTTAAATATAAATAGTATAAAACTCTTTCTCAATTCGTCTAGTATTTTCCCTACTACTATCACTTTATTAAAAAAAAATTATTAACTAAAGTTTATTAAACCCGTTGAAATTATATTTTATGAAGGTTGACAATTACCGATTTATTTTCTTACGGAACGAATGAAGAATATAGTGTCGTTATCGTATTCTCTTAAAGTCATCCCCAAAAATGTATTGTGTAACGTCGAAAAAATTGTAAATCTGGACCTGTAAATGTTTTAATATACTGGTATATTTTTACGGTAGTACGACGATCAATATTGAAGAGGACAGTCTTTCGGAAGAGCAACTATTCGAGAATATTCGTTTACACAAAGAAGTATTGGGCAGCGTTTGTCTACAGCCGTGGCCTATGCGGAGGAAGATGAAACTGGTGCAGCAGGCCAAGGAGTACGTGAAGAAGCACGAGGGTCAGCTCCAGGAGCGCCTGGCTATGAAAAAGAATACCTGGAATCTTTGGGCCCGGTTTAAAATATTCATAGTCAAAGTATAATATATAGTATAATTTCATTCAGAAATCGCGTATTGGAAAAATATCGTGTTAGAAATTCCAATTGTTTGTAATAATGAACATAAAAAAAAGAGCTGATACTAGGGAAGGGTGCGACCACTGTTGTAGGTGGGTGGTGGGAAAGATGGAATACACAGTTATTTTATTTTTACCTATCTAAAATTGTATCTACAAAGTATTTAGTACCTACCTACCAAATAAAAAATACGTAAAAAATCCTCAAAATTAAAATGCCTTAAAATAGCTCAAAAAATTGCTCAAATTTTCTGAAAGTTTTACCGCATCTAGAAAAAGTAAATATAAGTTTTCTGTGAACATTTTAAGTCTCTACAAATATTTTAAACTTAATTACATTAAAAAACCAAAATTTAAAATAATAAAAGAATTATTTTCGTAAATGTTCATGTTCATTTTACGTGTTTTTCCTACTTATTAATAAAATTACAGAAAAACAAAATCAAAAACAAATAACTTAATCATTAACTATATTAAAAATAAAATAAAAAAGGTCTCTTGTTGTTTATCTATTGGGTATAAAATGTATAAATAATTATAGTAAAAAACATAAACCGTAAAAATTATAATTCTCCACACAGGACCGCAGTGGTATATCTAGAGCTTAACCAAGGGGGAAATGATTTAAAAATTGTAATTCCCCTGCATACTGATCTATGATTATTGCTCTTGATAAAAAATAAAAATACCCAAGAAGTAATAAATGTCACGTGTATAATATTATTTTATTACCTACAGCCAATAACTGCAATTAAAAAAAACTTCAACTGAATAATGTCAAAGAAGCAGCGACACAACCATCGCTTCCCCGCTTAAATACGCTACTGCAGGGTCATGAAGTCAGGAAGTGGGCAAGAGGTACCCATACACTGGGTGCTATAGAACAGGAATACCATTAAAAGTTTTTAAAGTTCTTGTAATTTTCTGGTTTTTATATGTACCAGTTCGTTTTATAACATAATAATATTATTAAATTCACCAATACTTCTATATATTTTACCATTTTAAAACACATTTGCTTGAGAAATGTAAGTTGTATTTGTTTCAAATAATTACACCAAAATACTAAAAAATATTTTATCCGGAAAATTTTCGATTAAAAAATTTGTCTACAATTAAATACTAAAGTATAATATTTATAATACTTATAATATAGTTTATGTTTCTCTTCTTTTAAAATCCGAGTCCTGATTTTTGTTATAATTATTGTTCGGCGTACTTTCACGCGGTTTTTTTTCATATAAGTATAGAAGTGGCAGCATACCAAACGAAAAACGGCCAATGTCATAAGTCAATTAATCCCATGGGAACAAACCATCAAAGAAATCGAGTCCCAGTTCGGGACAATGGTTGCCTCGTATTTCACGTTTCTCCGATGGTTGTTATGGGTGAATCTTGTCATTTCCATGCTGTTGGCGGTTTTTGTGATCGTACCCGAGGTAAGTATTGGTAAAAACGTAAATTAATATTATTTATTTGATATTTGTAAATTCTCGATGAACAAAACCATAGCTATATACCAGTACTTGCATAACCAATTCTGAATGATATTAGGTTAAACAATAAACATATTTTAAAGAACCGTGATATTTATGATTTTCGTCAAAATTTGAACGTAAACCGTTTATAAAAAATCTATTACATCACGCTTAACTAGGTAAAACTTATGAAGAACCATATACTAAAATTTCGAGCATTTTTTCAATTAAATAAGAACAAAATAAAAAAAGTCGTCCTAGGATAATGAGGACGGGTGCAGCCACTATCATAGATAATTTAATGTATACCTGTAAGCAGCGATAAGACATTGCTTACAAAAAAAAAATTCTGAGCGGAGTTCAGTTGATAATGATGCTTTGTCAACAATATATATATTTTATAGTAAAATAATTAAATAGGAATTATATATTTTCTTTAATATTATTTGTTTAGTGTTGTACCGATTTTTTCAGTTTTCCTTCGTTTTTCCTGTTTTTTCTCTTGTTTTTTTTTCGATTTTTCAAATTTGTTGAGAAAACTCCTGAGAAAATCGAAAAATGGCATTTTATTTTATAAAATGTGCTACACGTAGAAATCCGAGCAAGTCTTCTGATAAAAAAAATCGCGCACAGATAAAAAAAAAAAATCATCTTTTTAAAACTATAGGCTCCTTCACTTTACTCAGAATCTAAAACCACAATGAAAATCATAAATTATTTTTTCAACTCACTAACTAGACAACATTTTCTACTGGGAACTAACCATGAAATTTACGACCGACGCCAGATTTCTAATAGAAAAGTTGTTTATAGACAGACTAAAAAAATATACAATAGTAAACTCGATATTTAAATTCCACATTTCACTTAATAAATATAGATATTCGATTTTGTAATAATAGAACAATTTGTATATCACACGTTATCAACTTCAAGTTTATGTAAGCTAACAAATATATTCTTGTTTTATCTGATCATTGTAACTCAAAAAGAAATCTCGTAAATGTGTTACTGGGTCCTAATTAAAAAAACAAAAATAGTCTGAGCCATTTAACCCTAAAACCTATATTGAAACTCTCTGAATACTGTTGTGTTTATACCGCTGCAGGTGTTGACGACTAGTAAGGAGAATACGGGTGACCGGAAGAGGCTGTTGCCAGACGAGGAGCCTCTCTCAATGAACTTTTTGGACTGGTGGAATTTTGAAGGTGTTCTAAAACAATCGCCCATATTTTACGGTTTCTATTCAAACCGCTCGAATTCAGATTCTGGTTACCAGTTACCTACTGCTTACTTTATCACCGGCCTGGTCATCTACATTTACAGTTTCGTAGCTATTCTCAGAAAGTGCGTTATCATATTTTAAACATCTATATTTTTATTGTCATATAATAATAATATATATATATATGTAATAATTGCTATAGGATTATATAACAAATTTTGTAAACGAAATTCAACAGTATATAATAAATATGTATATAAATAAATACTGAAAAAACCGAAGTAAAAAAAAAAAACAAACTAAAACCCAGAAACGTAAAAAAACTAACCAAGTTATTATTTTTTTTTTATAAAATAACAGAAATACTATAGGCAGACGTGTTTGAACGTCATCTTATTATAATTTACCTAAAAAAGTATTATACTCAGTTTTACAAGAGTGTGGTGAGACCGACTTTATTGGATTTTCGAAATATTAGGGATTGAGAGAAAAATATAACAAAAAATGAGAGTAGCAGAGATGAGAATGCTTAAGTGGATGAGTGGAATGAGAAGATATGATAAGAAAGTGATTTCGATAGTAGATAAAATGAGTGAAGAGACGTATGATATGGGCATAGCATGAGGAGAGAGGAAACGGAAATAGTATGAATGATAATGAAAATAAACGTAAGAGAAAATAGGAGAAGAAGAAGACCGAAAAAGAAATGTTTAAATGTTTGATTGTGATAAAATTATTAATCATAATATACATGGATAGGTTATTATCAAATTCAAACAATAAATACGTTCATAGTACGTTCATGAAACACAATCTGTTCAATAACTATAATATTACAGAACCGATAAATTATGAAATCAACAGTTCATTAAACTGATTTCATGCAATCCGGTAAAAATTTAAAAAATATAAAATTACATATCTATTGAATTTTAACAATAGTACGTAGTAAATAATAAACTAGAAAAATTGGTAATATTATGTAATTTTTAAGAAAACTACCAAAATATGAAACAAATTAAAACAAAAGATGGACATACTTCGCACGTGGATGGACCATTCTTATAGCCTGTAGGTAAGAAGTTGGGAAGGTATAGCCGGTTTAGGGGAAATTAAATATATATCTGTATGCAACGATTAACCATTGCAACGATTAACCATTGCAACGAAAAACGATTCTGAGTGGAATTAGGTTAATAGTGTTACTTTCCCAACAATACACATGTTATATTATAGTACAATAATTGCATGTGCATTATATATTTTCTTTAATAATATTCGTTTAATATTGTATCTATTTTCCCGTTTTTCCTACGTTTTTTTTCCATTTATTATGAAAATAACTTGAAAAATCAAAAAATGGCCTCCTTAAAGTATCACTCCAAGTAAATTTCTTTTCAGAAAAAATGCTATCATTTAAAATCGGAGCAAAATTGTTAGCAGAAAAGTTGTTCACAGATAAAAAAAAAAATTAAAAATTAAACATCGTTGTAAAACCAATTACTCCGCTCAGAATCTAAAACCATATAAAAACTATTATTAAGTTATAGAACAGGTATTTTTAGCTTGCTGGTCAATAAAAGACACTACCGAAAATATGTCTATAATGTCTATTACTTCTCATCCCAAATTATTATAATATAGAAATTATCCGGACTATCTCTATATGACGTGCGTATATTTTTACATCATGCAATAATACATGTATTTACAGAATGGCCGCGAATTCCCGTCTGAGCAAACTGTCTGAAAAAGACGACGAGTGTGTGTTCACGTGGAAATTGTTTACCGGGTGGGATTACATGATCGGCAATGAAGAGACGGCCATCAACCGCATCTCGTCAATAATATTGGGGTTCAAAGAGGCGCTGCTCGAAGAAACAGAGCGAATGAAAAATAAACTTAAGTAATATACCTTATAAGCTCGTAATAATTATGTAATAATTAATAGTATATGTAAAAATACCGATTTTTAAAAATATACTCTAATCTATTAAATCGTTAAACATAGATAATAATATTGTTCTATTTCTGCCAAAATTTAGATATTTCGTATTATTTGTATCCTCTTCAAAAAACTTCTTAAGTTAATCGAATTATTAAAAACTCCGAATTATAATTACACATGGTACTTGATTACCTATAGTGTTATAAGATGCAATTATGTGATATTTCGAAAAGAATATACTATTAATAAGTGATCAATTTATTGGCTATTTGTGATTTTTTTTAAAGATAATTGTTTCACAAAATAATATCCACGTTTTAAAATGATTTTTAATGACTTTAAATTTTCATGGTTTGATCAACAAAACGATCGTTTGTAATATTGCTACAGTTGGAAAGTGGTGTTATTGCGGATATTTGTGAATCTGATCGTAATATGTATGCTGGGCTATTCGATATATGCCATCACTTATATGGAAGAAATATCCATCGTCAAAACGCTAATCGAAGAGCTCTTTCCGCCAGTGTTCGAAAAGCTTGGTATTTTGGAGTACTACCACCCGAGGACGGCGCTCCGTCTGTTGCTGGCCAGGTACGCGATAACATTGATAACACGAGTGCATCATGATCCATGCATTTTTATCCTTACCTAGTCCATAAATAACAGCGATAATGATAATTTTTTGGAAAAACGTTAAATCGTATATTTGGCCGAAAATATCGTTTTGGTGTAAAGGCGTTTCGCCGGGGTCGTGCTCAAGGGGTGTTGGTGAGGGTATTATACTGAAATTATAACTCAAAATTAATTATTACGTTTTGTTATTAATCATTAAATTATTATTAATATAATTTGTTTTTATTATTTACTTATATGATGATCATTTATATTTCCTATTTGAGGTTGGTTTTATTGTTTTACTTTCCTGTTGTGTATTTCATACAATGCACGCGAAATGGCATTCATGAGCATCCACGAGGTATGTGCCTTCGTGTCATTTGTTTTTAAAATAAATACAATTTAATTATTTCTGCATTCGGGAAGGTGTTAGTTATTTACTTAATTTAATGATCTCGGTAAATTAAAAATATAAATAAAAATGCATTATAAGTATTCATTTTATCTTTTACATAATATATAAATATAAGGAAGTGTCTGTCTGTCTGTGCGTGATCTACGGCCAAATCTATAATTGTACACGTAGAACTGAACATGTGTATACAGAAACAAATAGACGGATCTGTGTACATTACAAAACCAGATTTCCAAAATTCAACCTATTAAAGGGAACTAGGGTTTTCGATATATATGGTACGAAAATTCGTACATCGAAGAAAAACCAGTTATAATATAGTCAATTTATTATCACTGGCATAATAAAACACACTTTTTAAAAATAAATCCACGACGCGTCAATTTTATTTTTACTGATTTGTACGGAATCATGGCTGCAAGAAAAAAAAAAGACACACATAGTTCACACGATGGATGGATCGTTGTTGTAGGTAATAAATTAGGAAGTTAGGATAACCAAGGGAATTTTATGTGTATTTGTTCGCAACGATTAATCATTGCTAACGAAAAAAATGATTCTGAGCGCGGTTCAATTGATAGTGATGCTTTTTCAACAATATATATATATGTCATATTATGGTAAAATAATTAAATAGGCATTATATATTTTCTTTAATAATATTTAATAAATATTGTATCAATTTTCCCGTTTTCCCTGCGTTTCTCCCGGTTTTCCCATGTTTTTTTCCCTGATCATCACATTTTCTATGAAAACTCTTGGAATAATCGAAAAATTACCTCCTTAAAGAACCTTCCCGGTCAGATTTACTTTCAGAAAAAGTGCTATCATTGTAAATCGGAGCGAAATCGCTGTTAGAAAAGTTGTTCACAGAAAAAAAAGCCATAATATTTTTTTAATAATACCTACATTTCGTACATTTTCCGTTTTTCCGACATTGTATCACGGTTTTTCCCAGTTATTATGAAAACCGATTGAAAAATCGCAAAAATTACCTCCTTAAACCAAGGAAATAAACTGCTACACTTAACACATGGGAGCAAGATTTATGGTAGAAAAGTTTACACAAACAATCGAGCAAGCGATAGGTCTCTAGTTACACTTAAAATGCATTTGTTTTTTCCCTATTTAGGTGAAAGGGGAAAACAAAGAGAAACAAATTTCTGTTCTAATACCGAGTTTGAACTCACGACCCCTAGTATAACAATACGTATTCATGACCATTCGAATACAATAAAAGTATAATAGAAGTGACAATATAGAAATATTTAACATAAACATGTAATATCTGCATAATATCTAAACTTCAAAAAGCTATAATTTTGAAACTTAGCCCGTTCGCTCAATTCTGACTTTATCATCCTTCCTAAATTGGTAATATACATATGTTCGAAAACAAAAAAAATTTAAAAATCAGATTTGTTCTTCATAATTATTTACTCAAACAATTTTCGTCAAAATGTAGTTTCAAAATTCCTTTATAAAAACAAATACAACATTAAACTCAATTTTTTTTTTACCACATCTAATGAACCTTCTGTTAAATTTTCAAGTATTTCTGTTAAGTCTAACAATTTTACCACGGAGTACCTACCGAATAAAAATTACATACAAAACTTGCAAAATTGAAATGTCTATAAATAGCTCAAAAATGGCTTAAAGTTTTTGATAATTCTACCACCTCTATAAAAGGCAAATATAAATTTTCTGTTTTAATTTCAAGTCTTTACGAATAACAAAATTGATAAACTAATAAAAGCATTAATTTCGTGCATTTCCCGTTTTTCTTAAACTGCTAATAATTAATGGGCATTTTCTTTCTATATAATCAGAGTTAATTAATTCTTCCGATAAACTATTTTATAATTGCAAATTGAAAATTTTTGTATGCACTGATTAATTAAGTTATTATACCTATACGGTTTTGAGGCTTTAGGTCGTATAAATAATAAATATTTTAATCTTACGCTTTAATTACAGTTTATCTTAAGTAAGTAGGTACTACAAAATGATTTAACTTGTATTAAATTAATTTCACGTTATTTTCACGTAATTTTATTCTATGTAATGTTTCTTTTACGTTTTCGTCTGTTGCATTAATTTACATTAAACATTTTTTCGACAAAAGTAATTATCAGACAATTAGAATACAAAACGATAAAGTACGAACAAAATAATGTCATTAGTTACTAAACACACATATCTAAAATTTGAAAAATATTCTTTTTAGATTCTAAGCTGATTTTATTTTTTTATATATATACTATGTACAAAAATTCTACCAGAAATCTTGCTCCACAGTGGCGTTCTCAAGAATTTCCAATGAAGGGAGTTGTGGTAATTTCTAGAAAAATATTTAAGAGGCACATATCAGCGTACACTTTTTAGTTATGGCATTTAATATTATTTTAGATTCTGAGTGGAGCGAGGAATACATTGGTTTTATAATTATGTGTATTTATTTTTTTTATGTGAACATTTTTTCTACCAGAAAGCATAATCTGATTTTCAAGTAAAGCACTTTTTCTGAAATCAAATGCTCTCTGGGTTTTATGTTGAAATATTTTAAAATTTTCATTAATATTCGAGATAATAAGAAAAACCCGGTTCTTTAGGTCAAAAAAAATTGAAAGATTGAAAATAACGTTATCATTGGCAACCGTTTTTATTTATTTTTTGTTATTATTAAGTCTTTATTATTTTAATAATTTTTAAACAATCATTAATTATTAATGAGAATTTAAAAAAATTACCTCCCTAAAGTACCACCAAGAAAATATTTCCTTTTAGAAAAGGGGCTATACTTAATAATCAAAATAAGCTTTCCTCGTTTCACTTAGAATATAAAAAATAACAATGCAAAATTAAATGCACTTTTTATTTTTAATAATTTATCAATAATTTTTTAGTACAACAAATATATTTATGTTGTAATTGTAAATATAAATGTAAACTATACGATGTGGCAATGAATTTTTACATTCGTTACAAATTTAAAACGAATTTACTACAAAAAAAATAAAACGACCTTGTGAGAGAGGGTTAAACTTTAGAAAACCTCCTCTCTGTGAGTATGCCCATGTACTTCCAACATATTAAGTATCCGAAGTACCTTTTTTAAAAGGTAATTATATCTTGTCGGTATTTAAGTAGGTAATTTTTGAGCTATTTATAGAAATTACGCGAGTTATTTACGTAATTTCTATTTGGTAGGTTTTCTGTGGCTAAAAATTAAAAGCCCAAATAGAAATGCTTGAAAATTGAATAGAAGGTTCATTATAAATTATACTTGTGGTCCGTATTACCATTCTCAGTTTAACTCGAGCTTAGCTGAACTTCGGTTATCAACTGAATCCTAGGTTAACTTCATGCCAGTACTACATTTACAGATTTACCTTGGTTTAGGTAAACTGTTATTTTTTTCTATATGTATGGTACCACTATGAACATTTTGGTAATAAATGAAAAAGTTACAGGATAACAGTGTTCTGTAGTGATTGTGGATCAATTGGTTTGTTGTTGTTCGGTATTTTCAATTCGGTATTCTAATTTTCATTTATTAAATCTATTATAATAATAATTATTGATAACCATAATACCATGTTTATTATCAATATTAATAAAAATCAAACAACAATTAACACAAATCAAACTGTAGTTAATCTCTGAACCAAGCTTAAGTCACCGAAATAGAATGGTCAATTTTACCGTGGTCATTTCGATCAAACTTAAAATTAACTTCAAATAGAATTAAAACCAATATTGTAATACAGGCCCTTAGTGGTCAACAAGAAAAATTTGAGTTTAATTTGGTATTTTTTTTTTTTATAAGAACTTTAAAATCAAATTTTGAAGAAAATCATATATGTTACGGCCTTTTAAAACGTGTATAACTGAACCCCGCTTAGAATCGTTTTTCGTTAGTAATAATTAATCGTTGCATACAGATATACACATTAGTGTATTGAAGAGCATAATACAGAAGTATACGGTATACACCAAAATCATATTTGTCAATCATAGAGCATTCAAATTAAAACACCTCCTCCCCCCCCAAAAAAAAAATAATAATAATAATTAAGAGAAAATGTAGGAAATATAGATAAACCCTAAAATAGTGAAAAACCGGAAAAAATGTAATAAAAATAAAAGGTGGGCTCTCAATCAGAATATTAAAGTAATGAGTGTAGAAGGTTTCATGTGTGTTTCAATGTCCAGACAACACACCGTCACGATTATTTAGTTCATGAGCTTGTCGATTGCAGATTTAGGATTTTGTTTTAACATGGATATGATATTAGGTTGGGCGTTAGTATGAAATTGGCTGGATAATTTTATTGTAATACAAAAATATAACACTGTGTATATGTATTTAGTTTCCATAGAGACAACGAAAATATAATTAAACATTAAAAATATCCATGATTCTATGTTTTTCCGTGTAGTGTATATTTTAGGTTTTGTAATTAGCGAGAAATGCATTGATTTTACTACGTTGTGTGCTTTTTTTCTGTATTTAAACAACTCTTCTACCAGAAATCTTACATCAATCAAAAATGTGACATGAAACTTTTTTTTGTTGTCTTTATATTTAGTTTGTGCATTGAGGAGGTCATTTTAGGTCATTGATTCGATGTTCCAAGTGTTTTCAAAATAATAGTATAGGAAACCGGACAAATAATTACAGAGTTAACGATTTTATTATTTATATAAATGATGGTTGGCATATTATTTGTCGATAACTTGAAAATATTTATTCAGGGTAACTAGAGAGTTAACACAAATAAACACAATCTTGTAGATATAAGATTGTGAAATACTGCAGTGTGATTCTATACATTTTTCAAATTATTGTACCACGAACAGATATAACAAATAATACTAAGTACACGACAAGTACGTTTACCAGACGACCAGATGAACATATTAAGCTAGTTTTTTTCATTAAATATTTAGGAATAATTCTATCAGCTTTTCATTTACTGAAAACATAGCCTATATCTATTCTATAAGGTCATACGTATTTCTCAATAAATTGGAAAAACCGGGAAAAAACTGAGGAAAAATGGGAAGATTTACGAAATGTATAAGGTATTAGTTGAAAAATATTACAGCCTTTTTTCTTTATAAACAACTTTTCAACCAGCAATTTCGCTCCGATTTTCAATGATAGCACTTTTTAAAAAGGAAATCTGACTGGGATGGTAAAAAAAATATTTAATGAATATAAGATTATTTTACCATGATATGACAATTATTTTTAACAAAGCAACACTATCAACCGAATACCGCAAATCGTTCGTTCGTTAGCAATAGTTAATCGCTGCGTACAGATATACATTCAATTTTCCCCCTATTGCCTTCCCAACTTCTCAACTACAACAGTGGCCCACCTATGTGCAAAGTATGTTCGTCTTTTTTTCTTCTTTTCCGTCCATATTTTCCATACAAGTTTAGAGAAATACTATAAATATAATAAACGCGGAACGTATATTTTTTTGTTTGTTTGCCCTTCCACGGAACAAACGACCGATCGATGTGAATTTTTGCATAGGGATAGAGGACTGGAAAGTGGCTTAGGCATTGGTTGCTTTTAGTTACATATCATTCCTGAAGATGACCTACCTCATTCCTATCCCTAATTTTAAAAAGAAAATACTTTTTAGGGGCATTTTAACCATTGCGACTATTCGTGCATCATAAAACTCAATAAACACGATCAATATCTATCGTAATAATCATAAGTCATTATAGAAATTAAACCCCTTAAGGATTGAGAAGGAGTGTCAACGTTAGTGCGACAAATCGTATACCGACTATGATTAATCAGAAAAACTTAGTTGCATATAAGTAAACAATGTTCAATTTTGGTTTTCGCATATGGATGAAAACCTGAAAGTCATATAAATAGATAACTTTAAGGGAACATAAAATAAGTAAAGAATCATTTCGTATTTATAATTCAACTTGTAAAAAAAGTTTAAAATACTTATTAATATTTCAAACCAGGGACCTATTTTAGCATTGTATCTACATTTTATATATTTATCTGTCATACACCACTCTGTAAGGAAGAATTTAAAAATTTCCATGGACCAATTTATAGGTACTAAGTATCGTATTCAAATAAAAAATATACGCTTTAGAACCTATATCATTTTTACACGATAGCCACGAATTTGAAAATTTAAACACTTTTCGTTGTCAATTTATTGAGTTTATAGGTATACCTACCTTGATCGTAAATGGTAAGTAATTGAAATAATATTATTCACCGCGTCAAAAATTTTTCCTGTTCGTAAAAATAAAAATTGTTTGTATTTTTGTATCACGTTTATTTCAAATTTTAACGTGTATGCAATCTGAGGGATCCCGGTAAATTGATCGCCAACAGTTTATTAATCGCGGCTGCGAATTGGTCGCCGAAAAAAATGAATGCTTTGTATATTTTTCTTCGGTTTATACTAATATACAGACACATATACAGAGGGGTTGAACACCCCCAAAAATTAATATTTGTGTAATTTATTTATAAAAATTTAATTTTTTTTTTATGAATATAGATAATATTGGTAATATTAATTATTGTAAATTTTTAAATGTAAACCTCCAGAATTTTTTTTTTGTATACATGTCTGCTAATATACAATAATAATTTATTATTACTAATAAAATTCAATAATTTGTTTTTATACATTTTATTGATTTTCTAATACTTAATTAAATGTATTTAATTAATATAACTTGTAAGTCAAATAATTTATCAAGTTTTTTTTTTTTTTGTAATAATTTAATGGATAAATAAGCTAAAAATCAATAAATTATTTAATTATGCTAAATGTATTATTATTATTTTATTTAAGAATTGTGTCGTATAAACCAGAGAAGTCTATATAAATCAATACCTACATAATTCATTTTTTTTCGGCAACTAATTTTTTGCAATCAATTCACCGGATACCCAATCTGAGATTTGATATTTAAAAAAAAATTCACCTTAAAATATTCGCCATCAAATAATGGCGTATATTATAACTCGTAAAATGTTTGAAGATGCATTACTAAGAAATTCACATGATTTAACAAAAACATTACTATGTATAATTACTGTATGCGAACTTTATAAACACGGGTCACGTCAATAACCAATATTAAGGATATATTATGTATCATTTCAGAATTATGGCGTTGATCTTGTTCAATCTTTACGCGATGACATTCTCTCTGTTCAATGATATCAGCGAATATGTGAGTATTTAGTAACGTATCCAAGAATTTTCAATAGGGGAGGCTGAGCATAATGTCGTAAATTACTATTATATTATAGTAAATGAAAATTAAATATAATAATGTAAGCAAAATATGTGAAAAAAATTCTATAAAGCTTTTTTAGATAGAAATGTATTGGTTTTACAATGATGTTTATTTTTTTTTCCGTGAACAACTTTTCTACCAGCAATTTTGCTCCAATTTTTAAGTGGTGCAGTTTTTCTGAAAGGAAATCTGATTGAAGTGATACTTTCGGGAGATCATATTTTGATTTCCTTATAGGAGTTTTTCCCAATAAATATGATAAAAACATGAGAAAAACTTAGAAAAAAAGGGAAAATAGATACAATATTAAAAAAATATGACTAAAGAAAATATACAACGCATGTAATTTTTTTTTTATTATTAATATTAATTATTTATTTATAGTTGAGTTATAAATTTCTATTTATAATTGCCTTGGTTTTTCTGTATATTCTTCTATCTTTATTTAACTTATAGGTAGTCGTATGTAAATTGGCTTATTTTTTTTACAGACAAAAATGTTGGATAAATTTAAACCGTTGAACTCGACTATTTTTGCAACAACCCCGGGGTCCATATTCAGTACAACGACTACTCGGGCCCTGATAACCACAGCAGCGCTGTTGAATTCCACCGTAACAACGCCTATGACGACGCCTACGCAAATACCTATGGCGATGATGATTTCACCTACAACAAATATGACATCATTGCCTCCACCCATCAACAACCATAGAGACGTTCAGTCTGAATGTCTACCGTTTGAAATTCGAGAAGTGATTGCTTGTTCCATTCCAAAGAACAGTCAAGTGGTTGAACACCTAACCGTCCCGAATGCACCGATCGGGTCTGTGATCTATTCGACGACAGTACAGAACGGGACTACGTCCGATACGAAGAGAGTGCAGAACATACCTGCAAACAATTCGGAGACAGTGCAGAACATGAATGTGGTTCATTCGACGTCAGTGCAGAACGAGCCTGTGGTCTATTCGGAGACAGTGCTAAATGGACTTGCGATTGGTTCAAAGACAATGCAGAATGGGACTACATCCGATTTAAAGATAGTCCAGAACGGGATTACGTCCAATTCAAAGACAGTGCAGAACATATCTGCAGGCAATTCAGAGACAATGCAGAACATATCTGTAAGCGATTCAGAGACAGTGCAGAACGGGACTACGTCTGATTCGAAGACAGTCCAGCACATAACTGTAGTCGATTCGGAGACAATGCAGAACGGGACTGCGACCTATCCGAAGGAAATGCAGAACATGAATGTGATCTATTCGACCACAGAACAGAACGGGTCTGCGGTCGAATCGGAGACAGTGCTGAACGGGCTTTCGATTAATTCAAAGACAATGCAGAATGGGACTACGTCCGATTTAAAGATAGTGCAGAACGGGATTACGTCCGAATCAAAGACAGTGCAGAAAATATCTGCAGTCGATACGGAAATAGTGCTGAATGAAACTACGTCCGATTCAAAGACAGTGCAGAACAGGACTACGTCTGATTCGAAGACAGTCCAGCACATAACTGCAGTCGATTCGGAGACAATGCAGATCGGGACTGCGACCTATCCGAAGGAAATGCAGAACATGAATGTGATCTATTCGACCACAGAGCAGAACGGCCCTGCGACAACAGTCCCGGAACCGACGGATGTGTCTGCAATCGGTTCGACGGTGGACAATTTCTTAACAGTACAAACAACAACGATCCGACCCTTAACAGTTCCTACTGAATGGGCTGTGCCAACGTCTTCATCCATCGCGACCACGGATGGGTACGTAGTCTTCAGCACGAGTACGAAGGCTGATGAAAACCCCACCGAAATGACTTCGACCGATATTACCCTGATGGTAACCGAAGTAGATGTCTATTACGACGATGATATCTACTACAACGACAAAGAAATTAAAAAATCTAACTCGAAAAAAAGCAATCCTATCTACGACAAATCAACTAGCGCTACAAGTGAGACAACAGTCGTTAAGTCGACGTCGAGTCCAACGGATGAAACCACCTTGGACGATTCGTTTTCGAGTTTGATAACCGATATACCCTACCAACAAATGAATGAAATTCTAAGAGATGGAAGGAGGGTAAAACGAACGCTACAAATTGTTTTAAATGACACTCATTGCTTCCGTATAGTGTGTTTGAATAACGTTAGCAAGAAATCGAATTCCCGAGAAACAACAAGTAAATGTTATACCCTAAATCAGCGGTTCTTAAACAGTTTTCCGCGGTGCCCTGGGAGTCCATGATATTCATGTAGGGGGTCCACGGTAGCTCGATCGGTAAATATTGAATATGATAACATGAGATATTTTGTAAAAAACGGTATTAGTAAGGATTCGCGATTTCTAAAAGTTTTTCATCGGGGGTCCGTGTGTACCAAAAGTTTTAGAACCGCTGCTCTAAATCTTTGACAATATATTATAATAGTTCGATTTAATATCACTGATTCGATTAATTATGTATGTTGGTTTTCCATTGCCGGCTATTCGATGACGACAGAACTTGAATTTGATGCACCAGGCGAAGACTACTCGCTTAACGTCATCTCATTACCACTGTTAAACAGAACGGAATTACGAAAATTGTGTTGGGAGACATATTTTGGACAGGAATTAGTGAAAACCACGATCATGGAGTTGGTAAGAAAATCAAATTACTTTAAATAATAATATAATAATCTATTCGCAATCGTAATATTACTCTATAATCTGCCACTTCCTATAAATTAATTGAAAAATATACACACACACATACAGACACAATGTATCTACATCCTGGATATTAATAATTCAGATAATAATGAGTTATTTTAGAATTTAAATTTTAAATGTAGAGAAGTAGCTATTCATTTTACTAAGATGAATTTTTTTTTCCGCCATGCCTTGAAAGATTCAGACATTTTAGCTGGTGGTATTTTATCGAAAAATGTTTTTTTTTAACTCTTAACAGATTTCTAAACAATTTTAAAAAACTAACAGCAATTGATAATACTGTGGTTTTATTTATACCCGATTCCGGAGGATTATGTATTTAGTATACATGTAAATGTTATGTTTTTACGTTAAATTACACTAAAAGTCTATAGAGCAAATTCAACAAACAAGATATCTATATATTTGTAAGAATCTCATGGCGGTTATACGCTAAGGTTTTTTTCTTAACAGGTCCTTATAAATATATGATTAAAGCTTGTGACAAGACGATTTCATTATTGTGTTATTTAATTGAGTTGGGTTGAATTGCACAATATTGTGGTAGGAGGAAAATGTTTTTTTTAGTTTTGAATACTCCCAAAATAAGATAAAAATCAAATAAAGTCGAGAATACAAAATTTTGTACATAAATAGCGTTAGTATCAAGGATGCGTCTTTTTGAGGTTTTCAAGCCCAAGTTCCCAACCCTACCAAATTTCATAATATGTTTGAAAGTAGTATGGTTTAATTATACCATAGTATTGTATTTATTGTTTTATTAATTTGGTCATTTTATTGATTTGAAAAGAATTTTAAATCCAATTTTGAATTTTTATATAGTGCCAAATAGATGGAGGAATATTCGACGGATATCTTTTTCGCATAATATGTTGTGTAAATACTGTTACAAATTCGATTTTTTTTCATTTTTTTAGAGATATTTTATTACATTCTTCGGGATGGGGTATTTTTAGCTGCTTTTGAGGTCATCAATAATCTATCTTCTAAACGAGTTCAATATTCTGCACAGGTGACGACAATAGTACGAACATGTTTCGGGGACTTTCTGGTTGCCTTGTTCGTGCGATACATGAATCGATGCTGGTGCTGGGACCTAGAAAAACGCTACCCGCAGTACGAAGAATTCAGGATCGCCGAAAACATACTACAATTAATCAACAACCAAGGAATGGTCTGGATGGGTATGTTCTTCTCACCTGGACTGCCAATCATCAATGTACTCAATCTGATGATCATGATGTACGTTCGGTCGTGGACGATACTCACGTGCAATGTGCCGCACGAGATAGTATTCCGTGCCAGTCGGAGCAACAATTTCTATCTGTGCCTGTTACTCATTATGCTATTCCTGTGCGTGCTACCGGTCGGCTACGCGATCGTGTGGATCGAACCATCGTGGCACTGCGGCCCGTTCTCGCAATACAATAAAATCTATCACATATTCACCCACTCGATCAAAGAGGCTGTACCCAGCCCTGTGGTCCACTCGGTGTTCGGCTACATTGCGTCACCCAGTTTTATCATACCGCTGCTGCTACTCCTCATTCTTGTTATTTACTACTTAACCTCGTTTACGTCGTCACTCCGCGAAGCGAACACTGACTTGAAAGTAAGAATTTATATTATAGGCATTTAATAATAAACAGCTGATGGACCAATACCATATTTGTTTATTATTAAACAAAACTCAAACAACCTTTTCCACTCACACGTTTCGATACAATATAATTGTTAGATAACACATAATGTTGTCATCTATGATTAAAGCATTCAGTGATATCATTTATAACAAGGCTGGACAAGTTAATAATATTTCTTAACTCAGTGAAGTTAAGTTAAATTAAAATCTAAATAAAGTTAAGAGTTAAAAGTTAATTTAAAATTGTATATAAATTGAACTAAGTTAAATGTTAACCATAATTTAATATTATATTTTTAACTCAAGTTAAGTTAGTTATAAAAAATAAGTTTCTTATTTTCAAATAGGTAAAATTACAATAATAGGTACCGAAAATTGTCCGTGTAACTAAGCCAAAGAACTATTATTAGGTATTTTATAATATGTTCCAAAAGATGAAATAGTACACATTTTGTTAATATACATATATATTAATAATATTAATACTTATTAGTTATTATAACTTATACAATTTAGCAATTTGTAAACTGAATACTTATTACTGATAGACAACAATTAGCGATACGTCTATATGCGTTATTAGATTATAACACGAACTAAGATATTATATTAAATCATAATTGGAACTCTGAAAATACCAATTGCAACATTGGAGAAAAATTAAATTTTCATTTTCATCCCCTGAACACACAAAAAAAAAAATAATAACTTTATTTAATCATATCCGAAAATGTTCAAAATAGCCATATTGTAAAAAATATTATTTAACAAATTTTAATGTATCACACATTCATATCCAATGAATAATTTCTTAGTTATAGCTGTTTTAATTAAGCGTAAACACAATTAAATTTTCAATAAAATAACACATTATACGATGTTGCGATAAGGAATTACAATCAGTACGGTAATTCTTTACCTTCTACTGAATATTTATTTTTTCATGCCTATTTTCTAGGAATTATGACGGCTATAATTAATAAACTATTAATCGGATATGAATATATGACACATCAAAATGGCTATTTTAAAAACTTTCTAAAGTGAATTAATAAAGTTGTTTTTTGTTTGTGTTTAGGGGATAACAATAAAAATTTAATTTTTCTCTAAATCGATGTCCCCCTTGAAGACAAACCGATTGAAAACAAAATTTAAAAAATATGATATTAACAGCACTAGAAAAATCCATCGAACAACACGGTGAGACACACTGTATATATTAGCTATATTAGCTACAATCGCCAACTGGCGACGACGGTGAAAAATAACAAGCATTGATATTATTCATAATACTTTGTTTAAACTTTATAACTTGTTTAAATGTAAAATTAACTCAATTTAATGAAAAGTTAATTAAAAAACTCCTATAATTAATAATTAAGTTAATAATTATAAAAAAAAATTATTTAACTTTAACTTATTAACGCGTTAATACCCAGCCTTGATTTATAATGGCAGTACATAAGTACTGAGTACTCATTACATACACCATAAATATGAAAAGTATTATCACAATATTTGTGACACACACACACTCAAAAAAAAAAAAACAAAATATAAGCTAAGTAAAAAATGTGTATTATGTTTTATTACGATTTTGTTTGTTTTATAACAATTTTTGATAAGCAAACTAAGACAAACCATCACCGATAATAATATATAATAAAGTCTAATTTTTTTTGTCTTTGGAGCTTACATTTTTTCCCAAAAATCCTTTGAAATTTTTTACGAATTAGGCACCCCAAAATCAATAATAATCTGGGTGTCCAAAACTCCCAATAAATTCTTCTCTATTACCTACTGTTTTATTTTTTTGTTATTATTGTGTAATATTAATTACAGGATAATAAAATTAATAAATGTAGGTAAATTCATCTGTTAAAAATTTATAAACTGAATTATATATCACCTAACAGATTACAAAATGCAGAATGTGTACTGTTTATTTCTAATTTTACTATGAAAAAAATGGTAAGCGAAGAGATCAATCACCAATAACCCCCCCCACCCTAAAATATACCACTGATTTACTTATATTACTTATTTTTGTAGTATAATACGCAATATTATAATATATTTGTAAATTACCAAGATGATTAAAAAATTAATAAAAAATTAATGATACCTAGGTACTACCTTACCTTGTACTTTTTTTAAACGTATATTTACTTCAAATAATTTAAAAGATCCTTTTCTGGACCTATTTCTACCCTTTCTTGAGATGGGTGTTTGAAAAAATACTTCGTAATCACTTATATCAATCATACAAAAATTATACTGCAATAGTGATCTGGTGATTATTTTTGTAGATCCAGCTGAGACAAGAAAGGACGGAGGAACGCCGGAAAATGTTCTTACTGGTCAATAATAAAAATCGCGGCGATGGTGGCAACGAAGACGAAGAAGATTACACGTGTTTGGACACGACTCTATCCAAGTGGAAACAAATAATGCCGGACAACAAATTTTCAATGGACGGTTCGAACTGTGTAGATGGGTTGGCAAAGAAAAAGCAAACGGGTAAGATGAGCTGATTTTTCAAAATTCAACTTTTAAAGTGATTAAAACAAGAATACAATTTTTTAAAGTGAAATCATTACTGAACCGAAATTGTTGAAGAAATAAGTATGAAATTTGGACGGTAGTTTCATTTTATGATTTAGAAAGTAAAGACTCAGTAAGAAGAAATTTGATGAAATTAAATACCAAAAGGGTTTAAATGATGGTTACAATTTTTTAAGTGAAACTTCGTAGCTTTTAAAGTTTTTAACTTAGAGCGATCACTCTTATAGTAAGACCGTCATTACCCACCCCACCTTCTAAATTTTCATAAATGTGTTATCAGTAAAAACGGGTGAAGTCGTGACGGATAAAGCTACTTTTGTAGTATAATAGTATAATTTTTGTAGTGTAAATGTAAAATTGTAATTTTACATAATCTATGTTATTACTACATGTCAGGTAAACTGTACAGTATACAATGTATACTATACATACATGTAAACTACACACAGGCGAAGCTGGTAATACTACCAATGGTTATGCTACTGTTATAAGTTGGAAAGTCAGGATATAGAGAGTAATTTAACTTTATCCGTATGAAATGATAAATCATTGCTAACAAAAGATTTTGAGTGATTGAGTGACATTCAGTTAAACGTGTTTTAGAGTAAGTACAGTCAGCTCTCGATAATTTGAAGTTGGCGGGACAATTTGAACAATTTCGAATTACCGAGAGTTCAAATTGCTGAGTAGTTTAAGAGCAAAAAAAAATTAGAATTACTGAGTTTTGAAAAATTTGTTTTATTATTATAATTATTAAATATTTCAGCAAATTAGGTGGTATTACAGTATTTATTGGCTTTCGACTAGTTACAATTCTATATGAGAGACGGTTAAGAAATAAAATGCTTACGATAATAATTCTATAGTTATTAAAAATAATAATAAAATAACGAAATGATTATACGAAATACATTGGTGAATATACTTCGAAGTGTCACGTGTTAATGGCCAGTTTTCCCAAAATTTAATTTAGAATTACCGAATGTACTTAAATGAATTGTTTTTATTCGAATTACCGCGAGATTTTTAAGATAATGGGTATTTACTTCGAATTACCGAAAGTTTCGAATTATCAAAGGTTTCAATTAGCGAGAGTCGACTGTATCACAAATTTTACAATTTTTATAATAATTTGAATTTTAAATTACTTCAAATCTAGTAACCAGAATAACTTTACTCACATAAAAATTTCAAATAACTATAAATAAACCAAATATCGCAGAATGTATTGCATATTGTACTTCGTCTAGAAAGGGGTAATTTAAGTATTCTGTGAACATTTTAAGACTCTTCGATTAATTTTAACTAAATTACAACAAACACAACATCAAAAATAACGGAAAAATATATTGCGTCAATTTTTCTGTTTTTAAACATTAAATGGAAAATCAAAAATGACTTTAAATTATTTGTGAAGTTGATGCCTTATGCACGATTTTCGGTATAAAAGTTATTTATAGATACGCAAAAAAAAGTCACACCACCAATACTACTTATAATATTTTATGTCATGTCTGTATACATTTTACAGTTTTTTTTTTTTTTTTACATAGAAAATGAGGTGCTGGACAAGGTCGGTAAAAAACCGGTACACAACAAAACGAACAACTTGTAACAACACGACCTAAGCAACGTCATAACCCGCCGACCTCTCAACATGCGCAACCATTATTACAGTTACCAGCATTGTTAAGAATAATTTGCATGTGTAATCAGATTATGCTTTAAACACTTACCTGTTATTTCAAATGTTCGAAATATGTATTTTTAAATACCTGTTAAAAATATTCAACATTTTTTTTTTTTTTTGGAAATCAATTCGATATATACCTTAAAAGATTTGAACATTGAACAAATCAAAAATAAACATTTGAACTTATTATACATAAATATTTAATTTAGATGAGTTCAAAAATTTCAGATTTTGCATATTGTTATTTAATTATTAGTTGCATATTATTATTAGTTATTATTTAGGGACAGGCTAGGTATAGATTACATTAAGATAATGAATTATTATAACAGGAATTTTTTTTCAATAATATTTTTTTTTTTTTTTTTAACGAGATATGAGTATGTGAAATTTCATTGTTTACAATTTCCTATATTTCCCTTAAAACTTAAAATATCAACAAAAAAAATTAACGCACAAGCACCGATAATGTTCCGGAAATGACTTTTAAATTTTGTCTTACTACTTGCAAAATACTATAACTATTCCTGGAATCATTTAGAACTTGTTTTAAAAAATACAAGAATAAACTTCATAGCCATCACATAGTCAGTCACTACAGTATTCAACGTCAAATTACAATGACCCTTTCGTTTGAGACACATTCGTCCAGCTCTCGTTTTAAAAAAGTGTCTATTTTTCTATAACCGTCGTGACATGTCATCTTCTTCAATCTGTCAATCAGTGAGCTACAGCACTTCGTACATCTCAGACGTTTGATAATTTTAAATGTCCATGTCTTTAAGAATATTTGATAATATATACGCCTGTGTAGGTATTCCATTCGTCCTCGATCTTCCTCTTTCAAATTGACCTAAGCTTCAATGAACACCTTCGATAAAATATCATAGCGTAGCAATCCTATTATATTATCCATTTTATTCTTATGAGCATTTTCTAAAATTATATTTTTCCATTGATTCTTTTTAGAACTCTTTCGTTTGTTACTCTGTCACATCGTGAATTGATGGAAATCTATAACAGTAGTTTTGAAATAAGAAACTTTCATTGTTACCACTCAAAACAATAAGCATTCGGTTCTAAAACTACCCATCTATATTATGTATTCATGATTCGCGTCATAAAATATATAATATTCTGACCTATTCTGTAACCTATTTTAGAACGCGTGATGATTACTAGCCAGGAAATAAAAACTGCCAATATCGCGATAAGTAACTAGCTATTAAAGTCACAATATTGTATTATATTGATTATAAGGTATATTTAAAAAATAATAATAATAATAATTAATGGAAAAACTGTTGCTTTTTCGCTGCCCCATCATCACTCGATTTTGCGGTAGAGGATCGCGTGAGAAGTCGGCCGTACAAATTAATGTATATGTCGTTGTTGTCACTATTCCCATAATAATATAACCCTTTCTCGCTATTATATCGTGGGTGTGGCATGACTATCTATAAACACGAGTACGGCTACTTTTTTTTATTATTATTATTTCGACTGTGATTGTAGTCGGCGTTGGTCTTATTCTTGTTGTATAAATAGTAAAATAATAATTTCTTCTTGATCTGTCCACGCAAAATATAATCAGTATAGCCGTCGTGAAATATTTAAAAAACAAAAAGCAGAAAATTCGAGAACGCGTAGTCGTGTAAAATGTAAGTAATAGCCGATATAATACTGTAACAGTATTATTAGTCTAAGCCTCTAGGGCTGATAAATTGCAATTGATGATTACCCATTTATGTCTTAATAAAATTCTTAGCTCAGCAACACTATATTTGAAGTACTTACTAAGTACTTGGGCATCTTGCGTACTCGCGTTAAGTTCTATAGAAAATAATGTTGATTTTTGAAATGGCTGCAATGTACCACAAGCAGAACGACCATTAAATATAATATCTTTCCCTCTCTTATTATTATTTCTTCTCAGATTATACTGTAGCTTCATTCCATTCATTCCACTTTTCTTTTCAGTAACTATATAGCAAATACTAATCGTATTTTTCATACTTTATGATCTCAGCTAAAATCATCGTTTTCTTATGTGTTGGTTCTTCCCTTCATCACTCCCCTCTATAAACAATTTCAACAGACTTTCATATCTCTGATTATATGACCAATCTACCCCAGTTGAACCAGTCACATCCATACAGTTTTTTTTTAACACAACTCTTTTACAGCACTGCATTTCAAACGCATTTATTTTAGATTCTGAGCGGAGTGAGGAATGTATTGGTTTTAAAATGATATTTATGTGTATATTTATTTTTTTTGTCTGTTAACAACTTTTCTACCAGAAATTTTATTCCGATTTTCAAATGTAGAACCTTTTCTGAAATTAAATTTGACTGGGATGGTACTTTATGGAAGTCATTTTTTGATTTTATAAGGGGTTTTCATAATAGATGGGAAAAACCGGAAAAAAACATAGGAAAAACGAAAAAATTTACGAACTGTATTATTTTCAAATCGTAAATATTAAAGCCTATCAAAACATGTGTAACCAAACTTCGCTCAGAATCATTTTTCGTTAGCAAAGGTTAATATTTGCGTTCAGATATATTTTAAATTTCCACTCTACCTTTCAAACTTCTCACCTACAACTTTTTTTTTTTTGATTTTTCTTCAAAATAAATATCCATAATTAAAGCCCGGATTTATATTCTTTTGAAATAGCCAAAATATGATTTTTATCTCTTAATATTTTGAATATATGCTTGTAATATTCTTTAAAAATATTATTAAAATATGCAAAATATGTTTTGTATTCAGATTTTTTGTACTGCTAATCGTTGAAATGTATCTTACTCTCATAGTTGTGCATACATCCATTAAAAACATGTTTTTACATAGAAATCCGCGCTCTATTTATAATTATATAAATTTTATCTGTTTCATCGTTGCTGATTATACTATTGATCCACTTGTTCTATTTCTTTTATCAACAATAAATTACCTAGGTATATTGTTGTGTATGTTATTGGACATGCATGTTTTTTGTTTTCCGTACGTTTATTTTCATATTTAATTTGCTTCGTTAAAATCTTTATCCATTGTTATACACTATAAATTGTGCGTTATCCAAATAAAAAATTTTTTTTTTCTTGTTACGTTATAATTAATTGTCCGCATATGTCATATTGAATATTCCTGATTTAATTACGAATACTGTAGCTGATATTATGCTCCGATAAATGTAATTGTAATTTGTTTCACTAATATATCATTAAAATTATTATTATTATTAATAGGTGTAATTATAATAATTATATAGCGTGTTTGTATAATAAACAAATAATATTATTGTTGCCCAGGCCAAATAATCATATTTTTTCGAATTACGTTGAATATTCTCTTGTTTTTTTTTTATTATTGTTATTATTATTTAGCCACTGTTGACTCGTAATATGGACATTAGACAACTATAATACTATTATGTAAATTATTATTTTTTACGCACACGTACAGGTAAAATACGCACGGGTATCACGCCGCTAATTACCGTGACGATAATGAAATCATTTATTTGGCTTATATAAATAATAATAATAAAATAAAAACGATTTTTTTTTTCAACTTAGCGTTTTGAAGACTATCTGCTACACTGTATAAAAATAATAACAATATATTGTTTGCGGCGGAGTACACATTCGTTACATTGTCGTATAGATTATTACGTTACGGTTTTCGCGTAGAACATTACTCAACCGTCAAAACGTGTACAACGGTTTGTGTATACCTCGCGGGCCGCAAGTTACGGCAAACAATTTTTCAAACAATATAATAATAATATGATCGTCGCCTTTGCTTTCTTTTTCGTAATACGTATTGTATTTCATTTGAATTATAACACTTCCCCACACCCTACATCAAAAAAAAAGTAACGGAAAATGTAGATAAATCCAAAAATAATGAGAAACCGGAAAAAATATAATAAAAATAAAAAGTGGGCTCTCAATCGGAATATTAAAGTAATGAGTGTAGAAAGGTTTCATGTGCGTTTCAATGTCCAGACAACACACCGTCACGATTATTTAGTTCATGAGCTCGTCGATTGCAGATTTAGGATTTTGTTTTAACATGGATATGATATTAGGTTGGGCGTTAGTCTGAAATTGGCTGGACAATTTTATTGTAATACAAAAATATAACACTGTGTGTATGTATTTAGTTTCCATAGAGACAACGAAAATATAATTAAACATTAAAAATATCCATGATTCTATGTTTTTCCGTGTAGTGTATATTTTAGGTTTTGTAATTAGCGAGAAATGCATTGATTTTACTACGATGTGTGCTTTTTTTCTGTCTTTAAACAACTCTTCTACCTGAAATCTTACATCAATCAAAAATATGACATGAAACTTTTTTTTGTTGTCTTTGTATTTAGTTTGTGCATTGAGGAGGTCATTTTAGGTCATTGATTCGATGTTCCAAGTGTTTTCAAAATAATAGTATAGGAAACCGGACAAATAATTACAGAGTTAACGATTTTATTATTTATATAAATGATGGTTGGCATATTATTTGTCGATAACTTGAAAATATTTATTCAGGGTAACTAGAGAGTTAACACAAATAAACACAATCTTGTAGAGATAAGATTGTGAAATAATACAGTGTGATCCTATACATTTTTCAAATTATTGTACCACGAACAGATATAACAAATAATACTAAGTACACGACAAGTACGTTNTAGTTTTTTTCATTAAATATTTAGGAATAATTCTATCAGCTTTTCATTTACTGAAAACATAGCCTGTATCTATTCTATAAGGTCATACGTATTTCTCAATAAATTTGAAAAACAGGGGAAAAAACTGAGGAAAAACGGAAAAATTGGTACAATATTAAACAAATATTATTAATAAAAATATTTTACCACAATATGACATATACATTATTGACAAAGCAACACAGTCGCCATCAAAATACGTTTTACTTTTTCTTTTTTTTCATATTCAAATCAGTAAAATATTCTGTATGTATATTTTCCTTGTAACTAATTATACAATTATTTTTAACAAAAACTTAGTCTGAGTTGGCCCAACTAAGCCATGACCCAGTCTAATGTTTGAATTTACTCAAACCATTCAAATCAAAAATATACCCATTCGAAAAAAAAAACAGACCTTAATAAATTCCTTTTATTTATTAAATAATTATTGAACATATTTTATGGAACAACCAATGGCTAAACATAATAGCAATTAATTTGCCTGTTTCACTTATACATATAATAATATATTAAAGCTCCTTATTTCACGTGTACACACGTATTCAAGTATTCATATATTAATATTGTACTTACTATTTTAGAGATTTAATTTACTTTTAGTTCATCATATTATTAAACATTTTAATTTGACAATAAAATAAATTAAAGTTATACAAAATCCACAAAAAATCAATATCGAGTAGTGCGTTATCGCCTAAAACAAATATCCGTGAATACTTCAATACAAGAACAACACTAAAACACGTGAACACGGATAGTAAATGCACGTGTATTAAATATACGTTAGTATAGGTACACATTTTCATTCACTAGTACGCGGAATCTATGTTTACGTACGTATTAATTCACATTTACCATCGATACCACAAATATATATAGTTAAATCATCTGTACATGAAGTTTATACAAAACGAGCATTCCATAAATATTGTTCAGTTCATTTTTATCAAATTTTCAAAGACCCGATCCCGATAATCGGCGTGTACACTATAACAGACTCGACGGAATCCTCGCGGGTGGGTAGGTAGATGCGTCGCTCGAGGACGGGTTCGTAATTAACTCGCGGCGTTTTCGGTGAATTGGAGGAAGGGAAGGGTGTTTAATCTGGTTAATGGTCTTGTATACGACAACCGTCAATTATTTTCGAATCGCGGAGGACGTGGCACGCGATTTCGCACTGAAACGTATTACCGCACGAACAATATGTATCCAAACGGATAGCGTCGGAAGCGGAATTTTCAAGAGGGGGGGGTTTATTACGTGATGTAAATATTTACTCGTATATTATTACGCCACACATTGTACTACACATAATTAGATAATATTATTGTTGTCGACTCTTTGGACTTACAGTGACACGGCGACAAGATTATTGTACATAAGGAGTGAATTCCATACCACAAAAACTTTTACACAATCCATTTATAAAAAATAAATCATTTTTTTAAGTCTAAATAGAAATTTAGAACGTAGCTTATATTAGGCTGCTATTTTATCAGTAGGTAATAATTTAAATTTTTAAGTACTGTAACCGGTGGCTCGAAAACTGGTCCGTAAGCTCTTATACCCCATGCTTTACTCAATGTTGAATTCAGGTATCCCTCAAGGGGGGAAATGTCCCTCCTTGGATTTTAATCCACCCCCTCCTCCCAACAAATACAATAGTCACTAAATATATTTATTAAATCAATAGTCGTTACATTTTACACCAAAATACCAAAATGAATTTCAAGTCTTTTGAATTTATAGTTATAAATAAAAATAAATTGATGTAAATCCCATATTTGAACTTCATGTCACTTTTACGATGGGACGATCATTCGGTGCAATGAATCGAGTAAGGTTTTATGTCAAATCTTCGAAACCGGATTATGATATAAATTATTATAGATAGTATGAGATTTTGTATTATATTATTGCAATTATATTGCTATACTGATGATATTTTAGGAGCGATATTGTACCGGCGATATTTTATCGGTAACTAATTTATGTAAATAAAACTAAAAAAAAAAAAAAAAATTCTTGAACTATTAAATATTTTCAATTGAATTATAACAAACAAACTAAATCGGTATATTAAATTGAGTAAAATATATTTAATATAAAGTCGTACTAGCCAATTAAAAAAAATGATGCCATAGTACGAAAACATAATTAGTACTTAAAGAATTTAGTTCTTTAAGAATTTTAAAAATGTCGACAGCTAATTACAAATTAAGATATTTAGTTTATTTAAGTTTCTACACGTATAAGCATACGCTTTACTACGAGTATATACAATTCTTTCGAAATTACATAATTATGGAATTATAGTTTATTGTTTAAAATAATATGTTAGTAACCCGGGCACTTTGCACGATCGCAGAGACCTTTATTTACAGGCTTTCTGAACTTATTTTTTATTTGTTTTATATTTTGCCGAAAAAGCCCCATGCTTAAATACGTATATGTATATTTTATCGTTTTCTATACGCCTATTCAATGTCCATGGTATCATTTAATATACATGAGAACTGAGAACATATTTTGTATTAATATTTTCCGTTATTATTTATTTTATTAATTATTTTTGCTTAAAGCGTGGCATTAAAAAAAAAAAAAAAAATGTTTTATAATAAAATATTGCCAATAATTATAAGACGAGGAAAACGGAATATAGTCACGTAAATTTAGACCGGGTTAATATAAACGGTCCAACGGTTCCAGGTAGCTCAGCTGCTGCGGTTCGTCGATATTAGAACTGTTTAACTACGACGGTGGCGCCATGAGCATTAGCAGAGGGCATTCGGTCGAGAAAGTGCGTTTTTCGGCTAGCCGAGCACATTCTGACGGTAAGTACGCATATATAACTATACGATTTAGAGGGAAATAAATCTTTTAAAAAACCAGTGGCGACTCGTGCATTGGTGCGATGGAGCGATTCTCTATGTAAATTTTAAACTAATTTGCAATTGTGCTCTATATTTTATTTTAGATTCTCAGTAGAGCGAGGAATATATTGATTTTACAATAATGTTTATTTTATTTTCCGTACACAACTTTTCTACCAGCAATTTGGCCTCGATTTACAATGATAGCGCTCTTTCCGAAAGGAAATCTGACTGGAGTAATACTTTGAGGGGGTCATTTTTTTGATTTTCCCAATAAATGGGAAAACCGGGAGAACAGCAAAATAGGTACAATATTAAACAAATACTATTAAAGAAAATGTTTAATGCAAATGTGATTATTTTATCATAATATATTGTTGATAAAACAACACTATCAACCAAACTCCGTTTAGAATCACTTTTCGTTAGCGATGATTTATTGTTGCGTACAAATATGGGTAGAACACGATTCCGTACGTTCATTGTTCGATATTACATTTATTTTTTTTACCTTTTTCTAACCCAACTCCGTATTGTATTCGAATGTGACGTTACCATATGAGGAATACGATTCCGCATGTTTTTTTCTTGTAAACGTTGCACCCGATTCCTATTGTATTTCAATAAACAGTAGAGCGTGCGGAATAGTATTCCTCTCACAGATGTACATTCAATTCCGGTCTATATCCTACCTTCCCAACTTCCCACCAACAGCAGTAGCTGCACCCGTCTCCCTTATCCTTGGACAGCTTTTTTCAATTTTATTATTATTTTCATTACTTATATAATTTTTTTTTTTTTTTTGCAATAATTTCAATAATTATAATGATATAATTTTTATATTTATTATAGTAACAACTAATACTAATAGTACCTAATCATTTTTAATGTTTGTACGCATTTCAAAATATTAAACAATATAAAGGATTGCAATATAAAATGATAGTATTCAGAGAAAAATAATTGTATCCCAATCCTACAATCCCAGTGTGCAGTGATAATAATACCTATACAAATTTAACACCGGCCAAACAACCAACGTCTACAACGTCATGTAGTTAGTCACGGCCCACTATATGGAGCAGTACGGCGGGGCCGTTGTGCACACAAAAAAAAAAAAAAAAAACTGGTTTTTAATAAAAAGTATATGTGTATGCCTAAAATCATATTACACGGTAATTATTCTATATTTTTAGTCGTTCATATTCGGCGAGGATCTGTATTCGTGTTGGTAAAACGACGAATCGTGTGGAATTTGTGGTATTTTCGTCTATTAATATTTAATAGCTATTGAAATGTTTACCGACAGCTATAACTACCGAGTACTTTATAAACCATAGTAACATGCTATTAGTTATGTCACTAATATCGTATAATATTATTTTTTATTGTTATTTTTTTACCATCTAGCCTACAAAACGAATTTTTTAAATAATAGAAGTATTAGTGTTGATATATGCATTAATAAGTACTGATACTGATGACGGGTGTGTCATTGTTGTAGGTAGGATTGTGGGAAGTTGGGAAAGTAAGATAAACAAAGTTATTTAAACTGTAAACTATAACAAACCATTGCAAACAATTTTGAGCTAAATTATATTATACATATTTTAAAATTCCGTAATTTTTAGGATTTTTATCAAAATTTGATCTTAAAACACTTATGTATAAATAATAAAAAAAAAACCTATATACTATTAACGCTAACTTTTTTACTATTATTAAGTATAACTTATAATGAATATCTTATTTAATTTTCAAACATTTCTGTTTAGTCAAACAATTTTATTCACATAATACCTACCCAATAAAATCGTCAAATACTTCAACAATTCGCAAAATGTATCCACGTCTAGAAAACATTAATACCTACATAAGTATTCTATAAAAATGTGTGATCCTTACGTTTATTTTAAACAAAATTACAACAAATAAACAAAATTGAAAAAAAATGAAACCATTATTTCAGTAGTTTCCTGTTTTAAAAAAATCAGAAAACTACTCTTACTCACCATCTCGATGCCTCCTCTTAAGGTTCGAGCAATGTAATAAAATTGTTATTGATTAGAAAACGATGAGGATTACTCGGCCAGTGTCAACGCAATACTTCACAAACGGCTCAGTGTCAGGAAAGGCAAACATCAAAAGCAAAGGAGATCTTCGTCTCCCGTGTCCTCGATGATGGCGGATGACGCAAGCTTGCTATCCGATCGTAGGAGATCGTCTGCCTTTACCACCAGCTCTGGAGAGTAAGTTTCTTAATAAACTATATTAATATTAAAAATAATATTAATACTCTGATACATTTTACTTCCACATATGTTATAAAAGTTACGAAAAGTGATCGCAAGAAGTCGAGTTGTTACCTCTGCTACTACACAAATAATTAGTTTGCATTAATAACTGCGCATAATATTAATATATTATATATTAGACTATTAATTTATAATTTTATCGAATAAAATAACGTGTTAACAATCGAAATAATATGCATATAATTTAACCTTTACTATATATATACCGATGGCGCAAGGGAAAAACGTGTAAGGTAAAAAATGTAAGAAAATGAAATTATGTTACATCAATAGAAAAATCATACGAATTTCGGGTAAAATAATGAAAGTTTAAGTCTAAGATTTTATCTGTTGTTATACGTTTGTCAAAACATGTATATTGGATGGAATAAATTATATGGTCGGGAAAAATCTTAAATATATACCGGGTGATCCATTTAAGTGGAGACACACACTATCTCGGAAACTATTAACATTTTTTCGGAATTTGTATTATAGAACATTGTTACATGTTATTACATATTATTACAATAAAATGTTGTTACATTGTTACAATATCATAATATACTGCTATATTTTTATGATAGTACGGCGATTAACATCGAAGAGGCCGGTATTTCGCAGGAGCAAATATTCGAGAACATCCGTTTGCACAAAGAAGTGTTAGGCAGTGTCCGTCTGCAACCGTGGTCTATCCGCAGGAAGATGAAACTGGTGCAGCAGGCCAAGGAATACGTGAAGAAGCACGAAGGTCAGCTACAGGAGCGCTTAGCCATGAGCAAGAGCACCAGGGATATTTTGGCTCGATTTCACATACTCGTAGTCAAAGTATAATTAATAGTATAATTATTTCATTCGAAAATCGCATATTCAAAAAAAATCGAATTAGAAATGGCAGGTATCCGAAAAAACAAACAGGAAAAAAAAAGATTTGATACTGGGGATGGGTGCAGATTGTAGCCACTATTGTAGTTGGGAAGTTGGAAAGGTAGAATACATGAAGGTATTGCATTTATATCTGTACGCTGTACGCAATGATAAACTATTTGTAACGAAAAACGATTCAGAGTGAAGTTCGGCAAGATATTTTCAAATTCCGTAATTTTTACGATTTTTATCAAAATTCGATCTTAAAACGCTTATGAAAAAAATACTAATGCATTAAATTCAAACTCATATTTTAGACCACCAAAGACAAATTATAATGTACCTTGTGTTGAATTGTCAAGCATTTCTCTTAAGTCATATAATTTTAATAACAGATACCAATACCAAATAAAAATACATACAAAAACACGAAAATACCTATAAAATACCTATAAATACCCTAGGAACTGATATGTAGAATGTTTTAAAAATTTGACCACGTTTACAAAAGGTCAATATAAGTATTTTGTGAAAACTACAGGTCTACACAGTAATTTTTAACTGAATAACAAAAAAAAAACCGAAGTGTCGTACACTTTGCCGTATTTCTTACGTTTTTCTCGGTTTTTCATAATCGTAAAAAAAAACTATACGAAAAATGAAACAACGACTTTCTCACTTACTGTACTAGACTAGACAAAATTGTCTTTCAGAAAATTGAAAAAAAAAACGGCCAATTGGGGGGGGATTAAACCCCATGAACCCCCCTCCGTGAGTACGCCCATAACCTATCTACTGGAGCTTAAAATAATATAGTATTGTTGCGTCCTATCTTATAATATATGTATATTATATTATAATAATTTATAATTATTGCCAAAATGTATAACTATATGGTATATATCTAGGATAAATTGTTTATTACATTTGAATTGAAATACTTGGATTTTCGAACACGTGATAATTCTATTATATTCATAATAGATTCTCGGCGTATAAGTGTAATAATAATAATTAATAATTATACCAATATCACTATTAATATTTTTATAACCAGAGCTCGGAATTCACAAAAATAACATATTCTTATGTATAGGCATCTATTTTTTTTTTTTTTTTAATAAGCAATTTCATTAACAGTTACTTACTCTTACTTTACGCATATTATGCATTTTTATCTCTGAAGTTTAAATTTTCTGCATTTAATTAATCATACAAAAATACTAATAAATATTATTTACAGATGATTTTCAAATAAAAAAAAACAATGTTTTGTATAACACTTTTTGATAATCGAAAATAATAATTTTAATACCTAATAGTTAATATTTATTCATATTGAAATCCGAGTTCTGATTATCGTTGTTATTATTCGGCGTATTGATATGTGGTTTTGTCGCGCAAGTATAGCAGTGGCAACACACTAAACGGGAAATGGCCAATGTCATAAGTCAAATAATCCCTTGGGAACTTACTATTAAAGAAATCGAGTCCCAATTCGGGACGGTGGTCGCTTCGTATTTCACGTTCCTTCGATGGTTGTTTTGGGTGAATTTTGTCATATCCGTGATGTTAGCGGCTTTTGTCGTCATACCCGAGGTTAGTAAAAATATGAACGTAAAATTATATTATTTACTGGACATTTACGATTAATAATTATTGTACTTACATCACACAAGAAACATAATTACGGAGAGGGAATGCGATCCTGAGTCCTGATAATAGATAATACTCTAGATCTTTAAAAAAAAAAAAAAATGTTTTTTATTATATTTATATATTTGGTAAAATGGTTTTGAAAAAACGATAAATGTTCATAGTTACGCGTCCATTTTATGTAAGAGCAATATCAAAATGTTGTTTTGTTCTGATTATCGTGTTTCAAAAATAAATATCGTAAATACGAAACTATGCGTCGTTATTTTTTTTGAAAATACTCTTGTGTCAGTTAATTTTATATATCTCCCTCATGCGAGTCATGTTTACGTCACCACCGCAGGTATTAACGACCAGTAAAGCAGACACGGGAGAACGGAAGACTCTGTTGCCAGAAGAGGAGACCCACTCAATGGACCTGAATACCTTGGTGAACTTCGAAGGTGTTCTGCAACACTCGCCCATGTTCTACGGCTTTTATTCGAATCGTCCAAGTTCGGATTCCGGTTACCGGTTGCCCACAGCCTATTTCATCACGGGCTTGGTTGTCTACATTTACAGTTTCGTGGCTACTCTCAGAAAGTACGTATCTGTACGGCTATAATTAAATTATAGTGTGCTGAATTCAAATAAATACAATAATAATATTATAAACGATGCAAAATTCTAGTGACGAAATTGAACAATAATAATAAAAGAAAATTATGAAACTTTCGTATAAACTTTCCCGTTTCCCTACGTTTTTATCAATTATTAAAAAACCTGCATGGAAAATCAAAAATGATCTCATTAATATACCAACTAGATACAATTTTTTTTCAGAAAAAATGTTATACTTTAAGCTAATAATTGTAACTGTACTTTTTTCTCCTTTGGAGTGTTTAAACATTAAATAAAAATAAGTCGGGGGGCTTCACGGACGTTCCCTAATGTACCACCCCAGTCAGATTTCCTTTCAGAAAAAGTGTTATCAATGTATATCGGAGCGAAATTGCTGGTATAAAAGTTTTTCACAGAAAAAAATTTTAAAAAAAAAAACATTGTAAAACCAGTAAATTCCTCTTTGCGCTAAAAATCTAAAGGAGGAAAAAAGTACCAACATACTAAAAAATTTAAATTTTAAATTTTATTTGAATTCCTAAACAATAAACTAAAAAAATCGTTAATATTATACAATTTTTAATAAAACTACCGAAACACGAAAAAATAAAACTAAAAAGTGTTAGGATCTATGTTCATTTTTTGCAGACTATTTTGTGCCTAAATGTTTTAAATACGACAATTTTTATTTCGTTTACCTATGTATAAAATTCACTGACAAAAATATGTATTTTCTACAGTTTCTCATTCGTATAATTATCAATAATTTAAATGTTGTTCAGATTTGGGGTCATTTTTTTGTGACGTGTATCTGTTTCTATGTATTATATGTCATATATTTGCAGAATGGCCGCTAATTCTCGCCTGAGCAAACTATCCGAAAAAGATGATGAGTGTGTTTTTACATGGAAACTATTTACCGGATGGGACTACATGATCGGCAATGAAGAGACGGCCCACAATCGCATCTCGTCCATAATATTAGGATTCAAAGAGGCGCTGCTCGAAGAAGCTGAACGGATGAAAGACAAACAAAAGTAATACACACACTCGCAAATTAATAATGTCATCTAAAACAGCGACGTTTCTCAACCTTTGGGTCATAAATAATTTTGACTGTATCGCCCCAAAATTTTAATAGTTAGAAAAACGGACGTTTTAAAAATTAAATAATTGTAAAACAAGAAAAAACGATAAGCCTAAGAAAAGAGTAAAAATTCTTTACTTTTCATAAACGTAGCTCTCTACTGTGAAGTATGAACTTTATTTTAAGAAATTTAAAGTAAAAATTTAGATAAATATTTTGAGTCATGTGCACATAAAGGTACAAAAGTTGAGTTTAATGTTTAAAAGTATTTCCCAGCAGGGGGGTGCATGTACAATGTACACATTGCTGGGGAGGCATAAGCAGTCAACACGAAGTAAAATTTGTATTTTACAATAAAGGGAAAAAATTAAAAGTTTAATAATGACCGGGGATTAGGTATTGATAAATATTACAAGCAAAGCCGATTTAGGTAGAAGCAATAAGAAGCAATTTACATTTTTGATAAGTTTTCTTTTACACCTAGATGACCTTTTTTTTTTGCTCATTATGTTTGTTAAAAGGGAAAGGGGACAAAAGATTTTTTTTTAAAGTTACAAGGGGACTTAAAGTAACAGAAGTTGGGAACCACTGGTTTAAAATATAGTCGAATCGACTTTAATAATTTAAATCATAAACAATAATAATAATATTATAATATGTGCTATTCTCAACGATTTCGCGTTTGTACCCTCGTGACAAACATCTAAAGTTCTGCACTTGAATCACAATTACTACGAATTGAAAACAAAAAAAAAAGGTTGTCTATTACTTATATAATTATTATTAGGGTTACGTTTTTGAATAATATATCAATTACATAACATCACCTGAAATTTCACATTACATGAAATATCGAACAATACATTTTTGTTTCTCAATGTTTGAAAAATAGTTTCAACTTGCATTATGTTTTATAAAGTCATAATACTGACTACTGACTATTAAATTATAGTATTGAATTCATTTAACTGTAAATATTATATTCTTTACTCAAATTGGTCTCGTGTCGTAATAATAAAACATCAATAATGTCCAAAATTAAAACCGATTGAAATATTTTATATTTGTTAAGACTATTGTTAATTTTAAATGTTATCAATTTGTTGTTTATAATTTTTTTAAAAGCTACGATCAGGACCATTTAGTACCCATGATGTCTGTCATAGTTATTATTAGAACTTGAAATTTAATAATAAATATTACGAATAATATTTTTAATTTTTTTATTAAAATTAAATATTTCATGAAATATTTTAACAATATAAGTTTCATGAAATTTAGCAACCTTAATATTACATTTCATAATATTATTTTAATCGTTGCAGTGTATACTATAATAAAAATATACTAGGTAACCAAATTATGGAATATCAATGATTTATTTGATGTTTTATGAAAATCATTTTACATAATAAAATGCTCATTTTAAAATGATTTTTAATGACTGCATTTTTCATGGTTCATAAAACGAATCGTTCCCGCTCGTTCGAATATAATCACTGCAGTTGGAAAGTGGTGGCTCTGCGAATATTCGCAAATCTGAACATGGTGTGGATGCTGGGCAGTTCAGTTTATGCAGTCATTTTTGTGGTGAATAGGTCAACGGGCCCCGAAGCAGAGTCCACGCTATGGCGAAAATATGAGATCACCGTCGTCATGACGCTGATCGGCACATTTTTTCCGATAGCATTCGAAGGGCTGGGTGTGTTAGAAAACTACCATCCGAGGACGACACTTCGTGTGCAGCTGGCTAGGTATAAACACAATAATATCACGAATATATTTGTTTGAAATCCTACACAAAAACGGCTGTACCTATTTGACCGAAAAGGTCATTTTTGGGTGAAAGGTATTTCGTTCGGGGTCGTACCCGACAATACAAATTTGTTATTCCAACAAGAAGCAGGTACCTATACCGTATAGGTATACGTTTATGATTACCTAAACGATAATTTTTTTTCTTTTTACTGACCAATGTGAATTTAAACGTACTTAACAACAACTATTATTATCATTATTATTACATTTGCAGTTCGATTTTAAAACGAAATTATAATAAAAAGACAGACATACTTCGCACGTGAGTGCAGCCACTGTAGTAAGTGAGAATTTGGGAAGGTTGTAAAAAGGAAATTTAATTTATATCTGTAAGTAACGATAAACCATTGCTAACGAAAAAACGATTGTGAGTGGAATTCAGTTGACAGTGTTGCTTTGTCAACAATATATATTTGTGCCATATTATGGTAAAATAATTACATAGATATTATATATTTTTTTTAATATTTATTTAACATTGTACCTATTTTCCCGATTTTCCTATGATTTTCCGGTGTTTTTTACGGTTTTTCCTATTTATTGGGAAAATTCTTGGAGAAAATCAAAAACTTACCTTCTTAAAGTACTTTCCCAGTCTGATTTCCTTTAAGAAAAAGTGCTACCATTGTAAATCGAAGCAAAATTACTTATAGAAAAATTATCCACAGAATAAAAAAGTCATAATTTTTTAATAATATATTTCGTACATTTTCCCGTTTTCCTCAGTTTTTGTTTCGATTAAATATTCTACCACCAGAAGTGCGTCGTTCTATTACAGTCCGACGTTTTACATTAAACTACAGTCGGCAGGCGCGAATACAAGGTGTAGGATAGAGAGGCTGAAGCCCCCCACTTAAGTCAAGCCCCCCTTAGACCTTATTAAGACCTAGTATTAAGGCTATTTATTCTAAAATTGATTAAAGACAACAACTCTAGACAGCCAATAACGTCAGTTAACAATGTTAAAAATGTTGATAGCAGGAGTGTACGGCGTTCTTTTAATAAAGTACGATTAAGGAAGTTTAAAACGACGTTGTACAAAATGTGAGGATGCCTAAAATATTAAATTTAAAAGTATATAGTATAATTTAGTCTTTAATCGCCTGAATTGTAGCGGTTGTATGGTTTACGCTGAACTATCTACATCAACGTGTATAATAAGTGTATAATGTATAGGTACCTGCAATCTCAGTTTTGATTTATAAAACAAATTTTAATTAAAATCATATGTCACATCATGTACAATGAATGACGCGTTGTTCATATGGAATTGTCACACAATTCAACAAAAAAATATTTATACCAATACGATTATTTTTAATAATCGTCAATAATCAATTTTATGTTTTTCAGGATTATGGCATTGAACTTGTTGAATCTTTACACCCTGACTTTCGCCTTGTTTGTGAAAATCAATGAATTGGTAAGTATTCCACTAAACGCGTATGTACCCAGAATTTTTCAATAAACGAGGATAAACATATTATAGTAAATACAAATGTATACCTAATGTAAACAAAATATATATGTAATCTATTATTTAAAGCGGTTTTTAGGTTTCTAAACAGAGGTTTAGAACATCGATACACCGTATATATAGTATATCCCCGTTATGTTCGTCCATCTCTATAGTTCCAGTTGTTGATTTGGTTAACAAAGGGTTATATTATATTATTCGTATCATTATTATTATTACTATTATATTTTTCAATATAAATTCGTAACATTAATATTATAATTATATATTATTATCATTATCATTTTTTTCCGTTTATTTTGTATTAAATGCAAATTTAATATTTATATACTAGTTAATATTAAAAAAAAGAACGGATATACTTCGCACGTGGATACAGCCACTATTGTAAGTGGGAAATTGGGAAAGTAAGTTACAGATGGGAATTCAATGTATATCTATAAGCAACGATAAACCATTGTTGACTAAAAAATGATTCTGAGCCGATTCAGTTTATAATTTGCCTTATCAAAAATACAATATACGGTATTATGTCATTAATATGGTAAAATGGTTAAAACAATGTGCGTTATCATGTCAACAATGATTGTTTAAAAACACTGAAATAATAAAAACTTAATACAATAACAAAAAATAAATAAAAACGATTGCCAATTACAGCCTTATTTTTAATCTTTCATATTTTTATCTTGTCTAACCTAAAAAACCAGGCTTTCCTCATTATCTCGAATATAAATGAGAATTTAAAAAAATGACTCTTTTAAAGTACCGCCAAGAGAACATTTATTTTCAGAAAAGGTGCTATACTTGATAATCGGAGTATGCTTTATAGTAGAAAAAGTATTCACATAAAAAATAAATAATTAAATAAACATCACTGTAAAACCAATACATTCCTCGTTGTACTCAGAATCTAAAATATATAATTATCTACTTTAACTGTCTAACCCACTATTTACAAATTAAGATATTTATTTATTTAAATTATTTAGGTTTCTACACACAAGCATAGTATACTAGGTTACCAAATCCGCTCAAAATTATGTATGAAATTATAATATATTGTTTGGAATAGATATTAGATTGGGTAATGGGTGAAACCAAGTATTTTTCAAGCCCACTCTACAAGATTTTAGATTATTTTGCAAAGTACATAACTGTGCACAACCGACAGTTACTTATACTTAGTTTAGTTAGTATAGTGTGAATACTCAAATATTATTATTTTATTAGTAATTCGTTTTCAATATTGTATAGTTTATATATATATATATATTTTTTTATCTAAACACGGTAAATGGAGAGTTAAATCCCCATAGCCCTCCTGGGTACACCACTGTTAGTTTTAACGGCTATTATTTTTATTTTTAAATTTAACCTATATTTTTCACTAGTGTTTGAAGTTAAAAAAATCAGAGTAGTTACAATGGAAAAAAAAAGGGTTAATGTTAAAAAAATCCCATCATCAAAGAACAACACAATATGCAATTTACTCACAAATTCAGTGTTGTTAAAGTTCCTTTTAAAAAGGAACTTGTTCCCGTTCTTCGTTCCTTAAAAAAAAGAACCAGTTCCTTACTTAAGCTTTCCTCTATAAATACCTTATGTAATCCAAAATATTTTTTTATGCTCTTAATTAAAAATATCACTAATTAATTTGTTTTGGAAACCATGTTGCATGTCAACAAAAAATTAACTGAAAGAGTTTCATCTATTAGATTCAAAACTTGATAAGTGAAATTTGTCTTTCAAATGTGTTTTAGAACATATTCCAAAGGAGAATAAAAGAATTACAATATTTACGTTCCTATTCCTAAAAATAAGGAATTAATTCACGTTCCTATTCCTTTAAAAATAATGAAATTAATTCCTTCATTGGTTCCTCAAAATATGAATCACATCTATAAAAACGCGTTCCTTAAAAACACAATATATTATTTTATATTTTATTAAACGAGTAAAATATACACCCTTTGGATAATACCTTTGATGGCATATTACCAAAAGTCAATCCAATATATATGATTTTTAACCAACTTCAAAAATAGAATGTTTAGAATTTATAAACCAATCCATACATTACTTTTCCACGTATTTGTTTATATACATAACTTCGTCAAATGTGCATATTATATTTGGATGATTTCTTTTTATTTAATAGAGCTCCTTTAATCTTATATACCATAATTTCAATTAATTATATGTTAACATTTGATTTATTTTAGTTTTTCTGTATATTCGTTTATCTTTATTTAACTTATAGGTAATCGTATGTATATTGGCTTATTTTTTTACAGACAATAGAGTTGGGTAAATTAAAACCGTTGAACTCGACCATATTCGCAACAACCCCGGGGTCCATATTGAATACAACGACTACTCAAGCACTGATAACCACAGCGGTGTTGCTGAATACCACCATAATGATGCCAATGTCGACGCCTGTACCGATGACAACGCATATGACAGCCACAACAACGACGGAAATACCTCCACGTATCATCGACTTCAAAGAAAACCAACACAAATGTCAACCGTTTGAAATCCAAGAAATGATCACTTGTTCTGTTCCAAAAAAAAAAAGCCAAGTAGACCAGAATGCCGCTCCAAATGTGACAGACGGGTCTGTAATTAATTCGAAGACAATCCAGAACAGTACTGCAAATGATTCAAAAATGGTGCAAAATGAATCTGCGACCAATACTACAATCCAAAAACCGACGAATAAGCCTATAAAAACTAATACAAAAGAGGCGGATAGCACTACGATCGGTATGACACAGTGGTCACACACACCAGTCCCGACGATGGAGAACGGGTTTACAACGTTACAGATATCGACAAAAAAACCATCAACAGTCTCTACGCAACGAGATATGCTAACCTCTTCAATCACCACGGTCACGGATGAATACGCTACCAAAAGTTCAGTGGCCACCACGATGCATAGCGCCGTCTCTAGTGATGTCGACGACATAAAGACTTTAGATCCTCCGCGAGACGACCAGTGGACTTGGAGCACCGGGACAGAGGATAATGACAACGTCACCGAAAGAACTTCGATTGACAGTTTGCAGATAACCGCTGAAGTCTATTACGATACAACCAGAGGTTCTAACTCAAATTTCACTCATCTTAACTACGAAAATTCAACCAGCACTGTAGGTGAGTCAACGGTTTTTGAGTCAACATCGAATCCAACCGATGAAACGACCTCGGCAGATTCAATTTCGCCAAATCCATTCACCACATCTGGATTGCAGACGGTTATAGACACCAAACCGATAATGAATGACGACAAAATGGAATCGATTTCAATCATATCCGATCCTTCGACCGATAATGAAGAGTATTACGATGGTACAACAGTGGCCCCCTGGCAAACAAATGAGGTTTCGACGGCAGGACCACGGAGGATTAAACGAATGCTGCAAATGGTTTTAAATGATACCCATTGCTTCCATATTGTGTGTTCATCGTCATCGGAATTTAACCACGTTACCGAGGCATTGAATTCTCGAGGAGTTACTGAGACATCGAGTGAATATTACACTCTAAATTATTTACGATGTGTTATTATATATTAATATGTTTTTCGGTTTTAGGTTATTCGACGACAATGGAACACGAAGATGCACCAGGCGAAGATTATTCACTTACTGCCACCTGTCTGTCATTGACGAAAAGAAAACGTCTGCGAAAATTGTGTTGGGAGACAATGTTCGGACAGGAATTGGTAAAACTCACAGTCATGGACTTGGTGAGAAAATTAAATTACTCAAATTAATAATATCTATACGTCTATTAAGTATATTTATAAATAAAACAATAATCTATTATTTTCTATTATTGATATATAATAAATATGGCATGTATAGGAAATATTTTCAGAGAGAAGGGAATTATAATTGACAGTAGTTTTAAAATGTTCAGAAGGCAAGACCTGTCTGGACTTGAAACTCGGAGTAAGATTTCTAGTTGTTTTCAGACAGAAAAAATAATCGCATACTATAGCAAAACTAGTGCATTAATAGCTACGTTCAGAATTTAAAACTGTAGATGAATAGGTGATAAAAAAACAGAATTATTGAGAAATATTATTATGTAGCCGTAATTCAAATCGCTTGACGAATTTATCATCATTAATTTATCTTTTTGCCAAGCCACCGATATAAAAATAAATAGGTACCTACTATATCTATTTACATCTATAATAATAAAATCTGAATATGACAGTATGAGTATGAGTATAATCGTATCGAATATATTTGTATTTTTTGTGATTTTACATTATTAATTATATTCTACAAAATATGACCTGAGATATTGAAGAATAGACTAATATTCTACAAACTCACAAACACGGACCTATTTTGTATTGTATCTATTAATTTGTATGGTACCGTACCTAAAGATATGCAATTCACCAGTAAAATGTTCGTACATTTTAGTAAATAGGTTTAATTGTTTATTAAAAATAAAATAAACATATATATAGGATACACATATTAATTCAAGAGTGTAAAATATAAATAAAGAAATAATATCGTAGAATACCTATTATTGATTTTTTTTTTTTTTTTTTTTTTTTTTTTTTTATTATTATTATTATTTGTTTTAATAAAATAATTTGTTTTATTTCTTTATTTAAAAAAAAAAAAAAAACATACATTTCATAAACAACAGAATACTTTAATCTGATAAAAAATATGTTTGATTTATATCATTCTACTTGAAATAAGTCAAAATTAATTTTACATATTTTTACATACTTGGTAAACAAGTATTTTGTAAATATTTTAGTAATTTTTGATTTTGTCAGTATATTTTGACGACGATGAAGGTTTCAGAAATAATATTATATAATTATTCCGAAGTTGATCATACTTTACTAGCGATCATAAAATAATATTCTTTAAATCGTTAAGTCGTATTTCAAAATTTAAATAAATGTATCGAGATCTTAATTTACCTCCTGATCCTATCATAATAAGATGGGATACGTAGCTTGAAACTGTCCAATACTATTGAGATCATTTCAACAAAATTGTTGTACACAGAAAAAAAGGCCATAATATTTTTTTAATACTACCTACATTTCGAACATTTTCTGTTTTTCCGACATTTTATCCCGATTTTTCCCAGTTATTGTGAAAATCGATTTAAAAATCACAAAAATGACCTCCCTAAACCATGGAGATAAAATTTCCTTTCGGAAAATAAACTACACTTGATAAATGGGAACAATATTTCTGGTAGAAAAGTTTGCACAACAAATCGAGGGGTATTTTTCGAATAAAATCATCCGAGTGAGCGATAGGTAGGTCTCTAGGTACACTTAAAATGCATTTTTTTCCCCCGTTTTAGATAAAAGGGAAAAAAAGTGCAAACAATTTTTTATCAACCCTCGATCACTATCAACACACACTCGGAATTATTTGTACGCTAACAATGGTTTACAAATATAAATTTAATTACCTATAACAATGACTGCACCCTTCCTTTTTTTTTTAATATTTCCTGGTAGGGCATATCTGATTGTTTTAGAAGTCATCAATTTCATCAAAGTCATCAAATTTAATTTATTCTGCCCATCCAAATAATGAGTTCAAAATTCCATCTCTACAGGTATCGACGATCATCTCAACAATATTTGTGGACTTCGCACGGGCCGTGTTCGTACGGTACATGAACCGATGCTGGTGCTGGAACCTGGAAAAGCGGTACCCGCAGTATGGTGACTTTAAGATCGCCGAGAACATACTGCATCTGGTAAACAATCAAGGAATGGTATGGATGGGTATGTTCTTCTCGCCCGGACTGCCGATCATTAACGTGGTCAAACTGATGATTATGATGTACGTCCGATCGTGGGCGGTACTCACGTGCAACGTGCCACACGACGTAGTGTTTCGGGCCAGCCGGAGCAACAACTTTTACTTGGGCCTTTTACTCACTATGCTGTTCCTGTGCGTGCTACCGGTCGGCTACGCCATCGTGCGGATCGAACCATCATGGCACTGCGGCCCATTCTCGCAGTATAAGAAAATCTATCACATATTCACCCACTCTATCAAAAAAGCCGTTCCCAATCCCGTTGTCCACCGGGTCCTCGATTACATTGCGTCACCCGGTATCATCATACCGCTGCTGCTACTTCTCATACTCGTAATTTACTACTTGGCCTCACTCACTTCCTCGCTCCGAGAAGCTAACACCGATTTGAAAGTAAGTATTAGTAGTGTAGTTAGTGGCGTACGCAGGATTTTTCAATGGGGGAAGCTTGAAAATTAATAACTTATCAATTATTTTGTCACAAGTTTGAAAAATAAAATAGGTTAATTCTCAGTTCTAGCTGATAATAAAAATTTTTTTAAAAAAAGACAGACATACTTCGCACGAATCCACTGTTGTAGGTGGGAAGTTGGACAGGAATTTAAATGGGAATTTAATGTATATCTGTAAGCAACGATAAACCATTGCTACCGAAAAAATGATTCTGAGCGGAGTTCAGTTGATAGTATTGCATTGTCAACAATACATATGTCATCTTATGATAAAATGGTTAAAACAATGGGCGTTTCCATGTCAACAATGATTGTTTAAAAAATACTAAAATAATAAAAACTTAATACAATAACAAAAAATAAATAAAAGCGATTATTTATAATCTTTCAAATGTTCAATCTTAACTAGCTAGCCTAAAGAACCAGGCCTCCCTCTCCAATATAAATAAGAACTTCAAAAACTGACCTCTTTAAAGTACCGCCCAAAGAACATTTCTTTTTAGAATAGGTGCTATACTTGATAATCGAAGTAAGATTCCTGGTTGTAAAAGTGTTCACATAAAAAAAAGAGCTGATACTGGGGACGGGTGCAACCACTGTTGTAGGCAAGAAGTTGGAAAGGTAGGATACATAAGGTTATTTTATTTATGTCAGTAAACAACGATAAACCATTACTGACGAGAACTATACCAAGCACAATTAGGTAACACATAATTTGAAGTGCCGGAATTTTTTTTAACCTAACCTTTCTATGTTTTTTCCCGATTATTTTGAAAACTAATTCAAAAATCAAAAAAACGAACTACACCATTAAAAATAAAATTAATAATTTAAAAAAAAAGGCACTTGTCGTTTTTCAATTTGAGCTATACTTGTGCTAAAAAATATAGTAAGTACTTATTTAAAATAACGAAACCGTGAAAAATTCGTATTTTTTTTCCCCGGATAAATGTTTTTATTTTAAATATCCTTTTCGAAAATCAAAAAATGACCTAAGTATTTATCAAGTAGATAAAATTAAATTTCAGAAAAAGTACTACACTAATATATCGGAGCAAGTTTTCTAGGATAAAAGTGGTGTACAGTATAAAAAAAAAAAAAAATAATAAAGTACCATTGTAAAAAAATTAAAAAAGGAAAAAAAGCCGATGATTTTGGAAATTTCACCAGGTCTAGGTAAGTCAAATATAAGTATTACTAAGTTTCAAGTCTCTACGTGTATTTATAACCGTATTACAACAAAAGAAACTCTCAAAATTTAAAATTCTTTAAAAGCTCAAATGTTTTGGCGATAATATCGTAATAAATTAAATCAAAGAGGCAACAAAAAAAGTATCTAGTGATTTTTTGATTAAATCATTTTTTCTGGTAGAAAACGTTGTCCATGTTTTCATAAAATAATGAAATCGTGAAATTGTACGTTTTCCTTCGCTTTTACGCTTTACTTTTATTTAAAAATGGCGTTGAAAATCAAAAAAATGACCTCTTTAAAGTTCAATCTAGACCACATAAGATTTCAGAAAAGTTGCCACACGTAAAAATCGGAGCAAGTTTACTAGGAAAAAATGTGTCCACAGGCTAGAACAAAAAAAATAAAAAATAAACAGCATTGTAAAACCAATAGCTCCCTCGCTAGGCTCGGAATCTAAAATAAACATATTTGTTAAACCAACACATTCTTCAATTCAAAATCTAATAAGTAAAATTTAGGTAACCATGAAAATATTCGGCAGTAAAATAGAATTTTTAAGCTAGTAAATGATTGAAAAAGCCAGAGTTCAACCGAAATTAGAAATTTATGAATTGTGGATTGCATACTTACCACTGTTTTTTTTCTTCAAATTAGAAGTCGAAAAAAATTCTTTCTTTTTTCTGCCATAATGTTTAATTATATAGTTATTTTAGTGTGCAAAACTATGAGATACAAAAACAATGATGAAAAATCTATACTAAATATACCTCATATTAGATACTCATGAGAAATAAATGGAAACAAAATTATCTAAATACCTTCCTAATTGTTTTTCACTAATTCAAGGTTATATTAGTATTATCTACAATATCCTTGGGTTACCTTAACGATGCGTTAATTGCTGTCAACATCAGTTCAGTAAGTTCAATATGGCAATTTGCAATCATAGATATTATCTAAGGCTGTGTGGAAGCCCGCGTATGCACGGAAACACCAACCACCAATGTTGTAATAACAAAATCATTGTTTATAACTGGTGTGACCACAGTTAAAATTAATAATAAAAAATAATAATTATATAAATCTAATAAAATCTTATTTTGCGATAATATAGTAGTATAGTTAGGTTTTTAACAGATGGCGATATTAAATTAAATTATTATACAACGGTCAATGGGGGGGTCAATTTAGCCCCTCCCCCTGCGTGCACCACTAATTGTAAGCTAATTAATGATAATATAATATACTATGGAAGTTTGATTTATATTAACAAAACTCAAACAATCGTTCCCGTTCATAAGTTTTAATAAACAAATAATATAATGAAATTATTACAGACTCAAAGTTAAATAGAATAATAAGTTATTTGTAAAGTTAGATAATTAGTAATAACAAATAATAGTTTGTCCAGTGGCTTACCAAGAGTTTTTCAATGAGGTAGGGAGCTTGACTAAAAAAAAATTTTATAAAATACTTTTTTAGTTTTTACTCTCATAGTCCCCTTTTTTTTATTTTTCAAATTCATGCACTGGTTTTCGCCTTTATTGGAATCAGCTTATAGAAAACCCTTTGTAGCCTCTTAGAGCGCTTATTATACTGCAATAGTGATCTGGTGATTTTTTTTCTTTTCTAGATCCAATTGAGACGAGAGAGGACGGAAGAACGGCGTAAAATGTTCCTATTAGTGAACAGCAAAAACCGCGGCGATGACAACGATGATGATTACACGTGTCTGGACTCAACGTTGTCCAAATGGAGACAAATAATGCCTGACAACAAGTTGACGACGGACGGTTCGAACTTTGTGCTCGGATTGGCAGAAAAAAAAAACGCGGGTAAGATGATTTGGTGGAAAAAACATGATAATATGTTTTGTGTTAATTATGTTCCGACTTCCGAACCATGATTTTTAATAACACTGGTCATTAAATAAGTATTGGACATTGATTAGACGGGATACACAGAAAACATAATAAGTACTTGGAGTTTTTTAATATTTTAGCATTAGTTAAATATAAGTTTTGTGTCCAAATTTCTAGTGCATAAAATCTATACGAATATGTTTAACTGAATTAAAACAACAAACAAAATTGAAAAAATAACAAAAGCATTATTTTTGTAAATTTCCCGTTTTTCTTAGTTTTTCCCAGATATTATGAAAACCGCTTGGGAAATCAAAAAATAACCTCCAAAAAGTATCACCTAAATAACACTTCCCTTCAGAAATGATACCGCTCGTATATATCGGAGCAAGATTTCTGGTAGATTTTTGTATTTAATGTAAAAAAAAAAATTAACATCTTTGTTTACAAACCAACACATTGTTGCATGCACACTTAGAATCTAAAATAAATATCAACTTTTAAAATATTTCGAATACATATGGAAATATTAAAAAAAATTGATAATGATGATAAGTATCATTGTTTTAGGATAAAATTTAGAAGACAGCATAAAGCTGCAATTTGAGCTTTCCTTTGGTAAGGACTTAACCATGGCCGTTGAGTACCATGGAAGGATACTTTCTACTTCATTGAGTGTTTGATAGGGTCTATCATCTACAGATAGATAAAAACACAAACACATACACATCATAATAAAACCAGTAGATTCCTCACTACATTTCGAATTTAAAACGACCACTATCAACTACCAATTAAATAAAAAATTCTATAAAAAAATTCCTTTAAAATTGTTGATAGGTATACAATTTCTGATAAAAAAACGTATTTACAAACATAAAAAAAACATAATAAAACTAATATACTCTAGTAGCTCTGAATCTAAAAAAAGGCGTTTACTTCTTCAGCCATAAAATCCTTTGCTCTGTATAGTATAAGTGAAAAATGAGTCAATATGGTTTGTTTTTCACACAGAGAACAACGTCTTGGATAAGGTTCGTGAAAAACTGGTGCATATCGAAACGGACGACTTGCAACAATCGGAAACGAAACAACATCATGGTCCATTACAGGACTCCCAGCATTTCCATCATCATCGCCATTACTTGCATCATCACCAGCAGACGCTCCACCATCACCACCATCATCTCCGACGACCGTCAAGAAACGAAGAGCCGCGGGACCCAGTCGCGTTGCAGCGAAAATGGAAAAAGACCAAATTGGTTGTATCCCGGCTCCCATCCTCTGACTCCGAGGCATCGGACCAGTCAGACGTCGTACCGGAAATCCGGGTATCCAGTAGTACTAACGGACAACATGCAGCGGTGGAAGCTAAGTCCCGTGGTCTCCCGGACACATCTCTTCCTCATCCTTCACTAGCTCCAGTGATATCGGACGGCAAGCAGAGGGCCAGACTCAAATTGGCGCAGATACTGTACAAGGAAGCAAGAAGGCGAAGACAAAAGTACGTGGAAGAGTTGCAGAACCAACAAGAATAATATGATACCCTACTATGTTTTTTCAGTTAAATAATTAAATAATATGTTCATTGATAAATTCATAAATATTAAGATTGTTTTGTTTTAGAAATGATTTTACTAAATATCCTTAGTGGGATCTATTCCCAACAATTTGTAACTGCAGGAATACATAATATTATACCTCATATTTATAGTTAATTTTAATGGATCATTAATCCATTCTTTTTTCTAGTTAGCTAAATAAATATCGCCTACAATAGGTACATATTAAACACAATGTTATATATTTGATTTTATCGAGGAACGAAAAATTGCTTTCGTTTTAAATAATCTGTTTTTCTTAACTTCTTTTCTTGTAATTTACATATTAGCCATTTAATATGTAAAAACAAACATTAATTGATTATTGCATATCATACATTGACGGAAATTATTTTTTCATTATTAGTTATTACCTCCTCATTAGTCATTAGTCTACCTTTTTTTTTAAATTTATTTAATCAACAAATATTAATATAAATATTATAATTATATATATTTTTCGTAAATAAATTATCCACCTTCTTTAAGCTGAACTTGTGGTGAAGGTAGGGAGTTAAAAATTACAAAGTTAACTAATTGATTACCTAATTAACTACATGTTACATTATTACTTACAACTAAAGTATTCAAATAAAGAATAAAAAGATTTTATATTGTTACATAGATGTTATAAATAAATTACAGATTTTAATTTTTAAATAATATATAAAAATAACCATTCAAGTAAATCTTTTTTAACATCATAGATCATATTTAAATAAATATTTGTTTTTAGCTTTATAGGCATAGAATTATAAATACAAGTTCTAAGATAATCCACACACTTTCTACCGAATGATTTTCTTAAGTAAATTACTTTTGCATTGTACGCTAAATGTTTTCTTTTGTAGAGATCTATTACTTTCTAAAATCATTTTATTTATTTATTTTCAATGGCACTCTTTAGCATTACACGGTATTATTTTTATTTAAGGAAAAACGTATTCTTAATGAGTAATAATATATATAATATAATAAAATTCCTCATTATTACACATAAAGATTGAAAATTAATAAATATAATTACATAAGAGTAAGAACGTCCTAAACTCCTAACTGTCCTATTAATTTAATAGTTTCAATTGGAATTCTCGGTCTTATGAGTATAGGTAAACATTATACACATCACGCCATGCCAAATGTGTGTTCGGCAGATTTTGTTCTGCTAGTTTTAATATAACAGTGTAGTGCCTCAAACTTAAGGGTATCTATATGTATTTGTACGCCGGGATTTGTTTAATATTTTAACACAAGTTTAAATTTGCTGATAGATCAATACAAGTTTTCTTATACTAAAATTGATAGTACAAAATTGGTTTACTGAAGGATAATTTGCTGTAAGTCATATGTAAGTAAAATGGAAACCAAAAAATAATGTATGTAAGAAAGTACTCCTCTTAATAATTTATTAGAATATTGCAGGATATTTAAAATGAGCTTAAATAAATCTATAACAAACAAATTATGAATAAGTATAATAAAGTTATAGTGTTTAATAAAAATCATAAACAAAGAACTGTGTTATAAAATAATATTAATTCCTAAATTAGAACTTTACTAATGAAAAAATGTATTCCGAGAATAAAAACTAAAAAAAGAATCTATATGTTTTGAACTTGTTGAGAGTTTAAAAAAATGATTCAAGTGAAATCCTACAAGGTGGAAATTCTACATCTTTTAAAGAACTAAAATGTAAAATAATTGAAGCGCTTAAGTCACAAAAAATAAAAATAAAAATGGAAAGTATTAGACATTCAGAAAAAATATCCAAATAAAGTATTAGGCGAATAATCAACATCTTTTACTCACTAAAGTAATTTCCAAGAAAAACACCCATATCTTATTAAATTTAATACCTATAACTAGGGATTGAAAGTTATAGGAGATAAATTTAGCAAAATATGCGCACAAAAATCGAAAATGTCCGTTCTAATCTATAAAACATGAATTCAAACATGCACATAAACAAATTTAAAATATGTAAAACAAATAATAAATATACCAAAAAAAAAATAAATAAATGTGTCCGTATAGTTTTTATATTATGTATAAAATAAAAATAAAAATACACTGGCACATTTTAAATTTTTAAATTTTCAAATGTGTCTTAATTATACAATAAAATTATTATAATTCAAGTGTATTCAATTTTAATCTATAATCAGGGCCGACCCAATACGATAGCGAAATAGGTAACCACTTAGGGCGGCACTAATTTAGAGGTGACAAATTTTGATTGAACCAAATTGTTTTAGTTATTATATTATCTGGTAAATATATATAGTAATATTATCTAAACGGCTGTCATAGGAATCGGTTCGATTTACCCGCGTGTATAGTGGTAGTCACTACTCTACAGGTCACGAAAACGTGCGGATGACCGCCGCGCGCCGTGTATCGATTTTTCCAGAAACCAGAATGGGCCTCAACATTTGATCTATCACAGATTCGTCACCACCACCACTTCTCCTTCAGAAATCTTAACGGAACTTAGTGAAAAAGTGAAAATGCAAACCACGTGAAAAACGATACCAGTTGAACGTGTTGACATATCAAATGGGGCATAAAGTGATCAGACTTCCGCCTTATCACTGTCAATACAACCCGAGTAAACTAATTTAGGCGCAGGTACCAGGTGAAGTTGCAATCAAAAATACAACATTCAAAATGGCCGACGTCGAAAAACTTATGCACGAAGCCATAGATGCAGTCACTAAAGAAAATTGGAAAAAATGTGTAAAACACTCAGAAAAACTTCAAAATATAGATTTCAAAAAAGGTTTCAGAGATTGCATATTGGAGACCATCATTTTAACCATTGACCCCAATGAAAGCGATTGTAGCAGCAATGAAAACGAAGACTACTTTTGACGATATTTTTTGATAAAATATATTGTACATTTTTTATACATTAATATTATTATTATTTTTAATTAATTCATGTTTTTATTGTGAACAGTTAATTGTATTTTTTTTTTAAAATATCATTAAATACATACTCATAATTTTTAATATAAAAATACGAGTTTTAAATTTTATATTTGGCGCGAAACAGTTTACCCACCACCGAGAAATGGCCACTGGGCGCGCGGCGGTTATCCGCACGTTTTTGTGACCCGTACTTGTTTAGTTACTGCTGGCCCCTTGTAAACGTTCACAATGAAAATTTTACCCCCGTCGATAATACAATATAATATACCCTCCAAAATATTATGGACATGAGTCATAAGGCGGCCGATCCATTATCCGACAGGTGGGTACTATACTAACATACAAATGCACGAATATAAGTAAGTCTTATTTAATATTAGTGTTGTTTTCGTCTACTTTGATATACATTGCTCGATTTTAATTTCATAACTTACCTGATCTATATAATAATAGCAATGTATGTTATAATTATAAAATATTCTTTACTATCAAATAAATTCGAATTGAATGAGAATTAAATGTTAATACGTACGTAAATTTTAACTTAGTTAATTAATTAAACAAGTTTTAACGTGTAACTTGTTAACTGAATTTATCATTAATAATAATATATTTTTATAAATTTTTTTATTTTTAATAAAATTTATTTTATTAGTTTTCTGTCTGTGAACTACTGTCTACCATAAATCTTACGCCAGTTGATAAATAACAGAATACATCATTTTGGATCTAGTTGGTGAGTAAGAAAGCCATTTTATATTTTTTCAAGCATTTTACATGGTAATTGGAAAAATCTAGAAAAATTTACGCCGTTAACGATTTCATTGATTTAAATGTTTTCGATTTTTTTTTTTTTCTATCGTACTTAAATCTTAATATACAATTAAAAAGTAGCATCTTTTTTGAAAAATGATTTTTTTGTCTTGTAGGTGAATAAGAAAGTCAGCTTTTGATTTTCAGTGTAGTCATTTTAATAATTAGGAAAAACCGGGGAAATGCGTAAGAAACACTACGGTTAAGATTAAGACATAAACGGTTTTATTATTTTAGATTGTGTTCTTTTCAAAAGTTTATAATAATATAGCCCGTGAACATTCACTATTATAGATAATTATCGTTGGGACCTGTAACGTAAACTGGGTTTGCATGGGATTGCGCTAGCAATCCCTGAAAATATCATAGGGTCGCAAGAGTATGTTTTTATGACCCCAAAAAAAATTCTGTTATAAATTATTAATTTAATAATGTAACTTATTTAAAATTTTTATAAAATAAAAATTGATTGAATTTAACATTTGTAAAACGATAGCAGTAGGTATCAACTGCAGTATGAGTAGGTATATAACTATATTAAGTGAATTAGTATTTGAGGAACCAATGTTTAAATTTGTTTTGATAAATCATTTCTAACGAAAAATAATCTTAAAGGCGAAATTCGATTATACTGCTGTAAAATATTTCTTTAACATTTGGATTTTAAGTCCAGTATTATCAATAAAATAAAATACGAAATGCTGTAATTTTTCCGATTTTGTCAAAATTTGAACGATAATCGCGTATAAAAATCCCTCTGCATAACACTCAACTTTTTTTTAACCATTAAGTACAACTTAAAATGAACTACAAGTAAAATTCTCAGGTATTTTTTTTTTGCCAAAACAATTTTATCCACACAAAACCAAATAAAAACTAAATAAAACCAAAAATTCCAAATTCTTATATATAGTATTTTTTGAATATTAAACCATGTCTAGAAAACGTCATTATTAAAATTCATTAAGAAATTGAGATCTCTATGATTATTTTAAACCAAATTACAATAAATAAAAATAAATAATAATGAAACAATGAAACTTTTTCACATTTAAGAAAACTACAAGGAAAATCAAAAAAATATATTTCTATAAAACAATTAAACTATTCAGCAAAACTGGTACTCTAGAAATTATGAACTACATTTACTACATTTAACTACAGTTAGAAAAATAAAATAATGAAATTTTATTTCTGTAAATATGTCTGATGTTAAGTGGTTTTTTTTTTAATTATTAAGAAAACTACCTAGGAAATTAATACTCACAATACACCAATAAGATTAGAAATGCTACAAAAAAGCTCTAGATATTTTTTAACAGATCAAGTAATTTAGATGATAAAAAAAGTTGTCAGACAATTCTTTTTAAAAAGGCATAAATAATAATGTACAATGATACATGTATACATTTATAAAGAATATAAAGAATTGGTATATTAGTATGCGGGTTCATATTTTGTTTTAAACATATATACATTTATTGATGGTACACAATGGCCTTATTATGTATACCTAAACTTATGGCTGCATCCGAGTTCCAACCCAACAATCTTTTTTTATACCAATTCTGTCCCGATTAAAAATATTCTTATCAATTTTAAAATACATAAATGTTAAATGCAAAAAATTCAAACGTAGTATATACTTTCATAAATAAAAATTTGTTATTGGATTAAATTTATATGATATAAAAAAATTAGTTTACATAGATATTTTTCTTATCAATGTTAAAATACAGAAAAAATTCAAATAATATTAAAGTATTAATGTATATAAATTTGATTACTATTAGTGCGATAACTGAAAGCAATATAATCTTTATTTCTAAATAATATAAAATTTTTACTGTAGTTGTAAATTGTATGCTACTTTAATAGTGTAGAAAATTAAAAACGGGACGGAACTTGTGTAACTAAATAAATAACATGGGATAGAATTAATATATGCATTTTAAAAACCCTGGATGGACTAGTATACGCATAAATTCAAATTTTACATTTGGGACCGAACTCGGGTACAGCCATACTTATTTATTGTGTATATTATTAATAATATGTAGTAACTCCAAATAGATACATAGGTGCATATTGTATACCTACCAGTGTTGGGGGTTAAAATATAATTGTTGTGATTAAGTGTATTTTTAAAATCAAATTTAGAATATAAAATATTTCCCCACGAGTTAGGTGTCCCAACAAATTGTTTGCAACCCTAACAATTTAGCCTAATTTATGCCAATGGGTGGGACGTCTGGAAGGTAGGATGCATAGAGTAATTTAATTTAATTCAGATCAGTTACCTATAGGTACTCAACGATAAATCATTGCTTACGAAAGTATATATTTTGTGTTAAATATTTACCATTTGTAAGTGGTGGTGCATAATATTTTCATTTAAATATGCACTAAATAAATTTTAATATGCTTAAAAATAAAAATAAATATTACATTAAACTAAACATAATTTTTTTTACTGTACAACTTATTATAAACATCATAAAATTATTTTAGAATTTCTAATTGGTCAAATCAATTTTTATCAACATAAAAACCAAATAATAACAAACTAGGTACTCACAAAATGGCAAATACTCAAAAATCAACAGATGTTTTGAACGACTTATCTATGCCATCTACGTTACATTTATTAGGCTAATATAAATATTATAACTAAATTGAAAGTAAGTTGTTGGTATAGGTAAGTATAAATACTTACCCATAGTCTTATCTTATGGTCGAAAGGATTGTTCAATTAAATGTTCTGTATAAACAATATTTGTATTCTACACCCATATGCTATACTGGAGAGTGTTGAAGATTGAAATTATCTGTGACCACCATAATAAAAAGGCATAAAGTCATCAAAATGTTTGTTTTCCATATATGTAGGTAATATTTTAATATTGTTTCCCTAATCGCCCGCACATACAATTTAAATGACAAACATTTTTTGTCGTCAAAAACATATCTTATGATTTTTCTGATTCTGAGTGGCTTTGATTATTTTTTTGTAGCACTTTGGATCCAGTTGGTGTATTAAGGTCATATTGTGATTTTATTTGTAGGTTACATTATACTTTAGAAAAAACGAAGCAAACACGTATGAAAAACAGTAATGTTTAAGATATTAACAGTATCTTTACCTTTTTTATTTGAATTAGATTACAAATTATCTCAAAGACCTGATATTTTCATAGAATAGATACTAACATTAGTCTTTTCTAGAAATGGTAAAATTTAAAAAAAATTTTGTTGATTTTTGAGTTACGTATAAACACATATTGGACATTTTCAATTTATTTAGTTTTTATTTGGCAAGTATCATGATTCATAGGGATAAAATTGTTTGACATGTGAAAAATAGGGGAAAAAAATTGAAAAACTTAATAATGTGATTTTTCAGATTACAAAATGGTTCAAAAAAATCTTTGCTGTTTGTGCATTAAGAGTCACAAATTACATAAATGTCCAGACTTTGTTAATTTGTCATTGGAAGATAAAATTAATATCGTAATTAAATATAATCTGTGTAAATCATGTTTGCAATCACATGCGAGGCGTGTGAAGTGTTTTGGCCCAAAATGCAATATTTGCGGCAAATCTCATAATAAGTATTTACATCATTAGATACTATTAATAAATACTTACTTATACAATTAAAAATTGTTTTCTGCATACAATGTATATTTTAAAATTTTTTCTACAAGGGTGCTGATTAATCATCACTTAAATAAACGCAGTTCATATTCGTCACTGACATATAAATCAAATAATAATTATTGTAAATGTTAGTGTACAAAATAATACTAATATTGTTTCTAATATAATAGATTATAATAGAATTAAGTATACCTACTGATTTTGTAATAAATAAGAAGTAGGTATGAGTAACAGCTTTGTAGTTAATAATAATATGATTCTGTAATTCTGTACTAATACTCTGTATTGATGTAATATTCTATACCTAATTAATAAGAAACAAAATGTCAATGACACAATACCTATCATATGAATAAATCATTATTATTAATGTTGTAAAGTGACCAGGGCCTACACTTAGATACAAATTTACATAGTAAATAATTATTAATAAATTGATGACAATAAAAATCATAAGGTTTACTAAGTCAAAAAGTAGTGTATAATTTTAAATTTTATTTTAACTGATAACACTAAATTAATAAACTTTGAAATTGTGCCACTTTTTTATTGACATCAAGAGTGCCTCTTCTGATTTGATTTATACTGTGACGTAACCATATGCATTTTTTGTGTAAAATGCTTTTATATAGTTTTATCATAAATTTATAATTATATACTATTAAATTAACATTATGTTAAGTTAATTATGTACATTATTATAAACTATTATAATATTTTATTGATTTATTATGTTAAATTGTTAATTCATTATCCATAACATATGGATAACTAAATTTATATTTGTTAATTTATTATTATTATTCTCCTCCTCACCTTCATCTACTACACTCATTCTCTGTTCTATTTGTTTATCTATCACCCAATAATCCAACTCATACAACACAGATAACACTATACTTTTGTAGAATTTACTTTTATGTTTTAATGGAATCTTATTTGAATTCTTCAACATTTAGTATCAGGGATGGGAGTGATCAATGGTTTGAAAATAAATGAGAAAAGTGACTAAAATTTACAATTAAGTGACTTAAAAATGACTAAACGTCACTGTTTAGTAACTTTTCACACAAAAATTAGTGACTAACTAACATTAACAAAAAATACACTTATTTAACATCAATAGTAGTAGTTATAGTAGTAGTAATAATTATAATATTATGATAGGTTAGGATTGGTATAATGGTAAGATAGGCTAATAACAAGACTTTATTAAAGAATTTAGTGATAATTTAAAGACAAATAACAACTTTAACTATAACTAAAACAATTGTTTAAAAATATGCCGGTTTTTGATATTATTAGGTTTCACCTCTAACGGATTTAGTTTATAAATTCAATTTTCTAACATCACGAGAATGATTAATTAAAATTAATTTTTTTTATAATACATATGAGAAATTATTTTTTATGAATAAGTTTTGTAGTGTTAGGAAATTTAATTTAATGAGCTAGAGCCATTAGTGAAAGGAGAGACTTTTAAACTCCTGTATTGTTTTTGCTTTTTTAAATATTTTATTCAGAGAATTTTTAATGTTTTAAAGAGTCTTTTTGTGGATTGAAAGAGATCCGGTCTCCAATTATAATGAATACAAGTTTATAGTATAAACATATTACATAATATGTGCATGAAACAAATAAAACTAATATTAAAGATAAAAATTATATAAATACTCAGAGGGTCCGTGTAGTATTTTTCAAAAGCTTGGTTTTTGTCAATACTAGGATACACCATTGTTAGATATGGTAAATCTAATAATCTATCAGCCAAGTTCCGAATTGATAAATCTTTGGCTGAGAATGGATGCAAACTATATATACCAACCTTATTAGCTGGTAAAAATAAATAGAACTAAATTATTATTAAAACCCATTTATCTAAAATATAACTTACATCCAGCACAGGCAACAGTTGGCCGTCTATTTCTGAATCTTAAAATCTTAATAAAAATGTGCCAATTGCATATCTTGTCAACATCTCTTCAGCTTCCGATTTTCTAATAAATCCCAAAATTGCTCTACAAAAGTTTAAAAATCAAACAGTTAAGATTGATGTATGTAATGATGTTACTAAAATAACTGCCGAGAAGAGAAATGTTTAGTAATAAACACATCTCTTTTAAAAAAAGAAAGACTACCATCAGTCTACGGTCCTCTTAGATGTTCTCAAGTTATTTTAATCACTACATAAAACCATTCCATTAAGTCATTAATATGACAGAGCATTATTTAAATTAAATTACTTACTCATATTAAACAGATCAGCTAATTAAGTACATAATATGAATAAAATTATTTCCAAACTAATTCAGAATTTAAAATTGATACAACAAAACAATTACTTACTTATGTCTTACAATTTAATTATTTTGTTTTGATACATTTATTATAGGTTACCTATCTATGAGTAAGTATACCATATTCTTCAACTTTTCTTACAATGAATTGACAATCTAAATATGAATAAAAAAAAATTAATTTTTCTTCCAGTTTTTAAACATAACAAAATAATAAGTAATGTTTATATATAATAATCACACATGCTCGGACTTAAAATATTACCTTTTTTTAACACAAATTATGTATGTGTCTTTTTTCAATATTTTGACATTTTTTCCCACACCCAAAATAATAGTCGTTGGTGCCTGTTAAAGGCGTACAAATAGTAAAGCGTAAATGCGACTTCAGGAAATTTATATAATATACATATACCGTCTATGGGTAACCGTAGTATTTAATATATTCAATACCTACTAAAAAAAATATAATATCATTTACACTTACGAATTAAAATATACAGAATACCGAAGGGAAAGGTTTTATCAATATTTTCCTGAGTCCGGCCGGTTCTCACTGTTTGGCTAGACAGCTGGCACTTTAAGACAAAATTGGTATATAAATCCATTTTAAAGTTTAGACGGGGGGAGTAGGGTGTGTAATAAATTGCGTATCTATTATATCACGACTATTCTATATTAAATATTGTTATAGTTTGTAAAGAGTACACTAGATGGTGTTAGTGACCTTACCAAAAGTGAGAAGGTTTGAGCATAGATCACGAATTGAGATATACATTGATTACGTTTAACACTTGTAAATAAAAATTGTACATATTGTGTTATTAAATTGTATACAGATAATTAATTGTCTATACGAAATTTTAAATTTTAAAAAACAGTTTGTTTTATGGCAGTATGATTTGTGTGCGTTGCAAATTCAACGGGACGCAATACAAAATTGTATATCCTTATTACTGAGAACTTTCTCTACAAAATGTATATTTTAGGTATAGGGTATACTTGTGTACATTTTTACTGCATTTTGTTGGCGACGTTATTTTATACGTACATAATAATTCTCCGGGCGCTAGGAGAGCGCAACATGTACGCGCGTGCAAGTGAAAGCGCTCCGCAGTGTCGACCGCCTAGGTGTAATTTCTCCCGCCGAGTGGACTGCCAATAACCGTCGTTTGCGCGCGATGCGCGGACTACGACGCGTTTTGGTCGACGCCGACCTGCGCACTCTCAGCGCTCCGAGTGTCGACTATGGTAGTCGGCCATTTCGTTGTTTTATGTTGTATCCCCGTGGCTTCGAGCTTCATTTATCACCCCGTTGTTCGGTATCCTGTATTGTGTTCGTAAATAACTATTCATCTTAAACATTAAATTTAAATAAACACGAAACAAACCGTAATGATGCGGACACAATAAGATTGCACTGTTCCATTGAAATCTCTGTTGTAAACACGATTAAACGAGGATAGATAACGTTTGTTAAAATAATCATGTGTATTGGCACAAACCAATGCGTGTTACGTCAATGTTTATATTTGTATTATTAAAAGTTAATTCGAGAAAACGCGATTATTGTTATCGATAAACTCGGAACAATTCGTATCCACACGCCGATATCAAACACATAATTTGACGGACAAATTTTTTCCGTGGATTTTTTTACTGATTACCTATTGGCCTATCCATTTTTATATTTTCTATGGTTTTACACTTACCTCGTTTATCCCGTTTATCCATTTATCTCACTTAACCTTAAGCTTATAACATACTACACTGAGTTCACATACAATTTACCGGTTGTAGTAATCGGGTCATGCCTCGATCACTACCTTGTACATAGTTGTACTTACGGGATTGTATTGGTCACTGCGTATATATATAAACATATAAATGATTGAAGATATATTAAAAAGAGGGGTGGAACACGTAATACCGGAAATGTGGACGAATTTTATGGGACATGTCGTAAAGGACGAGACGCATAACAGAGCGTGGGTTGACACCACAGTCACATCATCAAGGGATGCATTTCTCAAAGGCCTCACCACAGGACAAAAGAAACCCTCCGGCAAAGGCAAGCGTCTTATTGTATTACACATCGGGTCGTCAGACGGTTTTGTCCCGGGGGGCCTTTTGTGTTTTGAATCCAAAACCAATTCTAGTGACTACCATGATGAAATTAATGGCGATACGTTTTATGAATTGTTTGTTAAAACCCTGTCATTACTCAAAGTAAACGCTGTCATTGTAATGGGTGATGCCTCATACCATTCCGTGAAGAAACATAAGATACCAGTAAAGTCGTAAAAAAAACAAGCAATTATTGATTGGCTTGAAAGTAAAGGTGTGTTCGTTGAACATCCTATGTAAAAAACGATTTAATGGAAAAAGTCAACAAAATGAATGATCAATACGCAATTGATGAGTGCGCAAAAGAAAATAACAAAATCATATTGCGATTACCTCCGTACCACTGCCAGCTAAATCCAATCGGGCTCGCGTGGTCGTCTGTGAAAAGTTATGTCCGGACGCATAACAACACCTACAAATTAAAGGACGTACTCGAGAAGCGTTCTTACGGTGGCACTAGTATAGTATTAACGAATAATGGCGAGAATGATCAAATTATAAAACACGTTAAAGACACTCCAATAGAAATCAGAATCTTTGAATAAATCTTAGTTAGACTTAAATATTTACTATCAAAATGCCCGAAGTCTAAATAACAAAATTTCGAATTGAAAAAGACTCATACCAAATTCAATATATGATATATTTATTTTCACCGAAACCTGGCTTACAGAAAATATTTCTACATATGAACTGACATTTCACGAATAGGAACTACGAAGTTTACAGTTATGATAAAAATACACACACAAGCTCCCACATTCAATATAATCATATATCTAACTCAAAAATGTGATTCTTGATTATATTATACCTAATTCAATTGCCATTAATGTTAAAAAAAAATAACTTTCCTATTATTCCTGTTGACCCTCTCCATCCTCCAATTACTATAACTTATAATTATTCATTCTCTACTATTTTACAATTCAATGATCATATTTACAACTGGAATTCTGGTAATTATTTAGGTATTATTAATTAGGTATCTAAGTTCTATCAATTGGTTCAATTCTTTTAATTTTAGTTCTAATATTTATGATATCAAATTTGTATATTTTGATATCAATACTGCAATTAATAATTTTGTCCCAAAAATACATAGACATAAATTATCTTATCCTATATAGTTTAGTAAGTAGTTAAAATTTTTATCAAAGAAAAACAAAATTCTCATCATAGACTTTAAATACAGCCATTCTCAAAAATCTCCATAGCAGTTACCTGCTACTGTTGTATCTCGATAAAGAAGCTTATTCTGGTTCTAAAATAGTTAATTTATTTAAATCACACTTTGCAAACGTATGTATACATAACTAATGTATTAAATAGTTATAATATTAACAATAGCAATAAAGTAGATAACTCTATTTTGTCTCTATAAATATTGAGAAATTGAATGCATGAATTAATTTTAATGAATTTTGGTCTAATAATAATCAAAATTAATCACCAGGCACTGATGGCATCTTTGCTAGATTTTTAAAGAATGTTCATGTTTGTTATTACCTATTATAACTTACTTATTTAACAAAACTTTGACAAGTATTTTTCCAGATAAATGGACATTTTCATTCATCACTTACCTTTAAAAAAGGTAATAAATAATTTGTTTCTGATTATAGACCAATTTCCAAGATCTCAATTATTCATAAAATATTTTTTAAATTAGGTAATTAAAAACCAAATTTTTCTATTATGTCAACATATTTTTTCAAATGAACAGTGTTTTCGTTCGAGATATTCAACAATAACCAACTTAGTTATATTTAAACAACTATGGATTCTTTCAATAACACCACTCAGTTTGATGTTATCTATACAGATTTTGAAAAAGCATTTTATAAAGTTACTCAACCTCTCTTAATAACGAAACTAAAAGCTATTAGTTTTTATGATCCATTTCTTTCATAATAAATTGAATCCAAGCCGTAAAATACGAAAATTATGCTTCTGATAAAATTAACGATTTATCTAGCGTCCTTCAAGGGGATCATTTATCACCAATATTTTCTCTATTCATAAACAATATTTATAAAATTTTAAAACATTACAACTGTCTCTTACTTGGATGACATCAAAATCTACAAAGTTGTTAAATGTCTAGATGATGCTTTAAAACTTCAATTTGACTAAACCACCTTTTTTAATGGTGTAATGAAAATAATACGTCTTTAAATGTGCTATTATTTTATTTTATTTACAAAAAAAATGTTACTTTTTGACTACACATTAAACAATTCAAAATTGAAACGCAATAATGAAATTAAAGATCTGAGCATTTTCTTTAACTCAAAACTTTATTTCAACTCTCATCATGTTAATTATAAAAGAAACTAGGCTTAATAAAACATATGTGAAGATTTTTTTGACGAATTGGTTATTAAAATTCTGTATTTCGCACTATTTCAGTCTCACTTTGACCTTGCTTTTTTAATTTGGCACACAAACAATATAAGCCAATATTATAGTCTATTTTCTGTTCAGAATAACTTTTTAAGATACTTATCATACAAATTTCACCATAAAAGAGTTCCTCATTCTAGGTACTATACTATTTAGGAACTCTTTAAAATAATGCTACTTAATAAAAGATTTAATAATATCTTAAATTGTAAATTTTTATATCAACTTTTACATAATATTATAGACCGTCTTGAAATTCTCAAGCGGTTAAATTTTAGAGTAAATCAATCAAATTTCAGAAACAATTCACTTATGTCTACTGATAATTCAACTAAAGATTAGATTTATTTAATACTATTTTATTCAAATTGTCAATTATCTGATCAATTAGGTAACTTTTGTTTTTATTCTTCTTTTTGCCTCATACTACTCTCTCTCATTTTCTCTTACTTATGTTTGTCACTCTATTGTTTTTCTATTTATATATGTTGTTATACCATATTATATTTTTTTCTCCTTAATTTTATTTTTATTTTTTAGTATATATAGTCATTCAATATTGTACACTATTTTTGTTGCATCTTCTTCTATAAACTTGTTACTAATAAATTATTACCTTTTACATATATGTATACACTACTGTACAACTTCTTTTAAGTAAAAAAAATACTAGAATACCAGCATAATTGTCCTTATCATTACGAATTTTAAATTTATTTTAATTATTTGGTTAGAGAGGTATGCAAGGTCAGAATAAATTGAGGGAATAATATTTTCCGAAGTTTCTAAAAATAGATTAAGGAATATACTTAACTAAAATATGTATGTTAAGTAGATAAATCAATTTATATTATATTTAACTATACATTTTCTAATAAAATTATAATAAAAATTTTAGTGAACAAAATAATTATAAGTACCTACTACCTTGCCATTACAATAGGTAGTATCAAATATTTTATTTTATAAATTCAAATTTTAAAATTTAAAAAGGACAAATTCGAAAGACTGTATAGAACCTTTGTTGTACAAAAGAGGTGTGGACACCATGAACTACATGTCAGAGAACTTAAGTGTTGTAAAAATAAATTTATGTTAACCATTGACTATGTTTTATGCATTAATTGACTGAATAAACACACTTATAATGCATAATAATGTTATATAAGTAATAATCAAGAAAACACAAAGAATAAAATAACTCTGCTCAAATTTCTAAAATCATTAGGTAAAGAACTAATACAAGAACATGCACAAACTTGTAGTACAATTTTAGCTGGTTGCATAACAAATCAAAAATAAAAATAAAAATAACAATGATAAAACAATATTTTGATATCCGTGTGTTAAATTAATATGCTTTGACCATTTCATTGAAGTGTGTCCCGATTGCTATGTTCAATAAGCTAAATATAACTTAAAAATATCTATATAGGTGTTATACAATTTTTTTTTTTTGGAACTTTTTATAGTAATTTTGTTATCTTATAATTAATATAGTCATGTAATTACAATTTTGTTTTATAAAAATTCTCTAAATAAAAGTTAGAAACAAATTATATACAACTAAGCTTTTCATAATTAATTTACTTATATAATAAATAAAAGAAACCAAACTTAGAAAACAAATACCCCGTGCAAGTAAAAGTAACAATGAGTTAAAATAAATCTACTGCAAGTACCAAAATTATTGTCAAGCTTAGATGCTTAATGCAGTTAATTTTAATTATTATATAATAGGTTATTATTATTGTAATGTTAATGACTGTTAAACTGTTATTATTATTTTGTTTTTAATTAAATATATTCACCATAAAATCTAATAAATAATTTTTGAATATTGTATTTACAATATGAAATGTAATACCTATAAACCCTGGTTTCATGGTCAAATATTTGGCCTTGAGAACCTTAAATCAATGTTCAATTCTTGCCGATCAGTTCCCCATCCAGGTACATGGGTTATTAATAATGGCTTAAGGTATCCATTTCTTGTCACAGGAGTGATAATATCTAAATTATGAAATCAATTAATAAATAATATTAAATATTTATTACAATGAATACAAGTTTATACACTCCCTTGTAACTAAATAGACTCACCAACAAAAAGGTTTATTTTTTTTATAAAATGGCTTAACCAATTTTCACAAAATAAATTGAAAATACTAGACATTTTAATGATAATGGTGTCATTGTAAAATAAAATCATTAGGCTTTCAAAAAAAAAAAATTGTTTTATGATAATTGGTTTCACCATTTAAAAAAATTATGCCTTATTGTAAGTGAACCGATTTAGTTGCACGCTAGTGTAGTACAAAAATATTACATAATATGTACATGAAACAAATAAAACTAATATTAAAGAAAAAAATTATATAAATACTCTGAGGTTCCGTGTAGTATTTTCCAAAAGCTTGGTTTTTGTCAATTCCAGGATACAACATTGTTAGATATGGTAAATCTAATAATCTATCAGCCAAGTTCCGAATTGATAAATCTTTGGCTGAGAATGGATGCAAACTATATACACCAACCTCATTAGCTGGTAAAAATAAATAGAACTAAATTATTATTAAAACCCATTTATCTAAAATACAACTTACATCCAGCACAGGCAACAGTTAGGCCACCTAGTTCTGAATCTGAAAATCTTAATAAAAATGTGCCAGTTGCATATCTTGTCAACATCTCTTCAGCTTCAGACTTTCTAATAAATCCCAAAATTGCTCTACAAAAGTTTAAAAATCCAACAGTTAAGATTGATGTATGTAATGATGTTACTAAAATAATTGCCAAGAAGAGAAATGTTTGGTAATAAACACATCTCTTTTAAAAAAATAAAGATTACCCATCAGTCCACGGTCCTCTTAGATGTTCTCTAGTTATTTTCATCACTGCATAAAACCATTCCCAAAATGTAAAAGTTCTTTGTGGCAATGGTTCTTTACAAAACTGTGACCATGACAAAACCATTTGATTACAATCCATGTTTTGCATTCTAAGAATAAAAAATATAGAAGTTACTTAAAAGTTAATTTTTTTTCTTACTTAATTTATAAACTAACCTTAAGGCCTTTTCAGCTAAAAATGTTAAGCTCTCTTCTGAGAGACCACGACCTGTAGCAGCTGAAAACTTCACGTTTAATGCTTCTGCAATATTTCTCCATGGAACTTTATCAGGAACACTGAATGGAACTCGTTGAGGTTCAGCAAAAGCATTATCCCAAGTGACAGTAGCCCAGGCATGAGGATCTTGATTTCCATGCACAATTACTACTACTGGTAATGATAAATTCCACACCTAAAATATTAAATATTGTTACTAAAGAGCAATATTTTAGTTAAAATTATTAGAACTAATTTTTATACAAATATTGTTTAAAAGTATATACTATATTACCTATAGAATAATAGACAATATAAATATCACAGACTGGATGCAATAAGATAGTGAAGGAACGTTTAAATAGAACCTCAGTCAAGAGTAATAATATATAGTATAATATATAGTTAATATAATAGTTAATATAATATAATATATAGTTTAACTATTCAAAGAGTTATTATTAATCAATCAAATATGTCAAAAGAAACTATTCAGTTGTACCAATCACCAAATAAAGAGTATAAAAACCATGAAAAATACAATCGATGCCTTATAAAAAATGATCTTAATTTAAATTTAAAAGGCATTTAACAATAAAACATCTGGGTGAGGAATTAAAAACACGTTTATATTTTGAAAGTCTCTTAATTTAAACAAAAAAACTGCATCTAGTATGATAAAAATAATGACCATATCTCTTGAAGCATTATTTAAAGGTGCAGAACTGATTATTAAAAATATGATCCCGCACATTATTGACAAAAATTTAATAGGGCCAGTCTGTTTAGCTATTGTCAAAACAATGTTAGGTAAAGAATCTAAAGATTGTATACTTAAAGTACCATTTTCCAACAATACTATTGGATGCCGTTTATTTAATTCAATACATAACTTACCTCAAACTGAAACTCATTGCCAATAAAAAATGTAGAAGAAAACAAAATTGAAAATTTTTCATCCATAACAGATTCTGTTCCTTTTTTTTCAGTGCGTTTAATTTTTTTTAATTGCATACTTCTATAATACATTCATACAAATTATTTTTTAAGATATAATTCTTATATAGAAACAGTTCAAACTTACCGGAAATTGGTTGAAAAATGTCTTTGCGTTGGCTGATATTCCATTTTTCCAGTGCAGTTCAATATTTCACCACAAGATTCACCATCTGGTTTTTTTCTTCCAATTATTTGATTAACTTGGGTTTCACTGACTATGGATACTTTAACCTAGTAAATTTAATCATATATACACAAACCCATAGATACAAACATACATACATAAACAAAGTGATCAACATAGCATATGACACTCATTATTTTGGAAATTACCAACTTTTTTTCTGAATTTTTTTTTTTAAAAAACTTAAGAAACAAGCAGCTCTCTTATGATTCGTGAATGATATATTTTTTCACCCATATTATGGGGTTGAAAAAACACTACTCAGTGACGTATCTGAGGCTTAGTCCAAAGGGGGAGAGCGGTTTATAAATTGGAATACATTACAAAATATAGAATGGGGTTTTATCATATCAATAATGCAACAATTATAATTTTAGATTTTGAGCAGAGCAAGAAATGTATTGATTTTATAATGATGTGAATAACTTTTGTACTAGTAATTTTGCTTCAATTTATAATTACAGCACTTTTACTGACAGAAAATCTAATTAGGGTGGTATTTTAGAGAGATTGATTTTTGATTATAAAATGTACTAAATGTAGGTATTAATAAAAAAATATGTTTTAAAGTAACTTTTTTTTTTCCTGAGAACAAATCTAATCTACCAGCAATTTTACTACAAATTACAGCGATATCTTGGGTGGTACTTTAAAGAGACCATTTTTTGATTTTCTCAAGCTATCTATTAATAAATGGGAAAAACCTGGAAAAAAGTACAATATTAAACAAAAATAATTAAAGAAAAATTTAAATGCTCAAGTAATTTATTTTACCATAATGCGATATAAATTAAATAATGTTGACAATGCAACACTATTAAAACATTGCTCAGACTCGTTTTTTGCTAGCAATAGTTAATTTTTGCGTATAAATATACATTCAATTTCCCCTCTACCTTCCCAACTTCTCACCTACAAAAGTTAACTTTTTTTTCTTGCAAACCAATCTATGACTACTGCTTGGACATCCACATCATATTATAAACATAAATTGCCTTGTATCATTATTATTACTTTTTGGTAATGCTAATAAAAATATCCAAGAAATAATTAACATCACGTGTATAAATAATAAATTATTTTATTACCTATAGCCTATAGCTGTGATTAAAAAAACAGCTAATTATTAATATAATGTGTTAATAATATTTTGATGGACCTCCCTATTTTTCCATTTCTGTGCAATAAATTTTACACAGTAATCTATATGAAATTAATAACTCATAAGTCATAATAACTGACTCTTTCCGTGCTCTAAGGATAATATGCTATTAAAATATGTGCTTAAAAAGTACTGCAACTTTACACACAAAGGGTGAGCCACTGTTATAGATGTAAGATGAGAAGATAGGATATAGATGGAAATTTAATGTATATTTGTAAGCAATAGTTAACTATTACTAACAAAAATAGATTCTAAGCAGAGTTCATTTTATAGTGTTACTTTGTCAACAATATACATGTCATATTATGGTAAAATAATTACATACATATTAAATATTTTCTATTTGTTTTATATTGTATGTATTTTCCCATTATATTGAGAAAACTTTTAAATCAAAAAATATCCTCTCTAAAGTACCACTCCAGTCAAAATAAGTGCTACTTTTTTAAATTGGAGCAATATTTCTCATAGAAAATTTGTTCACAGATAAACAAAAATAAAAATAAACACCACTGTAAAACCATAAGCTTTTTCATTCCACTCAGAATCTAAAATTGTCTATGCGTTATTCCAGTAAAAAATTGGAAAAATATGTACTCAAAAAAAATGAACATGTTACCAACTTCATAGAATTGTTACATTTCATAATCTGCGTGATGATAAAAATAATAATCTTGACAGTTTATAATTTCAAATATAAATCTACTTTGCATATAGGAAATTCATATATTTTGTTTACTCATTTCAAAGATGAATTAAATACCATTTTTGTTTAATTTAGTGAAATATACTATACTAATTCAAATATTATCAAAATATGCAGTACCAACATGTGAAAAAGAGCTAAGTTAATACTAAACTGTTTGAGTAAAAAATACTACTGTATTACAATAATCATAAATTACATTACAACAGTTATATCAAGAACAAATTTTTGGCTACTTATACCTTCACAATATTTTAAATGTTATACCCAAACTTTAGTAAAATTAGCTATTTAAACTCATGATACTTCATTGATTTTAGTTATTTTGTTGTTAATAATATGTTATTAAGAATAAATTTTTAACAGAGTTCTACTAAAGAATTATTTATTACTTGCAATAGTTGATTGGTGCTCTCAGAATTTAAATTAAATTAGTATACTATCGAAAAACTTCTATCCTCAACGACAGACACAAAATATTCTTTATTTTTTAAAAAATTTGAATTAATTAAAAGAAATTGATTTTTGTTTTTACCATAGGTGATGTCATGTGAATATTGAGTTTCCCTCCAATTAATAGACGCACTTCAGCTACAAATCTTGTATTTGTTTTCAATACTTGAGGTGGTTGAGTTATAATCACAAAAGTACTAAATATTAAAGTATAATAATACATTAAAATGCTTAATAGTTGGGAAAATAAATATATTATACACATATAATCATATAAATACATAAATAAAATATATAATATACTTTATATAAAATCTAACTTACATAAGAAACTAATATATATATATAAAAGAGTACCTTGTTACTAATAATGAAAGATACTGTGCAGTCATATCAAGAAGTGTATTAATAATTTCGCAAGACTGTGGCAATTCAAAGTAACAACCTAAATGCACTCTGAAGCGATCAGCTTCTTTAATTTGAGAACGAGTTATCCAAATTAAATCACATAAATTTTCACACCTAGTAAAAATAAAATATAAAATTCAATCAACTCAACTTTTTATAAATTTTCATATGTACCAAGTTTGTATGACATCAATATCATTCATGAATTTATATCCATTAGCAGCTAACTGTTGTTCTCGTTTCCATTGATTTAATGCATTATCAATAATAGCTTGTACAGGACTAAGCAAACTTAATGATTCATTTAGTTTATTAACATAAACACAAATAGCATTATTGAGACTTGATGATTGAGTCTTTAACTGCTCTTCATACAATTCTTTTTCTTGTTTCAATTTATGTTCAATTTCAGGACCTTGAGGAATACTCATCCTTTGGTTTCTTATGTGTTCTAGATGTTCTACAATATAAGATAATCCAAGTTAATGCTAAATAATAAATAATTTAATAATTTTAGTTTTCATTTTAAAACTTACGAGTACATTTGGCCCATTCCGAATACAAAATATTAAAAGAATCAATGTCTGTTTGAATTGCTGTGCGAATTTCATTTGTATGTGTAACATGATGACTGATTAATTCCATCTGTTGTCTAATTTCAATGTTTTGCATTTCCTGATTTATTTTTCCATCCATCAGACTAAATAAAATAAATTTATAAATTATAACGGATCTTTCAATAGACGTTCTACGAAGCGAAATAAGAAGAGAGATGCAATTTCAAAGTTGAGTAACTACAGGAATTTGAAGCATTCTTTTATAATCATTATTTACAATCACTTTCGATTTTCAAATTCATCACTGGTCATAGCACTATACTCCAAGATTTAAAATCTTTTATTTATTATTTCTTTTTAAATGGTGGGCATAGAATACAGAGATAATTAGTACATGATTTCAGTCAGCGGCCACTAACCTTTTTGACCTCACGGACCACTATAAAGTTTATTGTGTTTATACTACAAGTCTCAGGTCCTTACAATAAAAACGGGGACAAGCAGCTTAAAAAATTACTCTGCATATATATGTATTATGTATATACATACACTAATTGTTTTGTACTAATAAAGTTTCCAATTCCAATCACTTATCAACTCTTTTAGATTTTATGATTTTTTGACCCTGTAAAAAAATTATAATAAAATTAGTAATAACTTTATTCGCAATATTATAAACTAATTAATTAATTAAAATTAAAATAAAATGATTTACTAATACATTAATACATATTTTAAATTATAGATTAGTAGGAGAATTTACCTCCTTTGGGACTTTGCATCATAATGTGGCATAATGATACAAATAAAAATATAAATATAATTAAAGATTTTTAGAAGAAATCAATTTTTCTTAGTTTTTTAAATAATTAAAGAAATTTAACATTTGCCCTTATCTCCTCCATTCAATAAATTTCTCTTCAGGTGCCATTGCGTACAACTTTTAAAGTAAGTATAATAGGCAACATTAACTTTTAATGCATTTTATACTGATTAATTTAGAAATTTGCGATAAAAAAACAATTAATGAAATGTAGTCCTGATAATAGTAACAAATTTTTCACAATTTTTAAATAATATCATATGGCAACACCAACTTTGGTTTTTTAAATAAAAACCAGTATAGTTTAATGCAAATTTTGAATCGGATGATTTTTTTAAAAATGATGACGTATTGTATTCGAAATTTGAATGAAAAGTTTCTGAGTTATTCTACTTTAAAAATTAAAGACAATAGTCTATTAAATACATAGTAAATGAATATGAGTTTGGCAGAATTAATTCATAAGCATGCTTAATTAAGTAGTGTCTATTATTAAATATTTTATATTTTAAACCTAATTATAATGACCTAACTTAGGTTATGCTCACGTAACCTAACCTAACCTTGTTTCCATTTAATTGATTATTTTCCTCAATGTTTAAAGTAGAATAACTGAGAACTAATAGATTCAAATATTAATTACAATAAGTCGAAATTTTCAGAGAATTTATCAGATTTACAATTTGTATTAAAACATGTAGATTCTAATTTGATTAAGAAATCATTGAATTACTTATAATTCAAATTGTAAATTAAGGTGGCCCTAAGTCAAATGGGTGATTTTTTTTATATATATATATTTTTTTTAGTTTCACTCCCTTAAATGGTTCTAATATATTTAATAAAAATAAACTATACAAAATTGTAAGGTAATTGGTTAAGTTTAACCCATACATCGCAGCACTTCAAGTTCTAGAATGCGTTTTTACTTAAAAAACTATGGTTTTTTTTAATGCAATGTATGAACAAGCATTAGATACAATATGACAAAAATTATAAACATTAATTAAAATGAAAACAAAAACAGACTGGTTAAACATATAAAAATGAAAGGTTTGAAATCAATGATAAACTAATTGAAAAATCAGATAAAAAATTGACTGAGTAATAGGTATTAAAATTTAAATGAGTATTAAATACTATTATTGAAAGTATATGTATAATATTACAATTAAGAGTATTAAAAATTATAAATGTATTGATTGAAGTACTTATTTTTATTATCTCCGTCATAATTAAATGTATATAAAAGTGGACTAATACCAACTGATTATTCAGTAAAATTAATTTAAAATAGGTTAATTTATAAAATATGCTAACGTTTTTCTTTTAGTTTCCTCACATTATCAAGAAAAGTAACTACATGGTAAATAAAAAAAATTACCTTTCTTTTGCACTAACTAAATAAAATTGTCTACTTGAAATCACTCTTAAAATGAATGCAAAGCAAAAACTATTATACTGAAATGTATGACATAGGTATATATCATAGTAAAATTAACTTGCATCACTCAGTACTTAAAATTCATTACATTGACTTTATTCTTAAGGTGTATTATTACAACTAAAGTTTAACTACCTAGTTCAATAAAATAGTGTTTGAAACTATTTTTAACTACGTACTATAAACTAAATAATACAATTATTTAACTAAACTTCTTTTTTTTTTTATACACATAATACATTATTAATGAAATTGTAGTATTGTGGGCTCAAGTTATGCTGAAATCAAGCCTAATGAGAAAAATTTGATTGATGCGTAAATTATTGAGTGGCCTGGATATATTTCAATCTCCTGGCCCAAATTTTGTTAACACTCCGCCCCTGATTAACTAATATAATATTTTCTGAAATATTTGATTATGAAGCATACAAGTTCTTAAATAGCATCATTAAAAGAATATTTATTTCAAATTAACTAATATAATATATAACATAAATGTATAAGATAGTTTTGAAAATTTACCTCCTTGCTTTATTATATAAAATAATCTTACTTTAATATAATAGCATTTTAATAGCAACTAACTGATAATTCATAAGTAATCATAAAATTTATATTTTTCCATAATTATTTTCAAAGGATAATTATTAATACACTGTTATCTATAGATTTTTATTGACATCAATACAAATGAAAATGTAAACTATTGTTTCAATTCTATACACCTGAAATCAATGATATACCATTGCTAATTAAAAAAATATTCTGAGAGGAGTTCAGTCGATAGTGATGCTTTGTAACAATAGGAGTATATATGTCATATTATGGTAAAATAATTAAATAGGCATTATATATTTTCTTTAATAATATGTGTTTAATGTACTGATTTCTCTGTTTTTCCCGTTTATTTCTTTTTTCACATTCGTTGAAAAACCTCTTGAGAAAATTAAAAAATGACCTTTTATAGTACTTTCCCAGTCAGATTTCTTTTTAGAAAAAGTACTATCATTGTAAATTGAAGCAAAATAATTACTGGTAGAAAAATTGTCCACAGATAAAAAAAAAATAACTTGGTAAAACCATAAGCTTTTGGCTCCACTCATAATCTAAAATTTACAAAAACCAGTTGGAACTAATGAACCGGTTAAAAACAAAATTTACAAAGAAATAGAATTAGCAAGTAACATTTTTAATTATTTATGAAATAATTTAAATTAATACATAAATTGAATTTATTTTAAGGCGTACTATTAACAATAAAGTAATTTGTTCTCCAAATTTTAAGAGTGACTCTGATGAAAATATTCTTAACAAATCATTGTTGAATATTGAAAAAATATCTGAATGCCAAGACATTTTTATAGTTAAAAACAGAAGTAAGAAATATTTTGTAACTTGCAGCAATCACATTAGATAGGTGTAAAATAAGAAATCATGATGTAGTTCATAGAGTGTTATCCTTATGCTATTAATTCTCTCAATACTCGTTTTTTTTTCGGGTTTTGTGCGAGGAGGATACATAGATATTTAAAGAAAAATTAAATTTTTATTTTCATTCCTTAATCGTTGAAAAATAACTTTTATTTTTTTTAAATTTTTAAAATAACTATTTTTTTAAATATATTATTCTAAAAATGTTTATTTAACATATATTCATATCCAATTAATAGTTTCTTAATTATAGTGGCATACAAAAGTTATTTTTTCAATGATTAAAGGATGAAAATAAAAATTTAATTTTTTTCTAAATATGTCTCCTCCACAAAGAAAACCAGATTAAAAAATAAAAAAATGAATGAGACAGAGTTATTAACCTTATGCCATGAACACTGTAGCACACCATTGTATGTTAGCAGCTACTGTGAAAATATTTGATATACAAAGAAGTATTTTAATAATAAATCGAGCATATAAATTTGAAACTAATTTGATTCATCAGAAGTAGATTCAGGTGTTCATTGGGATGGGAAACTGCTCCTAGATATATCAAAGAAAGAACTTGTTGATTGTTTACTAGTAATTGTTTCTTTTGAGAATTCTGAAAACTTCTAAGTGTTCCTAAGCTAATATCTATGTCTAATGTCGTTATAATCAAGCAAAAGTAGTGATTCAAGGACTGAGAAAATAGAGCCTTGTCCTTAATCTACAATATGCACACTGGTCGCATAACAGGGGCATGTATAATCTTTGAACAGTTATTAAAATGTGATATTTTATACTTTCCTTGTAGACATGAAATTATACTCAGAGCTGCATTTGATGTAAACTTTGTAGTTATAAGTTAAAATTATCAATAATTTTAACATCGGATTACAACATATTTTTGTTAGTGAAAAATTAAATGATATTATTACTAATGATATGTTAGTACTTATATGGATCAATTTAATATGTAACTCTTATAACAAACATGACAATTACAGAGAACTATTGAAATTAGCTGTAAATTTCTCGGTCACACACCTACTTGTGGGATATCAATTTTATTTTAATGTAGGTATTTATGAATTTTTATGCTTCTTATTCAAATATTTTAAAAAATATTATGTTAATTAAAAAAACAATATAAGAATAATTATGTCACAATTATAGTATATTACATTGTAAATAAATAATGTTATATATATCTATATAATATAATAAAGTCAGTCCTAACTGATTCATCACCTAGCCCAAACCAATGGACAGATCAGGTTGACATTTGGTATACAGAAAACTATTATGACGTAGGCATCCATCCGCTAAGAAAGAATTTTTGAAAGAGGTTTTCAGGTATTTTTGATAAGAATGTATAATTATTTATTTAATTTTGTTTATTCATGGGTTACCTTGGTGACATAGATGAAAATGTGGTTGTCACAAACAAGAAAATTATTATTATTATTACTATTATGTATACTATTATCTAGCAATAGCAAAGAATTGCCATGTCAGTTAATATTTGTATAGACAATTATAACAAGATATTAATCAAAAATTTTAAAAAAAACTGTTATTTGAACAGTAACATGTTCTAAAAATTTAAAGACAAGGAGGCACGAGTTAAACTTGATCAATTGATATAAACCTATGTACACTTCATTTTTATACATATTGAAATCAAATTAGAGGATAAAACTTGAAAATCAAATTATTTTAAATAGGGGCAACCTCCTTATACAATGTTATTGAACATAACATTTTAAATAATATGTGAATATGAATGTATTATTGATCTTTTTAAATTTTCAGCATGATATGGTGGTTTAATACTCTGGTTATTATTAAAATATCACATATTATAATAAATATATGGGATATTTTTTTTATTTTGTAAGAAATTCTATAGATACATGAGTTATCAAGTTGATTCCTATCAT